AATGCTAATGAAGGAGTTGGTGCTTTAAGTGATGTGACAGATGGTGATGCTAACAAAGTCATTGTCAAGACATCCTCTAACCCAACTATCTTCACTTCTGTAATGGTTTTTAACTCCACTAACATGAGTGATAAATATGAACCCTATTCATTATGGGACAGCTTCATATTAGATGGGGGTGCAGATGCACATATTTGCAATGATTTTACAAGATTTCAAAACTACTGGGATGCTGGTTCTTCAGATATTGTGCTCATTGGAAATACTCATTGTAAAATCCATGGATATGGTGATGTTGAAGTTTATACCCAAATGCCAGCAGATGCTGGCAAGATATTACTAAAGAATGTTCTATATGTTTCTGACTTTCATACAAATCTAGTAGCACATGGATTGCTGTGTGCAAAGAGTTGTTATTTGGATGATGAGTCTCTTATGGTTTACTATGCTGATACAAGGGATATCTTGTTCAATTTGACTGTTAAAGAGAGAAAAATGGTTGTTGAATACAGATCTATTAATGTTGCAACAGACAGTATAACAAAGAGTGTTTTTACTGCCTTGTTGGGTGGAGATTTGGTTAAGAAACCATTGATGACATTGGCCTCCAGTTCACTAGAAACAATGAATATTTGGCATTTGAGACTTGGTCATCTAGAAAGAGAGTCTCTGACTCATCTTCTGAAGATGTCTACCAACATGAAATTTGCAAAGATCTTTCAGAGTCCTCTAACAGTGAAGTGCAGATCTTGTGCTCTTTCAAAAGTAAAGTAAATCATACACAGAACATCATTGGAAAGATCTACATGTTCATTCATGAAGATGTCTGTTGATCTCATACAGTTTGCTCCAGGTTATAATGGAGATAGGTGGGTGGTTCACTTATATTGTGATTATACCCATCTGCACTATGTGGAAATGATGCAGTGAAAATCCAAAAGTTTGACATGCACAGCAAAAATGATAAGGGTAATTCTCAATTTATATCAATTGGCTATCTTGGCTATTTAAATTGATGGAGAGACCTCTATGCAGTCAGAACTGACAGTGTTGGCTTGAACATATGATATAGTTGTTTAACATTTGGCATTCTACATGCTGGCTCAAAATGGAGCTGCAGAATGTGTGGGAGCTTTAATAACAACAGCAGCACATACAATGTGAATTGAAGCCAACTTATCTGAGGATTTGTGGTCAGAATGCATCAAGACTGCAGTGTATATTTTAAACAGAATTCTGATTAAAGATCTTGGTTGGAACACTTCTCTTGAATTCTTAGAGAAATATCTTCAAACTGCAACTCCTTTAACTGAAATTAGACATATAAGAGTTTTTGGCTGTAGAGCATATCCTTTAATTAAGAATGCATGATATGGAAGAAATCAGAAGCTGACTTCTAGAGTGAAAGTTGGATATCTCATTGAATATGAATCAACAAATATTTTTCACATTTGGATTCCAGTACAATGAAAGGTTATATTAATGAGAGACATTATATTCAACAAAGGTACACTATTTGATCCTAATAAGATTAGCAGCAAGCTTTTATTACAGAAGAGCTTTGTTGTGCTGGATACAATATCTTTTGTTGAAGTAAGTGATATTAACAAGGCAAGCTTGAGCAAGCATGACAGTGAAGATGAAGACTCTGAGGAGAATACACCATGTGAAAGTCATGAGACTGTTGATCAGCCAATAAGATTGATGGAAACAATGACTAAGACACTAACTGATCAGTCAGAAGAGACACATGCATTGTCAACATCAGAGCCTACATCAGAGTCATCAGCTTCAGACATCTACATTCAATCTCTTTCAAATGATTCAACAACACCATCAACTGAAATAGAGGTGCTGGATCAACTTTCATTGACAGCCAATCATTCTGCTGTGGAAGCTATGGAGGTGATGAGTGGTGTTGTAGTTGAGCTGTCTGAAGATATAACATCTACTACACTTTCTGCTGCTAGCTCTATGGGGGTGGTGAGCACAAATGATGGACAATTAATAGCCAATTGTTCTGCCACAGAGGTGATGAGCACTAATGATGAGATTTTGACAGCCAATCATTTTGCCATGAAAGTGATGAATGACTCAGTTGATGTGAGCTTGAGCACAGAGCAATCTTCTAGACAAAGTGCTAGAATAAAGTGCCAAAATGCAGATTGAATTGACAGATGAACAGCTTATACAGTGATTCTGCAGCAAACAGCACATTTGAATTCTTTTTATAGAGACTATTTAACAGCTTTTACAATTATGAATTCTAGACTTCACAGAAAGAATCTTCTGAAGTCTTCAAAGCATTATTTTTCAATGTTGCAACATCTGCACATTGGTGACTTTAAGGCTGCAATGGATGTGGAAATGAAGAAGCTACAAACAAAGAAATGCTTTGAAGAAGTAGAGAGCTCAGAAGAAATACATTCAATCTCTTTAATGTGGATTTATATATATAAATTTGATGTTAATGGTTTTTTGGAACATTATAAGACAAGGCTTGTTTTTCACAGAGATCTGGATACCAATAATAAACATGACATCTACACTGCTACTCTTGCTGCATGAATATTTCACCTTTTAATGACTATAACAGCTTATTTTGAAATGGAGATCTTTCAGATTGATGCTGTTAATGTGTTCATTAATGCTTCATTTGATAAATCTGTTTATTGCAGACCAGCAGAGAGTTACAGTAAGAAAAGAGGTGTTTGAAAGATTCTACATGTCTTATATGATCATTCTGAATCTCCATGACTCTGATATGAAGATCTCACTTCAACACTCTGGAAACTAAAATTCTGTCAGATTTGTGAAGAACCATGTCTATTTATTGGTAAGAATATTATTATCTTCTTTTACATGAATAACATAGTATTTTTATATCACAGAAAGGATGTTGGAACATTTGGGCAGTTATTGAAGAATCTATGAATGCATTACAAGCTTTGAGAGATTGGAGAGCTAGAGTGGTTTCTAGATATTCATGTCTTACACAATAGAGATGCTCAGAAGCTTTGGCTGTGCCAGAATAGTTATATTGAGAAGATTGCTAATAAGTTCAATCTTATGAAGTTGAAGCCACCATGTACATCAATGATAACTACAGATATAGCTCCTTATATGAGGGCACAAGATAAGCAATGAATACATGCCTACCAACAGAAGATTGATTTGACTCTCTATACTGCTATTGTAACATGGTCTGATATTTCATTTGCTACTGCAAAATTAAGTGAGGCTTTGGTTAATTCAGAATCAGAACATCATACAGCAATTGAGAGAGTTGTCTCATATGCTTTTTCAATGAAGTATTATGCTCTTGAATTCTGTGCTGAGAGAGAGTTGAATATCCAGAGTGATAATAATAATGCTGTAAACACTCATTTAATAATCATCAGTGATTCTTCTTTTGCAGACAATTTGAGCTCTAGATGCTTCTTTCAGAGCTCTGTATTTAAGCTCTTTGAAGACTTAATTGATTGGAAATTCTTCAGACAAAAGATCATTACAACATCTTCAATGAAAGCTGAGCTTTTAGCACTATTCTATATGGCAAAAGAGACCATGTGGTGGAAACACTTATTTAAGAATATTATGTTGAAATTAGAAAGAGATTTTGATATTTTATGTGATAATTTGCAAACAATATGGTTACTGATTTCAGCAGCTCTGCAACTAATTATCAAGCTCTGTCATGTTAATATTCATCATCACTGGTTATGAGAAGCAGTTACTAATAAGAAATTGAATATTATCTGAATTGAAAGTGATAATATGCCTGCAGATGACTTAACAAAGACCTTACCTAGGCAGAAATTTGAAAAATTTGTTAAGCAATTGGGGCTTGTGGATATTGATTATTTGATAGAGGGGGATTCACCATCTACATCACTGCCAAAGCTATAAGAGTGTGTTGAGCAGAAGTCAGATGACTTGTCAGATGATCAGATCTCTGAAGAAGAAACTGAAGAACTGTAAATTTGCCATCTTCTTCTCTTGATCATGATACTGATTTCATTATCTTTGTCTATCAGGCTGGCAGAGGTTTGCTAGGGGTTTTTCATATGTTTTTCCTGTAGCCTTGGTTATAGCATGTTCATCTATAAGTATCTGTGTCTTGTTTGTTAGGAGCAAGACCAGACGCAATATTATAGACGCTCAGTCACATGATCATCATGTGCTCCTGTGTCGTCCGATACTTTCCTACTTGCTGTAACTAATAGCTTAATTAATTTTACTACGTGGTTGTTGAAAAATCGTATTTTGAAGGTGTAGTGGTAATTTCGTAAGAAGCGGTCGTTGGGTGAGATCGGGCGTTCGGTGAGGAATTACGTTACGGAGTACTCCGTACGTACGCCGTACTCCGTATGAGTTACCCCTCCATCACCCTGAGTTGTGGGAGCAAGGGTGCAACACGATGCTTGCCCGGCCGCCGAGGCTCTTCCCTTTCGTCTAAGCGACGTTTAAAATGGGCCAGTGGCGGCTGGAATGCAATGCTACCCACCACGTTCACATGCCCACAGAATGAAGTCAGGTTTCTGGCAACCAGGTCCAAACCTCTACTGCAGACATGCACACACATCAAAGGACCTATTTAACAAAGATTTATTTCTTGCAGAATGCACATATCTCTTATAGAGTATCAGCCTTGTTGTAATTAAGGTTGAGCCCTAAACTTAATATGAATATGCCTATCAAAACCAGAGACAACTTCCATTGAAGCGTAGTTGACAGTTACAACGTTAACAAACCTATTTTGAATTTTTCAGAACCTTCAAATTGCACCACTGGTATATTATTAACAGAGCTAGTTTTTGGCTCGAAACCACTCTAGATGTAGATACAGACATACGAAGTATTCCGTACAAGTCTACAGAAACAGCATATAAAAAATATGCTACTTCTATTCAAACACCTCTATAAAGGCATAAACACTGAAAGGTCTTTATTCTAAGCGGGTATTCTGACAGCCACAATATAGCATTCAAAATTCAAAGTCAAGCTGATGTCAGCCGGTGAATTTCCTGGAAAAAGAATTTCAGATTTTCAGGATCAACGAATGGAGTCACGCCTAGACCATGTTAGCTTCGTGAAACCAATAGTTAGGTAGCATATATCCCACCATGCCCCAAGTTGACTATCCATTTCTGATTGCCGCCTCCGAAACCCTTTACCATGTTTTTCACCACAGCTGTAATAGCTTCTCTGGTGCCGTATAGACAGCCGGGATCCGCATTTCCTTGAAGAGTAACGCGGCCATTCGCGATTTTGTATGCTAGAGCAGGATCATGAAGCCAATCTAGTCCCACCACATTATACCCCGACTGACACAAGTCATCCAAGGCATACCATGCACCCTTGGCAAAAACTGTCATAGGAACTGGCTCATAGCCTAGTTCGACTGTCCTCTTCGGTAAATTGGTGGCAATGTATCGTAAATACGGCAGAGCGAATTCAGAAAAGGAAACTGGGGAGAGCTCTCCAGCCCATGAATCGAATACTTGAACCAACTGTGCGCCAGCAACAACCTGCAGAGCCAAATATTCCACACAGATATCGGCAATCTTTTGCAATAATGCCTTTGATGCTTCCGGGTATTTGTATATCCAAGTTTTCGTCTGAATAAACATCTTGCTGCCTCCGCCCTCAACCATATAACACAACAGTGTCCATGGAGCCCCACAGAAACCAATCAATGGCACTCTTCCCTTAAGTTTCTGCCTTGTGACTGTGATAGCTTTGTAGACATAATCCAACTCTTCTTTGACATTTACCCTTCTTGCAATAACCTTTTCATACTGGCCATCATCAGGAGACTTCAATGGTTCGGGAAAGCTGGGGCCCTTTTTATCCACCATCTCCACTGTCATTCCCATCGCCTGTGGTATGACCAGGATATCGGAGAAAATGATTGCAGCGTCAATGAGGCCGGCATAGCGTTCGATGGGCTGTAAGGTGAGAGTCGATGCAACCTCCGGATCACGACAGCATTCGAAGAAATCTCGGTTTCCTTTCGCCTCATGATATTCTGGAAGATATCTACCAGCTATAACAAAATGAGTTAGTAAGAATATTTTGAGAACAGAAACGGGCATAAGGAATAGTTACCCTGCCGCATAATCCATATCGGCGGCCTCTCAACTCTCTCTCCTGCGAATTAAAGTCAGCTCATCCTCACCGATGAAAAAATATAGAACCTACCCCTTGCGGCTCTGAGAAGCAAATCGTTTTGTAGCGGCTCGAATTGATTAGACATGGTTACGGGAGTGCAATGATTGTTCCTTGGACCTTGGTGGGGGTACAGTTTATATGTACATATGTAAAATAAAGTTGGTAGGCCGCATTGCTTAGCAATAATATTAATAGCCCCGCAAGTACGGAGTACTCAGCCGAAATTCGGCACAATGAGTATGGGCGTGAGGAGGCTTTTTTTTTTTTTTTTTTCTCTTTTTGGAATTTCAGCATAAGCAGTGGGCCTTGATTTATCTATAATATTTATATATGGTATCCTGGTGTCAGGTTCCTATATTGCTAGGTAGGATGTATGAGTAGTATGTACAGATTGTATGTGCTCATGCATCGTCTCCTCCGGACCACTTCCTTAGACTCCCATTGGTATATAATAAGCTAGACATAGCCTCCGCCTTCTGGCTACCCAAATCCGCATCAGTATCTGTGGCTTCTCGCGCATTGATCACATCCACTGCAGGAATTGAACTGTTTGTCCAACTTATCTCCCCATTGCTACAAGGGGTAAAATATTGTAAAAGCGGGCTCTCCTGTGTCGAATCTCTCAATTCGTTGGTGGATCCTGGCTTGTGGATGTTATCAAGTGACACTAAGATCTTGCCGCTGTTTTCAAGGCTGATAACATCCAGGGGATTCCCAGATAACTCAAGAGGTGCAAGAGCAAGAAGAGTGCCATTGAGATCTAAGCTAAACGGTAGAAGCTTAGGGACACTAGAAGTAGTAGTAGTTTTTAGTGGTGGTCTAGTTGAAAACTCATAGAGACAAGCCTTACCCTTCCAAAGCTACCAGTATGGCTCCCTTTGCGTTTTCAACTTCGGAGAATGGTATGGCCCATATTCCTGAAACAATGATATCGTATTTATTAGGTGTCTGGTTTTCGGTTTCCTCGTTTTCGATGTTGGAACTGCCGCCTAACAACAGCTTTTGTGAGATGCGGCCCTTGTGCCAATCCCAACAAATGATAAAATTATCTCCACCACCCGAAATTAACACATTAGGATGCCAGGATGGAACACAGAGTTTGCTGACAAAAGATGTATGCCCTAGGCAATAATTATGAATAATGTGAGATTGTGAAGGTCCACGAGAGACACGGATGTGCTCATCACGGTCTGACGTGATCAAGTATGAACGGGCACTGCTGGAGGCTGTCGCTGGTATAGATACGAGTGTCATATCAGTGAGCATGGACACATGGCCAAGCAAAAGTTTATATTCAAAAGTGGGCTCTGATCTATCTTGTACCACATGGGGGTTGCGAAGCTGTTGCTCCAGAGCCTTCAAGTTCCTTTGTGTATGAACCGTAAGGTTAGTAGCTGAGGGCTGAAAGGTCTTCTGGGGTTCTGCACTTTTTCTTGATGGCAAAACAACAACTTCGGATTTGGGGATGAGCGGCAATGAGTACACGTCGCCGAACTTGTCTCCTGACAAAATTGTGGAATTGTCCGGGGTCAATGTAACTGCGCAAGGGCGCTTGGGCATGTACCTAAATCGAACTATTAGCATGAATTGAAATATCTCCCTTTTCGACCCAACTCTCACCGCTCCGATATTTGGGCGAGTGCTCCGTCACGCGTCACTGTGAAAACTCGCAGGCACTTGTCCTCTCCTGTTACTGCGACAATATGATCCCCAGTGCTTGAAACAACAAGAATGGGAATCGTAGACCACGGAATTTTTGTCGCTCCAAGGCCAGCAGGCTTATTTTCCATAGGCTTGTCAGCCTCATCGTTACTTTGGGTAGAGAGCTTCCTTCTTTTTTCAGGAGGTTCTTTGCAAGTATCAATAGCATCACCACTCTCTTTTGCAGATAAAGTAGAATCCGGCCAAGCAGACAGCTGTATCCCAGTACCCGAGTCAATTATGACTATTGTCGGACCCGCTGTTGCTGCAAAGAAGGCCCTCTGTTGACATTTGAAATGTCTAATACGCTGAATTGGGTATCTGAAAGTCATTATTCAAAATAACCTATCGCATATCTAGTCTATTTTAGGCGAATGAACTTCTTAATATGAACAGACGAGGCACCCTTCCAGCTTCTCGACACCCTTAAACAAAATTTCGCCGGAGACAGCTTTTATATCACGTGATCAACGCGAGCCGCAGGCCCTAGTTAGGCGAGCTACGCCAAGACTGTCGAACAAATTCGAGAGAAAATCTATCTCGAAAACCAATTCTCGGTCAACAGCAAGACTTCTCTTTTTTACCAGATTATTTTTCGCTGCCCTTAAATATCCTATCTTCACCCTTAAGGAGACATGGGGGGCAGATCAGCTAGCAAGACTGCTTACTTTGAGAAGCTAAAGGATCTTCTCGATGAATACAAGTCTATCTTCATTGTCACCGTCGACAATGTCAGCTCTCAGCAGATGCACGAAATCCGTTTGAGCCTTCGCGGCCAGGCCGTTGTGCTCATGGGAAAGAACACTATGGTCCGTCTCGAAGCGTGCTATTGTTGGGGTGAAAGCGCATATTAACCATCACGACAGGTTCGCCGCGCCCTCAAAGGATTCATCACCGACAACCCAGAATTCGAGCGATTGTTGCCTCATGTTAAGGGTACGTGGGGGTCAAATTCATTGCGTGTGCGTATATGGTATAATAATGCTTTGAGTGTTTAGGAAACGTTGGCTTTATCTTCACCAACGATGACTTGAAGGAGGTCCGAACCAAAATTCTGGCCAACAGAATTGCTGCCCCAGCTCGTGCTGGTGCCGTTGCTCCCGCTGATGTCTTTGTTCCTGCTGGTAACACCGGTATGGAACCCGGAAAGACATCTTTCTTCCAGGCTTTGGGTGTTCCCACCAAGATTGCTCGTGGTACCATTGAAATCACGTCCGATCTCAAGCTCGTCGAGGCTGGTTCTAAAGTCGGCCCCTCTGAAGCCACTCTTCTTAACATGCTGAACATCTCTCCCTTCACGTATGGTATGACTGTTGCTCAGATCTATGATGATGGTCAGACGTTCAGCTCCGATGTTTTGGATATTGAGGAAGAGCAGCTCCTCAAGTCTTTCCAGACCGCTATTAACACCATCACTGCCATTTCTTTGGCTGCCAATTTCCCCACCTTGCCCTCCGTCATGCACTCCATTGTCAATGCCTACAAGAAGACGTTGGCCATTGCTGTTGAGACTGACTACAGCTGGAGCGAGATTGAGGAGCTCAAGGACCGCATTGCCAATCCTGATGCCTATGCTGCTGCTGCCCCAGTTTCTACTGGCGCTGAAGCCAAGACTGATGCTGCACCAGCTGCCAAACAGGAGGAAGAGGAAGAGGAAGAGAGTGACGAAGGAGGTATGAATTTTTATCCCCACCTTTTGTCTCGATTACAGTATTATTAACCCGAATTTCAGGTTTCGGTGGTCTTTTCGACTAAATTAAGTCTGAGTCACTTATGTTACGGGAAATATGAAAGAAATGTACTCTACGGCTTCTACTCTCGTAATGAAACACCAAACGAGTTATTCAATTTATTGTTCCAGTGTTATGGTTCTCTAGTTTTGAATCAAAAACTGCCATTAGTCCGTACTAAGTAGGTAAGCATATACTTTTTTGCTACTACAACATACCTCCCCTCGGCGAAAGATTAGGTTTTTTTAACACTGAGGAGCTCAGCTTCCTTGTGAGGATCAACCAAAACGCAACAACACTCTAATTTTTTAATGACGCCCTTGTTTTTTCTGAATTTACACCATTTGTCTTTTGAAAGGATTGTGGACTAATTCAACATAGAAACTTGTAGGATTGCCATGATGCTTTGTAGTAAGATATGTGACCAATTCTTTGTACATGATGCGTAGATTCACACCAACAGTTGTCAACTCCGTCAATTAAGACGGTTCGTAACGGGTCAATTAGGATAGAGCTGTGAACTATTTCCCATCATCAACGCCTCTTCCAAACCTCCCTCCTAGTCCGCCTATATCTCTACGGAAAAACTTGCCGATATTTTTCAAGTTTTCATTCAGATTCGTCGCGTTGAGTCCAGCTGCAGCCAACCCCCCTTCAATCCCATCACTGGATCCCATCACATCTCCAAGGGGGGGAGTTCCCATCCTCCCGTTGACCCCGATGGTCGGGCTGGCCCCTAGGGTTCCGAGTCCTGGAGTGCCTAATCTATCTACTCCGTCACGAGCTGCTGATATGAGCGCCGAGCCTAGCATGGATGCATCGAATCTCGTACTTGCTCCTAGGGACGAGCCTGGAGCTGTAGCAAGGGTACTCAGCCCCAGGCCTTGGGGGGCGGCTATGGACTGGGAGGGTATAGGGGTTTGTGTTTGTAGTTGGGCGATCAACGGGCTACTCGCCTGTAAACTTGAGGCATAGCGATCGGACGCTTTATGAATTTGAAATAACTCAAGTAGTCGATTCTGTTCCCCTTTCCCACGAATACCTTTTATATCAAGGATTTTGCGGAAGTTATTGTCGTTTTTGTCGGCGATGTGAATAAGGTATGCCTGTACAAGGGCTTCCGCAGGCGAAGCTCGAACCTGCAGGGTTTTCAGGAGCGTGTCTACTTTTTGAAATGTAGTGTTGAGACGTTTTGTGAATCCAGGAGGGGCAGGGTCGAGAAGAGTAGATAGCCCGTTTTTCAATGAATAGCCATCAAGCAGCATCTGGGGTATTAACCGTTAGTATTCTAGCATAGAGTATGGAAAAGGGCAAGCCAGACCTGCTCAGCGCCAGTCTCAGAAACCGGCCTACACTGGTAGATATTAGACGCAAATGTGCTGGAGATATATTCGATGACGTGATCTGCAAATGTTCGGGCGTATTGTTGCTTGTGAAGCATGTTCAATATTTCTGCGGACTTCGCTTTGCATTTTGTTAACAACAACTCGACATAGGAATTCTCGTCGCCGACGCTGTCAAGCTTGTTCCATGAAATATTCCGCATTTCTTTCCAGGTGGAATCCAACTCCAATTCAACTTTGCGGACGAGGATACGAACAACGGCGCCGGCAATACCCATGAATGAATTCGCTTGGCTTTGGAGATCAATAGCCTGCTTGAAATTATCGTCGATGCGACCCTTAATCTTCTCCTCTAGTTGATTGCAAGTCGAATAACAGTAATCCGCAGTATTCAACACCATTATTAGTTCTTCCTGGGACGGCACTTGTCCCGCAGTTCGCTCGCTGATATGATACAGCAAGACCTGTTGTGCATATTGGTCTAAATATTTCCCGAAAACTTTTGATAACTCCGATAAACTGTCCCCGGTAGATAATTTAGCGCATTGCGCCAAAGAATGGCGATAGAATGTGAAGAGATCCGTAGATGATTGAATTACAAGTTGCGAAGAGAAGTCCTCGTCTTTAGGCTTAATGGGCTGTTGTCGGTACTTTAGAATCAATGAAGCGAGTTGTTTATCTTGTGCCTCAACCCAAATACCCAGGTAAGGGGTGAAGGCTTCGGATATGGATTGGGAGAAAGCAGGAGATTCACTGGAGGTAAAGGTATCAATAGATGCGCGGGAGGTTGGAGCAAAATGTCGGTCAAGGGAATGCTCGAAATCAAGTGTCTCTTGTAGACAGGATAGTAGAAGGTTCACATCCAGACTCTGGCCACTGCGCACTGAGCGGGATAGTATCCCCTTGAAGTCTTCTCGAGTTCCTTCACAAAAGACGTTCGTCAAAGTCTCACCAACCTTCCAAGATGTCGGAAATATGGCTGAATGTTCTTCCTCATAAGTTTTCAACATTCTTCGGAACCAAGAATACCTTCTTGATATGTTATCTAGAGAGCCTGCCTCTTCATTTCCTCTAAACACTTGTCTATACTCCCTCAGTTGAGTATTGCAGTACCAAGTGATAAGCCTCGATTTCGCTACATCCCCTAATGCATCCATCACAGAGCATCCCTCTGATAAAACATTCTTCCTTTGGGAAATTTCCCCTTTTGTAAAGATGAGCTCAAAGTCCTCGCACACTTGTTCCAGCAGTTCTCTTTGTATATCTGCCACATTACGACTCAAAGAAGCAATCTGATCAATCGAACGGTACGATTTGAAATGGTACATCAGCTGGATAACCGCTTGCAACAATTGTGCACAGTCTCTATATTGCCTTGACTTACTAAGGGCCTTTAGTTGCTCATACGCGGTGGTCAGCATCTGCAGCCTCTTAAGTGTGGTCATTGACAGTGTAAGGTTCTTTTTCGCATTATCCAATTGTTTTATATCCGCAGTCATCTCGGTGATAGCGCGCTCAGTCTTTAAAGCCCTTTCGCGTACGTCGTCGATCTTTTTGAAGAGTTCTGCCATATCTGCCTTGGCAGTTTGAATTCGCTCAACGCTTGCCTTATTTGACGCTGCCTGAGCCTCGGTAAGGGCTGCGATATCCCGGTCAAGGCCATCTTGGTAGTCTCGGAGAGCGTAGGAAGTCTTAGAAACCGAAGCGAGGGTGGAGGGATGGGGAAATATCTCGTTTAGATGGTCGATTGGATCATAGTCGGCTACTCTGTGTTAAACCCGCAATTAACCTCCCTCTGAAATAAATCTAGGACTTACCACCATCCAGTGGATCTTCGGGTTGGGCGTTTGCTGGCATGAGTGTGGTTTGTGGGCATTCAGCGGAGCTTGACGGGGCGTTGGAATGCGCCTCTCACATCCTGTAGCAGGCCGGAAAGCGGTTTCCGACAAAGGAAATGTAATTTCACAACGGGATACAGATCAGTAACCGAGCCTTCGTGGCTAAGAGAAGTTCTAGATTGATATTCTTAAGATATGGTACCAATAGGTGTAAGTACTCTTTAGTAACTATCGAAGCTTATAGCCGCCAAGCCTTACTCGCCTCTACTGGCCAAAAGTAAGGATCGCTCCGCCATATGCTTTTTTGCTCGTCCTTTATGTGTACTGTACTTGGAATATTCAAAGACTAAATTTATCTACCTCCCCACGAGAGATCCCCTTCATAGCCCACGTCAAGGAAAACCTGCAGGAGCGGTGTGAAGCATGGGTGAACATGAAATCCATCATTATTTACTTAATACACAAAAGAAAAGGACAAGAAAACATCAGATGAATACAAAAAAGTGCAGGTAACCGAAAGGAAATCTTAAACCTGGACTGCGGCCTACATATTTTGATTGGCTGATAGGCTTGTTGCCAGATGGACATGTGCACGGCTGGATAAATTCCTGGTCAACCCAAAGGAGTATACCTGGTGGAAATGGATAAAGATTTTTCAACATTTTCTTGCCCATTTGAAAATAACTTGAGTTAAATAATTTGTGAGATCTCGCCAAAATTACGCACCCAGGCTTGGGTGACTGCTAAGGCGCAAAATTTTCTTTTAATCCAATACTTGTCGTTTGATTAACTTCAGCTGGCAAAGTTTCAACGTATAGAGTCAAGACGTCCAGCTGTCTTGGCTTCCTTCACTTGCTCGAAGACCTGAAAGAACATTAGAATAAAGTAAATTGAAAATATATAAAACAATCCAACTTACTTTCAGCATCTTATTTCTTGCGCCAAGCGCATTTACTCCGCGTGACTCCAAAGCTTTGTCATCAAGCTCGATCAGTTCAGTCCATTTCAGGTCTTTAAGATTATCTGTATATTTATGCAAGCGTAGAGAACGAAGCCAGGCAGGGATATCTTGAAGCAACTTCATATCCGTGGGGTCTTCTGGGGGTTTCGAACTTCCCCGTCGGCCGCGTGGCGAACGGCCACGATTTATTTCAGAGTGGTCGGAGAGGTATCCTTCATGACTTCCAGCGCCAGGGAGGCCCATACTAAGTCCGCCAAAGCTATTGCCTAAAAGGGTATTTGTATCGTAAGCGGCTAGAAACCCATTATTCTGGGGTGAAGTGAAGTTCATATGCCCCAACGAAGCACCCTGCATGGCCATTCCCGGTGAATTCGGACGGGATCGACGCCCAGCCAATGCGACTGCTTGTTGTTGTGCTTGCAGGGCTGCAATTTGCTGTGCATTAAGAATTTGACCTGCATCGTTTACCATAATTACATTCGTTCCTGGGATTGTCTGATTTGGAAGGCCGGGAGAAAGCGGCCCTTGCCCGGTTGTCTTTTGTGCATCATTTGACCGAGCACGACGATATTTTCGAGCGTCATCTAAAGCAATTCTGTTGTTGACGGTGGAAAGAGCGGCGAGTTTCATGGCAGTTGCATTTGCGACCATGTCTGCTTGTGTCTGACTATTTTGCTGATTAAATGATGGAACCATGGGAGTGCTACTCATCGAAGCCCAGCTAGCGTTGCCTAGATTATATGGAGAGAGAAGCGGGGGGTCCTGAGTAATTTCAGGGGCTGCAATGGTAGTATTCTGTATACTAGAGGAAGCACTCTGGTTCAGAGAAAGCGGGGAGCGCACCGAAGAGTGTGTTTGGGAAAATTGGCCCATTGGCTGTTGTCCACTTGATGATTTTGGTCGTGCAATAGGGGCCTGTGGTTCGTGCGTACGCTGTGGCCAAGGAGAAGTTGGGGGCTGCGGCAAGACATCTTTGCAATCAGGAGTAGAAATGGTGGGAGTAACTAGAGCCGTTCGTTCGCCGAACACAGCACTGTTCCGGTTTGATCCTGCAATATTGCCTGTTTGCTGAGTGAATTCTGCCTTCTTTTTGGCAATTGCGGCGGCAGCATCGGGAAACATAGCATTAATAGTAGATGAATCGAGTCCAGAGTTACGTTTATTTCCAGGTGAAGGTGGCGGACGGCCCATTGAGTTACGAGATGGTTCCACATTCAATTTGGCCATGGCATCGCTCAGGCGGTTTGACATGGGATCTGAAGGGATTATATGTCAGATAACACTCTTGTAGCAGAAATTTTGTTTCTGTAACCAACCTTTTTCGCCAAAATTAGCAGGTGACAAGACGCTAGACATAGGATGACTTTGCGACATCTGCTGTAGCACTTGAATAAAGAAGCGAATTTGAACCTGAGTTGTCTGTTGAAGCAGAGCGTAAAGAGCAGCCGTACGTTCAGCTTCGCTCAAGACACGAAACCACTGCTCAATGGCACTCAGCTCATCCTTAAAGTCCTGATCCAGCGTGGCAGCTGCCATCTCTTCAAGTGTGGTCTCATACTGATCAATATCGGCAATCCACTGCTGCGCCGCCCGATCCAACGCATCCTCAGTGTTGTTTTGCCCCTGGGATTGTTGGTTAAAGTACACCTCGGAAGAAGGGCGGATATTTCGACCCGCAAGAGGGGAGGAGAAACCTGACATATCTGCGGAGGCACGGAGCTGATGAGAACCACCGAGCGTGCGAGATGAGGACGGAGGGCGAAGAGTAGACTTGGAGGCCTCTGGAGTACTATTCCTGTTCCCAATGATATGGCTAGCCATGGCTGAAAGAACGGCTTGAGGATGGTTGAGAAACACAGAGGTGTCGGAAATATGGGGCAAAGCTCCTGCAGCACGGCTGAGTTTGCGTATAAAATGGACGGCCCGGCACCTAAATCGCCCCACTGATTACGCACAATAGAGAATGATCAGTTAATCTCGAGGAGGACAGAGAGGGTATCCAATACCCAGTCTGAATCGATCGAATAAGTTCTTATTGGGCAAAGCTGATGAGCGAGCGGCCAGTCCAGCGGCTATATTAATTAGGGTAGTTAAAGATTGAAGAGGGATAAATCACAAAGATATAAGTAACAGAATGTCGGCAAGGGGGAAGCATATATGATAACAGCCTTCCTCGTTCTAGGGCAACGATCGGACGAAGCGCTGCAGTGTCTCAAACACGGCAGGGCCTCAGCGCCACCAAAAACGGTGGACGGGTTTCCGATGATGGGTGAACGGGAGGGTGAGGCTGGACGGAGCGGACAAGTCACGACGAGCACGGCGAAGATGGCCAGGACATCAACGAAGCGAGGGAGAGAGGGAAGAGGCGAAACGGACGGGAGGGGAGGTGCTGGGGTCGTTGGGTGTTGGCGCACTGGAGCTGATCTCAATATTTTCCGAGTTCCAGCCCAAGGCTGGCTGACTCAGCGCCTGGCGGAAGGAAGAAAGACAAGCGACGAGGGCCTACGGCTGTTAGGCGAAGGGGCGGCCTAAGAATAGATTTCAATAGTCGACTCGGATGCTGGCTATTTGTCGCTAGGCAGAGGATCCCCGCGAACAAGTGGAGATGCGCAGATATTCCCAACCGAGGACGCGCAACTTGAGCGCACGGCGCCCGTCACCTTGAGAAGGCCAGCCAACAGCCCAGTTACAGAAGGGAAGCCGACGGCGCGTTATTGCCCTTCGGTTTCTGTACTCTCTGGGTATACCCACACTTAACCATGCAATAACTACTGCAAACGGAGGAATATAGCCAGCTAGGCTCAACGGCCCGGTTCTCGCCGGTAGCTCGGCCGCCATTTTTACGCGGCATCTGCAACTCGAATCTTAGACGCAGGGGGGCAGGATGCCGCCGCGAAGATGGATCGGAGCCTAGCGTGGCATTCAAGGTGACTTCGACAACACACCCGCTCCTTTTCTCCTTTTTAATCCTTCGTCTGCCTTCCCCTGGATCGATGAATCTGATGTTGAACGCCCTGGAAAGGTCGAGGGCATGGATGACTAAGCCAGAGCTTAGACTGGCTTCCAATAGCTCCAGAATAGGAAATGAGAACAACGACAGAGCTCGCTTCGGCCGCCGGCCTAATGTTGAAATTCGTCATCGCGGACGAGCACGGCTTCTGACTTTGTGTGATCATATCAGGCTCTTTTGAGCCGTTTTTGAGCTGGATGCCATGCGCATAGCACAAATCCAAGCCAAGCAATTTCGCCACATTTTCCAGTCACATAGCCAGAGCAACGGCGGGGATTTCGCTGTCATACTAATAAAAGGTCCAACCTTCGTACGTAGAAATGGATGTTGATATACCATCAGACCAATGGGATAGCGAGGGACTGAGTGATGACAATGGATATGACGAATTCGGACGTCTAAAGCGCTCCAGCAATTTTGACGCACATACCATCGTGGAAGCTGGCTACCAATCGTCTACCGGAGACTCTTCGTAAGCCCTATCGGAAACGTTTCCCGACATACGCAGGAAGAACTGATACGGGCCACAGGGATTCCGAACACTATGAGGCGAACCAGTTCATTGATGATGAGGCTGTTCTCTCGTCCATCAATCGATCTAATAGAAGGTCGGCTGCCAGGAAAGGAAAGAACATCAGACGCGGCCCAAGGAAGCCGGTGGAGCCGAGTGTAGAATTCAAGGACCTACATTCAGCCGCTACTTTGGCTTTTATTGATACCGACTATGACCGTGCCATTGTGCTCGTGAAACAAGCAATTCAGATAAACCCTGAAATGTTTGTGGCGCATTCCTTACTTTCTGAAATTTTTCTAGCCCAAGGTCACAAGAGCAAAGCACTGGCTGCCCTGTTTAGCGGTGCTCATACCAGGCCCAAGGATCCAGCGGTATGGTTAAAAGTTGCGAAAATGATTTCAGAGCATGCCGGGGATGATAAAACGGCGGCATTACAAGATATGGTCTACTGCTACAGTCGCGTGATCGAGATTGAACCGAAAAACTATGGTATGCGTTTCGAGAGAGCTTCGTTGTATCGTCAATTGAATCACAACGGAAGAGCTATTCAAGAATATGAAAAGCTTCTAAAAGATGTTCCCCATAACACACCTGCATTGCGACAACTTGCCGAAGCTTACATAGATTTAAATGATGTTGAAAGAGCAAAGACACTGTACGATGAAAGCATTTCTTACTATTCATCCCTCCCCCTGGAAAATGCAACCGATTTCGACTGGTCGGATGTCAACATTTATGTAGAGCTGTTTGGATACCAGAAGGACTTTTGGGGAGGCTTGCGCGCTCTGAGGTCTCTCTCACGATGGCTACTTGGGCGAAAGGATGAAACAGAATGGGATTTACTATGGGAAGATGATCGTGAATGGGATGCCGAGGATCATCCTCGCCGCATCGATACACGTTGGTTTACCCCTTGTAAATACCCCTTAGAATTGTACGGTCTTGGGCTCCCCCTCGAACTTCGGGTGAAACTCGGGATCTACCGATTAAAAATGGGGGTTGAATTTAGGGACGAGGCATTGGTAGGTTAGATACGACAATAAAGGCCTCCTCATGCTAACGAACTTCCTATAGACCCACTTCATGTGGTTACAACCGGAAGAAACGGGCCCAGGCTCCAAGTTATATGACTATGGAGACCTTTTTCGCGAGGCTGCAGACGCCTTGAAAGACGCGGGGTTCCATGCAGACGCCCTCCTGTTCTACTACCCTCTCCAATACACCCAAGAATTTGCCGATACTAGCCTTTTTATGGCTATGGCGGAATGCTACATGGCTTCCCATGACGACGCTGCGACTGAGAGTTGTCTTCTAACAGTAGCAGAATACGACCCAATGAATATTGAAGCAAGGGCAAAACTCGCAAAATTTTACGAGCGCTGCAACATGATGGACCAGGCGCTGAAATACGTTACTGAGGCCATAGAGCTCGGGAGACAGGAATCAATACCGATCCGGAAACGGAGGGGAAATCCTAGTTCTCGGATAGAACACCTCGTTAAGGAATTTCGTTCTCTTGAATCTGGTGTCACTGATCAAGGTATAGGGCCAGAGAACCTATTATTATCAGAATATGGCGGGATTGGCTCTCTATATTCTACTGGGCAAGCCGGGCTTCCAAATTCAACGGAACGCGGCTTCAACAATAAAGTAACACCGAGCTCGGAGCACGTGCGTTATTTATATCAAAAGCTGTTGGAATTTCAGCCTAGTATGAGAGCTGGGGGTGAAGAAGAAACAGAAGATTGGCTAGATATTGCTGATGCACTGCTGAGGAATTTTCGTTCAAATCGACTTTTCTTTCCTCTTCAGAAACAGGAGGTGTTTACAGGGTATTCCAGAATTTCTCAAAGTAACCCTGAAGGACTAAAGGGGGCAGATATAATGGATGAAATATATGAAATGGCAGGTCGTATCCAGGCTGCAACAGGTAACTATCTACATTCACAATCACCTCTATTCAAGCTAACTGTTCTCTTGTAGGCACCGCTGAACTTGACCCAGAATTAATACCTACAGACTACCATGGTATTGCCTTTGATGCTTGGCTTGACATATTTCTCGAATACTCGCTCGTTCTTGCTGGCCAAGGCAGCGCAGAAGAAGCGTTTGATTCTCTGTCGGCTGCGGCTCATGCAAATGTTTGGTATTATTCAAAGCCATCTACCCGTCAAATTTACGTTTGTTGGTTTAGTGAGTATTTCTTCGGTCTGTTGACCTATATGAGTATCAAATTTAATACTTCTGTAGCTTGCGCAATTCGACTTCAGGATGAAGAAGTTTTAGCAACGGTTGCTCGGTGGTTTATGAAGGAGTATCAATTTGTTACTGATACATATCGACTCTTCGCGACTTTAAGCCGGTTATGTGGTGACCCTCGAAAATCTCTATTTCACTCTTCTCCAAGCATGAAATTTATGCTTCGCCAGGTTAAGGCGATTGACTATACCATTCCTGAAGATAATTCGACTCCAAAGGCTGATCGCCCACTGCCTACTTTTTTCGCCGAACGAGCAAGCTTATCAACAAAGGACGAGTTTGGTAACCCAATGGCCGCTGAAGAAATGGACGTAGCCCTGCTTGTGTTGTATGGCCATATTCTATATGCCGGAAACAGCTTCACCAACGCCCTTAACTACTTTTTCCGCGCCTATGCACTTGACCCAGACAATCCCGCTGTTTTATTATCAATCGCCCTTAGTTATATACACCATTCCCTTAAGCGCCAGTCTGACAACCGACACTATCTCATTATGCAGGGATTGTCGTTCATGCAGGAGTACCAGAAAATTAGAAGTTTAAGTAGCGTTCCTCAAGAAAGACAAGAAGTGGAGTTCAATTTCGCACGAATATGGTACATGCTGGGTTTAGCACATCTGGCCATTGAAGGCTTTGAGAGATGTCTGAGTTTAAGCGAAGAGGTACAGGCTGAAAACACGAAACAGAAATTGCTGCGTAAACACGATAGAGATAATGGTATCCATGTCTACGGGGAAGACTACACTCGTGAGGCGGCATATGCATTACAGTGCCTCTATACCTTCGGTGGGAATACAGAGATGGCTACAAAGGTTACGGAAAAATGGCTGGTTCTCTGACTTTGTTTGCTTAGGGTTCTGCATGTTTTGGCGTTGGATTTTTTTCTTATTCTTTGGGCAGCTTTGGTCATATTTATAAGCATAGCATTTTCTTCTAGCCCTATTTTCATATACCAACGAATATGTATACACAATTTTTCTTACTTGGAAGCCCTAAACTACTTTATGCATGTATATATGCACTTTGTATAGAGCGTCTATTTTGTCTAGGGCTACTAATTGCCATAGCCAGTAAGGTCCACTTGTGATTATATATTGAACAACCAGTAAAGCAACTGACACCATTCCTATGCATGCATTCCAACCCCGGTGAACACCAATATACTGAAAAAAAAGGAGGGATAGTCCAAAAACAACGATATTAGAATTGAAATTGGAACATCTCATTTCGCCAGAGAGACCACGCCTTGAGGATATCATTCAAAATACTTAAAATATGGAGCTTAGAGGAAAAGCAAGCACAGCTATCTCATGATACCGCTAGAATCATCTTTGTAAGAAAGAATATGTTCGTCCTCACTCGGCGCAGTATCATCAGTATCATCAAAAAATACAGCATACTGGCGCCTGAGCTCTTCCATCACACTATTCCGCCGTTTCCCAGCCGGGCGACGTCCTGCTGAGTCAGATCCTTCTTTCCCCTGTAAATCAGCTAAAAGATCCACAGAGCTGCCATCGACATACGTCTCGGTGGACGAAATGCGGTCATTCAGCGAGCGAACGGGTATATGTTTCCGCCTCGAGCCGCCTGCCCATTCTGGATCTTTCATCAGTCCTTCCGCAATGACTCTTTCTAATTTCATCCGATTGTGGATGAACTTGATTTTTGGGAACGCGCTTTGCTGGCCTTCGCTCAGCATTCGGGCTAGCCGTGATACGCTGGGGTCAGACAGAATGTAGTATAGATCTGATATGACGGTTTTTGGCCAGATGGTAACTGTGCCACTAAATCGCTGGAGCCATATCTCACTCCAATCTTGTCCAAGTGGACGAGGAAGGAGTTCCAGATGACGTAGGACTTTGAGCCATTTGTTAAGATCCAGCTTGATGTATTGTTCTACGGCGGAGCCGAGGAAACCGCCACGCCAGCCTCGCCCCTTTCGGTGGGAAACGGGCCGGCCCACAGAGCCACGGGAGCTGAAGAAGAAAAAACTGATATGTGGGTTTACCTGTATCCTGGTTAGCATCATTTCAAGACTTTGATGGAGGCGTGAAAAACCGACTTGTGAAACGATAGGAAAGCTAGCGTTGAAGTGAACATCCAATGCTTTAAGCGGAATATCTGTGCGAAGGCTTCCATCTTTCCACTTATGTCCAAAGGAGTACGCGGCAAGTGTGCCATCTGGTTTCTTCTTCATCAATACGACCGGGTGTAGAATTCCAGGAACAGCCGCAGAAGCAAGAACTGCACTCCAAATGACGCAGTCAGGTGAAGTGAGATAGTTTGCTAATATTGTCGGTGAATGAGGATCTGAGGGGACACAGGAGACGTTAAGCACCCGACCCGTCCGCTCATACGCCTCACGAAAGGTAGTAGAGCCTCGACAAAACCAGCTACAGTCTTCAGCCCAGTCCATAACATCGAAACGTGCCCCAGTTCTCCACCAGCGTCTTAACCATGTCGGTATCCCATCACGACAAGCTTTAATTTTATGTGCCAATTCTGGTACCAGAAGCCGTTTGAGCTCTTCGTTGGTCCTGGTTGCAACTAGTGCTGCGATAAGTGCACCCCCTGAAGTCCCTGAGATGATATCTGGAAGTATATCGTTGTCAAGGAGGGCCTTGATAACGCCGAAATGATAATAAGCAAGTGTGGCACCGCCTGATAGGCATAGGACGGTACGGCCAAAATTTGTATCTAGATGTCTGAAGAGAATTCGTTTTCTTTCATCTGGTAGTTCCTTGGTCTCCAAAGCCAGCTGTAGCGATACCTGTGCCTTATCGATAAATTCTTGTACTAAATTCTTGGTTCCGTAGTACGTTTCGCTGTAAAGCCGTGGATTTTCAATCCCAGAGAAGTTAGTCTTGATGCACCCTTCTAGGAGGATACAGAGCTCTTCGGCTGCGAGTGCTTTCTCATCAGCATCACCGTTCTTAATCTTTTCCTGAAGCTGCTTCATCTGCCCAAGCACCTTGTTAACAGTGGAGTGGTCGTAGTACGCATATGCATCGTTCTCTTTCCACTTGTCATTGCCCAAGTATGTGTCCAGCGCCTTCGCCGCGTGTTTCCACTGCTTATATGTATTTGTCAAACGAAGGGCCCTTCTTAGTCTTTGTCTTTCTCCTGTCCAAGCAAAAAGCTGCTCATAGAGCCAAATATACAGACGGGTGAGTAGGTAAAGTATGCCGAGTATGATGATCCAGAACATAATGAAGAGTAGAAAGGGCCATTTTAAGAGAGTGTAAACGAAGCCTTCTCTCGTTTCATCTTTAGTCCTGCGAGGCGCCCTGCGCGTTTTCCCAGATTTCCTTACTCGCTGATGTATCGGTCTCCAGTCGTTTATTGCAACGAGAGATAAAGCTTCAGGCGCGTTAAGGGCTTTCTCGAACTCTCGGAGATCGCTATCGTCGATGAAGCGATTGTGAAAATCGGGGAGACCATAGTCTTCTTCATAATCTTCGTCCAATGCAGATTCAGCTTTCTGCTCTCCTCTCGATGATAAGTTTGCCATGCTGCTCTATGGTCATCGCATTCGCTCAACGAAGCCTATCGCGAAGCTTGATTGTTGGGACAACCAAATGACGCCATGATGACAAAGAAGCAACTCCGGCAATACAGTTAATCCGAATATTTCCGTTAGATCTTGGCATTATGCACGTCGCCAGTTTTGGATAGCCGGCTCAACACAGCTCTACGTGCCCTCGACGACATCGCAAGTCACAAACGGTCCAGCAACGCACTTTGCGAAGCATCGCGGACATTTCTTTCTAGAATCTCGAACAGCCCGAAGCTCAATAATAATTCGAGGGGAGAAAGTGACTGGTTTCAGTCTTCAACCTCCGACCACCCCGCTTTCCACCTTGGAGGAACACCCTGGCTGAGGCAATGCATCGGGGAAGCTAGGCTTTGTTGCCGAGTTTGGGGATGCAGCAAACCGTGCCGTGTTGCAGTCAAACCACAGCTCCCCCGCCTCTCGTACCACCATGCTTTGCTGCATGGTGTGCACTGACTTCCTACTTGACTGGGGGGTTTCATCCTCTTTGTCAAGAAATAGCGTTGAGCGCAAGAACCGCATATGGGAAGAAAACACGCCATCGTCTCACATATTATAATTCTCTATGGGAATATTGTCCCTGTACTCTGTATTAACCATTATACTAGCCGGAAGCCTTGTCCCGCCTTTTTGGCGCGACTGATGAAACTTGAAGCGATAAATGCTGGAACTAGCTGTCAGCGTGTGTCGAAATTGAACGTGTTCCTGATACGAAGCCATTTTTTCTACGTTGTTTTGTATCGAATCATTCTCCGCTTTTGCCGATGGCCCTGCAGTTTCACTTACGAAACATTCTGCTCTCTCAACGGCAATAAAAAACCACTCAACCAAGGCCGAGGTGTCCTCATGGATTTAGATCGACAACGTGCCTACATGGTGCGTTGAGCGGAGCACATACATTTGTTATTGAGTTCTGCTACAGCGCACGGACCTTAGGGTGCCATATCTCGATCTTAAAATTGGGAGTTATTTTTTCGAGCATGGACCCAAAGCGGCCACATATGAGCTGGGCTGTTATTGATACTTACAGGCCGACCCTTCGTTGAATACCAGGTCCAACTGAGGTTTTGGAACACCGGCCTTCAAGCTTCAAAACAGCCGATTCATGCAATGCAATTAGCCGCCAAGCCTTGGGGCATGTCTTTCGCCAAGACAAGCCAATCATGTAGCGCGATAGCCGCACACGACTGAAGATGGCGATGCTACCAGCCTCTATCCGGCGGTGCTGAACTTTTTAATGCTGAGTGATCACGCATCATACAAAACAGCATGTTGTGTGTTGTAACCCTTCTCATGCTGTCTTCCATGATTTTTTTTTCTTTTCGTGGCGGCCGAGGGAAGTCTGTATACTGTCGGGAGCTAATAGCCCGCCTTTCTGCAGCGCTCGTCGTCAAATGCCGGCCAATCATTCGTGGGATATGACGAAAGAAGAGATCCTCCTTCCCCGCAATCCACTAGCATCAGTCTTGATTTGATACCAAGATTGTTTGCCTCACTTCTTTTTATGCGCATCCTACAGGTCCTCTAAGAGTCCCATATCGTTTAGCGCTGCAGTTTTATCTCAAGGAGTATTATAGATGCTGCGAATTTTAGAAAACTTCCAAAAATCCAGCGAGGGCAGGTCTAACTTGATACCATGTATCTGCCTCTTGGCCACAATGTGTTCTATGGGTTTCGACTGGCACGGCCTGCCGTACCTTTGATAATTTCGGAAGCATGTTGTGATGTGAACGGGTCGGCTATGTTCCGACAACATGACTGGCATTAGTGGGGCCGCCCCCCATAATGGAAATGGATCGCTTTCTGGTCCTTGTTGCGGTGTAGAAGCAAGGTGCGCCCGTTCGGAGTGATCGGGGGTCATTCGGTTGTTTTTCAAGAATGACTTCAGCCTTGAACGTGCAAAGTATTATTATTCAAGAATGAACAATGCAGCAAGCACTCCATAGTGACGTTGCAAAGTGGTTCTCCAGGTCCACATCGAAGCGATGACCATCCACTTCATCATGGGGCATTGCTTATTTCTCCATTTGAAATATCATCAAAGCCTGAATTCCCTGCTTTTCTGATCACGCAAACATATTTTGACATCGAGGCTGACGGGAATGACAAGTGGCTAGCAACTAGGGCCATAAAGCCCACTTTCAAGACGGCTGAGGTGGCCTTGGCTTTGAAGTATGGGACAATAGAAAGTTCCAAAGTAATGGGCGTAGTTTTGCGATTAGTTTGTTGACTAACATGGAACCCGATGGCAAAAAATAAAATAAGGTGGCAGGTTCATTGTGCCGAATGACCGCTTTCTCGGGAGAAAGCGGGCCTTGAGCCGAGAAAACAGATAAACAACCAGTGACTGTCTACATGCAAAAAAGGTCCTATACTCGTATTACTCACGACGGGAAGCAAAGTAACAACAAAGTGGGACAAGATCTTTTTAGCTATTTTATCATGAGCATTATGAACGGAATATTTTTTTTCTAGGTAGTAGAAAGGTAAACCCAACTCGTTGCGGTTCCTATACTTCGCCAAAGTTTTGGGAGCCACACACGGCCGGAAAAAAGAAGAATAATAATGAAGTATGGGGCTTGAAACACTAAAATTTGGCTTAGAGATCTGCACGGACCCGAGATAGCCATGCTTTTCTATCAAGATATCATGTACGGAGTACTCCGTATAGATCCAAAGAAAACAGGACTTCCCAAAGGAAAGCCACCGATACGGCGATAGGGGAAGAGGGTGCCATCGTTCTTCGCTTTGATCCCACGAATGAACGACCAAGGTAGCACCATTGCTGCAAAATAGAATGGGCTAAAAATTAAGAATATACATGATAGGTAAGTAGAAGAGAGCGTCAAAAACGGCGGTGAAGAAGTAGTGCTTGCCCGTCAAGATTACGATTTATTCTTAGTTCCCCCGCCCTCCTTCGTGAGGCCTTGCAGACGACGAAGGATTCCCGCAAGTGACATGGAGGGGCAAATAATCATAATGGGGAAACATTCATCAGCAGCGCGCGCGCGCGGAGACGTCATCTTCAAGGTGTGGAGCGCCAAAAGACTTGACAGTTGACAGATTGACAGGAATTGTAGTTTAGAGATGCTGGTCATGCCGCTTCACGGCCAACCACCGTGTGTACTCTGCCCGGCCGAGTGACCGCCGCCCCACTCAGTGCCGGGACATCGCAAGAGGGATCGGGGCTTACGAGCGCCCGTACATGACTCTGCATGGAAGCCTGTGGCCGCTTCAAGAAGTACATCTGCGCGAGGCCCAATGATATCGTCGGGAGGCAGAGGCTGGGAGGCTGCTCCTCCCGATGGCTGGCGCAGTCGCATGGCGAGGAAGGGGGGGGGGGGGGGGGGGGGGGGGGGGGGGGGGGGGGGGGGGGGGGGGGGGGGGGGGGGGGGGGGGGGGGGGGGGGGGGGGGGGGGGGGGGGGGGGGGGGGGGGGGGGGGGGGGGGGGGCGTCCGCGCGAGCGAGGGAGGTCATCTGTTGCGCGTTGCTGGTGCGCACAGGGTTCAGCTAGGAGGGCTTAAGCGTGGCTCAACATGCAGCTAATGCCGGCGTGCTGGCGGATGGGCCATTCACGCGGCGGAAGAGGGCGACGAAAAGGTCTTGGGCCACCAGGGTTGACCCATGTTCGGCGCGCGGCGGGCGTTGAATGCATGCTGATTATTGTGCGGATGGCGACATCGATGGGCGGCGGTGGGTGGGTGGTCATGTAGCGACAAATCGCAGCCGCGTATTGGACGCAAGAGTAGTTTACCTACGGCGGACGGAGTCTTGAAATGACTGATTTGATTCTGTCCTGTTCGCCTGACGAGTCGATGCGTTGCCACCAAGACGCTGGTGATCAGGAAACTTGTGGAGATGCGAGCCTTGTGACACCAGCGGCGGGAGCTGTTAGCTAGCTAGTACTCCGTAGTCGTCGTCTATTAGGTGACTGGTTACGCCGTACAACCGGGCTCAGAGCCCTCGCTCCCAATCCGGAGTCTTGTCGCCCGGCTGTGCGCGCTGCCCTCGCCCAGTAGCGGTATTAGTTAGTTACGCCCTCCAGCGGTGTGCGGCATCGGGCGTGGTGTGGTGGAACACACACACACATGCAGGCTCTGCCTCAGCACGAATGAGAGCGGCGGAGCTGGTAGTACCGACCAGGCGCCGTCTCTGCAGAGAGATATGTACACACATACTTACAGCGCTGTGCATTAGTTGGGTTTGCAAAGAGTCGAGAGGGCTGAGAAAAGAGGCTGTCGCGAACAAGTCGCATCTGCAGCCAGGCGAAGGATTCAAAACAATCAATGCTGTGCACCACCGTCCGGGGGCTTGGGGTGCCCGCCCGAAGGTTTAGGGGAGATTAAGCCAGCCGGGCGGCGGCCACGCTCGCTCTGCCCGGGCCCAGCAAAACCCGATCGCTGCGCCAACGCAAGCGACGGACGGTCGGCTGCTGCTGCGGTCCTGAATGCCGGTATCGATCGTGCACGGCAAGTGCTTTAATATACCTGAAATCTGTAGGCGTCTATCTTGACTCTCTGGGAGACGTGCCGTTCAGGCCCTGTTTCAGTACAGGCCAACGTCCCGTGGGTTTAACCCAGGATCAAACTCTCCTGTGTAAAAAAGGCTATTTCGGCTGGTTAGCGATAACGGTTGATGATTCCCCATCGGATCCATGGTCCATGGAAAATGGGCCGTTTCACGCCATCATAACAACAACAACAACAAATACTACAGGTACGGATGGTTCCCGAGGATACGATATGAAAGGAAAAAAAGGGGTCCAGATATCGCGCGGTGGACAATCAACAGTTTCGCCCGGCCGTTTGCGTGTAGTTATCTAGACGACGCGGAGCAAGCTGAACATGGGGGGCCGCGACCTGCTGCGGGCGTGGGAGAAAAAGATTCGAAACATCTCAACTCCCTGCGCGGCGATCAGCAAGCCAGGCGGCACACAACACACTTTTGACGGGCAAGCCCAGCGCCCGCAGATAAATAATAATAATGGCCGACGAGCGTCAGCTTTTCCGGCGAACGCCACGACCCACTCCGCGGTGCACAGGGCGTTCCCTCGACTGCTTCCTGCACGGCAGACGGGCGTGGAGGTCGACGGCACGGCTGCGATCTGATTGATCATAGCGCATTATTGTGTGGTTATTCGAAGCTCGCCCGGTACCGGGAGGTTTGTACTGTACATACATCTGTCGACATACCATACCCTGGGTGTAAGGATCCCCCTTCTGCAGCGCGGGCAATATTGCAAATTGGAATGCGAACGGGGGGTGGCTCTCGTAAAGCTAGTGAGTTAGTTTACTAGTTAGTTAGTAGCAGTTAGTATTATTATAATTGCAGGAAGACGGCCGTCAGCGCAAAGGCAATGCAACCGCGCCTGGCGGTCGAGTAATAACAAACAACCGAAACGGGCGACGCTGAATCAACCGCGCGCGACCAGGGAGTCCATGGCGGGCGTTGGAGGCAGGCTGGCTGGCATGTGGTGGGCGGGTTTGTTTTCCGTGCTGGGAGGCAGAACAGAACGATAACAATAATAATAATAACAATAATAATAAAAGATCCGCTTGTCGAGCGGAGTTTATTCTTAGACGGCGCCCCTTCGTGCCGCTGTCCCTGGCGCTGCGCAACCCACTAGTTTACCTACTCATTCGCCCGCCGGGGTGCCGCCGATGCCTGCGCGGCCAAAAGCAAAAAGCTCGCAGGCTCGGCGGCGCGCAATGCCTCCCCTCCCCTTCCCCCCCCCGTCACGCCCCGAGCAACGCCGCTGAAAATCCCCGCTAGCGAGGGGGCTGCCTCTGCCCCCCCCGGTCGTTAAAATTGATTCTCCTCCTCGCTCGCATCCCTTTCCCTCCTCCTCCTCCTTCTCTTCGCTTCCTCTTCTCGAGTTCACCTGCTGGCGACTCTCCCTCTGTCCGCCATCCTCCTCCTCCTCCTTTTCTTTTTTCTTTTTCTTTTCTTTCTCTGGTCGTTGTGGGCGCGCTTGTCGTTTGCAACACCTCCTCCCCAGGGCCGCTGAAAAGGTGGGCGCATAGCACTGTTTCATTCGTCCTTGCGTGCATATATATAACTATAGCTCTGTCGCGTCCGCTCGAGCTGCCTGCCCGCCTCCACCCCCGCGGCGACAGCTTGTTGGTGCTTCTTGACTCCCCGTCTGCCCGTCTCGCATCCGCCGCGCCGGCCTGCTCTGCGACAGCCGGTGCTGGTCTGAATCGCAGCTGTTGTTGTCTGGGGCGCGCGCCGGTCACACGGCCCCCAGCCTCAGTCAACCGCCGCCTCCACCTGAACACCCAAGTCATGATTACACCCTACATCCACCACTACCTCCATCACACCCTCCCCCCATGTAAGCTCCGGTGGCGTTATGGGCTATAGAAGCTGCCTGCTGCTGCCGCTGTGAACTGTCCTCTTTTGTGTTGTGTTTTCCTGCTAGGGCGTTGGGAGGCGACACAAGGCGCGCGCGTTTTTTTTTTCTCCTCTTCTCAGCTCTACTGACTCTTATTTCTTATCAGGTTGAGTCATAGCCTTGCCGGACGTTTTCCTTCTGCCTAGTGTGACTGGTCGCAGAAGCAGCCTAGGTCTTTTTCTTTTCTTTCCTGTGGTTGCTCGTCCTTCCGCCATGTCGACCTCTGGCGCGGTAGCTTTTTTCTACCACTGATCCCCGCCGTCCCTGCGATTCACTGGAATCGGACGCTCTCGAGTCTGCCCTATCGTCAAGATGGAGAAACTCAATACTGAAGATGGCCAGCTCTTCATCAAGGTGAGTCCAGAGTACCCTGCGCATGTTCTGTTCATGCGCCGTGCATCCTACCATGCAATCGTCAGATGCTCGAACGTAGCTAACCTCTCGGTGCTACTCCACGCAGAATCTCGCCAGATTTGTTCGCACCCATGAAAAGGCATTGGCAAATGCTCTTCAGATGAGGCGTCAAGCCTCGAAGAGTATTGACTCTGCTACTTCTATCCCTACCGCCAACCGTCATGGCTCGTCCGGCCGTTCCGCTACGTCCTCCTCCCTGGCTGCCGTTTTCTCGTTGGGATCCTTGAGTTTTACATCGCATAATATAAAGCCAGCGAAACTGACGCTTACCCCCCACCACGTTTTCTACCTCTTGTCCCGCTTCGAGGAACTGTCTGTCCCCGTAGGCCCCATGAACATTCGCCTGGAGAATATCAACACCGAGGCTTCTTCGGCCTACGTCTCGTTCTTAGACAAGCCGCGTAAACCAAAAGGTGACCGGGACTCCATACATTCTGTTTCTAGCGTTCGCAGCGTTCTCTCTGGCATGAGCGTTTTCTGGTCTTCGTTCGGCCTCCCAACCAAGGACTCCATCTCAAAATCAGAAAAGGCGAGAGTGGCGATCGAAAACGATCTTAAGTACTTATACTCTGCCTTCACCAAGATTCCCTGTCTAAGGCTTGCTCCGGATCACCGCGCTCGCTTAATCCGTGGATACGAGGAGTTTCCTTTTGACACCGCCGTCCCCCTCCATGCGTTCAAGAACCTGGGCTCTTTGGAAGTAATCGATGTCGATTTCCGCTCCTTCTTTGGCTGGGACCGTTTGGCTGAACAACTAAGGACGTTGACCCTGAAACGTGCTAATATTGAAGATATTGGCGATTTGTTGACGGGTATTGTTCTGGATGACATTGATAAGCGGAGACGCAGGTCTGCGAGAGTTCCCCAATCCCCCCTCAACAGCCTAGCTTCAAGTTCATTCATCCAACCGGAACTCGTCAAGGCCTCCTCCGCACCCGGATCTCCCGTTACCGGCCATAGTTTTGGAAACCGTTCAAGTCCCCAAAGCAGCTCTACGATGCTGAGGGCTGGCTCCTCGGATGGATTCAAACAAGGTTCACCAGGGGCTGCATCGCCTCCTCGGCCGCCTAGCTCGAGGCATCGTCACGCCCGTGGGCCTTCAGTTAAACTTAAGCGTTCTGGCTCTGGAAGCTCTAATTCAAGCGAAGCATCGACTGTATGTCACAGTCGGAGTATGTCCAACTTTCTGACTGTTGGAATGCTGCCCTCTACCAAATGGCGCTTTCTTCGGCACCTGGGCTTGGCTGACAACTCCATCACCACAATCACGGCTGCAAGCTTGGCTCCCGTTGTAAATACTCTGCAGTCGTTGGACTTGTCCTGGAACCTCTTCACCGAAGTACCTGATAGTCTTTCGACATTGGTCGCTCTACGGTCGCTGAACCTGTCCAATTGTATGATAGACTCTTTGCACTCCATTTCACGCAACCCTCTTCCTGCAATCACCGCCTTGAACCTTCGTGCAAATAGGCTGCGGTCTATCGCCGGCGTAGAACGTTTGCTCTCTCTAGAACGCCTCGATCTACGCGAGAACAACATTCCTGACCCTACTGAGATGGCTCGACTGACAGCGATTCCGTACCTTCGTGAAATTTGGGTTGCAGGGAACCCGTTTACAAAGACGCACCCTGACTACAGAATCACCATCTTCAACCTGTTTCGAAAAACTCCCGGGTTTCCAGAGGATATTGTCATTGATGGTTCTGGACCAACGTATTCGGAGAGGAAAAAGCTTGTGGAGAGAGTTGCAGAACCAGAGAGTGCCCCCGTCATTCGCCACAACGAGCCGATAAATCTCCGCAACAATGATATCGTCACTAAGGAGCAAGTTGTCTCTCGGCCTGCTGCTGGAAATGCAGCGGACACCCAGAATGTGAAGACGACGGCTCGCAAGCATGAGCACGCCGGTGGATCTTCTCGACGCAAGAAAGGCCACAGACGGAGGATTGTTGATCTAGCACAGGATGACAGCAGACAGAGCACAGAAATTGTGGAACCCACCACTCCCGCATTCGGCTCCCCCCTCCAGGACCACCAAGGTATACCCTCACGACCAAATCTCCCTCGTCTAAACACAAATACTGCGCCCGGTGCTCCCGTACCACCCCCCAAAATCGTAACCTCTGGTAGTGGAGACAATTTCCTTCCTGTCATCGAAGGTGTGGATTGGGACGGTAGTGGTGACCTCTACCGTCAACGGCTAGAAGCGTTGAAAAACGAAGTCGGTGCAAACTGGTTAACGGTTTTGGACGATGGGACTTGGAACAATAAGCAGAGAGACGTTGGCTTCCACCCACCCGCTGGCTCCGATCTTCACCCGGTCGGACACATTCAGCCGCCCGTGACGAGAGCGACCAGCCAAGTGATTTCCACTGGCGGTCGGGCGTTGGGGTAGGCTCTCTCTCACACGACGTACGATGATACCTCCATTTTCGACGCCTACGGCCACGATTTGCAAGCGTTTTATAACCAAGCAATTGTGCTTTTTGCTTCCATTGGTTGCCTTTTTTTCACACTCTCTCTCCCCCCGCCTCTCTCTCTTCTGGAGTTTTGAAGAACTTTGAGCGATGGGTGGCTTGATTGTTTCTCAACACCAAAAAAGCAACGACGGAAATGACTGTATGATGCTCGAAAGAGTCCTAATCTTTTTTTTTTTTTTTTTTTGCTTTTTTGCTCTTGCTTTTTTTTTTTTTTGCCCCTTGGTTTGTGGTTCTTCTGTGTTCCTGGGATATGGCTCTCTCCAAACCTTTTTCTGCTTCTCCATTTATTTGTCTATTTCTTGGCTCATCTTTTGCCTGTTTACTTACATGAGCTTGTGCATTATTATACGTGATTTTTTCTTTCCGTTTTTGATTTTGAGCATTACTCTTTGTTTTTTTGAGTGGTTGTCCTTCCTTTTCCGGGGTGGAAGCGTCTCTACCTGAGCATTTATTTGCCTGAGTTGCGTGATCTCGGGAATACATGTTGTGTGGGGGATATACCAAAAAGCGATTTTTCTTCTATTTGAAGGGTCATGCTTCGTCTGCCCAAGTTGTATTATACTCATGGGTGGCTGCCTTGATTTTTTTTTTTTGGTTTTTGTTTTGTTTTGTTTGCGCTGCGGCTCTCTTGCTTACTTACAGGCGTTCTATGGCATGGAGGCGTTGTACTGGATTTTTGTTAATCTGTTGCAGCAGCATGTTGTTGTCATGTATTCATCGGTTTTTCTTTCCGGCATGATACCATTGTCATTTAACCAAAAGGGATGGATGGTATACAGAATTATTATGGTACTAGTTTACGAGTTAAATCGGCGGAAATCCCCCGAGGATTCCAATGTGTGTTTTTTAAGCCCATACAGATCACTCTGGAAAGAACATTATTATCTAGGATTCGACATTCATGCATCCAGTGTTACGATAAGATTCTGATGTTGAATGAGCGTTGAGCCCGATCTCATAATGGATTACATAATCACTGGTTGCCCCTGGAGACGTGGTTCTGATCTGGGCTGGGTGTAAACATCAATGACCGGGAAGCTTTGCAGCTTAGGGGGGTGACAAAAAGAAGTCATACAACATTGATAAACCAAACTTAATTATACCTCAACTGCCATTGTGACTCGGAAACTTGGTCTATCCAAACCGGATTGTCCATGACTCAAGTGGCGAGCGCCATGACATGATCGATAACTATACAGAGTAGAGCTCTCTGTACTCCACTACAACATTGCAGCGACCGTACTATATTCAATAGTTTACCACACTGACATAACCTAACATACTAACGACACGAAAATCATGCCTCCCATTCACTATACCGAAGCAGCGACGCCCTGTCCGGCGAAAGCCGCCTCCAAATCCTCCACCGCCCCTTTCACCATCTACGATGAAAACGACGATACCGCTGCCGTCGACTTTACGCTCGACGTGGACTGCATCCTGACGCGTCAGAGCCCACGCAGAGTCAAAAGAGCTGCGACCTTCAAGATCCACGAAGACCCGGCCACGACGAGAGCGAGCGGGCTTCCCACAGCGACATGGCGCAAAACGACGATGGGGAAGACGGCATCCTCGCTGCTAGGTCAGCCAGCGCAGAGATTGCCCGGAAAGCAAAGAGTTAGCTTTGCTCCGGTGCCTTCACCAAAGAGAGGTCAGAGAAAACAAAAAGTGGAACAGCAGCAGCAGCAGCAGCAGCCTTCGCCAGTGATCGAGCAGGTTGAATGCCCGCAGACCACGAAAGATGTTTCTGAGCCAGTTGAGAGCAAAGATACTGATGTCAAAGAGACAATAAAGCGGGACCGCAGAAGGGGGACGATCTATATACCGCCTGATGACACGACTATGCCAACGATGTTCATGAGTATATTTAGTCCCTTGAAGGCAGATAGGAACGATGGCTGTGGGATAAAGAAACTTGAAGCCCAGATTGCGAAGAAACGGGAACAGAGGCGCGTTTCGCGAACGGCATCGCCTAGAGGGCCGCTGATGACGGCAGTTCATGTTGAACAGGAGTCTGCAGTCCCATACGATGTTGCTGGGTCGAACACCGGGAAAGAAAATGTCCCGCCTGGGGCATCGAAATTCACGGATCAAAAAGATGCCGAGAAGTTTGACCTTCCGGATTTCAAGCCACCATCCGCAAAGCGACGAGTGGTGTCAGCGGCAGTTAGTTCGACAGCAGCGGATAAGGAGACGTCACCGCAGCAGAAGGCAGTTAGTAGAAAGTCCAAGGCGTTGCAGCCTAGTTGTCCAAATAGCCCGAGGAGACGCCAGTCGAACATTCTTCCCGGCAAACCGAACCTACAGCGTGCAAACGAGAGACTGGGAGAATTATCGAAAGACCAAGAAAAGGCTCCAGCACGATCGTCACCGAAACAACCTGCGAAGAGGAGGACCCCCACGAGGTCCGTGGTGCCTCGTATTTCGATTCAGAAATACCCAGTGCTCACGGAAGACATTTCGAATCCGCGGATGTATGAGGAGAACTGGCTTGCGCATCAGGAAATTGTCATCACGCAGCTGGTGAACGGTCTTTTTGATTCTGCCCGTGGGATTTCAGTGCCATCCGACGCCGACAGTCTACGCCACGAGCTTCTCGAGCATTATCAAGATGCATACTTTTCTCTCCTTTTCAAACGGGTGCAAGCCTCCTTGCTTTACGGTGCACTGCGCATACCTAAAGATGTCTTGCAACGTGGGAATCGCTTGAAGGAGGATGTAGGCATGCGTCGGAAGTTTTTGGACTTTTGGCTGACCACGTACCATCCGTCTGCACTGCGCGCCGCTGCGGAAACGGTGGTGGGAAGACGGATTTCCACGGAGAGAGACTCGCTAAACGGGGAGAATGGACGACCAGAGAAGGTGACGCGGCGTGCGCTGGAGGCGTTTCTGGATACGTTTCTGATTCGAAACGAAGACCGGCCGTTGAAATGCGGTGGCGAGGGTGATGGCGTGGAGGGTTCGCCATATTGCAGGACTGTCCTAAGGGGCGTCATGATGATTTTGCTACTGGACAAGGCCAGACTCGCGGCCGGAACGAGTCTGCCTCGATGCCTGTTCCTGGCATCGTCGAGTTATAAATCTTCGGCGGCAGCACTGCAGGCGTTGATGAGCATGCTGAACCCGACAGTTGGAGACGTCTTGCGTCCGTTGAGCCATATTGACTGCCAGGTGGGTTATGAGCAGTATTGTTTACAGGAATATGAGTACCGGATCAAGAACCTGGCGGTCGACCTTCGAGATGGCGTTCTCCTGACGCGGCTAGTTGAACTACTTCTCTTTCTATGCGAACCAGAGTCAGGTGGTCGAGAAAGCTGCTCTAGCAGCGTGACACTGCCCACGGGACAAGTCTTATCCCTGGTGGAAGGAAGGGAGAGCTGGCCCCTATCTCAGCATCTGAAGGTACCATGCAACAGTCGCGCCACAAAGGTATTCAACGTTCAGGTTGCGCTGAGTGCTCTGTGTGGAGTGCGCGGTGTGGGTATGATAGCAAAGGATCTTCGGCCCGAAGACATAGTCGACGGGTACCGTGAGAAAACGATTGCCCTGCTGTGGGGCCTGGTAGGGAAATGGGGGCTTCCAGGCCTGCTGGACTGGGATGATTTGAAACGAGAGATTCGGCGGCTGGAGAGCAAAATTCTCTTACGGAATAATGCGAAGGATGGTGGCGAGGATGATGATGATGATGATGATGATGGTGATGCTGTGGAAAAGGAAGAAGGGCAGTTTGGCCATGGGTACGAGGCCGAAGCGCTTCTGCTGAGAAAATGGGCGTCTTGCTTGGCAGAACTAAAGGGCATTCGGCTTGCGAATATGACGACGAGTTTTGCCGGCGGGAGGATATTTGAGAGCATTGTGGATGAGTATGAGGTGTTCATCCTCGCGGATCAGGGCACGCCTGGAGCGTGCGCGGCGAAGCGCTCGCTGGCGCAGAGACTACGAGGGCTGGGATGCAGCTCTCAGTTTGGTGAGCGGTTTATATCTTTTCCACAGCTTGTCCGCGCCACACTACTGACCGCAGAACTCGATCGCAGCATCGCTCGTGGCTCCACCGCGTGGCTCACCGGCGCACATTTTCGATCAGGACTTCACGCTTGGCGCCCTGGGGTTCCTGTGCTCGCGGCTGCTGTCGGCGTCGCGGCGGGCACGCGCTGCGGCGGTGATTCAGGCGGCGTGGAGAGACGCCCGGCGCCGCGGGTCGAGGAGTGAGGGCTGACTCTGCTGATCAGGGCGCGTGGTGGTGGTGGTGGTGGTGAAATGAAAGGGGCCAGGGGGAAGAAACGAAACCGCGGGTGCGGCAGAAGAAGTGCGGTGAGCGAAGGACGGCCGGGCGGTTTCACGCTGTGCAGGTTGTTTGTTTTTGCAATTAATATTAATTGCGGGCGACTGCAGCGGGCATTTGTTATTCTCGCCTGCAGCGGTCGTACAGACGCCGTCCGGGCTGACAGGAGCTTTTCGGCGTCAAGCTTTTGGCTGCAGGCGCAGCATGCATGTATGTATGTATGTATCTCAGTTTGTCGCCGGGCTCGCATGGACATACTACTACTTGGCCACGTACTGCTCCGTATGCTGCTTGCTTTTCAGGCCCCCTGCCCTGCCCAGCACGGCGCCGGGGAAGACGACCCGGGACGCGACGCCGGCTCGCGCACAACGACGAGCTGGGCCGGGATGGCGGCCACCCTGACCGCTGCTTGATCCGCATCCTGGCGCGTCTTTCCAGGTTTTGCGCGGGCTTGGCCCTGCGCAACATCTGCTGACTGCGAGAGTTCGCCAGCAGTGATTAATTACTCCGTGATTAGCTTGCCAACCGACCCAAATCGCCATTTTCGCCCGCCGCGACTGGCTGTCCGCTCTCCTGAAACTGCGCCGCGCACGGCCTGTTTCTGCGTACGTTACCGGCCCGTACGCGGCGGTGTGTTTCTGCCCCGGCCGTGTTTTGGGCCTGCGCCGCCGCCTGCCCCGTGCCCAGCCAACCACCGCGCCCGTATGCGCTTACGTAACCGCCGCCGCCGTACTGACGTGTTTTCCCGTACGGCCCCGTTTCGCCCCCCCACCGCCTTTCTCTCGCTTCTCTTTTTCCTCTGCTCATCTGCCCTCTCTCGTCCCTGTCCTTCTCCTCATCCTCCATCGCTTCTCCTCCCTCCCTCTCTCTCTCTCTCTCCCTCTCTCGCGTCGCTGCCAGCCCGTCTGTCGCCTTGTGCTCTCGGCCGGCGCCTGATTCCTGCCAGACGGGCCCTCCCATCCCTGCCGCCTGCCGTCCTTCGGTTGTGGTTTTGCGACGTTCTCCAGTCGCTCGCCCTGCATTTCGCCGCGCCCACTCGCGCCCAATAAGCAATCGCTCTACGGAGTATAATTTCTTCTTCTCGCCTTCGTCGCTGTTCGTCGGCCTCCTCGAGTCAAACATCTGCCTTGCTCCTCATCTCGTCCCTCTTCCCCGCCTACGGCGCTGCGCTTGCTCGAATCCGAACCACACCCTTCCGTCCCTCCTTGTTTCCTTCTCCCACACACCCTCCGGCTACCTGTCGTACCTTTTTTTCACCATGATGTCCATCCGGCTGTTATGACAATAGCCGTCCTGACGGACTCCCGACTTTGACCCCATATTTGATCCTATTTGATCTCAACCTCCTCCTCCCCGCTGTGCGGCTTGTCTGAGGTTCTCTAGCCTCAGCCAAAGCGACCTTCACCCTTCCCTCGACCGCCCAGCTCCTCTCTAACCCGTCTGAGACATAACTCCTCCATCACTGCTTCCTTCCTACCCAATTTTCGTTTCTGGGTGGTTTGTTTGACTTGGTGGCTTTGTTGGCTTTTTTTTTGCGTCGTTTTCCACCACCTTTGCGGGTGATTCTTGTGACCACGAAGATCTGCTAGATTTCGGTATTGCTCGAGTTCTACAGCACCACTAGCCATCACCTCTTCCTTTACGTTTCAGACCTCGTCGTTCGGCTTGGTACGATATCCATGCCTACATCATTCGACATGTTTTCAGTATCGAAGACGAATGCCCCCACCGCCGATGATGAGGAGGTCGCCGCCGACCCTGACGAACCTCCAGATCATCGTCGCCTTGCCAAAAGACCTTCTCTCGCTTTCTCTCGATCCATTACTCTACCTCCTCCCACCTACGCCAAGACGAAGGCCATCGATGGGAGGAAGAAAGAGTCACTTCTGACCCGAGCCCTCTTAAGCAGCCCAGAGCTGTCACCCATCGATTCAGCTACAGCGAAGCTGCCTACGATTCCAGACTTGGCTGGCCTGACGACTTCATCCGCCCTCTCGAATCGCAGTATTGCATCGACCGCTGAATTAACAAGCGACAGTGAGACCACCAGCCCCTTCCGCTCGAATACGCCCAGCCCTCCTCCCCAGTATAACCGGTTGCCTCATGTTGACCACCATGGTGTTGTGCACGCAAAACCTGTCGACCAACGTGAGTTGCAGTTGGAGGCGAACCTAGGCCGCAAACGCTGTATCACCTTTGCTTGTGGCCGCCAACTTATCAATGAGGAGAACAAGGCATCCAGTGAGCCTATTAAAGAGGCTAGTGCTGGAGCAGCCATTAAGCGAAAGTCTGCACTCACTTTTATCTGCCCCACCCGACCTGGTGTGAATGAAAGCGACCGAAAAGAAGCCTCACCTGCGCTTGGGAAAGCACCGCTTAGTTTGCGAGCCAGTCGATCCCCTGCACCTTCAACCTTACGCGGTGGTAGTCACACATCAGCCCCCAACTCAATGACTTCCAAACCACAAATCTCAACTACGTCAGATAAGGATCAAGTGAAACAGCAAAATGTTCTTTCTGATGCTGTGCGTTTTCATGAGTTTGGAAGCGAATCAGATGATGATGATTGGGTCAATCAAGAAACGAACTACAAGCAAAAGATCACAATGAATGACTGCATGAAGAAGGAGCTGGCTATTAGAAAACTAGGTGAAGAGGCAGAGGAAGAAGCTAGACAAGACGAAGAGGATGACGCTGAAATTAATGATGAAGATGACGATGATGATGACCTTGAGGATGAGGATGACGAGGATGATGATGAAGACGGTGATGATGGTGATGATAGTGATGACGGCCGCAACAGTTCAACCATTCAAGAAGAATCTGATGGCGGGAACGAATCCGACAACGAAGCGGGTTTTGCCTCTTCCGATGACGAGAGTGACGGATCAGGAGAATATGCATTCTGGACTCAAAAACCTACGTCTGCTGTTAAGGATAATGCTCCCCAAGATTTGTGGCGAGGATTTTCCCGCAGAGAATCTAATACATCTGTTGAGACCCACCGACATCCCGTCGAGGTCATCCCTGCACCGAAACGCAGACCAAGCAAGGCAAGCAAGCCAGTCAAATTTCGCCCTGGCACACCTACTCTTCCAGACAGTACAGATTTTGTATGTGGTACTCTGGATGAGGATAGGCCGATTGAAGCTGCATATGTTTCGTGCTTAGAGGAGCGACGCCGCTCGAAACATGTTCCGATTCCACAGGATATCGATCCTAGTTTCCCGACGTCCGGTCCAGAAGATGAGGATGACGACGAGGAGGAGACGGTGCATTCCAAGAGCAAAAAGCACTCCAAACTGTCAAACCCATTCAAAGGATTTGATGAGGAATCCCTTCGTGGAAGGCAAAATGCTCATGCCCGTCGCACCACCCCGCATCACTCCCCAAAGCGCCTTCATTCTCCTCCGCCTCGTCGCCTATTCGGTCGCTCTCCTCGCCACCTGAGATCACCGCCGCCTCATGGCAGGCTGCGATCTCCCCCACCCACCCGTCGCACATCTGTCACACAACGACCTCCAGCTCACCACGTGCATTTTAACGGCCTTGCCCAACGACCAAACCGTACCCGTACCTCGTCGCTGCCTCGCACTCCAAACCCTTTCTTTGCACGCCTCGCCCAGCCTCGCCAGATTTCCAGCACGCCTTCTACCTCGCCTGTTCAAGATACGGCTGTTCAGGCTACACACACCCGCGGACCAATCGACATTGTTGCTGGCCTGGAAAAGAAACGCGAAAAGCGCAAAGAAAAATTCTGGCGTCAGCATTGTCGTAAGGCTGCCAAGGAACAGCTAGAGCGGAAGAAGCCTCTCTGCGGAAAAGGCGCCGAACGCATGAGGGAACGAGGCCTCGAGGCTGCCGAACGCTTCAAGGGTTACAACGTTATTACTGATGGCCAACTTGTCCTATCTGTCTGATTCAAAACTTGGGAACGGCGTTCTTAAAACCGGAAAGAGAAAAAATTAACGACCCCGTGTTTCTATATGCATATGAAACTCATGAATGACCCGGCGGAGTTTTTTTGTCCCTTCACCATTACTGATCGGATAAACCGGCGCTATTTCCAGGTACACATTGAATAACGCACATTATATCTTCTCGTATATACCTTTTTTTTATCTTTTAGCCACGCGCGAGATACACGGCCTTGCTGCGCTTTCTCTCTTTACTTTCTACACTTTTTTTCTTATGATTCTCTTGTACTGCTCTTTTAATATCGCCCCTTATTCAAAGGACGGCCGCACCACATTAAGCCCTACAGAATCCCATCATCATTTCTTTTGTTCACCTCGTTTGGCAATCTGCAAATTTATTTAGATTGGGCTGAAAATTCTCATTGCATTTTGCTCTGGTGGTTTGCATTTGCTTGTTTTCGCTTGCACTTTGGGGGAGGGATTATTGTTTCTTAGTTTTGATTTTCAATGCTATTCTCGTCATTAGGGGCTTCTTTTATTTCCATTATTATGGAGTAAGGCATCATACGGAAGGTGTTTTTATAGCAAGCAACGTGATAGCCCAAATATGAGCATCATCTATCTCTCGGTGTCGTGCTTTTCCTCCTTACGTAACACGCCGGTCTCCGAGGCCGCTGACTCAGCCCAAGCTCTCCCGCCCCGCTACGCCGCATCCGGCGTAGCGCCATCGCCCTGAAGTGACCAACTTATCATCTCCCGAGAACTCCCAACGCCCGCCAGCAAGTGACATCTCAAAAGCCGGTCGTCTCTCTTGTGTGTGGCCTAGCTTACCCTACAATCTGTCATCCGTCTATCCTTGTAAAGAAAAAAAGCAACGATACGGTGCCCTACTAGCAATACTTGTCAAGTGCAAAAACAAAGCAAGCTCTTGTGTTTTCGGAGAAAGACAGCATTTGTTTCTAATCATGTGGATTATCAACTGGTGTAAGTAGACACCCTGGTTTTTTTTTTACTTTTTGTCCCTGTTTGTTCTCTGGATCTGGGGAAAAGAGCCTTTTGTTTTGGTGAATGTTCTATTGTGCGTGTTGGTGCGTCTGGGGAAGTTATGTCTGGTTTTCCTGATCCAAGGACCAATCTTCACGCATTCCGGAACATGTCCCTACAGTCTGGGGAAGGAAACTCACTCGGCGTCCTTTGTTTTGTTACGCGTGCAGTGGATCCCCATACTGTCATTGCTGTTCGTGTATCGCTGTTTTGTGTTCTAGATGGGCTGACAAGATCTTTGTGGGAAACAGTTTATGATATTCTTGCCTCTCTGGGGCTATTAAACAAGCATGCCAAACTGCTCTTTTTGGGCTTGGATAATGCTGGAAAATCTACTCTATTGCAGATGTTGAAGGTAAGTTCTATCTGTTCTTTCTGGCGTGGGCTATTATTATTTTTTTCTTGACGTTTTGTTTACTGACTTGACTGAAGAATGGCAGAGTCGCGCTTTTGCAGCCAACCGCACATCCGAGTACGTATTTTCAATCGCCTCTTCCGCATTTTACTCCCTGAATAATTATCTACGCTTTGGCTTGGAAAGAAGGGAGGGGAAGCAGTTTAAGGTATACCTTGGAACAACTTGCTGAGCTATTTTTTTTTTTTGTTATTAGCTTCCGAGGAACTCTCAATTGGCAACAATACATTCACAACCTTTGATTTGGGAGGCCACGTCCAGGGTAAGCACTGCCCAGTCTTCTCACCAACTGTGGATTCTCTTTAACGTCTTCAAAACAGCTCGCCGTCTGTGGAAAGATTACTTCCCCGAAGTCAATGGAATTGTTTTCATGGTTGATGCCGTTGACCATGAGCGTTTCCCCGAAGCCAAGGCCGAACTCGATGCCCTCCTCGCCATGGAAGACCTAGGCAAGGTTCCGTTCTTGGTCCTCGGCAATAAGATCGACCACCCTATGGCTGTTTCCGAAGACCAGCTCCGTGGTGCCTTGGGATTATATCAAACCACGGGCAAAGGAAAGGTCCCGTTGGAGGGAATTCGACCTATTGAGGTGTTTATGTGCACTATTATCGGACGCTCTGGTGAGTTGAGCATCATTTTCTACCTCTGTGCAGCTGCTACCCATACCCCAATAAGGTGATATGCTAACGTCTTTTTTTGCTCAATGTATAGGCTATGGCGAAGGTATCAGATGGTTATCGCAATACGTCTAAATCTGGAAGTCATCTTATGTTTTGCGCACGATAATATTTTACTTGTATGCCATCAGTGGACTTGTTTATGGGGGCGTCTTCTGCTTTTTCCTTCCGCCGGAGAGTTCCATCATTCTCTCTGGATCTTTTACCCTTGAAACGACCCGACGTCTCTTTAAGCGAACTACCCCCTGTATCCTTGTCACGAATCCCTCCCCAACTTCGATGTTATTTCCCCCCAACCACCTCCGAATAGTTTCCCCACTTCCTATCATTTTTCTCTTTAATGTTAAGATATTCTGGAGTCCTCTAGTTTTCCTTTGGCTATCGGATTCAAACCAGATTTCGTCTCTAGGGCGCGTTCCTTGCCGGTACTCTCTTAGCGGATTTATCAGAATCTCCATAGCTCTTCCGCTACATTAATACCACATGCAATCTTGAGCGGTCGGTCTTTTATTGCTTTCCTTATTTTGGTTTCTCTTAGGCCACTACGCATGGAAAAGTCCAACATGTCTACCCTACATTTACTTAATTCTGGGTGTTGCACCCGGGATCCGTACCCCATATTGGCATGCCGACCCCACAAGTTACCTCAATCCAGGTGCACCAGTTGGTTCTAACGCAATGCACTACAGATAATGTTGCAATCGTTAAAATCAAAAAAACATATAATGTAATTATTTGCCTTAAGCCAGTAGGCGGAGTCAGTGTCTGTGAATTGTATGTATGTATGTATATGTGGCTATGCAGTGCCATTTGTGATGACGCCTATTATCGCGCACACATACAAGAACTAGAGACGGTAACAAAAGCTCGGAAAGAGGGATTCTCTAAAATGATCTGCTGACCGAAAAGACATCCCGAGACATCCCTTCCCAAGGAACCCCCACAATTAATACCGTCGAACAAAGTACCACTGACTTCTCATACATTGCTAGAGCATAGACTAAATAATAACGAGAACGGACTAAAAGGCAACGGCGAGGCAAAAAGAAGGGTGAAGAACGTTGACACCTTTGCTTCGCATTAGTTAAAGAGTCCCAACCCACCAACATCCCCCTCAATTACCGACGCGAGGAAGGGGAAATAAGAAAAATGCCTCTTTCCCAACCCCTGCACAATATGAAGCAAAGGGAGCGCGAAAATAAAAAAAAAAGGAGAAAAAAAAAAAGGAGAAAAAAAAAAAAGGAGAGAAAATTACACAAAAAAGCGTCCAGTAAACAGTACGATGGGAGATAAGACACAAAACGTCGGTCACAGCGGAAAATTAAAAGCCGATTGTTCGTCGTTCGAACGGTCGGGGTAAGGTGTAATCGTTCAGGAAGGGGGTTTCTGGACTGGAGGGACGGCGTGGTCTAAACTCGACGGGTACAGCGCTAAGAGGTTCATATCGTGCGAACGAGGTGTGGAAAGTCGTGACGTCTTTATGGACAGGCTTGCGAGGTGGTGGTGTCTGGATCGCCGAACTAACGATACGAAGGGGATTTATCTCCGCCCGAACCTGTTATACATGGAGGAGCTCGTATGCTTTCTACTTCTTTTTCTGTTTCCTGGGAGGAGTGATGGGTCTGCCTGTGCTCATGCCCCCGTAGACGTACTTTTGTTTCTTTTCGGCTGGTTTTAGTATCTATGGTTGACAATAAGTTAGTTAAGGTTGAATAAAAAGGGTCTTTTCCGAAAATTGAGACGAACCTGAAATGAACAGAGAAGGCTTTCGTCAACACTCATCATCGCGCCGGCATTATCGAACTCTCCACAATAGTTTGGAGCACTAAAGAGAGTGACTAATTGACGCTTAGAAAAAAACTCGTATCCGTCCTCGACGACCTGATGGGCGCGACATATAAGGTCCATGTCGTGCTTCTGTAGGAATCTTGCGACCACGTCTGGTCCAAAGGTGAAAGATACGCCTCGGTCGTTTTCGCTCCAGCCCGTTATATCCTTGTCAGGATCGGACCAGAGGAGGTCGCAGAGAAGGCCGCAATCAGGAATCTGGGTTGCCGGCAGCAGTTAGTACTTGAGCCTTGAGCAGCTTCTTGCAGCAGCACCTGGTGTGTAATTATAAAGAGAAATAAGCCTAGGAGGTAAACAAGGCGACTTACATCAGTGGGGCGCATGACACGTCGAATCTGCTCCATAGAGTTCAAATCAGGGCTGAGGCCACCATGCATACTGAAAATCTTCTCGTCAATAATGGCAGCAATGGGCAAGCAGTTAAAACAATCAGTAAAGGTCTTCCACAACTTGATGTTGTATCTTCGTTTGCATTCATCGTAGAAGCCATAAATACGGTTGATCGAGGCACATTCGTGGTTACCGCGGAGCACAAAAAAATTTTCGGGATATTTGATTTTATATGCAAGAAGAAGGCAGATGGTTTCCAGCGATTGTTTACCTCTATCGACGTAATCGCCTAAAAACAGGTAGTTGGCTTCTGGGGGGAAACCGCCATATTCGAACAGTCGTAAAAGATCATAATATTGGCCGTGAATGTCGCCACAAATCTAAGTGCGGAGGTACCGGGTTAGTGAGTGAAGAAAGGTTAAGACGCTGCGGTAGGCAAAACAGTGCGTATGCTGGCAGTAGAGAAGTTTGTGTACCTTGATTGGGGCTTCTAACTCCAAGAGTATAGGTTGCGAGATGAAGATTTCCCGCGCCTTTGTGCAGAGATGTCGAATCTCGGATTCTAGAAGTTGGACTTGTTTGCCAGGACGGCTGCCCCTTACTTCCAGCAATCTATCTATGATAGAGTCCAAATCAATTTCATTTTGGTCGGCCATTTCTTGCCGCTACTGGCAGCAAGCTGAAGGCGGGGAAAAAGAAAAGAAAGAGGGCGGAAGCGTGGCGCTGCGCAGAAGCGAGCGGAGGGAGTTCAGGGAGGAAACTAAAAAGAACAGAAAGAATTGGGAAGGGGAGGTATCGTAGATCTAGATGCGTTATTTATTCAAACGCTGTTGATGAGCAGAGGAAGGCTTCACTTCAGCCGCGTTATACCACTCGAAACAGACGAACTCCGTGGTGTTCACCAGCAGCCTCCGGCCGGGTTCAGCAATAGAAGAAGGGAGCACAAGAAGCAGAGGCAGATAAAGTCGGGGTGTATGGATTGGAACCGGGACTCAGGCTCGTGGAGAGGCGGAATGCGATAGGAGGGCGACGGGGGCAGAAACGCAGGTCACACAGCGATCGCAGAAGTGGGAGGGCCAGGTTTAGGAAAACAAAACAACGCAGTCGGTGGGCGGGCGGCGGGCTGGCGGGCGAGAAAGAGACAGCAGGCGAGAGAGCCAATGCAGAGCGGTCAGGGCGGCAGGCTGGACGCGAGACGAACGGGGAGGTCAGCGTGGTGGGATGGCGGAGGAGCGAGTCGCTATCAGAATCGAGATTCTGTTGTTGGATTTCTTGAGAGCGAAGTTTGCAGGAGCAGTACTAGCGTGTACGCCCGCCGTACCGTATTGGATACACCTGTCCGCTGACTCAGCGCCCGGGGCTGACGGCTGGGCGCGCTAGCTCTATCGGGGAAAGTTTCGCCGCCCCGTGCGGGCGGAGTCTATAAATACCGCGGATGGCTGGCCTGTGGACGGCTGAAGACAACTCGCGACGACAGACCTCAGGGCCAGGCGGCCCGACGCGCTCTCTCGCCTGCAAATGCGCCCAGAACCGTGGAGCCTGGGCTGTGCTATGCAATTTCTACATGCAGGACAGCTGTCTACGCGTTCCGCTCCTAGACCAGGCTTGACGTGAGGGCGCTGTTTCACGCCCCTTACCCCAGGCCAGGCCCGTCCTACAGAGACCGAAGGCCTTGTAATTTAGTCGTCCGGTATTATTTCTGGTGGCTTTCGATTGCTGTGTCCCCCGATGTGCCGGAACTCGTCTCCAGTGCCCCGGCGCCTGGCCCCTTGGTGGCAAAAGGACCGGGCCCGCTCGATTGTCGAGCCACAAATCGACGTGCTGATCAGGGCGTTAATCTTCAATTGAGTTCTCTATACGGAGTATACATTCTAGATATATGGTCCGGGTGTAAACATGTAGTTGCTAGTAGCTGCCGAACTGGTCAGCTTTATTCGAGCGCAACAAAGAACGGCCCCTGAGGCTATTTGGTCTACAACCCCCTTATCTAGCTGAGGAAAACTCTTCAGAGCAGGCTGCTAGCCTCATTATCCAAACTCGTAGCGGCAGCTCCCGACTCAAGGTCACCGGCAAGCTGTGTTGTGTATACTCCGTACAAGCACGAGACCCGGCGCCTACGAGCTACCCTGAGCCCTGCGAGCCCCAGGGCCCAAAGCCAAGGGTAGGCGCCAAGAGCCGCCTAACTTCCGGCCTAGAACGCCTCGCTGGCTCCGACCGCTCATTATTACACGCCGACTTGAATCCTGAGGCCGAGTGTATGATCCCAGCGAATTAATTAAAACGCCTCTCCGCCTCCCGCGTCCCACTACGTCGTTCTCTTCAAAATGATCGCCCACCGTGTTCCTGTGAATCTTCTTGTTGTCTGCGCTTAGTTCTCTCTGCATTGCAGTCCACTGCGCCCCTGACCTCATTGCGGACAACCGACATGAGTCTGTGTTATGGAGACCTTTGTGCAGGAGGATTCGCCATTGGCTAATTACCTTGAAGGTGCGATGGCCCTAAAACTGGCGCATACGGCTGCATGAACTGACCGCGCTGCTCTATTACATAGGCGAGGGTGAAGCTGTATCAGATTGGACGCCCCAGACCTCAGAGCTATCGCCGGACGAGGCCCTAGATGCTGGCCCCCAACACTTCGCGCCTACTGGTCGCCCCAAACTCCACGACCGGATAAAAAACAAACTCCCTGCTCCCTTGCGCCTGAAACACTCGAATAAACGAGAAACGCTGGCAAGGATTCAAGATGCATGCGTTGTATGTCTTTGTTGATTAAGAAGAGTGTCTGTGCGCTAACGGGGGCTCGCTGTCTAGGCCGTTCTGAGCGCAAGAATCGGGAAAAACGATAACGACCGCTTTCTAGAACAATTCGGATATATTGTCGTTGCGTCGCAACTTCTCAATGAACCCATTCCTTCAACCTACAACTCCATACCAGGGGTGGTGACAAGTGGCGCCCAGGATGTTGAAGAGCCCCTTACATCACAGCCCGTTGTGTTCGATCTACATGGTATCTTATTTTCTGCAGTGGGGTCTTTTGCCGTTGCCTGGGCTTTCCACTGGGCTCGCCCTCGCCAGGGCGCGGGATGGAATGTCAGAAGGCTGTTCATGTGTCTGTTCTTCCTTGTAGTAGTGGCAATTGGATTTGTTGTTCTTGCAAGACGACAATGGTTAAAATATATTCGCTGCGAGGCACTCGGCGTCGCAAAGGTACTTGTTGGGAATGCCCAGAACCTCGACTCTGTGGCATCTGCGTCAGTACTTTTGATCCAGGAGGTTGAGCTAGTATCTCGCGGATATAGACTGTTCGTTCCCGAGTTCAGATGACCTTTTTATGAACGCTAATACTCTGATAGAAGCACTCCCATGCCACCTGTTTCCCGAATGGAAGAACAAAGCCAGACGAAACGATGCCTGAAACTGCGCCGTATCCTATCTGAATGCTTGAGTGAGATGTTGACCCAATACATTGCTGCAAAGAGAAAACTACAATGCTATGTGGATAGTATCTCCCTAGTGAAATACTACGATATCTACGATTTTTCTCCTGGAGAGCTGGAGGAGGCAGAGTTGGTTCTGGCGGATATCTGCACAGAGGAGAAAACATCATTAAAATCACTTCGAATTCTTTTCAGCCAACTATACTCGGTCAGAAAAAGCATGCTATGCTGTTTGCTAGCATTACCAGCCGATGGAACAAAAGTAGATACCACAAGATGGAATGTGGCTGTGGAAGAAATGCAACGCCTTTCCAACACTAGTGGTACCTGCATACAAAGGCTAACAAATATTCTTAATGAACAAGATCGTACGTACGTCTATGAAATGCTCTGAAGTGAATGGCTAATAAATCCAGGTGATATCGTCGCCCCATCTCCGAGATTAAAATTGACACCGGACACTAGAGAGCGGCATCGGGCCCAGCTTCGGCGATTGAATTCCTTATCTCAAGGAATTAGGGGAGTTCATGCCAAAATGCATCTCATCCGTGATGAATCTGAAGCCTGCATCGAGAAACTTGGTGAAGGATCTGAGCTTAGCAACACGCTACTGTCTCAATACGAATCCATTGGCGCAGATCTAAGGGGACTATTACAAGAGTGGGAAGCTGGGAAATCATCATTGATGGCAAATCTCGAGCGACCCGACAGGCTGTCTCGACCGCCAAGTATTTTGAAGTCACCGGCATCTCCAACCTTTAGTCTCAGTGGAAGTACTGCCGTCGATGGGAGCCCCGCAGCCGCACTCCGCAGACTCAATGGCGAGGACCCACCTCCAGTTATGTCTTGCCATGACCTCGAAGAGAACGAAGAAATATTTGAAGCTGTGGCTCTTCCCCGGAAACGAAGTTCTATGACAAGAGAGGAGAGAATTGCGCGGGTAAGAGAAGACCGAGCTAAGCAAGCTGCCGCCCGTGAGCGAGCAGATGCCAATACACACATGCTTCGAGAGCTGGAGACCGTGATCAAACTACGCCCTCAAACTCGAGGTGGCGCGAGAGTCACCAGCATATAGTTCCCATTCCTGTCTGGATGCTATCCTACAGGCAATATCTTTGACGAAATTCCCTTGCAGAGTTTACCATTTCTTGTATATTCACCTACTAAAGTCTTGCAGCCATCCGACCTACATTTACCCTCTATCCCTGTTTTACTATGTATTCCTGTGACACCGTGGTTTCTCTCCCTGATACCTCTAGACGCTTGACAGCATGTTGAACATGAAGTTTGTCTACCATTCCCTAGCCACGTCTGATTTATTTGAGTTTTTCAATCCTGCATATAGATATCTTGTAGTATTAGTAAGTGTATTAAATTGCCGCGAGGCTTTGAAACGGATATATTATAGTGTATTCGCATAGCACCTTTAAAGAGTGTAGCCCCTCATTTACTCCGTACTACTCTTATTAAGAGTCAAATGTGGCGAAAGGCCGTGCTTGGCCCCTATGAACCTCCAACGCGAAAGGGCTAAATTGAATTTCACGACGCGACACGTCACTAACGCGTCTCTCCCACCAAGAGTTTATATTTTACCTAAAGTACGCCCTCAACTCACTTAGGTCGGCTTCTTTATACAAAGGAATTTCTCTTAACCCTTTCGAAAATATTTTGTTAAACATTCCTCTCCCTCACCCCCCTCTTCTCTTTTCTCTTGAATCTACTTGGCAATTTTTGCTCTGCCCCGCCCTCAATCTTCAAATAAAATTCACCCTGTAACAGCACTCGAAAGCCGCCACAAGTCCGTATTCCTCTTTCTTTTGTAGCTGTGTGTTAAAGGCTAACAAAACTTTCATGGACAGTGCTTGAAGCACGCTTAGAACAGGCCAGTATGTTGAAGAAGGTATACGGAATTCGCTCCACGACACCAATCAGCGCAAGGTTGCTCACTTACACAGGTCGTCGATGCCATCCGAGAACTCGTTCAGGACTGTAATTTCGACTGTAGCGACACTGGCATCTCTCTCCAAGCCATGGACAACTCCCACGTCGCCCTCGTTTCCCTCAATCTCAAAGCCGAAGCCTTCTCTCCCTACCGCTGCGACCGTACTCTTGCGCTCGGAATCAACCTAAACTCTCTCCAGAAGGTTCTCAGAGCAGCGCAGGACACTGATATTATGACCTTGAAAACAGAGGATCATCCAGATGTGGTTAATATGGTCTTTGAAAATGCGTCAAGCGACCGGTTGAGCGAATATGATATCAAACTTATAGATATTGATCAGGAACATTTGGCTATTCCAGAGACGGAATACGCGGCTGTAGTGGAGCTGCCAGCCGCAGAATTCAGACGAATTTGTGTGGATTTGGGCAATTTGTCCGAATCTGGTATGTGGTGTTTCTACGCCCATATTTCCTTCCACTCCTATTCTGTAGTTAAATGCTAACAATCAAATAGTCTTGATCGAAGCCAACAAGGATGGCGTGAAATTCTCCTGCCAGGGTGATATCGGAAACGGTGCGGTCACGCTCCGTGGACATACCAGTGTCGATAAACCCGACCAAAATGTCACCATCTCCCTCACCGAACCCGTCGCTCTCACCTTCTCCATCAAATACCTTGTTAACTTCTGCAAAGCGACAAGCTTATCCGCGAAGGTGCGCCTCTGCATGTCGCAGGATGTGCCATTGCTGGTGGAATATAGACTAGAGGGAAGTGGTAGTTTGAAGTATTTCCTTGCCCCTAAGGTAAGCCCAGTTAGAAAGGATGCATGCTGTATTATTCTCGACTAATTTGGTTCTTTTAGATTGGTGACGACGAGTAGACTTGAAGCTTGAAGCAAAATATTTGAGACTGGAGTGGGAATCGGGCGTATTTACGAACTTTATGTTGATGGATCAACTTCAGCTGCCTAATGATGTAGGCTATTAAACCGGCCAATGCTCCAAGCAATATTGATTACAGCCTACGTTTGTTTTGATATTAGAAATACGAAGTTTTATAACATGCTGTAGCATATTGAAATAAGATAAAGACAACAATAGTATTCAGGTAAAACAGTATTCTGCAATCTAACTGCTGTGGAAACACAGTAAAGCCAACAAACCGCCAGTGTATCCAGCTCCAAATACGATCAATATACGGAGTAAGTCCCTCGGTAAAACAATGACCCACATTAGTAGTATCCCACCAACATCGCTAAAGCAAAATGCGACATATGAGATAGACAGACATACCTGGAAAAAAAGTGAAGCGTCGTCCTCACCAGAGTAATCGGAATCGAATTATACCAATCTCCTACCCAATGGAAGGAAAATGGTATGCTGCGTATTGCACTAAAGTGTCATACTCGCAAGCGAGGTACGCACAATCTTCGCAACGGCTCTCTCATGGGGAAACCAGGGAACAAGGACCGAAGTCCTCCTCCCTGCCCCGATGTTTCTTATGCCTAGTTGCAGACATTTTCATGTCAGACCCTCACGGGCAGTACCGACCACCGAGGTGGTGGGTTGAAGGTTGAAGAGTTCTCCGAATTTCTCATTTGCATGGCGTTCCAACTCTTCCTGATTCTGAAGTACATCAGAGGAAGAGGTGGAGACAGACATCAAGTACATGAGTCTGTCGTGTGTAGCAAAGAAACGCAGCTTTGGTGGGGACGACGCTTGGAGGAAAAGAAACGAGAATCAAGTTGTGTGTTCATTTTATACGGAGTAGACAGATTCTGCCGGAACCCACCGCTAGTCATCGCTGAGTCAACGAAAAGGTGGACTTGTGCTGACTAAGCTTTACTGGCACTTAGCCGTCAGTTTGCGGGCTCAGAATAATGGAATTTTAACACCTCAGTCTTGTTATCAGGAAAGTTGACACGGAGGACATGACTTGAGGCTCTGACTGGGAAATATGCGGATTATGATCAATGCCATAAGAATAGGCTCATTTGACGAACTAGTAGTTAGACTAGCGGCCCGAGCACCCGTAAAGCTCGCGAGGCTGTAAGCGTTAACGAAGTTTTCGGGTTTAATAACCTCCTAGTATGAGGCGCTGTTTTTTAATTTACACAGTGAGGCATGAAGGCAGGCTATTGATGCCACTGCTTCAGCGCTCAGGCCTTCGTGGTGCGCGTCTAGATCAATTGACAATTTAAGAACCTAGACAGAGTACTCCGTATTTACGTAGAAAAAAATGTAGACTACTTTGTATAACTGCTCCGTACGCTGTTGGGTTTCACCCTTCATCAATACCACTATCTCATGTATCCATTTAATTCGCAAATTTCCTATGGGATCATCATCAAACAGATGTACATACAGAGTACATACCTACGCACATACATACCTAGTTCTACTCCGTACATCCGCATCGATCAACCACAGTTCCATCGTCCAAATATGCCAATAAATATCCAAGCTCCACACGAAGGCTCTTTTTTCAATGCTACCTAATGAGTCCGTATCAGATGGAATACCGGTTAATGCCCTCATATTATTGTTTGTTTATCGTGGCTTGTAAAAAGGTGGAAACTCAGGGGTAAGAAGTGTTGTCATTCAACACTGACGCTAAAAAGATTCAGAGTACGGAGTATAAGATTCTTATCAGCAAGCTTCCGAATTTCTAAACGGTGGTAATTGGAGCCACCTAAATGTACCCGATTTATGTATGTATCTATGTGCATCTGTTATCATCGCTGTAGGCGTCCGTGTATACGTATACACAGGTAGGTAGGGTCAAATAAAACTAGAGACCGACATTGGGGCCAAGATACCGATTATGTTGCTGAACCGAGTGATGGACAATCTTGATACCTGGTAGGCTTGAAATCCCATGAATGTGGACATCATGTCAGATAATCACCCGGTGTTGCTAATTCGAGCGTTGCACAACATCCTAGGGAAGATCTTCAAAAGAATCGATCGCCCCTGAAAACTCTGGATTCAAAAGGCGATGCGGCCGGAACTATCGACTACCAAAATCGCGAGCACAACAGACAAATTTGTTGTACTTGAGACAGTTGGAGAAGGAGTGTTCCCACGGAGAATGATGATCTGGTTTCGAAAGAAGAGCGCCTTGACAGAGTTCTAGCCCCTAACTACTCCCATATCAAGTTTGTGAGTGGTTGGGCGGGCCAGGAACGAACGGTCGAGATCGGTCAAACTATGGTTCGCCCAGAAACCGACGTGCTTGACATCCAGCCACTGGCGTAGAGATCTCTAGAATCCTCAAACACATGGAGGCACGGAGCATGCACATACTCCTCGCTCCGGATACGTTTACCCGATTGTTGGTCTTCCGATACTCGGTACGGAGTACAGGTGTCTCTTTCGATGAAGCACGCCGTCATGTGCGACTCTGCAACTCTGCATCGAGCTGCATATGCGTCGGACCATTGTCCGCAGCAGTGCCTAGAAAAGAGCATACTTCGCCGAAGCTGCCGGGCGTTTGGAGGGAACTAAACAACAGAGAAGCGGAGATAGGCACGCTGTGTGTCACCTGCCAGTGTTAAGTGTATTTGCCCAGCCCAAGCCTCCCCTCGCATGGGAACGAAACCGCGGGGAAGATAGCAGCAGTGGGCCTGGCGGTCAGGCAATTGACTTCGACTGATACGCTGGCAGGGAGTCTCCCAAGGCGTTCTCCGTGCGGCGTTCGCATCGAAGCCACAGCCACCCAATAGGGCTGGGGCTGTGGACGGCCGAGAAGGGAATGGCGTTGCTGGCCAGCGAGTGTCAGGCCCACCGCCCGCCAAGCTCACCAACGACAACCTCGACTTCACCTCCGCCGCTCGTTCACGCGATTTTCTTTTGCTCTTTCTCTTCCTTTCCTTATATTTCCTCGTCGCCCTCCAGTGCGCCCTCTGGAAACCTCCATTCGTTTTGTCTGCTGTCTGGCTCTTTAGCCTTATTCCCCTGCCCAGCCTTCACCTACTTTCCCCTTTTTTGGTATACCTCTCTCGAACACCCGTTCCCGAGCCTTGACTGCTCCCTTTCATCGTTCTCGCACCTGCAAATAATACTTGAGCATTTCTTGTCAATCTCTTGTTACCGGCCAAGAATATCACAAGGAGAGGGGCAGGACTTCCCCGGCAAAGCCTCACCATTATCCAATGCGGCACGACCCCAAGTAGAACCTAGCGCGTTTCATAATTGTATGGCCTGTCCATACACATACAACACAAATACCGATCTCCGATAGTCGCTCCGATATTATCCATCGTCTGCCCTCCGTTTGTTCAACGAGGGTCGAGGCAAGTCTGGGTGCTCCATTCGGGAGCGATTCGCCAAAATTCGTTCTTACAGAAGCCAGTCGTCGCTCCTCCGAGAGCCGGGCTTTGACCCTTCCTTTAGGCACTCTGCATCAGATTTTCGCCCAAGGGAAGGATATCGAGAGTCCGAACCGGCGACGAGGATGTTGTACATTCCCAATTCAAAATGGACATGGTGCTTTGTCCTTGTGACAACTATCCAAGCAGCATGCATTCTAGCATTTGAATCGTGAGAATGGCCCTTAGTTGCCTACATATTTTGTGGGAAGCTAATCTTACTTTGTGTAGATATGTTTTTGCTCGATTCCAGACTCAGCTCAAGGGCAACGCATCTACCCAAACGCAATCGAAAACGATACCTACCTTCTTGACCCTTTACATCTTTGGATTCGTCTATGAACTGGTCCTTGTCTACGATGCCTTGAGACTGAAAAACACTATCCAGGTCATTGGACTGTGTGTCTGCAATCTAGGCTTACTTGTCTACGGTGCCGTTCAAACAGACCAAATAAAGGATGCAATCGGTGCTCTGAGCAGCATAGGAAACATCGATGGCGCCGTTTGGGGCGAGATGAGACCCTTCCTGATTGCAATCCCATGCATCATTGGCTTCGGCACTGCACTCATGGCATTTTTGGCCTGGAAGCTCTACGACGAGTTCGCATGGACCATCTACAAGCATATTAGTGCCGACTTACGAATGAAACGCCGATACTTAACATACCAGGTGAGATGAATACTTCAGCAATATATTCTTGAACTAGTCACTGACATACCGTAGATTTATATTGCTTTGTTAAAATTTGATTTTTTCTTTTTCTTGGGATTTACCGTGCAATTTGTCGTGATCGTTACAGAAAAAGCGACAGTTGAATTTGCTTTGACTTTAGCCGCCATTCCGGTCACCATCATCATACTGATCATGGCCGCGTTCTGGACTCGACGGGAGAACACCCCAGGAATGGTGGTTATTATCGTAAGGACATTCCCCATACTAGACTTTTAGGGTCATCTGTGCTGACTGTATTTGATACTTAGCTTCTTTACTTTGGAGGCCTTGCTTATTTCCTCTTCAAACTCGTTCGAATGTACTCGCCGGCGCGCGAAAGGGCGTATTTGCCCGCTCGACGATCCTTGACCTTTTTTGCAGTCATTACGATCATTTTGATTATCATGACCATTGTTAATGCTATAGTTTGCACCTTTAACTTTAACAAGGGCCTGAAACCGCATCTTTCTAGCAAGAGGTCGAAGCGGGACGACGAGAAGGGGCATGGCACCGAGATGCATGGGCGACTATCCCGCGCACCAGTCACGAGCCGTATGACAATTGACTAGAAAACATAATTTGTGCGATGTAGTGGCTGGAGTTTCTTGAAAGCCTTTTGTGATATCAGTGCTTTTTTCATTTGCAACATATACCCCCTTTTACTGTACCTTATTGGCTGGGAGCATTGTCTGGTCAGAGAAGGGGACCTTGGAATCACGGTAAATTCTGTTCTGATTTTTGCCCATCATGTCTCTAGGATTCCATCCATGATACCATTTGTACTATTCTCTTGATGTGGTCAGCAGATCCCGCGAAAACATCTTTTTATCCCATTCTTCTTCTTAACTACTGGGGTGCGTGGCACCTGATTACTAATTTCATGTGTGCTATGTATTATACCACACTCCTTTATGTATGTACGTATGTAAAGTGGATTGGAAAGGATAAAACCTCTCCCTGTAGCGAGGCGGCTGGAATTGGGCGGAATAATGAAATTCTGCCATTGAACTGCAAAGCGGTGAGCAGGGGCAGTTGCTGACCTAATCGTGCGAAGTGTCCACATTCTCAACCTTTGCGCATCCACGGTTGTTCTCCTGCGTTTCCGCTGAACTTCGCATTTCATCCCGTTTTTGCGTGTTCTTTTTCGGCGTGCGATTTTAATCATCCTAGCGACCCGACTGTCACTGAACAATGGTAGGTGGTCCGCTCCCAGCACAATCCCCCATCCCCGCTCCGTGTATCTCAACATCCCCGAAACTGCGTCTACCTGGCCCCTTCCCAATACAAAACAACAGCTTCGGTTCTCTTTGAAAAGCGTAAAGAGTAGCGAAACTTCACAAACATACCAAACGCACTATCACGGACACAATGGCAAAACCTCGCAAATCCAATTCTAACCCCATTCTCCCAAAACCACAGGCCTCCTCCCCCCTTGCGTCCGGTCCCGAGTCCGGCAATGATGCCGCCAAATCCGGCAACAATCCCGCTGGCGCTGGCTCCGGCAGCGGTTCTGCCGCCTCTGGTGCCTCTGTGAACCGCCCTTCGTCTCCTACACCTCCCGGCGGCCCTCGCACCGCTATTCGGCGCCGTGCGGCTGCGGATCATAAGGAGTCAGTACGGAATGCGAGACCTGCCTCAACGAGGGCTGCTGGTGCTGGTGGTTCCTCGGGGACGATGTTGAAGCTTTATACAGACGAGAGCCCGGGATTGAAGGTCGACCCGGTCGTAGTGCTAGTGTTGAGCTTGGGCTTCATTTTCTCGGTTGTGGGATTGCACGGTGAGTTTATATCAATGTTGTTCAAAATGGCTCTTTGATTTTTGGTTTCATTTGCTAATTTGATATTTGCTCCATAGTCATTGCCAAAATCACTCGCAAGTTCTCTTCATAAAGAACGCAGTGACCTTTACCTTACTATCCAGCCTACCTCATCTGAACTGGACGAGTTCCCCCTTTCCACCACTTGAATTATGTCCTTGAGTTCACGTCCATAAATCAGGAAATTTATGGCAATCAACAATGCCTGCCATTTCTTCCATCTCCTCGCCGATCCTGCAGCGTTCGGTGCTGGAGTATCTTTTTACTTTTGAATTTTCTTTAATGGCTTCAGGCTGATGATTCTTAAGTTGTTGGGGATCTTCATTGCATGGCTATTCTGCTAGAAGCTTGATATTTTACGGCGCATTGAACTACTCATGTTTCTTTTTGTTGACATGTAAATTAATTGGTAAAATCGATATTTCATGATTTGCTCATGGTGAATAACATTTGCATCCAGATAAACATTTATGGTGGTAAATCGGCCTACTCTTATTCTTTTGCTCCGTGTGCTATGTATGAATGTAGGCACATACTCGGTCCATAGATGCATAACCACCAAAGCAAGATTCCTGGATGGGAAGTTGCTTTTCATATATCCAGGTTTTAGAAATGCATCGAAATCTAACCACACTTGCTGCTGGAGACTTGATTGGAGGTCAGGTTGTCAGGGTGAATGAAAATGCTATAAACCCTGCCAGTGTGACTGCCATTAAATTTTAAATTAATCCCTGATTACTTCGTACCTGTGACAATATGGACATGTGTATAAGGAATAGGAAGTACAGGCAAAATGAATGCAGCGTGTTTAATTACTGAGTCTTTTAAGCAACGCTGACATCAAATGAATTCTACGAGATCACTCATCTTCATCCACTGGATTAACATGGAACTTCTTTCTCCCAGTACCAACAAGCTGCTTGAGCTTGACTCTATTCGCTTGCGCATCCATCTTTTTCTCAATCTTCTGGATCTCCTCTTCAGCATCAACCGTTTCCTCAGACGCAAATTCCAGTACAAGCTTCCTGCCTAAAAGATGGGTATTCCGAAGGGCATCCATGGCGTTCTCTGCTTCACGTGCACTGACAAAATCAGCAAATGCAAAGCCACGCGCTGTGCGGTCGAACTTTTTCGGTACACGGACAGAACGTAGTTGGCCGTAAGCACCGAAGAGAGATTGTATATCTTTCTTCGTGGCTTGAAACGGTAAATTCTTGACGATGATTTTTGTTCTGCGAGCTGCGTTTTTCTTGGCAATGTCCTCGCGTCTTTGCTGCTCTGCAGCGTCCATGCCCTTGTGGGAGGGCTTGAGGACTAATTCATGCTGGTCCAGCTTATATCCATTCATTGATGCCAAAGCAGTGTTGGCTTGGGCTTTGGTTCTGAATTCCACAAAACCAAAACCCATGCTTAACCTTTCCCCGGGTTTTTTTGGATCAGGTTTTGTCTTAACTTGAGCAGATAAGAACCCATCAAGAGGCTTGAAAAGGTCGGTTAAACTGGCAGTTGTAGTTGAAAAATTCAAATTCCGAATATATATAGTTGAACTTTCCATGCCAGTCTCCTGCTCGTCAGCCTTGAACGTTTCCGATGTTGAGAACCCAGGGCCGATAGCCTTTTGGGGCTGAACCGAAACATTAGCAACAGATTTTCCTTCGAAAAGGTTTTTAGGTGCCTTCTCTAGGAATAATATAGAGTCCCCTAATTTTCTATATGCAAGACCCTTAAATGCTTTTTGACACTCATCCGGCATGCTAAACTCAACAATTGCAATGGTACCGGTAGGGGGCATGAGAAGCCGTATGATTTGGCCGTATGGATCAAATAACTTCTTGAGATCCTCAACTTTGACACCGAAAGAAAAGTTTTTGACAAGAATAGCGGTGTTTCCACGCTCGCGTTGTTTGAAAGAGTCCAAATTCACACCGTTAGCATTAAAGTACGCTTTGGTTTCTTGAATGACATGTGTTTCAGCGTGGGCTTGCTTTACCGCAGCGTCTGACGATGTTGGATCTAAAATTGCCGATTTAGGAACCCCTAACCGTTCTGCCACAGAGGCCATTACGGCATCCGCCTTATATTCGATTAGTGAATGGTTAGCGCAAGAAATTCAATAATCGACCTACATTCATATATAGAGAATTCCAGCTAAAAGCGGTAGTCGATGCCTCGGATTTCCTCTTGATTTGTTGCTGCTTTTTCAAGGGCAGTTTTGAAAGCTCAAATTCATTAATTTTATATGTTTTTTTAGTGGAAGCAGGAAGAATGTGCATAAGTCGTCCTTGGAAATCTTTTCCATCCAACTGCTGGTAGGCGGCGATGGCAGAGTCTGGGTCAAAAAATTGAGCATAAGCGAAACCTTTGCTCGTTGAATGGCGAGTATCGAAGGCAACATGTAGCTAATTCGAGTCAGTGACATCTCGCCTGATATTATGGCCCTGAACAAATAATAGCGGAGAAATAGTCATCAGATAGAGAGGCATCTACTAAAATACTCTTTCCTGGTTCACATCATGTGCATTGCATCTGATGTCCCTATCAGGATGTTCATCATACGACTGAGGAGATATACACGAAAAAGCGTTGAGTAGGCAAGAAAATAGGTAATTAAATCGTACCTCTTCTAATTTTCCAAAGGTCATGAAAAGTCGCTCAAGATCTCCTTCAGTAGTATTGTATGGGAGATTACGAATAAACAACCGGCCAGTTTCTCGAATCGAGTCTATGTTAGCATCAGGAACGCCGTTCTTGATTTCGTCGGGCTCTTGAGCAGCATGTTCAATAATATCTGGTTCAGTCATTGATTCCAGAGTAGATTCCATATTTCCTGGTTCCGTATGCTGTAATTTCGGTCGTATCACTTCTTCTTCTTCTTCGTCTACCAAACCTAGCAGTCGACTGGTTTTCGATCTAAGCCAGTCAGCATCATTTTGCGGAGTAATGTCCAAATCCCGTAGGTCAGTCTGAGATTTGGCATCAGAAGGTCTTTTCTCTGGCTCAGAGTTGACATCCGTTGCATCACGGAACGTCCCGCACTGGTGCGCGTCACTCCGGCTGGCTTCTACTTCTGCCTTAGGCCTTTTTGACGACAGTGTTTCAAAGGCATCAGTTGCCCTAGACTCCTCTACACGACTATGCATGCTAGTATGAAGGTCTGCACCGTTATCAGCCCATGTGTTTTTCATAGTAGATGCCTGCATTGTATTCAGGAACTCTCGTAGCTTTGGGTCTTCATCTTCAGTAGGCCGCTTCCGCTTCAGAGATGTAGATTTGGGGTCGGAGCCATCTTTATCAAATACTGAGTTTCTAGATTTGGACCATGGCTTTATGTCAGAAGTGGAATCTACCTTGAAATCTAGTTAGCATTGGTTGTCCTTTCTCATCAGCTTGTATGCTACCAAGCGAGAAAAGTCAAAGGCTAGTATCGATACTTACAGGCCTTGCCATTTCGACCGCAATCTTAGACATCCTGATGAAGGTTTTGTTAAAGTATTTGGCCGCTTCCTGGGCGGAGTTGTGATCTTTGAATCCCACAAATCCGATTCGGCGACTCGGAGCAATATGGGCATCTGTAACTTCGAAGCGGCCAGCAAAATGGCTGCGAAGCCCATTATTATCCAGTGTAGGCGGCAAGCCTGACACAAATACCCTGGTACTCTCCATTTTTTGCACACACTTTGGCAGCTTTGCTGTTGCTGGGAGGAGAGAGAGGATAAAAGATTCTTTATAGGATGTGCGCAAAAAAACTTTCTCCGAAAAATCAGTGGTCCGTGCGCAAAGTTTGTTCGCTGCCACTGCATCCCGCGTCGACCTGAAAGTCTCCTCCTCATGATGGTGATCTATATAACCATCACATACACACACAGCATTGCCTGTTGACGCCGAGCACTTTTCTGGACCATACCTTACAAAACACCCTAGAACACGCCCAAAAGGGACGCTGCACCTGATCTACCCGCCAAAATGCCTTCAGAAACGCGCGAGAAGCTTGAAGGTAACCACAAACAACCCTCTGCGCCTACCATCAACATTCGTATTCGTCAAGATGACTGACTGGATTGTTTTCTTTACTGAAGCTCAAGTCAAGTCCGCTGACATGGTAAGAGATCTCTCCTTCGAGGGTCAGCTTCTCGTGGACAAACTGACACATGCGGGGCACAGAGCGAGGACATGCAACAGGAGGCAATCGAAGTTGGTATGCGCAAACGAACGCCTGCAATCACGACATCGCCACGATACACTTGCTGACATATACTTGCTTGTGATAGCTACTGAAGCAATGGAGAAATTTCATATTGAAAAGGTATGGCCTTGGCTTCTCGCTCTCTGAGCGCGTGATGGCGCGTGGGGCAGCTATGCTTACTTTGAATGCAGGACATCGCGCAGTTCATCAAGAAAGAGGTATGAAGCGGCCTGTGTATATTCTCATCTCTCTCGTTTGAAATCCTATTGAGACGCCTATTAGTTTGATTCTCGCAAGGGCGCTACCTGGCACTGCATCGTCGGACGTAACTTTGGTAGCTTCGTGACACATGGTATGGCCCATTTTTTTCACCAACACATTAATTAAACATGCTACTAACCAGATCAACAGAAACTAAACATTTCATCTACTTCTACCTTGGCCATGCCGCTATCCTCCTTTTTAAGACCCAGTAAATCTGGCTTTAGGCGTCTCAGTTCGTACTCGTTCAATTTCTTACGCTTTCTCAAGAATATGCATATATCTTCACCTTGAGCGTGAAATTCACGGAAGCAGAGGATGCGGTCATGATTTACGTCTTGATGATTGTTCAAGCGTCGTTCAAAGGTTGTCCCCAGCTTACTATTTCCCTGTTGCTGTTTGGCGACTGAAGATCATTGCTCGTCATATACAGCGACAGCCTACGGGCTATTTATTTACCTTGTAAATGGCGTTGAAAGGATTGAATGATTTCGCTCTTGTTTCTACTTTACTTCAACTGATGTATCACTTCAAACTTCGTCTCATGAGTATAAATACAGAATGAGTCATACTTCACGCCCCTGACCACATATTGTCACACCCTTCAAAATTTTCTGCATCACCTCAAACACAATGTCAATGCCAAAAGATAGTAAAAATAATTGTAATCAATTAGCTAGATATCTAGAAAGGGATCATGGATAAAAAAGGACCACCGGAAACCCAGAGTAACGCCGGTTCTAAAGAAAAAAAAATAATAAAAAAAGCTGAGTAACGCGTGGACAAATAGAGCTGCCCGGTATTCCGTACAGAATCCAAAAGAACGGAAAAATTCTGACCAAATCATTTATATCCGTAGTTTCCTCCCGGTGGAGGTTGTCCTGGGCCTGGGCCAGGGTAGGCACCCATGGCAACCGGTGGCGGGCCTTGACCCCCTTGTAAATGCTGTGATTGGACGTCCGGTCGATATCTATATGAGGTCAATTCCAGTGTGCTAAATGGGGGCTTCTTCAGCAATGTCGCATACTTGATATCCTGGGAAAATCGACAGATGTTACAATGAACTTCCTATAAAACAAAATTGCATCAGCCTTTATTGTCCGACTGGCCCTAGGTAAGTGTACTTTACTTTATATTTGTGGAAAGCTAGTGGTAGGACAGGCTGTGACAAGGTAGAAGTTGGCGATCAGATCTTTTTGAAATATAAGAGAGAAAAGAAGAGGACAAATCACATACCACAAAGCAGACTGTAAACCACGGCCTATAATTTATGTCAGTGACATGCATATACGGACAAGATCTTTATGGCCCGCCTGGAGAGACCTACCACCGGGTAATACAATGGGCGGACCAATTTCCGCCTAGTCAACATGATATTAGTTCCGGTGTCATCCGTAGCAAATACGAGCAGTTCTTACAATTCTGACATTGCGCCGTTATATTTTCATAGCCTTGGAGGCGCGACGTAAATTCTGGAGTAGTTGTCAGTCACGGAAGGTCTGAGACGGTTGGCTGATGACCGACCTTGCGTCCCGAAAGTAATACAGATCGCCATGTTTGGACTGTGGACTCGGATTCAATATATAGATAGAATAGGTAATGTTATGGGTGAAGAAATAGCGCCTTTGAATAAAATCTAAAGAGGGATTGTGCACATGAGATGCAGTGAAGCTGTAGCTTGGAAGCGCGACGCCCCAATGATTACGTCGGTGGACTGAGCGGCGACCAGCCACACCGACTTATGCCAAGAGGTGGCCGTGCAAGAGGCTTGGCATTCTTGATTCCGGGTGGCGATCAAGTAGATTGGAGGATACCGCCGCAATTAACCCGTACTTGCTGGTAAAGAAGTATTCGAACTTGATATAACTATATCACCGCCCACCGCTGCCAAGTTTGGCTCCGAATTAAGGGATGAATACTCCGTACCTGTCATGGTTTCGTGGAGCTTGGAGGTGTTCATCTTACTTCGTAGATCCCTAATATGGATCCTGGCTAACTCCGAGTTAATCTTAAAGGCACCATACCTATCCTCGACTCAGGACCACTCATGTCATTCAACTCAGGCGGCGTGCCAAGTTCTAGACATGCATCAACGTCGCCCCGCTCCCGTTCACGCACCGTTCCCTCTTGAGCTTTCGATTTATCACCGCAATCACCATCCATGCGGATACAGTAGGAGTGGTAACAATAGATCCTTCTATATCTCTAGTCAAAATTTTGGCAGACCTGGACTGCGACCGATAGCCTTGTCCCCAAACTGGTGGCTCAGGTTCAGGTTGGCGTCGGGGTGGAGAAGGCCAAGTTAAGCTCTTTTCAGTTTTACCCCGTTCATTGGCCTATATATGTGGCGACTCCATATATAAGTCTCGGTGGGATTCCCTCTGAACGCCAACGCTTTTCTCTTGATCCGTCCGATCTGACAGATTTTCTATTTCATTCCAACTTGGATTTTCTTCTCTTCATTTCCCTATAAATTGGAACCATGAATGTCCCAAACATCAAACTCAGCAGTGGCTATGAAATGCCTCTTGTCGGCTTTGGCTTGTGGAAAGTTGACAAACCCATTTGCGCCGAGCAAGTTTATAACGCAATCAAAGCAGGATATCGCTGCTTCGATGGCGCTTGCGGTGCGTATTATTTTTGTTTCTCTGTGACTGCGAATATTCTATCTATCACTGCTCTTCACAAGCATTTTCCGAGCGAGGATGTCATTGGCTTGGGGAACGATTTTCTCAGCCTGGAGGTGCCATTTTCGTAGAGATCTGCTTTAGTATCCATCAGAAGAAAGTTATATTTGTTATAAAGACATCGATTTCAAGTAAGGAGGGGAGGTAACCGAGCGGGCTAATTTGACCCGGATTAGTTACTGTGCCGTCTCTAGCACTGCTCTAGATGGGTATTACCGCAGTACGCATGTACACATGTACATCGGTTGTCACAGTTGACCCCTTAATTGCAGTGAGTCTCACTGCGTCCTTCAGAGCCGCAGGCCCTCCTGGATAACTAGTTACCTGCGGGCTACTCACCTCTAGTAGGCTGTTGAATTCAGATGAGACTAGCTGCAGGGGAGGCACCAGGGGTTGCGCGATGAGAGACCAGTTAGTCGTGTTAGCTGTCTCAAACTTCTTTTCTTGCCCCTTTTGTCAGTGACTAGCTCCGCCAACAAAGATACCTCCTCTCAATTGTACTGTACCATATCCTCTGATATCGTGGAAATTAAAGCCACAAGTTCGAATCTGACCAGGACTTGCCTGCTACTTCTCTCATTTTGTATCCAGAGCGGCTCTTTTTTTGTGGGACTTGAGAGTTTTTTATATTTCTGAATCCTTCCCAATAACCAACAGCTAACCAATGGCATTCCATAGACTATGGCAACGAAGTGGAAGCCGGTAAGGGCGTGGCACTCGCTATCAAAGATGGTCTGGTTAAAAGAGAAGACCTCTTCCTTGTCTCGAAGCTGTGGAACACTTTCCATGACCCTGAGAATGTAGAGCCAATCTGCAAAAAGCAGTTGGCTGACTGGGGAATTGATTATTTTGACCTGTACCTAATCCACTTCCCAATTGCGTTGAAATATGTCGATCCCTCTGTCCGATATCCACCGGGATTCCGAAACGAAGGCGACCAAGTCGTTCTTAGCAACGCGTCTACACAGCAAACCTGGGCGGCGATGGAAAGTCTTGTGGATAAAAAGCTTGTCCGCAGTATTGGGATCAGTAACTTCAACGTGCAACACATCATGGACTTACTTCGATACGCGCGCATCCGTCCCGCCACTTTGCAAATCGAGCATCACCCATACCTTACCCAGCCAGATCTAGTCAGATATGCCCAGAAACTGGGGATTGCTCTGACTGCGTATTCATCTTTTGGTTCCCAGAGCTTTGTCGAATTCGACATGGAGTCTGTTAAAGGGGTAACTCTTCTAATGGAACACTCTGATATCAAGTCCATCGCGGAAAAGCATAATAAGGCTCCTTCACAAGTCTTACTGAGATGGGCGACACAACGTGGGATTGCAGTTATACCAAAAACCAATGACGCAAAGAGATTGGCATTGAATTTGGACGTCACTGGGTTTGATCTGGCTGATGAAGATATGGCAGCCATCAGTAAATTAAACCGAGGACTGAGGTTTAATAACCCCCCTAACGTGAGTACTCTGCTTTAGCATGTTGCACCAAAAACGTGATCATTGTCTAATCCAGGCCTTTATTCTACTATAGTACGGAATAGACCTCCCTATTTTTTCTTAGTTAAACGGGACACATTCACATGTGGGCGTTGTTGCAACATTGGAAACCCTATATGCTGTGACACCTGACAAGCGTTTTTGTAACCCTTGAGCTCTCTTGGGCAAACCTAGTCAAGCATAGAGGTGGTTAGGGATGCTAGACTACTGAAAAGCAGGGCATGAGTTGGTGCTTGCTTTGTATATACTGTACATAGTCACAGATAAAATAGATGTATGTATGTATAGTACATACGTATGCTCATATGTCATGAAACACCGTTCAATACTTGTTTGATGACACCAGTATGAACTGTTCCGGAAGCTAACAGCGGCTCTTATAAAAGGAACATCCAATACCTTTCACATATCAGGCCTTCAACATACACCGGTTCTGCATTTATTTTACGGCTATTAGGTTCTTATTATGGTCAGTATCCTTAGATAAGAACCCTTTTCGGAAATATCTGCCCTATTCTTGAACCATTCTACCTAGCTCATTGCCATACAGCAGTGGACAAACACTATGGTATAATTAAGGCCTAAAATCAGATATGGAGGAGCTGGTAGTACAACTACGAAGTCCTTCGCACTTCTAAGTTCTCTTTTGGCTATGAACTTTATAGTACTACGCAAGGAGGCGTGTCTTAAATATATACCTACACACTACTTCGTACCATGGCATTGTGTGCTTCAAATGCACAGGGAAAGAGGCTAAATATACCAGAAATAAAATATCTGAATTCACAGGGAAATATTAAAAAAATACGTTGCTATGAGATGCTCATATATGCGTTCAATGTGAGTTTGTTTAAAGAAATAGAATGGTTTGGTACTGCTGGGTAGAACCTTGGAATGATAATAATTCGCTGAAATCTATTCTCTCTACGTGGTTTGTTCCAACTCTCTAAGGATCTTCTCACTCTTTGCTTTGGCGGAGTCGAAGTTTCCAACCATATAAAAGGCACCTGGTAGAACAACTAGTTAGCCACTGCCCTGCTTCGATCGTATACAGGATATTAAACCTACTCTCTGGCATGTTATCGCCCTGGCCTTCCAGAATGGCCTTGAAAGAACGGATGTTGTCTTCCAATGATACTAGTTCGCCCTTAATGCCCGTGAAGACCTCAGCAACCGTGAATGGCTGGCTCAAGAAGCGCTGCAATTTGCGGGCACGTTCAACTGTCAATTTGTCACCTTCAGACAACTCATCCATACCAAGAATGGCAATAATATCTTGAAGAGATTTGTACTCTTGCAAGATCTTCTGTACTTGGACAGCCGTGTCATAGTGCTCACTGCCAATAATACGGGGGTCCATGAGACGAGACTTCGAACCTAGAGGGTCTACAGCTGGATAGATACCCAATTCTGAAATGGCACGGGAAAGCTCAGTGGTTGCATCCAAATGGGCGAAGGTGGTAGCGGGAGCAGGGTCAGTTAAATCATCAGCAGGCACATAGACAGCTTGTACTGAGGTAATAGAGCCTTTTTTTGTTGATGTGATACGCTCTTGCATAGCACCCATGTCAACTGCCAAAGTAGGCTGGTATCCTACAGCTGATGGAATTCGCCCCAAAAGCGCAGAGACCTCTGAGCCAGCCTGGGTAAAACGGAAGATGTTATCAATAAACAACAACACTACAATAATCAGCAAAAAAGATAAGCCCAAAGAGGATATAGGTATTTGGTAGAGGATACACTCTTACTTACCATCTTGGCCTTCGTCTCGGAAATATTCCGCGATAGTTAGCCCTGTCAAGGCGACACGAGCACGAGCACCTGGAGGTTCATTCATCTGGCCAAATACCAATGCGACCTTGGATCCACTCTCGAAGTCGATAACTTTGGTCTGCTGCATTTCATGGTACAGATCGTTCCCCTCACGGGTCCGTTCGCCAACACCCGTAAAAACCGAGTAACCTCCATGGGCTTTGGCAATGTTGTTCTACATTAGTTTCATTAGAGCTGTGTTTGATACAAGATGGTGGCAGTGAAGTATGGAACAGGGGGGAGGGGAGGCTCACGATCAGTTCCTGAATGAACACAGTTTTCCCCACTCCTGCACCACCAAAGAGGCCGATTTTCCCGCCTCGCGCGTAAGGAGCCAAGAGATCGACGACTTTGATACCGGTAACCAGGATTTCAGCTGCGGTTGACTGTTCGACGAACTCGGGGGGTTCCGCATGGATTGGCATCAGGCGGACGGCATCTACTGGGCCGCGCTCATCAATCGGATCTCCAGTCACGTTCATGATGCGGCCCAGGGTGCCAGGTCCGACTGGGACCATGATCGGGTTGCCTGTATCGGTCACCGAGGTGCCTCGTACAAGACCTTCAGTACCGTCCATGGCGATGCATCGCACAACACTTTCACCGAGATGTTGCTAGGGAATGCAGTCAGTACGGGAATAGAAACACGATGGTTATACAGGGACATACAGCGACCTCGAGGACCAGCTTGCGGTCTCCAGTAGAGGTTTCCAGGGCATTGAGGATGGGAGGGAGAATGTCACTGTTGAACTTGACGTCGACGACTGTAGTTGCAAGTCGAGTCGCGCGTCAGCAAGTATAGATTCGGCACTGCAGCACCAGGCATCGCTTACCAGCACCAATGACCGTGTGGATTCGTCCTTGGGACGGAGGTGGTGTGCTGTACCAGCGCCGGGTGGGAGCACGGAGCTGGGGAGGGAGCCGTGCTCTGCGCAACAGAAGCTGTGGTTTGAACATCGTCAACAAATCCAAACCTGAGAAGCAATGTAGGTACTTCGTACTCAAGAACAGGCGGTTCCTGAGGAGATGCAAAGCAAAGGTGAGGTGCGGGTGGTGCCCCTCGGGCTGAGGCACAGCAGCAGCCCGGGGGCGTGGAGGTTCCCAGAAGGCAGCGGTGCGTGGAAAAGGGGCGGAGGCCGGGCTGCTGAGGTCTTTGATACGCCCGTGGAGCAGCACGGCGCCGTTGCCCGGGAGCCAAGTGGTTAGAGACTGGCCCGCGAGCCGGCAGGCCAAAGCGCTGCCTGGCTGTGATGCTACCCTTTGGCCCCGGCCTATTGGCTGGGATTGGGGGCTGCCCGGCCCAAACAATGAAGGCACAAAGAACGCGGTACTCTGGAATGTAGATCCTCAGGCTCTGGGACACCTCAGCCCGTGTTCGGAGGACGCCGCCGCCCTGGGGGCTGGGTAGTGTGCGAGGAAGTACGGAGCCAGCCACAGACAGTGGATGTATGTATAGGGGGGGCTGTCCGTCCAGTGTCCTCGAACGGCAATTGCTTGCTTGCTTCTGCGACGTTCCCCAATTCTCATCCCATCCCGCCCGGATTTGGAAGATGCTGTTCTCCAGGGTCGCGTCCGGTTGCTGCCAGCGGCTGTGGCCGTTGGGCCCGCTACCCGGGGCTTGCAGCGCCCGATACTATGCCACCGTCCAGTCCCCGCAGCCGCGGGCTTCTCCCACACCCTCCCAGCGTGTCTACAATCGCTACTACACCAAGCTTGAACGCCATGCTCGACGGTGCGTACGCCATCACCCCGCTCCAACACGAGTAGACAAGACATGGGTATCTAGAACCCGAACAATCGCTGGCTAACCGCAACGGCAGGCTCGGTCTCGACGACGTCAACCAGCTCTGGGACACATATCGCCGCTCGATTGCGGATCGACGACGGCAGGACCGCCTCCAGTTTCAACCGGGAGCAAGGGAGGATTCCAAACCGACGGGGTGGTCCCAGACATATCTGCCCTTTCAGCCGCCGCCGATACCGCCCACCGCGCCGCAGCCGAAGTTGAAGACCCTGGCCGCATACCTGGACCTGGAGAAGGTGCGGGACTTGGGATGCGTCGAGATAGAGGCCGTGTGGCGTCTGCGGCACGCCTTGTCGAAACATTCGCTCTGTGCCAGTATCCCGTCGTCGACGTTCAGCCGCATGGCCAAAAACGCTCGCCGCCATCCTCGCTTCATCCTCCCGCTGCCAGTAGGGCTGCCTCAAACTAGTGAATTAGACTCAGCTGCCGGGGATAGCCTGGATAAAGGAGTGTCATTCCATTTCATCGAGTGGAGTTTTCCGTCCGCCGCGGCTGTCACCGTGATCATGACGCACTTGGCGGAGTTCAAGACAAAAGGAGAATTCGCCATCCCGCACACGGCCATCACCCATCATCTCGAGCTCGCGAAGGACAAGGGCGTGGTGCTGCTGCAAGGGGCGGTGACGGAGAACACGGGCGTGAGCGTGGAGGACGCGCGTTGGCTGCTGGTGATGCTGCAGCGGTTTTACGGGGGCGTGGGCGCGTCGGACGCGGAACGGGTGAAAGAGCTGCTGGAGAGCTTCACGGCCGGCGATGAGGCTTTTCGCGTGGAGGATCTCATCGACGAGGCCGAGCGGATCGCGTAGCTGGCCCGGCCGTATCTGTACCCCGCGAGCCGCAGCGCGCCCGTTGGGCCGGAGGTACTGGTACAGGAAGCCAGGTGACGCGTTGCAGGCCGGACTACTCCCGTACGGAGTATTCTCGCGAGCCCTGGCAAAGCCCGGCTTGGGCGCGGGCAACAAGCCGGGCGGGCCGTCGACGATCGCGCCCTGGCGATCCCTGTGGCGATGGCCAATATGTCTTGTCGTGGCAGACCAGCTGCGGCTGTCTGGCCGTGCCTGTGGAGCACACCGCTACCTGTCACAACTGATCTCCTGCCTGTTCTCTATTACTACATAAGATTTGGAACCCCTTTGAACTCTGTCTTGGAGCAAAAACTTAAGATAATGGCGAAGAGCCAACCTCGATTTACGAGCAGTGCACGCTTGAGTTTAGCTTTCTTCGCCCGCCAGGCTCTCCCTCCAGGCGAAGTCACGGTGGGGAGATGTCGCATGTGCCTTCAGCAGCAGACGCAGCACCCACCACCTGTGGGCGAATACGGAGTGGGTTTGGTGGCAGTGTCTCTGAATCAACCGAATTCTAGTTTACTTCTGGCGATGAAACCCTGCCTCTGAGCGCCCAGACTTGTCGCCTTACTGAGTAAATTATTCCAGATAGATTGCTCCAGCCTTCTCCGCGATATCGCCGGCATCACCGTTCTGATCCAAGCCATCCCCTCTTCCCCAGACTTTCGAATGGATAAAGTCATGGTGGAACCACATCACGACCAGTATCAAGCGCACCAACCCTTGCACCCATGCGGGGCAATTGCCTTGACCGTCGGAATTAGCCGTTGCTTTAGTTAGCTCCTCCGCAACCTTCATAATGGGGGCCCAGAGAGCCAGGAACAATGCCGCTCCGATCTTTCGCCAGCCGGAATTGGGTGCCTGGTATGAAGGGATGCTATACAGAAACGATTCGTACGTGCTGGGCAGATGCGCCTCGTGGGAGCCTTCTATAAGGAGATCCTTTGAAGTTGATACCCCAATGTCTGATTAGATTCTTAGTTGCAAAGGGCGGATTTTCTCCGTACAGACGGGGGTACAGGGAGTGTGAGCGAGCAATATGGAATCATAAAGAAAACGTGCATCCATACCAGATATCGTTTGCTGGGGTGGCGTGGTACCGTGGGGCCGTACGCCCGGACAAGTGTCATCACTTTGAATGGAGATCGAATCGGCATTTTATTATCGCCATCTTGAGTAACCGACTGGGCAAGAACTTCAATTTCATCGTACGCGATGCCCCCGCCCTCCGAGCCGATGATTGAGATGTAATCTTCATGACTCACGAGGTACGCTGTGCCGTGCACCGGTGGCGGCGCAACCTCAGCGCTTGCCGGCGCGGCGGCTTGGACGAATTTCTCTACCCTCGGCGGGATTTGGCTAATGGACGAAAATGAAGGCTCTTGGTACGGCATACCGTAGATATCAAATGACAGCATCCAGCCTGGGATGCGCACAGGAACGGTGGCGAGCGGCTTGATTCCGCGGTGCGCCGTGAACGTCTCAGAGTTCATATTCGACCCGTAGGCGAAATACCACACTCTGCCGTCCGCTTCATTGTCGATTTGGAGCTTCTCAGAGAGCAACAGCTGTTGGTCGTCTTGCGTCGGATTCATGTTTCTCTTGTCGTGAAGATGCAGGCAGGGTTTCGAACTTGTCAATAATCGGCTAAAGTAGGGGCCGTTTCTGAGGATTTGGGGCTTGGAGGTCGGGCCAATAATAGAATCACAGGAAAAATGACCATGAAGCTGCCTTTTATTGGTGGGCAGTGGCAATTAGACTACCCATAATCAGTGGCGCTCTAGTCAGAGACAACACCCCTGCTGATGCAGGAAAGCTGCGTCGGTGGCCGATTTTCGGTGGCCGAAGGAGAAAGGATATTATATTATTATTGTTTATGTAAGAGAAGGTTTGTGAGGAAAGTCTTGATTGACTTTGACTTTTTGGCGAGAAATTAGGGTATTATATTAAAAAATCTATAATTACTTTTCCTTGTTCTCAACTGCGGAGTGGAGACAGACTCTGAGATAAGACAAGAAGCGAAAGGCTGAAGGCTTTTGGGCATGAATACCGATTAAAGGCGATAACCGGGCATGCAATTGGTAATTCGAGCTAGGTAGCGTGCTGCAGAAGGAGGCAATAAAGGCAACACAGATGAATCGGGCAGCCAGTGGTTGAAATCACACCGAGTTTTCATGCTTCTCAGCCTCTTCCGGCTCTGGAGAAGGCTGAGGCTGTTGAGGCCGCTGCAGGGCAACAAGCGCCAGCCCTAATAAGGCAAAGCTCATGGCGCCCCACCACGTTGCCCGGAGACTCGAAGTGTATAGCCCAACCACCTGCTCTTTGACGCGTCCACTGAAGGACTGGATAAACGTCCGGCTGGCACGTGCATAGGCGCCTCCATTGACGAGAAGATCCCTCACGTCAGAGGGTACATCAGACACATTGTCATTCATGGTCTGGTCAAAGATGATGGCGGGAATGGTCACGCCCCAAACGAGGGCAATGCTGCGGATAAAGTTAAACAGGGCAGTGACTGCTTCAATGTCGGAGTCCGGGAAATGTTTTTGAATCGCTGGCAGCAGGGTGGCGAGGAGAAATCCGTTTCCGGCGGCAACGATAATCTGGAGAACCGCGTGGACTGCGGTGCTGGTATCTGCATTAAAGAGAGTAAAAACACCCAAACCAACCGCTAGAAGCGTGAAAGCGATGACATTGACGAGAAAGGAGAGAGAACTCTTGAGTGCAGACATGGCAATACCTCCAACGATCGAGAATACCACCATGCCCACCACAGTGGGCATGAGATCAAAACCAGCCTTTTGCGGCGAGTCCTCCAGCACGGCCTGGAAGTAAACAGTCAGGAAGTAGTTGACCCACATCAGAATCATACTCTGGATAAAGCTCTGTATCTGAAGCGATAGGTGGGAAATATTTCTCAGGAATCGTAAAGGGATGAGTTGGTTTTTGCAGAAGAAATGCTCGTAGAGTCCGAACGTGACAAAACCAAGGACACCCAGAACAAGTGGCACAATGACTCGGAAGGATGACCAGCTGTACACTCTCCCGCCCATTGTGAGCGGCAGGAGCAGCGAAATGGTGCTGGCAGGAAGCAGAATGTTTCCCACCCAATCGAAATTCCGAGTCGCAATTTTGAGGCTTCTGCCTGCGGCTCGCTGTTCTTCCGTACGTCGTGCAAGGACGGGAAAGAGACACAGGATCGACGCGCCAACTAGAGGCAGATTGAGCCAGAAGATCCATCTCCAGGTAGTGTGATCAACGATAACTCCTCCGAAGATGGGACCGAGCAGTAACCCCAAGCATGAGGTGGCCATCACCATCCCCAGCATTTTGGGGCGTTCTTCAATGCTGACCATGTCGCTGATGATGATCTCGGCAACCAATGGGATTGCGCCGCCACCAATGCCCTGAATGAGACGGCCAACAAGAATGACGGCGAAGTGATGTGCGGCTCCCGCAACGGCACTGCCGATTCCGAAGCACAGGATGGCCGCGAGCATCACAGGCTTGCGGCCAAAGACCCCCGCCAGCCAGCCAGTCAAGGGCTGAAAAATGGTCGCGGCCAGTGTGTACGCGTTGACGATCCAAGCGTACTGCGTCGTGCGCAGGGCCCGCGAGATCGTTGGGAGCGCAGTGACGACAATGCTGCCTTCCATGGTCACGGCGAAGCCACTGAGGCAGAGCGTCGGGAATACGATCCAGAACCTCCAGTCTCGAGGCGCTGAGGCGGGCGCGGGAGACGGCTCCATGGTGGACGAGTCCGTGGCGGACTCCAGCTTCTCGTCTGCACGGCAGACAGGTGTCGACGAGTCTCCCATAGGGGGCTTCTGGCAGGCGGATGGGCGTATGTAGGTCTGTCTTTTCGCGGTGATGGTGATAGGGCCGGTCGGTTGCGAGAAGCGGGCGATGACTCGCGTCAAGATAACTATGATGTCTGTATCAAGGCTGGCCGGCACAAGACGAGGACGGCGGGCGAATCAAAGCAGCAGCCCGCTGACGGCACAGCGAGACGTGTCTTGCGCGCCGGGTAAAAGGCAGAATTGCACTGGAGAGCCGGCTAGCTTGTCGAGAGTGCGTGGAGAGAGAGGTCGGGGGCGAGCAGCAGCAGGGGGCACTTCAGGACGTGCTTGTCGTGTGAGAGCGGATGCGCGCGCACAGGCGAAGCTTTTGATTGCAGGAGGGATGGGGCGCTGTCGGCTTCGTATCGCGAGCACGGCCAGTCTGGGATGCCAAAAGCAACGCAGCGCCCGTGGGCCAGCCGTCGCACATGTGGCCCCGGGCGCGCTCTTTGTGTCGCCAAAGTTACTTTGCGTGAATATTCCGCGCTGCCCGGATTGTGTCGGAACGCGAGCGACAGCGCGCTCTCGCCCGGCGGGTTCTCCAGGCCGCCGCTTCGGCGATCCGCTGCAACTCCCTCTGCGCTGCCGCTGCCTGTTCCCCTCCCCTCCCACCCTCCCTAGGCTGCCGAGCGCTCACGAGCGCCGTCTCGCCCGCTGCCTCCCCACCGTTGGGTTCGTTGGCGACCAGAGACGTACGATTAGAGTTGGCTTCCGTGGTGGCTCGAACTAGCTGCAAACTCTATCCTTCAGCCCAGCGATCCGCCGACGACACCAGGCCAGCATCACGCTGCTGGGAGGCGCACGCCGTGGGCATGCCATATAGCGACTGTTTTGTCTTGGTTCTGTTTGAAATGGCCAAGCCTCATCTGCCGCGCTGGACGCTCCTGCGACTGCTGCTGCTGCGATTCGTTACAGCTGGGGCCCTGTTCGGCCCAGTCCTCAGCGACTATCGCCCCGTGTGGGATCTCTTCCTGGAGACCAGGATGTTTCTGCATTGCGGGGTATGGAGTTCGTCAGTGGTATTGCACAAGACAGAGCCAGATCCAGGCGCAGTTGTCCGTATAGACGTACCCCCACCCTCGACTCTTCCTCGTCTGCCACTGGACGAGCGGCATCGCTGCCAGAGAGCATGGAAACTCAATTCCTGAGCTGGCCCTTAAGTAGCCCACTGCCGAATAGCGAATAAGCGGAGCTAAGGGATGCAGTTGACCTGCAGACAAATCAAGTAGGGCTCAGCATCCGGGCAATGGACTTGATACCCCATCACATGTGGGAAGAGCTGAAGGAGTGCATTTACATAGCTTCGTGTTCCGCCCCCCCCCCTATTTATGGCACCCATTGCAGCATGCCACCTGCAGGAGAAGGGTTCTACCAATACGAATGCTAGCCCGTTGATCATCCTGAGGTCGGCCTCGCAGACAGCGGAAAGCTTGGTTCCCATACCCATCAAGACTTGCATACGATGCAGGAGAGTATTCGAGCATCCACCTTGGCACTTACCCATCAGGAAATAGCCGCATGATCCCAGCAAAAGCAAAGTAGGTGTCAAACACCAGGTTATGATGTTGATACCCTTGTGGCTAGTTGGCATAGCTGTGAGGGGAAGCACGGACTAATATAAGAATACCTCCTGCATTCTATCCCCCTTGACGACCCAGTCAATAGGCGGTCTGTGTGTGGAGTCAGATCATGTAGAATTGGCCAGAAATAAGCAAGATTCCAGTGAGCCACAGTTCCCTGCTACTTTGCACCATGCCAGAGACTGCATCGACTGAGAGGTTGGTTCCGCAGCTATATTCCTTGTGCAATGACCAGCCCCTTTCCTTCTTTATACCAATGTCACTGCTGATCCTCCCCCTTTTCTTGTTTATTGCGCTGCCGCTAACAACTTAGCATTCAGGAGCCCAAGATATCGATCTGCCTGCAATAGCTGTCACGGTGCAAAAGTTAGTTTGCTTTTAGCCATTTCAACTCCTCAGAAAACAGGACTAACATGCTTCATTTTTTTAATGTTTATGCAGGTGAAATGCAGCGGGGAGAAGACTGGATGTGCCCGTTGTCGAGCCCAGAACAGCACATGCAAGTATGAGATATCAATGGTTGGCAAGGTACCAGGACAACGGGCAAAAAACGGCCCTCGGATGAATCCTTCCTCGAATAAACGGCAATCCGAAGAGCCTACCAGCAGGCGTACCCGAGAGATGACCACTCCACCCACAGAAGTAGATGTTGACTGGGGTCAATCCATGGTCAATTTTGACCAAAGCGTTGAATCAAATTTGCATTTTAATCAAGGATGCAACCCAATCTTTGACAGCATGGAAATTTCTACCGACCTACCGTCCCTCGAATCCTCAATTGACCCGTCTCCGGATGTCGGTCAGTGGATGGGAGAGAGAGATAGCTCTTTACCGATTACAAACGACGTTTCCCCAAACAACTTCGACATACTACTCAATACAAATGAAAAAAGACTATCTCTGCTCCTGGAGCAGGTACCATTCAGCCAATCAATGGGGCTACATTTTCGTCCAGACAGCTGTACAGCCGGCAGAAATAAGTGCATCCAGAGCTGTAGTGACATTATCCAATATCTGGAGCGAAAGATGATAGTTAAACTGTGTGCGCTCGACGATGTCATTCGTATCTGCCAAACATCCATATCGCGGCTCTCCTCAATCATGGACACGGATGAGTATACCCAGAGCGCCAGCTGTGTTCCACTCAGCTGCATTGCCGTTAGTCATGTAATAAGCCTGCTGGAAACGTGCGTGATCCCAGAGGAGGCGTCTCAACCCGACAGGCTCCCGTCCCCCAGAAACATCCAATTGAATTGCACCCTGCCACGCATCACCTTCGGCTCCCTCCAGGTCCACCAGGACGATCAACTCAAATTCGGCTGCCAAGTACTTCAGAGAGAGGTCAAGAAGTGCGGGCAGCTGCTGACGAAACTACAGGCTCAACAGGAGAAGCCTATGACTCAGGGTAGTAAATGTCTGCTCCAGATGCAGGAGCAGTTCTGTTCGGATTTTGAGCGGCGACTTGAAGAACTAGAGAAAATTTTACAACAATCGTAGATAGATATAGCGTGCAAACCATGAAAGCCAGTCATCGGCTCGCCGGGCTTTCATTGGATACTGTACTGCGTACGGAGCACTCTGTGGTTTAGACATTTGAAGGCAGGAGGCTGCTTTGTTTTGTATGATCTAATTGCAATGTTTGCATAGCGCTCATTTCTATTGGCTGTTTCTGACTAGCTGACTCAGCAAAGAGTTTGCATAGTTTGCCTCCGAGACATCCCCGAATCGAGTCACACGCCCACACGTAAGCTTCACGGATGTACCGAAACCACCGCAGCCTAACAGCAATGGCGTCCAATAAGCCATGATCATCGCGTGGCTTTTGCGGCTGTAGTGCAGCCAGCGAAGGGATTGGGCCTTTTCCCTTTCCAGGGCAGCCGCCCCTCCGCGTATCTATCTCAATCCAGCATTCCTTGCCAGTGTTTTCAACAGCACCAGGGATTGCATGTCCACAGGATAGTTACTTGACAAGCGAGGCTATGCAGGATAACAAGTCAACTCGGCTGCCGACATAAGCGTCCCCGCAACCCACGGGCCCTCAATGATCTGCTTCTACGGACTGAGGGTCGGGTTCCGAAGCAAGATTGTCCCTCCAGTTGCTGATCGCATATCTGCGATAGATCTTGTGTCCTGGAAAACGGATATACCCGCCATTCGAGTCCTTTTATATTTTCCACGTGGGACTGACGGCTTCTATTCCATTTACTGTGGTAACTGTATAGCCATACAGCTGTGAGAATCTATATGAATCAAAACATGGCGGACAAGGATGCCATCGAGCTTATTGACAAGATCTGTGCTCTGAAAAATGAGGCTGTTGTTCATGATGGTGATACAGTCCGTTTTGGAACCACCGATAATGATGCTCGACGCGTTCGAGAACACCTGAACATGCATGCCCGCAAACTCATTCTTACCCTACAAAAACCCAATATGGCAGTTTGGGATACGATCCGTAGGGTACGACATGATCTCAGTATGGTTCCATATTCTCCTGTCACACTGACAAGAGCCAATAGTGTGCCATACTTTCGCCTATCAAGATATTGCAAGATGTGGGGGTATTTAGATATCTCGCTGGTCGTGAAAGTGCCACTGCAAAAGAACTGGCTACCGAATTAGGCGCTGAGGAATCATTACTTAGTACGGGGTTGTTTTGATCCTTTAAATGATATTTTGACACTGATCGATTATCAAGTTCGCATGATCAGGCCTCTAGTCGCGGAAGGCTTGTTTTCAGAAGTAGGCGAAGAAGTTTACTCACTCACGGTTTCCGGGAGCCCATATGCGCTCCCAGCATTTGAGGACTCCATCACGTTTTCGTATGTGTCCAATTTTCTTGTAAGCATGAAGCCTAGTTGCTATATCTAACATCGCTATTGCTCTCAGAATTGCGTTTATGCCCGTTGTTATGGGTAATCCTTCTTTCTTCCGTAACTATGGATACAGAGAGCCTGTGTCGCACGACGGGCTAAACACACCAATGGCCGCATACTTCCAGAAACCTGGATATGGATTCTTTGATTATCTGAAAGACAATCCTGATATCCAGAAGGTTTTTGCATCTTCCATGGGGGCACATACAAAGTCTGCCAATCTTTCTTCTTCAGTTTACCCATATGGAGAGAAATTGCTGTTAAAAAAAGGGGAGGATGAAACGGGTGTCGCAATAGTTGATGTTGCAGGTGGGACTGGGGTGGTGTTACAAGAGATTTTGAATCGTTACCCTGGAATCAAAGGCCGGATGGTTACGCAAGATCTGCAAGCAACTTTTGATACCTTGACTGAAAAACCACAGAGGATTGAGCTCATGGCACATGATATCTTCACTGAACAACCTATTAAAGGTAATATTATCTATTTTCCCTCTCTTCTAACCCTAGTTTCTTTACATTGCTTACACATTGAGCGTATGAGCAGGCGCCTCCGCATATCATCTGAAACGAATTTTACATGATTGGAGTGACGGACAATCCCTAATAATACTGAAGAACATCGTCTCTGCCATGGAAAATGGGCATTCAAAACTCTTAGTTATGGACTCAGTAAGCTCATTGGAACCACTCCCATATTCGATTGCTTATATTTTCTAGATCATACCGCCAACCTCTGCTACCTTCTCACAAGCCATGGGGGACCACTCTATGATGACATTCGGAGGAAAAGAAAGGAATGAAAGGCAGTGGAGGGAGTTACTCTCTTCTGCAGGACTAAAAATTGTTCAGATCTATGTTGGCCCAGAGCCCGAAGCGCTTATTGAATGCGAGAAAGTTTGATATATCAAATTTCAAAGTGCCTTCATAGCACCTACAGATCACTGGACAATAAATACTAGACATATATATTGAAGAAATAAAACGCCTTTATAGAAAATAAAAGCCAGCTCAATCAGACGACTCTTTTGTTTGTTTATCCCACATTTGACGATACCGGCTATTACGAACTAGGAGCTCAGAATGAGTGCCCTGTTCCACAATACGTCCATCATGGAGAACTACAATTTCATCGCAATGGACAATAGTAGATAGACGATGCCTAAATGACTACTGGTTAGCTTATGTGCGTTTCATAGGATAACTATCAGGGAGTCAAGTACGCTATGGTCACCGTCGTTCTGCCCGTACTGAGTTTTCTAAGGGATGCCTGGATCGTCTTTTCTGTCTCTGAATCAAGGGATGCGGTTGCTTCGTCCATCAAAATAATATTTGGTGACTTAAGGATAGCGCGTGCAATTGCAATCTAAGACGGAATTTTGGCTATGTTAGCCATTTCACATTAAGAGAGAATACAGAAAGGGAATGTGATTCTCCTTACACGTTGTTTCTCCCCGCCTGACAGCCTGAGCCCGCGTTCTCCCACTTGTGTTTGATAGCCATCCGGGAAAGCCATGATTTTGTCATGCACGCTAGCGGCTTTACAAGCTGCATAAATGTCTTCGTCAGTGGCATTTGGATTCGCATACAGCAGGTTGTACATCAAAGTGTCGTTAAAAAGCATGGTCTCTTGCGGCACGACTCCAAAATGGCTCCGCAAACTTTGGATCGTAAAGTCTTCGACAGACCGGCCGTCAATTAAAATGTTGCCGCTGTCGATATTGTAGAAGCGGAAAAGCAATCGAAGCATGGTCGATTTTCCACTTCCACTCTCTCCTACAATTGCAACCGATGTTCCTGGTTTTATATCCAAACTTATGTCCTGTAAAGCTTTCCGGCGTTGATCATAAGAGAAGTAGACATGGTCGAAGGTAATATGGCCTCTGCAGCTCTGCATGTCTGTGGCAGTGGGTTTATCTACGACAGATGGCTTTTCGTCAAACTGAACCATATGGTCAATCAGCAATCAGGTATATCAAGAAGTATATCGAGCCTGGCAAACTCACCAGAGCTAGCATGCGCTCTGCATCGATAAGATTGTTTTGTATCTGGGTGTAAAAGCTACCAAAGAAGCCAAGTGGTGCCTGAAGTTGAGCAAGATACGCCAGGAGTGAAATGAACATGGCAACCTCCTCGGTGCTGATAGAAATATGGTAAGCAGACAAAAACGCTACAGCCATTACACCGAGTGTGAAAATAAAATTTTGTACTGCATTCAGAAGGTTCAATGAAACCAACACAGAAAATTCGGCCTTCTGGAAGAAGTAAACTCGGTCTGAAAATCGAGAAAGTTCAGCTGATACAGCATCATTGTAATGGACAACTTCGTATGACATAATTGCATCAGTTCTGAATCATTAATATGTCAGTTATTTTGTCCTTAACGGAAATGATGAGGCACATATGGAATACTCAGACATACTTGACAGCATCCATTTCGCGATCTCGTGTCATCATCTCTCGTCTTGCTCTTCCGCGGTACTTGGCCATATATATTGTGACGAAGAGATATGTTCCTCCCATACTCAAGATAATGAGCGAGTAAAATGGGTCGAACTGTATGAGAAAATATGCAGCGGCGACGCCGAGATCCGCTACCATGGGGAATAGCTGAAATATGAGCGAATCCAGAAAAGTATTTAATGCGCTACCTTTGCTTAGGGCGCTCATTACCTCTCCAAGCCGCTTTCCAAGGTGAAATTGAAGAGAGAGGGAGAGAACATGCTTAAAGGCGGATCCTGTTAGCTGGCGGTATGTTTCCTGCCCGATTGGAATCCATAGCAAAGCGCGGATGGATGCGAGAACTCCTTGTTGCCCTTGAACAGCTCGACACGCGATATATATGAGCAACTCCTTGTAGGGAATGGTACCTTTGCCTAGTGCAGCAACGACGTTTCCCAATTGAAGAGGTACCAAAACATTGACCACGCGTTGTGCTATAAGAATGACTAGGCATAGTAATGCACGGATCTGTAGCGTCAGAGATTTTGAAGGCCTCCAGATGTCATTAGTAAATTGATATATCAACCGGGATGATGTAGATTCGCGTTTCTTACCAGATTAAGGGAAAAAGCTTCCCAAATCCGACAAGATAATCCAGCCAATTAGTTAGCTGAGCATCGGTCGATGCTGATGGCCGCAATTTTGTTCCGTCTAGGGTCCCGTATTGGCTATCGTCACCCGATTCCGAGCCTAGTAAACTGGTCGTAGCCGGATCTGATTCTGCTTTGGCTGGAGCAAAAAACAAAATGCAAGCACTCGTTAAGCAAATGATTCTGCAATATCCAAAAAAGAGCAGCCCGCTGTATAGAATTTCAGAACCGCGCGGATCATATCGTGCCGAAGGATGGGCAGAGCTTATTGAACTCAGAGCTGCAAACCCTATTTCAAATGGCAATGCAGTGGCCCAAGTGTGTGCGCTTGTCAAGGATGGTTGGTATGCCGTATCCGGGTCCGGAAGTATTGAGGCAAAGAAGAACAAAAAGACCGCAATCTGAGAGGCCTACATACCGAATAGTCTCATGTCAGTCAAGATTACAAAAACGGTAGAGCTTTAACGCCCCCCTCTGAAAGAAAACGGTACGGGCCTTCTGTTGGCCCAACTCACAATGAATGACTGAGAGTAGGCCCAAAATCCTACACTCTCTGTAGTAGTTGCATAGAGAGCAATGGTAACAGTCAACACCTGTGCCCGTTAGTTATATGTCCAAGTACAAGAAGCTGAGCCCATCCTACCAGCGACAAACATAGTACACAAATTATTGCATACACCCACCGCGCTCGAACGATCGGGATTTCATGTCCCTTAAACCCAAATGTATTAGGTGCTCGGCGCACCTTAATGAAGATGCTGGAGCCAAGGTAGGCAACACCCAGAGCAATTGGATAACCTGGCTCAAGCAAGGCCGCAACGTTGGATATGGTACTGCTTGCCATACTGAACCCGTTTTAATTGAGAGGGTAAATCTTGATGGCTAGATCTACATCATTAAAATAACGAAGTAGAGTCGGTTGCCGCTCGGCGCCCGGTATGCGGTCTCAGCCCGAGTACATCATCGTCCGCCTTTTTCGAATTTTGAAATGTATAGTTTTTTAAATTTAATTTTTGTCCGAAGAAAAAAAAAATTATTGTGCCCACTGGTTGGATTTTGTGATGCTATCCAACGACCTCACGGGCGATGTTGATTGCTCGGAGCAGAGTCGACTACTGGAGAACAGATTTCAAGGAGAGATAAATACAAGAGAGCAAAATGCCATAAAGCTCCCACGTCATAATGGCATAATTCATCCAGCAATAGTGCTCCCTGTATCCTTGTTGGCCTCGCTCGCGATACACATGACGGCGGCGTCGACAACATGGGCATATGCATATTTGTTTTGCGAGCATCCCGAGAGCTGCAATGATGGAGAAAAGAGTAAATTTGCCGGTTCAATTGCCATCGCAACGATGTTAGCAAATGCGACAGGGCTTTTCTCGCTCGGATATCTAGAAAAGTTGGTCAAGTGGGATTCACGAGCAGGCTTACTTGTGTGGCTAGCTTGCCGGGGAACAGGAGTTCTGGTGTTCACAATTGGAGGTAGCTGAAAGCCGCACCCTGTAGCAATGTGGAGAGGTCAATAACTAATTGAATACTTAAGTGTACTTGCACAGTCTTCCATGCCTCTTGGGCGGCCAAGTCTTCCAAGGACTGGCTTCAGATAACCTCCTGCATTTCAACTTAAACTCCATATACACTCATGCTGACACCACGGAGCACGTTTCTACCCTTATGGGCACTTCACTTGCATTGTATATGTTGGGGATGGCCATCGGACCAGCAGGAGCGGGTCTCTTTCCATCCTTCCAGTGGAGTTTCTTCGCCGCAATCGGCTTATTTAGCATAGCAATTGCATACGTACTAGCGATAATCTCCTACCACCAAGTCGAAGACAACCAGGTTAATGAGAGCTATGGCGAACGCGGTGCTGGTCAGGCTGAAACTTCAGCGGACAGTGAGACTGAGCCCGAAGGTTTTGTCGCGTTCCTCTCCCCTGTTCGCCTGTTTCACGACCATCCCAGAGCAATTCTGCAAGGCCTGTCCCTATTCCTTTATAATATGGCACAGGCATACGAGATAAACTTGATATTCGTTTTCGCTTCTGTTCAATTCGGGTTTACGGCTAAGGAGAATGGCATCTTGCTGTCCTTGGTTGCGGTAGTGGCGGCGACGTACCTGCTATCGTCAGTATTCATCATTCCAAAGCTCGTTAATTGCATTCGATCTGTCGTTTGGAAATGGCAGAGCAAATCCCCATTCTTTTCAAGCTCGGATGCAACGACCCCCCCACAGAAACGGGCCAGGAAAGGTAGATCTTTTGATCTTGGTGCGGCGGCGACCTCTATACTCATTCAGGCCACAGCTGCTATATTGCTGTCTAACGTGCATCGCCCGAGCCAATTATACGCAGGTGCGGCGTTAACAGCACTTGGTTTCGCTGCACCATCTTTCATCAAAAGTTATTTTGTAGCGTCCTTGCCAGACGCTACACGAGGAGTGGCAGGTCTTGCACTGATGGAAACAAGTGGGGGACTGCTTAGTCCTATGGTACTGGGTATGTGGCAGGCAAGTCGCCCGGACAGCTCGGTCTTCTATGTTGCTTCTGCACTTTTGGGCGCGTCGTTTGTGTTGTTACTTGTTGGCGCGTATGCCATGAACGGGAAACGCGGAGAGCACAGGCCATCGGCATAGTCACTTGTTAATTTCGTTACAACTTTACTTGTATTTATTATCTAATCAGCTTGTCAAGTAGTAAAACTCACAACGTTCTGTAACAGTAATGAAATAGTAAGAGCCACCAGGCTAAAATCTTGATCGAGTCATCTGAATGCCATCCGCCCACCTTCTGAGCTGTTCTCGCCCCGCGTGCAAGCTTCCTCCATGAGACAACAAGCGAAGAGCTTCAAGCACTAACATCGATATCTTCTCAACAACAGCGACTGGGTAACAGTACTCGTCATGCTCAATTCGCACAGTCAAGTCTTCGTTTGTGACAGCAACGAATTCAAACATTAGTTTGAATTTTGACCCCTCTGCCCACAGATTCAATGGCTGGAAGCCTGGAAGTGGTAGGAAGTCCTTTAGCCGGTTATCATGGAATGTCACCATGATATCAAATAATGGGTGATTGGGAAAGTCTGGTACGATTCCTAGATGTCGCAGAAGCTGGTCCCATGGAACCGCACGTCCCAACGCCTGCTGGCTGTAGCACTTGACATCTTGCAAATACTGCTCTGTTGATGTCGATTGGAGGGCGCTGCTTTTAACTCGAATGGGTAGCGGTTCAAGAAATAAACCGACAGTTTTTTGCGCTTCTGAAGTCTTACGATTCAGATGGGGACCACCAAGAACAATATCAATTTGCTCTTGGTCCAGTTGCATAGCTAAAGCTATCGCGGCCAGCGCGAGTTGGTGAAGTGTCAAACGTTGTGATGCCACAATGTCAAGCATTGAGCCGAAAGTTGATGGGGGAATTCTATATAGCCTTGAAGAACCCCGATAGTTAAGCCGCTCTACTCCGACCTCGAAGGATGTCTTTGTGGAGGGCGCATCCGCCATATACCGTGTCCAGAAATCAAAATCGCAGACTGCTGCCATATTATTCCATAAAGTGACTTCCATGTAGTTGTGACACGCTCTCTTTAGCGGCTTTCCTCGATAAAGTGCAACGACTTCATTGTGCAACAATTCGAGTGTTGTGAGATCGCAAACGATATGGCTGACGACGACAAGAAACGTATCTTTCGAAATTATAACCCTAATCGGATCATTTTGGCTCAAGTTGAAAGGGCGGTTGACTTCTTTCCATATATCCAGCCGGCTTAGCCTCTGCACTTGTGGCGGAGAATCGGCATATTTTCTATAAACACCAGATCTTCGACCTTTTCTAACATACCTTGATCGCAGTATTCGATGCCTGGCCATAACCATATTCCAAGCGGCTGCGAGAAGGACCTGGTCGACTTTTGATGGGTTAAATTTCGCGGCAAAACATACATTAAAGGATGAAGATCCTTCGTCAAGATGGTATTTTTGCCACCATTCCATCTCAATAGGCGCCAGATCATGCTCGTTTACTTGTCCATGGGAAGTCTTCGCCACTTGTTCCTTCAGGGAATTTTGCAGTAATAATTGATCGATACTGTCGGCCATACTATGAAGTGTCGAGGATTCCACCACAATCTTGAATGGGATTCGACACTGGAACTCCTCGTTGAGCTTTGTTGCTAGATGCAGCTGCAACACAGAGTGACCCCCCAGGTCAAGAAAATCAGAGTCATTGTTGATTGGCGTTTTTGGATCCAACCCGAGAATTAGGCGCCATAGTTGCGCCACCTTATTTTGGATAGGCAGCAATGGGCGCTGTTCTGGAGAGCTGGCGGAAGAACTATTCGGTGTATAATTTGCTATTGCATTATAATCAAGTTTGCCTGCCATCGTCATGGGGAACTCATCAGCAGAAAAGACATGTTTTGGCAGAGCGTGGATTGGCACGGCGTTTCGGATTTCCGAAATAAAATTTGCTATGTTGACTGAACCAGGCGTCACCATAGCCACAAGAAAATCATTTTTGCGAGCGATGGCTACAGCCTTTACCGCAGGGGCAGCCTTTAACATTCTGACTTCTAGATCGTTTAGATCGAGTCGAAATCCACAAAGTTTAATCTGCCGATCTCGACGACCCAAGCATACTATTTCTCCAGTCTCAACGTCCCAGTATCCTTGGTCACCAGTGCGATATATCATTTCTCCCAATTCCTTGCGCACTAAGTCTGGGCAAAACCTCTCACTTGTTTCTGCAGTCAGGTTCATATATCCCCGTGCAACCTGCACGCCAGCTAAACAAATTTCACCCCTCATTCCTGGAGGCACAAGACACATATTCCGGTCCATGATGTACACTCTTGTGGACGGATTAGGACGGCCGATGGTTACCGCCTTTCCTGGTAATAGTCGTCCGATAGTAGCGCCACCAGTCCCCTCAGTGGGACCGTACATGTTGTATAGTATCTTTTGCGATGCCCAACGGTCATTTACTTCCTGGGGAACAGGCTCTCCGACTAGATATACCTACAGAAGCTCTGTTAGGCGTTGAATCGTATTTAAAGGTTAGGACATTGTGCTTACCGTGTTAAGCAATGGAAAATTTGTTGGATCTAAAACTTTTGCAACCGAAGGCGTGAAGAGAGCAACATTTACCTTGGACAAATGTGCAAAAGGATCTTGGCCGTGTGGTAAAACTAGTGTTGCACCGTAGCTGAGGGCTGAGAAGATCTCATGAATGCTACCATCAAAAGCAGCGGACATTGTTTGTGCTATCTTACAGCCCGGTTCACTCATAAGGCGCACTTCTTTATCCCTTTGGAATGCCACAAGACCAGAATGTGTGCATAATACCCCTTTGGGCTTTCCTGTGGACCCGGATGTGAAACAAATGTAAGCACTCGCAAGGGGGTTGGGATCAGGTTGTGCCACTATTGAGCCTTGGACTTTGCGTATTATTTCCTCCAAAACCAAAACAGTATCGCAGCTTAAAGGCTGGGAAGTTTTCTGCCATTCATAAGGAACAAGAAAAACTTTTGCTTCCGCTGACTGATACTGGCTGTTTCGAAGAGGCTGGGGAAGAGCAGCGTCAATTGGACAGTATATACCTCCCGCCATTAAGATACCATATATTCCATAAATCCACTCGAGTGAACGATCCGCATGAATGCAGACAACATCCCCACGCTGGATGAATGCTTCCAGACCCTCAGCAATGCTACTTGCTGCCGTCATGAGCTGTGAATATGTAACTTGGTCGTCCCCTTTTTCGACCGCAATATGGTCTGGGTATTTAGCGGCGGTTTGGCAGAAAAGACTAGTTAGATCCTCGACAACTGATGGTATGGTCGTTTGATCTGAAATACAATTCCCTAAGGTCCTCAACATCTGATGGCTCTCAACAGTGAGAACTTTGTCTTGACATTCACTCACTTGAGCGCTGGCATTGAGGAGAGTCGAAAATGCATTTCGATATTGATCACAGAGCGTCTGCATATCACTCCGATGGAAAATAGCACTATCGTACTCCATCCGAACCGTCTCGTCAGGCTCAATGAAAATTCCAAGAGGGATATCTGTATGTGAAAGGGAGTATGGTTTTTCGATTGGAGCTGCTATGGATTCCCCAGCTTCTCCCTGCAAGTCGGACAGGTCGAACTGTATGCTCAATGCTGATGAAAATTGCCTTGTGTAGCCATGTTCAGGCAGTGACCACTGAAAGGATGCAAGCTTCAACATCTTTTTAAATATGTGCTGCAAAAACTGTTTTACCGATGAATTAGAATCGATTTTGATGTATATGGGCAAGGTATTCACTAATGGACCAACTGTTGTCTCGACATTTGGAAGGGGAAGGTTGCGTCCAGAGAGAACAGCACCAAAGAGGACCGTATCGGAGTCAGTATACAGTGCTAGGACCAGTGCCCATGCTGCATAGCACACAGTCGCAAGTGTTACTCCGCATTTCTGTGCGAGCGAGGGAACATCAACCGGCATACGGAAACTAACCGTGTCCGTGATATTGCTACTCGCATGCTTTGGGGATGACAACAGCAATTCGCCGTTTGCGGATGAATATTTTTCATGTTGTTCTTGCCAGAAGTCCTGTGCAGCCGCCCTTGACGAATTTTGCAGCTCCCGCAACTTTGTAGCTAAGGACACAAAGGAAGGGCTTGGTTCGACTTGCATTCCAGCAGCTACTTGCCGTACTTTTCGGAGGACGAGCATTGCTGAATACCCATCAATAAGTGCGTGGTGTATACGCCAAATAATGGTACTAATGCTGTTTTCAGATTCTTTATCGCAAAGCGTGATGACATCGAAACAGTTCCCAATCAATAGATCGCATTCGTCGTTGTGTGGCTCTTTGAACAGCGATAAGCTATTCTTATTTAATTCTTCCTGGTACTGCTCCCGATTTATAACAATTTTCTCTGTCCAGAGAAATGGAGCTTCTTGCTGCTCGATTAATTTGCCTCCATCCCGTAGGTCAAACTTCGTTCTGAAAATGGGCTCCATGGCGACAATCGTTTTCCAGGCAGTACGAATTGTTTCAAGCCGATCTGTTGGATATGTTTCGAAATAGTTAATAATATTTCGAACAGGGTCCTTTTTTGTTCCATGGATCAGTGCTAACTGCATCTCTGTCATCGATGTACCAATTTCACCCTCGATGGTTTGCGTATTGGAGCCTTGGGTAACAAAGGCATTCAGCGCATCACCGTCTGATGTCATACCGTTGAGGTGCTGCATTGACTTCTTCGTGCTCCCGTTCACGTTTCTCGATTCTGAAGATTGACATGGAGGCGACTCCGGCTGCTCATTATCTTCGGCAAAGACAGCACAATTCAAAATTGTTTCGACGTCTCGACTGCCTAAGATAGATTCGACTGAAAGACGGACGTTCGCCTGCTGGCAGACGGTTTTTAATCTCACTGCTGATAAAGAATTTCCACCAAGTTCTGTGAATTTATGGTCTAATTTAATATCTGATGCTGGAATATCCAGTACCCAAGAGGTTTGGTTGATTAACCAGGCACGGGTGCCTTCAGCCATAATCTTTACTTTCATAAAGAAATAGATGAATACAGTTTATGAACGAATATGCGAGATCAATTCACTCGTCGTGTCTAAGACACGACTTGATATAGCTAGACAGGGTAGTATTTAACCAGCTATCAGCGATATTTAGTGTGCCCCCACCTGCGTTAATGGTAGGACCATAGCTGACATTATTATCGGCAGCCGATTTCATTTACGAGCGCGGGAGTATTCTTCGGAATGTTTTCTGAAGTAGCCGTGAGGGTGCCGTGCTACCGATCGTTATGACATTACAGTATCGTCTCAAATATGGTGGATGGCACTCTTCTGAAAATACCAACCGGTTCCAGAATTGATGCCTCTAATGAGAAGAAAAGATATCCTATGCATAACTAACCAAATAGCATAGTAATGGTCGGCAAATCCCTCGGAAAGTCAAAGTCATTCGAAAACCGGGTGCCTCTCGAAGCCACTCAGCAATCGCAAATAATTCTCCATCAGTAAGTAACTGTCTATCTGAACCCTACTATGATTGATGGGTTTCCTCTGTTTTATTACACCTCAGTCTGCCCTCCGCTTTTAAAGATCTCATTGTCTCTACCCCATCGACCAGATTCCGCTTTGCTTTTTCTGCGTACATGGTCCGAAATCTTTCACCGTCTGGCCCGTCTTGGGATACATCTCCATAAGGGATACTGTATTCAAACAACAGATAAAATTCATCTAGATCGTCTGTGACCCCTCGAACAATAGTGGTTGTCACCCGATTACCGGTCGCGAGTGTTGTGCATTCGAACTGATAGATTTTCGGCGCTATCAGCCCCATTTCTAATCACCAGCAGTGCCGTTGTATGTCGATCATACAAAAGAACAGATTGGCTAGTCACCTTATGCATATTGGTCAAAATGACCTCTTGCTCCATTTCAGGAGTATCACCTTGAAATCTCAGTGTGCGGATCATTCTACCACCTGCTTCCGACTGCACTGTGCACGAAGATATGGCACTCGTAAAACTTTCGGGTGAGAAAGCGAGAAGCCGGCATCCTTCCCAAAGGTCTTCCACTGACAGACGTGTTGATTCTTGTTGATCATTCACCGGAATTGTAAAAGCGACGTGGAAACGACTCATGTTTGTGGTAGTTTGGAAAATAATGTCAATCACTGCCTATTGAGAAGTAGTTGAAGATCCAATGATTCAAGTCTGTTTTTAGGGGCCGCTGTGATTACATTTATATCTTGCGCTACTATTCCATATGGATGTACGGGGTACAGAATACACACGATCCTTCTTCCAGTCCCACCCCCGCCCCAACAACGCGATATTTTGGGCTACCCTGTTCTATATGCATGAATGAACAAATTCAAAGGCATTTATCCGCTGGAATTGTTTATTGATCCCAGAGAAGGTTTAGCGGATCTTCTAAGATGGCCGAGTTGAAGAATCGTCTATCGGCCCGATGCCGGTTCCCGAGATTACAGTATACTCGGCCACCAAGTGCTGGAGCATTTATCCTACCAAAACAACAAATTATGGGGTGTTCCTTTCTCCCGGTGTTCACTCCAGTCCAGATTTGCTTTGATCTAACCCCCTATCCAAAATAGACAGCGACATTGTGCGTGATCACATAATGGATGTGCCCCAGTCTATCATAACGTACTTTCGCTGGCAGGACTCAAATACCCTTTTTCTGCCCAGTTTAATAGGTCCCCTTGTTCTCGCGTACTGCTTGTTTCAATGGACGCGCTTACGGGCCCCAAAACTTGACTTGCCTGTTGTGGGCGACCCTACAGCGTCTGACTTTCGGTCTGCTCTGGAGGAGGGGGCGAAAAAAGTATTAGTGACTCATTTCTCCGACTAAAACATGTGGATACGGATTAGAAATAACTGATCATTATAGTATCCTAATAGCCCTTTTGTGCTACCAACACCCATGCATCCCACGGTGATCCTCCCTCACTCTGCCATCGATGCCATTAAGAACCTACCAGAAGAGGTTATATCTCTTAGGTACGCAAAGTTGGCTTAATTGAAAACATCAAAGGTTAATTTTTGATTTTAGACAGCACCACTATACGATATTTGTTGGCGCATACACTCATTTTGGCAACAAGGCTGACGAGCTAGATGCTGCTATTCGAATCGACTTGACACGAAACGTGGAAAAGATTTTGCAAATTTTTCAGGGAGAAATTGACTATGCTTTTGAACAAAATATCGGCGAGTGCAAAACATGGACGGCTATTCCAGGATATGAAAAAATGCTAAGAATTGTATCTTTGCTGAGCTCACGAGTTTTTGTTGGATTACCTTTAAGTCGAAATGAGGAATGGATCCAGACAACTTGTAAATACGCACTTGATGGAGGTGCGGGAGCTCATGCCTTAACCCCGTATCCAACATTTCTGCGACCGTTTGTTGCGCCATTCCTCCTACGTTCACTAAAACAACATCGGGCTTTAGCTCGTGAAATGATGCAGCCTTTGGCAGACAAGTACGCAACTGCAAACAGATCGGAGGTGAGCGCAGATGACAACATTACTGGAGGGGATCTGATCCAGTATATCGTGTCGCGATATAATGGGCCTGTCACTGCTGAAAGGCTTGCCCGGGATCAGCTCATTGCAACGTTTGTTGCTATGCACACGACTACTATCTGCCTTACCCAGGTTCTCTTTGATCTTGCTGCACGCCCGGAATATGTTCAGCCACTCCGCGAGGAACTAGAGGAAGCGCTGAAAGCAGACAGCCATCAAGATGGGCTGCTTCACAATACTACTATGATCAGACTTCGAAAGATGGATAGTTTTATTCGTGAGAGTCAGCGAACAAACCCTCCTGGTTTGGTCACGATGCTTCGGCACGTTACCTCTCCCGACGGCCTGCGATTGGCATCTGGGCATGTAATTCCTAAAGGCACTGTCGTTGGCATCTCGAACCATATGGTAACGCGTTCGTACCCAGAGCCTGATACCTTTGACGGATTTCGATTTTCAAAGCTGCGTGAACAGCCTGGCCATGAGATTCGCCATCAGCTGGCGACGACTGGGCCGGATGCGCTCAGCTTCGGCCATGGTAACCATGCGTGTCCGGGTCGATTCTTCGCTGCAAATGAAATCAAAGTTGTGATTGCACATCTGATCCAAAACTTTGATATTAAGTTGAAAGATGGTGAAAGCCGACCAGAAAATCACCATCGAGGTGCTATAGTATCCCCATCCGCAAATGGGGAAGTCCTCTTACGTAGTAGGACATCAGCCTTATAATGTACATACACGCACATATATATTTACCTGTCCGCTGTATCATTGGAGCTAATTTCACTCGAGATATGCTATGTTACACCAGGGAGTTCTAGTGCGCCTTTGAATTATATAGTTAAACGGAACCAGTAATCAGACGAGTTTGATTAATTCCTCATCGGCAGTTAAGCTAGAATATAACTTCGAAATGGAGTGGTAAATGCTACAATAGAACTCTGAAGGAGGCCTCTTTAGATGAAAAATGACTAGGTAAAAAACGCTTTGCCGTTTGGAGTGTTGAGGTTTTGATAAGATCTTGGGCCAGGGCCGGAGGAGATCATCACCAATGCAGCGATCGTTCAGGGAACTTGTACAACGGGGGCGTACAGCGGAGGCGCTAAGGGGAACAAACGTGGTGGTGCCGGCCCGCCCAGGCAGGTCGTCTACTCAGGCGATTTTAGAAAATTGGATATCGCAGCAAAATGGTTGCCCACAAGCTCATGGCATCTGCAAGGCTGAGCGAAGTAACCGGGCTTCCTTCAGCCCGTTTTTCCTGTTCGGTCACCGATCGGCTAATAGAGCCTAAGTACACTCCGTACTTACATGCAACTGTAGTTATATATGTACCTAGAATATTATCTACTCCATAACAGTTGATAGGACCAGAAATACACATTTGTTCTAACAGTAGCATTCTCAGGCGTGAGAGGTCAAGATTCAGCCATGGCGGTCTCCCTTCCCCCGCATTATCAGGCAGTGGTCGATGAGACTAAATGCACTTACAAACAGCTTGGCAAGTGCGGCTTGAAGGTGTCAGTCCCAATTTTGGGGTGTATGGGGTTTGGAAACAAGGAATGGGTGTGGGATTGGGTCTTAGAGGAGGAAGAGTCGATGAAAATGCTCAAGGCGGCATGGGACCGGGGCGTGAACACATGGGACACAGCAAATGTGTTCTCAAATGGTGATAGCGAGCGGATCATCGGAAAAACCCTAAAAAAATATCAAATACCTCGGCACAAGGTAGTCCTTATCACGAAGGTGTTTTGCACCGTTGGAGAGCAGCGGGATAATGCTATGGCATATGCAGAGCCTCTGAGAGGAGCGAAGGATTATGTTAACCAATCAGGTACATAACAACTCCCCCATATATAAGGATAGAAATGTTGACAAGAGGTGTCATAGGGCTGTCGCGCCAGTCGATATTCAACAATGTCAATGCCTCGCTTGAACGTTTACAAACGGATTACATTGATCTGCTCTTAATTCATCGCTCAGACGACCGCGTATCCTACGAGGAGACTATGGAAGCTTTGCATGACCTTGTTCGCGCTGGAAAGGTGCGTTACATCGGTAGTAGTTCAATGTGGGCGTACCAGTTTGCTCGTATGCAATTCTGCGCAGAACGCAATGGTTGGACGAAATTTGTCTGCATGCAAAATCACTATAGTTTGCTGTATCGTGAGGAAGAGCGGGAAATGAACCGGTTTTGCAACGAGACTGGAGTGGGTATCATTCCTTGGTCACCACTCTGTCGTGGTTTCCTTGGGCGAAGGTTGAAAGATAGCCTCGAAGGGGGAACGGCGCGCGCGAAAGATGAAATACTGAATGGTTCACGGTATGTTGGTATTCGCGAGGATCCTGATCAGAAGATTATTAAGCGGGTGGAGGAGCTGGCTGATAAGAAAGGGTGGACCATGGTGGATGTCGCCCTGGCTTGGCTGAATAAAAGGGTCGCCAGCCCAGTCGTGGGAATGACGACGGAAAAGATGTTGGATGAGTGCATTGCGGTGCGTGGGAAGATCTTGACGGAAGAAGAGGAGAAGTATCTGGAGGAACCGTACCAGCCAAGAGAAGTGTCTGGGCATAGATAAATATTTGTATATATTTATTAACCACAACACATGCAATGAGTACAGAAATCAAATAAAATATACAGAGTGATCCCGTTGAGTATCGGCGTTTGATTCTGTTTGAGGCGGATAAGCAAACGTCAATCAAGGGGATATACGGAGTATAAAAGCAGAAAAAAATATACCTACTGACAAAGTCAAATATCAAGATATATGGTGTTTCAGGCTCTCAGCTTAATATTTCTTAATTTCTCATAGCCATTCCACCTCTCTTCTGCTGTCCAGTACCTCACTAGGCTCTCCCATCCCAAAAGATCTCCAGCACGTAGCAGAGCTGCAATATCTACATTTAGAGGGCTGTCGGGTTGAGGATCAGTTAGCAGTTGATGTATTGCCAATAAAGTTGAGCTTAAAGTGTATGCAGGCGTCCAATGCTCAGTAGTGAGAAGAGTAAGGCATATTTCACCGGTGGTGAAAGATATATTGGGGTGACAGATGGGGGTTGTGAAAGTAATAGTAGGTGGAGATAAAGGATAGGTGGAAGGAATGGAAATCTTCAGGGACCAGAGGCCATCTATATCATAAAGTCTCATTAGATACCTTACTGTTTGTTTTTTAGGGGTCTTTGGTGGATGGATACCTTCGTAGGGTGTGTTGGGAACGCCTTTAAGCACGGCTTCCCAGTGAAGGAGATCGTCGTCAGAGATAGGATTCAGATGGAGAATAGCTTCATTGGAAGAGGACTGATACTCAGCAAGCTCACGGTGAAGGCGCTTTATGGTACTCGAGGATGCCATCATCTGTTGGGGATAATGGGCTTCAAACAAACAAGATGGATTGGCTGCCATTGAGCCGAGGAACAGGATTATATATTATCCTAACCGGCTTACTAATTTATTTACTAGTCAACTAATCTGATTAGATAACTAATGGATTACACATCAATCGGTGCGATGCCATTGGCCGGAGCTTCTTCTGCATTGGCCAGATGAACTTCAATTAGTTTTGTCACAGCACCACCATGAATTTTGGTTACCTATCTATCTGTCAGTTTGACGTCGCAACTAACAGGGATCACTTACGTTAAGCCGTGGATCTGCTGCCTTCAGCAATTGTCCAAACTGCTTTGCTGTGCGCTCTCTGGCAGACAATGTCACCATCATACACATATCACCTCTCCGTATAGCTAGATCTTGATGTCTAGGCGTTTTGTGACCCAATGCCGGAATGATACCTTCATTGAGCAGAAGCGGTGTTCCTTTACCAGCTTTTTCGAGTGCTGGGACCAATGCGCGTATGATTTTAATACAATCTGCATCGCTGTGATTGTGCAATGCATGTTTCATAAAGTATGCCTCGGCATCGGTAACCGGTTGTGGCTGGAAGAAATCATGCTGGTGAAATTGGACGTTTTCCGCAATTTTGTTATCCGGACCTAAAGATGGCGGGGGAAAGATGTCCTGTACAACGAACGACAGGTTGGGGAAGTGCTTGCAGCCGAGGACAGTCAGGTTGCAATCCATCTACTGTTGCTGGTTACTCACCTGACTAAGTAGTTTGGAGACATGTCCAGCGCCACCGCCTACGTCAACAATCTTCCCACTCCCCATGGCAGCCCAGTCGTAGCACTCTCGGAGACTGATCATGGATTCTTCATCCACTAGTGTGCACATTTTGCTCTTGTTAGCCACAGTCGGTAGAATCTGTGGCGCGAAAACTTACAACCAGAGGCACCCCTCATTGCTCGCCCAAAACGATCTGCTTTATCTGAGTTCTTTGTATAGAACTCGTAGATAGAGGTACCGAAACGTGTTGAAAATGGGGTTATATCTGACTTCTGTTCTAGCGGGCTTTTCCGAATAGCTTCGGCTGTACTGGAGGCTGCTTGGTACATCTCGTCCATCCTGTGCTTTTGTTAGTAGCATGCAGAGCCATGTTGCTGCAGGCACTAACTGGATTGCTATCGCCGATTGGGCCGAATCATCTTTTGCGATGAATTCGGATATAACACTATGCATGAAGACATCTTCACGTGTCTCCTCGAAGACGCCATGCACATTGAGAAGTCGCATCACTCGCCCTACTCGATCCTGATCGACGCCCACCTTTTGAGCCAGTTCCTTCAACGTAATTTCACCTGAAAGAGGGACATGGTTGAACAGCCGGAATTCCAACGCAACCTGAAAGGCAACTAAGTCGTAGTGGCTGAGTTGGAGATTGCGAAAGTATGATTTGGGGCTGATCACTTCTGCAACTAACTCCTCAGTGGCATCCTGGAGCTGGTCCGTCAATGTCGTCCAGGCCGGGCTTTCAAACGGTTGCTCTTCGCCGCCGGCGGCAACCCATTCTGCTGTAATCAGCCTGATTAAAAGCTGGATTCTATCGCCAAGGTGCTGAATGGTAGAAAAGGATCTTGTCGGCATGTTGATCGATCGTAACTGACTTAGAAAAATTACCCTTTGAAGGGCTTGAGGTACTTTGACTCGGTTTATTAATTAATGATGGCAGGAATCCAACATTTTACAATCTACTCAATTGGTGTTCCCGTTGCGGTTATTCATTTGATTATGCGCTGTTGGATTTGGTACGGTACCCGGTTGCGGTGTTTCGGCGCCCGACTTGAGACATAGCGATGGCGTCGATGTTTTTGATTACAATAGCGAAGAGAAGCAAGAGAAGTAGATTCGTTGGTTAGAGATTCCGCTCAACAATGCAATCAATTTCAGAAGGGAAATCAGAATTATGCTAACCGTCATAGATATTGCTGTTGCACTTGCGACATTCTACGGCTTTTACGCTATCGCCATCGGGACATGGAGGTTGTACTTCCACCCTCTGTCAAAATTCCCAGGGCCACGATTAGCCGCGTTGACATTGTGGTACGAATGCTACTTTGATGTCTTCCAGGTATTAGCGATACCTTTAACCTCAAAATGTTTTTACTAGAAGAGCACTGAATATTGGTGAGCTAGGGCGGCCAGTATTTTAAAGAAATTGAGCGGCTACACTCGATCTATGGTATGCCCTTCTAGGAATAGAAAGCTACTTTCTTTTTCTAACGGCTTTCGGCATTTCTGACTCTTATCCAGGCCCCATAGTGCGCATCAGCCCCAGTGAGATTCATATAAAAGATCCAGAGTGGGTTACAGAGCTGTATCCGCTTGGGAATCGCAAGCGCAACAAATATGCCTGGTTCTTATCTGAGGGAACGAACGCAACGAGTTCTGCCACGGTACATCACGATGTTCATCGCCAGCGCCGCTCCGCTCTCGCACCAAGCTTCTCCAAACAGTCAGTCGTGTCCTTCGAGGAAACTGTGATTCGTCCCAATATCTCTACTATGTGTAGCCAACTAGACGCATTTGCTAGAAATGGTAACCCCGTCGTGTTAGGCACAGTTTTTTCAAGCCTAACCATTGACTCGGTGCTTCAAATGTGGTATGGCGCACCTCCAGCTCAGACAAATTCTTGGTCATTTTTTCCTCGTTGGACAGATGTTATCCAGCCTCTTCTGACGGGTTCGCACTTCTTTCGGCATTTTCCTAAATCGTTCTACTTCCTAATCTTAGTGCCAAAGTCGGTCTTAGATAAAATGGAAGGACTGTCTTTTATTTTCGGGTTGCAAAAGGTGTGTCCGTGAAGCCCCGAATAGAATAGGTAGTATCCATTGCAGAATGGTATTATGGTTCTTAACTGCATATAGGAAACTTCGGCCCTTGCCAAAGTCGCTATGGAATCCGATCACTCCACAAAAGCTCCATGTCTGATACAGAAACTAAAAAGTAGCCCTCTGCCTGCAAACGAACGGTCCTTATCCAGGCTATCGAACGAAGGGTTCAGCTTCATTATGGCAAGCACAGAAAGCACCGCCCAAACCCTCTCTGCTATATTTTACCACCTCGCAGATAATCCGGATGTTTTAGCTGAGCTTCGCATTCAGATTCGGTCGTTGTGTAAAGCCCGTGAGTGCACTGCGCAAGAATTATCATGGACCGTTCTCGAACAGCTCTCGTATCTTGTACGGACATGCCATTCTATCGTTCCAAGCTTTTCTAAGATGCTACCTTACTGACCTATCTTCTTTTGATTTAGAGATACATCGTGATGGAGTCTATGAGAGTGACCTCGTCCGTAACTGGACGTCTAGCACGCATTGCCCCGGACGAAACCCTTAAATATAAAGGGTGGGAGATCCCGCCTGGCACTCCTGTTAGCATGGACCATCATTTTACACACCTTGATCCGACAATTTTTCCAGAACCAAAGAAATTCAATCCCGATAGGTGGAAAATTGCCTCTGAAAGTGGAAACTCACTAGATCGCTATTTCTTACCTTTTGGCAGAGGAAGTCGGATGTGTATCGGGATGAAGTATGTTACAATTCATTTGCCAAAATACTTATGATCAAGCTAACATGACATAAGTCTAGCAAAAGCCATAATTTACCGAACAATTGCTACAGTTGTGCAAAATTACGACTTTGATTTGTTCGAGACCACACGAGACGATGTTGAAATTGTTCGTGATAATCTGATAGGTGCCGTGAAGCCAGACTCACAGGGTGTCCGAGTTACGCTACGACAGAGAATGAAGACTTGATGTTTGCTAAATAGAAGTTAAACTTGAACTACTGATCCAGATATTGAATATATTAATATGAGATATATATCTGTAAATGGCATAAGATAACAATATTCAACAGAGGATATATTTCAAATTTTATATTAAATCTAGACTTAGATCTTGATCTTCCACATTATAACCGTATGCCAGTCCAGATTCTCCATCACGCGGCCTCTATGTTAGAACATATGGATGCATATGGCACAAGGGGCTTCATAATAGTGAAGGGAAGCATTGGCTTTTCCATACTCTTTAACTTGAGCATAATGTCCAAAAAGTATGGCAACGAGAAGGCAAACCAAAAAATTACCCATAAATGGCCCAGCCACCGTTGCCATGGTCGCTGGGGTAAATTTGACACAAGATTTTTATAAATATATTGCACAAAATCTTCAAAGGTGATAGCTGTGGCCTGAAGCATAAAAAATTGGAAAAACCCCAGACTGCGTTCCCGAAAGGTGATGTTTAATGGCGATGGAATAAGATATATGGCAGCAGAATGCATTATGCCACTAATTGCGAAGGAGAGCCAGAGTTGGGTGTAAGTTCGAAGCGTGCCCCGTCGAAGGTGTAGTGCGTCCACAAAAGCGCCAGTATAAGCATTCACTGTCTATTTTTTCAATGTTAGGGCGAGTAAATCGACTTGCGAGTGTGCTAGCTTCGCTTACATGACGTAGCATCTGGTGCCAATATTTACCCCAAAATGCACGAACGGTGGTGACTTGAGATAATCGACCAAAGAAAGGGGGCCAGTCCTTGGTATCTGGTCAGCGAAATGTTATTCTACGGTGTATGGCGTCAAGACCATCTTACCACTGGCTTGCTGATTCCTAACAAGACCCATACAATGGCGCCTCCAACATATTGCAAGTTCATAAATGTATACGGGATCATGCCTACAGTGGCTGTCCTGTAAACCCTACACATAAGGTTTGGATGCCGTGTTGTGAGATACCGGCTATTCATAGTCCCAACAACGCCATCCGGGGCTGTATAAAAATTTTGAATTGCAAGTCTCGAGAGAAAATCCCCCATAATGATGAGACGGATGAAGGTAAGAACACGACCTGCAACAAAAGACCAACGTCCCTGATTTGGCCGTGGCCCTTCTGGAATGTTTTTTACCTGGAAATTCCACCTGATACCCCGTAGATTGAACCAGATAATAAAAGCCCAAACAAGCTTTGAAATACCGAATGGCATGAAGTTGAGTGCCTCTCGGGCGGGGCGATCAATGCGCCAGAGGGTGACTTCAGGTCCTGGGTACGGAGCAAATATGATTTTTTGCAGGACAGACAGATAATGAGGCCATGCCAGTGAGAAGAACTGCGCCAATCCGGCATCACTCGTGAAAGGGCTGAAGTTTGATACGACGGCAAGGATGATAATTGTAGTTGTAAAAAGGATTTTGCGTCCAGGGAATATGGGAGCGCTCAGCGCACAAATCTGCACCATAAAGAGAAGAATATGGGGGATGATCGACCCAGGGGGCTTAGGAAAGAGAAAATTGCGCTCATAGTCGTTGGTGTCCATTGTTGAAACAGTTTTCGTAGCGTCGAGACGAAAGCTTTGCAACGCGGTCAATGAGAGTAGGAGGTAATGCTAGAATATCCATAGGTAAAGCTCAAGCACCAATGGTAGCACAGACGAAGCAAGTCTGCAAAGATCAGCTCGCTCTCTGTAGCCAGGCCAGATCGGATGCCGAGGTCATTCCCTCGCATGCCGGGCATTCGATAAATGGCGTATTCCATGCAAGAGTGTTGGTTCCATAATTCCGCTACCACTTCAAGCCACTAACTACTCAAGCTCAATTCACAAGCTAAAAATGACTACCGATACGGTCACTGATGTTCTCATCGTCGGGGGAGGTTATGCAGGCCTTTCCGCCGCATCAACGCTCTACCGGGCGACACATTCGACTATTGTGTTCGACTCCAACATATTTCGTGATAATCTTGCGCCCCAGATACGGTTACTCCCGGGGTTTGAGGGAGCATCTTCAGATCGCTATCGCGAGGTAGCTCGGACTGAGCTTGAAAAAACTGGGCTTTGTTCGTTTGTGAACTCCGAAGTCACTGAAGTGGAAAAGATAGAAAATGGTTTATGGAAGTTGACAACAGAGGATGGAAACAATTGGCTGGGAAAGAAAATCATTCTGGCAACAGGCGTAGATGAGATCTATCCTGATATTGCAGGTTATGAGGACTGCTGGGTGACGGGGATGTAAGTTCAGAGATTCCGTCCAATCATTTCTACAAGTATCCACGTTAGAGATGCATCTAATATTTTTATGCGTGTAGATTTCCGTGCCTTTTCCAGTTTGGATATGAGGAACGGGGCGTTGAGTCGGCCGGCATCTTAGTTGTTAACAAACTAGCGCAACATCTTCCACAAGTGGTAAAATTGGCAGGCGATGCTAACAAATTCGCGCGCAATGTCAACCTGTACACCAACGGTGACCGAGAGGTGACCGCCAATCTGGAGCCGCTTGTGCAGGGGACAAATTTTCGGATTAGGGATTGCCCGATCCGCCGTCTCGTAAAACAGAAGAATCGGGCCGAAGTCGTGGTTGAGTTAGACGACGATACCGTTATCACCGAAGGATTTCTCGTTCATCAGCCGTACACAAAGCTTCGGGGCCAGCTTCCAGAGCGTCTAGGATTAGAGATGACTCCATTTGGAGACATTAAAGTCCAGCACCCATTCCCAGCGACCAGTGTGCCGGGAATATACGCTGCAGGAGACTGCGCCTCGCCGTTCAAGAACGCATCCATGGCTATTGCCGCAGGCGTTTGCGCCGGAAACGGAGTTGCCAGAGAGCTTCCGGGTTCGCTTGAGATTGAAGTGCAGTAAGGGAGGCTTGTTTGGTTGTGATGCGGATTCGGAGTAACATAGAGCCGATATTAACTAACTGGTAGTTGGTTCTTTCCCAATTGGGATACAGTAGTCACATGAGGTAGCTTTATTTCAACCTAGATTCATCAGAACTTCCATGGGAGTCATTCACACGCCATGGAGCACCATAGGACGTTTCATTTCCTGGCTTATTCATTGAACACACCTATAACTAGCTAATACTACTTGTTGTGCACCTGATTTAACACCGATGCGATTGATTCATTATAAAAAACGCCCGAAAATGTTCATTTTAAAAAGAGTTGATTGATAAACGCCTAGATATCTACAGATACATCACTCCTCTCCTTTTACGCCTGATGCATTCCACGGAAATGCCGCTTTTCTGCGCCAGGTGGACTAGACTCCGGAAGCCCCTCCGCACAAGCGCTCTTGTTAAAGCACAGGTCACTCGACTTGTTACGACGGCCCACTGTTGCAAGGCAGCTTTGCATTATTGTGCAATGCACTCCTTTTTTGCGGAACTTTGCGCATGTTGGATAGTTACAATGGCCAAACTGTCGGTCCGACCTCGGGCACCGACCAGCCATGCGTTTTGTTTCTCACAAATCGATTTCCAATGGGTACTTTCGATGTCCGCCTGTATCTTTGTATTTTTTTTTCAAAGCGAAAGTCCTTCAGAGAAGAAGATATTCTTTTAGATTTTGGACTTCTTTTGACACTGGTTTGTGTACAATCATCCCTGGGTGACATCTCCCACCGTTGATCATGTTCAACATTATCCGAGCGGTTTCAAATAGTCGTGAACCAAAAATCGAGTCTTGGGTGTACCTGGCCTGTATTACACTACCTATTTCAGTCAGAACCCAACTGTCGATCGCCCTTTCTGTGGTTGCACAGTACTGACAAGACTCAACAAATAGCTAATCGCGTTTTTGCTGGTTAAGACGATCTACAATGTGTATTTCCACCCACTTCGCTCATACCCAGGGCCATGGCTTTCCAAAGCAACTCGATTGCACTATATATATCATCAATTGACTGGTGACCTCCCTTACCAAACTAAATTGTGGCATGACACGTACGGCGAGGTTGTTCGAATCGCGCCGGATGAGCTGTCCTATAATTCTAGTAGAGCGTATCAGGACATTCATGGTGAAGTATCACCGAAAGCTGCCATTCTTTGTTCAGTATTAATGGGTTGTACTTTTGCAGTGTGGAGGTCCAAAGACATGAAAAGCGGACTTGAAAAGGACAAAACGTGGTATTCGCAATCAATAAATTCAGTTCCAGTGATTGTCGGTCATCCATTGCAACCCGCCTATATTGCTTTTTTTTCAGTTCCATTTGTTAACGGAGGATGGATATTCATAGGTTACCGCAGAAAATAAAGATCATGGTCGACTACGAGGAATTCTCGCACATGCATTTTCGGACCGAGCCCTTTCTCGTCAAGAACCGCTTATCACGTCTTATATTGATATTTTAATCAATAGATTGAAAGACGAGGCTACGCGACCCGAAGTCGACCTTCTCCCTTGGTTCACTAGCACTGCTATGGACGTTATTCTCGACCTATCCTTTGGTCGATCGCTGAATTGTCTTGAAAATACGACGGGGGACAAGTTGCATCCATGGGTAAATCTAGTCAGCGGTCATGTAAAGGAGGGCCTTTACATTCAAGCTTTGCGTAGACTACCTGCGTGGCTATCACGGAACATTTTCGTCAATCTTTCGCTTGCCTTAATCGTTGGCCAATGGAAAAAGCAATTTGAAGTGACAACAGATATGGCACGGAAGCGAATCGCAGCAGGAACAGGCCGCGAAGACTTCGGTATTATATCTCATCTTTAGTTTTACCGTTCACCCCTTTTGAGACATATACTAATAACTCGTAGTATCACATCTGCTTCGTGAGAACACGGAGAAGGATGGAATGACAATTCCTGAACTAGAGATATCCTCGTCAATTTTTATGACAGCCGGAAGTGACACAAATGCGACACTTATCCTCGGTTGCACATACTACATTCTCCGTGACCGTAAACTCTGGGGAAAGCTGTGTCACGAAATTAGAGACAATTTCACTAAGGAATCCGAGATCACATTTACTGCATTACAGAAACTGCCCCTCCTAAATGCCGTAATCGAAGAAGCCCTTCGTCTTTATGTTGTTGTTCCCAGCACCTTTCCTCGTCGGACTCCAGTTGGAGGCGCCACAATCTTAGGAAAATATGTACCCGCTAATTATGCAGTAGGCATAAATGGATATGCTGCATCACTCTGTGAGGCCAATTTTACCCGGCCGTCAGAGTTTTGTCCGGAGCGCTGGTTAGGCGATATTCAGTTTGCTCATGATGACAAAAAAGCACATCAGCCTTTTTCCACCGGTCCTAGAAATTGTCTAGGAAAGAACATGGCCTATGCATTTGCAAGATGTATGTTTATGTCGCATATTGAGTGATCATTCTAATTTCCTTGATAGTGACCATCGCCCGGTTTGTTTGGACCTTCGACGCAGAACTGACCCCCGAATGTCAGAATTGGGCATCTGGCCAAGAAATTTTCGTCATGTTTGTGAAGAAACCGTTGAAAGTTCGACTCAACAGAGTATCACACTAGAAAATACTCAGATGAAGATTTATCTTCATTCTTGAAACATTCGTTTTATACGGAGTGTTTTATTCCATATGTATGAAATACAAAGTATTTAAATCAGCTAGCGGTGCGTGTTTAGCCAAAAAATGGCTTGACATTGTCCTCCAAAGGCAATTCATTGGTCATTTGTGCAGCAACCTTTTCAATATCCTCCATAACCCGCAATACGTTACCCCCAATAACCCCAGAAAGCTGCTTAACCGTGACGCCGCGGCGCAATAATTCGGCAATCAAGTCAGGATACTTGCTCACGTCCTCAAGGCCGACGATTCCTTTTGGCATTCCGTCGAAATCGGAGCCGAGCCCAACATGTTCGTATCCGATCAGCTCTCCAGCATATTGGATGTGGTTTGCCACATCCGTAATGTTTGCAGCTGCTGGGTCATCGCATCTAGTATACTCGGGGTAAAAGCTAATCATCACAATACCCTTGTTTACCTTGAGCTTCTGCAGGATGTCATCCGGTACATTTCTCTCGTGGGCGCATATAGCATATATCGAAGAATGCGAGAACATCACAGGGGCTTGGCTTATTTTCAACGCATCCAACATGGTTTTATAGCTAACATGTGCAAGGTCAACAGCCATTCCAACCCGGTTCATTTCACGGATGAGTGCCTTTCCGGCATCCGAGAGACCATTATGGAGCGGTTTGGCCGGCGTGGCACTATCTGCATAAGCATTATGACACTCATGTGTGAGAGTTGCGTAGCGCACGCCAAGTTGATGATACAGTCGCAAGATGCTTGCGCTATTCACAATCTGATGAAGCCCTTCAATTCCCATGAAGCTTGCAATGCGAGCGGTTTGAGAAAAAACACGGCGAAATTCCGCAGTAGAGTGGACAAGCTCTAGATGATCGGGGTTTGCCTTCACCAAGCGGTTAACGAGGTCAATCTGCTGCAAGGTATCACGGCCTCCTTCGAAGTAGACTTCATCGGAGTATGTGTCTTTGATCGTGGGACTGTTGTTGCATCAGTCGCCCCAAGTTAAAACTTGAACTCCTTCCAGTAAGGACAAGATACAAAGATCTAGCATACCATTCAACATACACACTCCAGAACTGACCACGAAGGCCCCCTTCAGTAAGGCGGGGGAAGTCTACTTGGCCAAACAGCGGAACGTCACCCGTAAAGTTGCGTTGGTAGAGATGATTTTGGTAGAAGGCTCGAATCCAGATTGGAAAGTCATTATGCCCATCTTGTATACCGGTTTAATTAGCAATTCAGGCTGTCACTATTGGCACGCCTTGGTATACCTGTAAGGGGAGCTGAGCGAAGGACGTCCTCCACTGAAGGCACAGGAGACCTGCGATAAAGTGCAACCCATATAGCCTTTCTACCCGCAAAATACAATATGGTTAGAAAGGTAAGTGAAAGAAGGACCCGATACCACATGTTAGCTCTTTTCCTCGATGGTATGTCGGTATGGCCACCATTATGTGTGCGGTGAGACGGAAGAACTGCTTTTGTATCCATTATTGCGAATTAATTAGGAAAGCGGCATCGATTCTAATTCCCGAACTTGTTGCATACATATAGATTCGATACTCAGGCCTGCTGCCGTTATATCATTCTTCTAACATGAGTATGGGTTTATGCCCCTTGAAGTTCTGAGTTTCAGCAGACAACCTTGGAGGCCAGCGCGGCCCCCGAGAAAATCATTTTCCGGGCGCCGAGTGCCTAACCTCCCAGGACAACATCTCCCGCCCCCCAATCAGCACGGCCGAAACACGATGTCTAATCAAACAGTGCAAAGCAGCGGACTTCGACGCTTTCGCGAGGCGGAGCATCGGGGCGGGTATTTGGGTGTTTGAAAGCGGCATGCGGACACACTATCTCGTGTTATTCACGCCTGAGCTGTCAAAAAGGGGGTTAACTGGCGGGAATTCCTACATTTGGCGTCGATATCAACACTATTGTCCCAAATTTTTATAAGTGTAACTTCATCAGTCCTATGTCCATCCAGGTAATACCATTTCTGTTCGTCGGTATAACCGAAAGTAACTGTCTGGCCACGGAATGTATCTTTATCTTCGAGTAGATCAGTAGGGTATATAAGTTTTGGGTCACAGGTCCGGTAATCCATAGTCGCAAGCGGCCAATCTTCAACAGGTCCGCGAAGAGGGCGCCAGATGCTACCAGGCCAAATGATTAGCCGAGCAGCTCGGCAAAAGGGAAACTCGGGGCCTCAATTACTTTATCATAATCACACGTTTCTTCAGAGTTTCATCCAGTTCTCCAGGAACATTCTGCTCCAGCCGACGGAGTGCACCTTTTGTAGACCTGCTTGGCATTAGCATGATACAGAGCGCATGAGTGTTAAAAGCTCACTGATCACAATGCACCTATCCTCAAAATTAGGGTCTTCAAGAATAAGCTAACGTGTGAGACGACTTCTTACCATTGTTGCTGGCTGCTCTTTACCGGTGGGGTTGTCATAGGTACCAAGTTCAGGGCGTCTCTTTCTGGAAGTATGATCAAAGATTACTACTCGGCTGGCACCGGTTTCTCTCTTAATTAGTCTCTCAATGTGCGGGTAGTACAGTCTTTTGATCTCATCGGCATTGTTATCCCTCAGAATTTGCAGAATCTCTGGGGCACCTCCCTCAGGATCATCGCGATATGCAAACCCATGGGTGTCGAGATTAAAGGAAAACTTCTCGGGACGAGCATCATTTATTTTCACATTGTGGTCAATCCAGTCAAAGTTCATATAGTCGTATCCTGGTGCAGCATTTGTACGGATGAAAGGAATGTCCTTTTTATCAGCCCAGGGCTCGATGAACCGCATGACAGAAGTGTAAGTCGCCATTTTAGGTTTTTCTTTGGCAGATTTTTTGGATAAGAAGAGACGTTTAATAAAGCCAGGTATAAAAGATGTGAACATTGTTATCATTAAGTTGATAAACGGAGTATGCCATGGTGATGTCGGAGCGAAAACCCTTGCTAAAAGGCAGAAAATCGGTGGCCGTCTCGGAGAAAGGCTAGATTGAAACGCCGAAGGACAAATTTCACCCTATTACTCTACGGTGAGAAGTAATAGCCGTGGCCATGGGGAAAATATTTCTTATTGCTACCTTTGTATGGCAGCTTGCGTTTAGGTACACTGAGAAAACAGTCTACTAACAAGAACTCTTGAAAGACACGTTCTAGCCGAGCCGCAGCATAGAAGAAAAGATATTTGCGGTATCTTCAATGACTTGAGTTATTAATTCTCGACTTGATTTGGATTTGTTGGACTCTTGTTAAAATCTTTGATAATTAACTAGCGCAACTAACTACGTAATAGTTAACTACATAGTTAACTAACTATACGATTATGTAATGACACGGATTAGTTACGCAGTCAAAAACTAGATTGGTTTAAACCAAGGGGTTAAAGAAGCAAAATTGCAAAAACAGTCCATCACTTCAAACTGCAGCCTTAAGCTCACGGGCCTGTTCCTCTGTCATGTTGTGCCCAAATGTCTTTGCCCTTTTCATGATGTCTTGAACAGCAGGTCTTTCTAACATACGATGTGCCCATTCCTCGATATGCGGCCAGTCTTTTATTTCTACTCCAAGAAACCCAAACATCCATGGCATTGCAAATGGAAAGTAGGACAGATCAGCTAGTGTAGGTCGGTCTTTCAAGGCAATATATTTTTGATTTTCAGGTTCAAGGCGTTTGTTCAAAATATCCCATTGTTTTAGAGTATTCTGGTGCAACCTAGGACAATAAAAATGTGAGCATCACATACTGATCGTGATTTATATGTGCTTTCTTTTAAATCTTACTTTTCAATTGTTCTTGGGAGCTGAACCGGGTCCTTCCTGGTTGGATAGCCTCGTAGAAAATACAACCAATACTTTGCAGTTGCCCTTGAAGAGGTGATTAGCTTCTAATCATGTATATGCAATCTTTGCTAAATACCCAATGCCAGCAGTTTGATATGCTGTCCACGTAAAAACCGCGGCGCGTTCCGCAGCCGTACGCCCGCTCCACTCTCCATTAATATCGAAACGATCCGCCAGATATTGCAGGCAGGCGGTGCCTTCAAAAACGTTAATCTGCTCTCCGGTCTGGGGGTCTTTATCTTTCAATGAAGGAACCATGCGTTCTGGATGTATCTTATATGCTGCCTGTGACGTCGTATTGATGACAGAGATGACATGTGGGAAACCGAGCTCCTGTGCGAGAATCAAGGGCTTGATGTAATTGATGTAAGAGGTTTCATCGGCTGTACTATCGTCAGCTTTCTTCTATCCAGCGGCCGAAAGCGATTTGTTACCCTTGATAATGTATAGTATAACACGTCCGTCATGCTCAATGTCACCTATGACGACTTCGCCATTTTGGCTGGCAGTCTGGGAAGGTTGTTGAAGTGACATCCTACAAGTATGAAGATAGTCTGAATCCCTCTAGTTAGTTCACCTGCACTTGACCACAGATTTCACAATAACACCCGGTATTTTATACGTAGTCTTATATGCTCAAGCTCGGCTTCCGAAGGGGTGGCATTAAGAAAATCAGACGTAGGGTGCGCACATACATGCCTAGGTTTACGTGCACGACGCTCCAGCATCAATGGCATAGAATTAATGAGGTTTGCACAAAAGAAACGCTCAAAAACCATAAACAAAATATAGACAGATACTATTCATAATTGGGAATACCTTAAGCCGGAGGTGCATTAGATTGGAACGTTGACCGGCGTACCCAGAGAAGAAAAATTGCATTTATTCAACTATCTGCCCAACCATTCTGTCGCGGAACATCTGGCGTCATCTCGATAGCAGCGGGCCATGAGTTTCGGAGTGGGATTATTCGAACTATTCTCCAGCCCGAATTCTCGGCTAAGTTTCTCCATTCAGTAGCCGTCCGCTCCAGCCCGTTGACGGCAATAAACATATTCATATCGGCATATCTTGAAAGTCGAGAAGATCTGCCGTCAGCTAAGATGGATTCCATAACCACGAGTCTACTTTTAGGGCTAGGTATGATGGATTGGCGGATATTTCGTAAGATCTTCAGAGCTTCGGCCTCCTTCCAATTGTGCAGCGTCCATTTCATGGTGTATACTTTAGAAGGAGGGATACTTTTGAAAAAATCGCCTCCAATCAAGTTTTCCCGAGGAACTCTGTCGGCCAGGTCGGCAAACTGGCCATCGGGCGAGTGGAAGAATGGGGTAACATGGTCGATGACATGTGGGAGATCATAAATGCCTCCCTGCATGGTTTTGTGAGTATGAAGTAAAAGGGATATTAAAGCACCGCTACCACCCCCAATATCAATAATCGTCTCGTTCGCAACCTCACTCCATGGATAGTCGGCTATAATACCAGGTCCCTGAGCAGTGGCACCCCCACCAAGAGTTCGATGTAATTGGGGTACCCAGCCACATTTGTTGAAGTAATTAAACATATCCATATCAGTGTCGAAATTGACTTGAGCGGGCGATCGATTTTCCGATGCCTGAACTGATTTGGGAATGCCCCTCGCCATATCGTAGAACTGGTTTCCATAAAGATCAATCCAATTATGCCACTGAGTCCAGTGATCACGAAGGAGAAGTGTGGAAGTGGAGTTATTCTCATAACAACCTTTTCCAGGACTGTATTTGAAAATCCCGTTGTTGTGCAAAATTCGCAATACCTGGCGGAGGCGGTCAACATGAGCACCACAGAGAGAAGCAAGCTCTTCGACAGTAGATGCGCCTTTTTCTTGAAGAATTTCTGGGATTTTCAACTCGACGGCAGAGCATAGACACTTAGCGTTAACGTAGCCTTGATCAATGTTAATGGGTTGTTTTCGAGTATGGATAAATCGCTCACCAAGGAAATGGTCCGCAAGTACAAGTTGACCCGGTTCTAGCATCTGCTCTATCGAATGAAGTAGGTCAATAGATTCGGCCGCAATTGTGGCCAAGTCCATGTCTGGAAGAGCCCCTTCATCATGGTTATGAAGGCGAGACACAAGGTCGTCGTGAAGCTTTCCTCGTAGATGATCGCGAACAGAGACCAAATGACTGTTCAAACTCTGTAGAAGAAACTCCATTTTGAGAAGGAACAAAACACACAAGCTTCAAGGGTTGAATTGACGACTTCGAAACCCGAGACAAGAGCTTGGAGAAGCTGTCGCTATATTAGGATAAATCTTGAAGAGATATCAACCAATAGAATGGAAAAGCCGACGATGCTGGTATAATGCCGAAGTCCGCAGCGAACTATAAGCGTTCCCCGGCCGGCGGCCGATGGAAATCATTTTGTTACTCTTGATCGACCTGTAAACTTAGAAGCTTATGGGGCTATTTATAGTTCTGTTGCTAAGTAAAAAGAGTCTTAAGGGGCTGCAGATTCCGTAGTTGGAAATGTGCCGGCATTGATATCACTGCTGGGCTTCATAAGAGACAATTCGTTCTTTTAGGCAGTAAAGGATGGCCGGGTTGCGCGTAAACTCCACAGGAGGAACAGCTAAGATCTAGCTACACAGTCTGATCTTTAAATGGTAAATCTTCTTGCGGATGGGCGGGCGGTATGATATGATTACTATAGGGAGTACTCCGTAGTGATTGCATTATGTGCTATCATAACTGCATGGAGGTACTCAGAAGGGGAAAAAAGATTCGCAGAACTGGAGTCAACAATCTGCTGACTAATCGCACCCTTAGTTAAAGGTCACATGACTATGTTATCTTCACGTGCTCTACGGAGTACTCCATCCTCCGTACTCCGTAGTTACTCCCGTTCATCGACGGATCTTTGACTTTCGATTAATGTAGCAAACATCAAACCAGCTGCTATATTGATGACACCTCTTTCTCCGGGGTTGATGTCACCGAATAGTTATATGCTTTCAAACCCCAGCCAGACTTCATATATGGGCGTCTCATGCACTGCCACATTTCAAATCCAATTGCGCTTCCCTTTCCGACATATGATCACTTGATAAAGCTAAAAGTTGCAAACACGATCAGGTGTTACTCGGCCTTTGTATTAGGAAACTTTTCCACTTGCGGTGGAAATTTTCCAAGTACTTTTGATATTTTTGAAAGCCCAGCTTGCAAGACTTCTGGCTGCACAGCAAATGTTATTCGTGCCCAGCCTTTCTCAGATTCCACCCCATGATAATTTTTCCCGGCACTTAAAAGAACGCCTCCTTCCTTGCATTTCTGAATCATACACGCTTCGTCTTCCCAGGTCGTTGCGTCTTTGCATAGTTTGGCAAACACATAAACTCCTGCATTAGCCGGAATCCATTTGATGCTATTCAATTTCAACCATGATGCGACCGTGGCGTACGACGACGATAGGCGATCTCGATTTAGTTGTATGAGATCTGAAAGCTGCGGTGATGTCAAGAGACTTTTAGTGAATATTGCAGCCAACGATGACGTCTGAGTATTTGAAGCCAGAGAAAGCCCCACTATAATCTCAGGATTGGCCTGTGATATCGTACATCCCTATTCAGGGTAGAATGTCAGCTTTCTCAGCTTCATATAATCCGAACCATTCGAAATTCTATTCTTACAAGGCGAATTCCGCTGGACCCAAAATCTTTGCTAATACTCCAGATAGTATGGATGCGTTGTGCCGCGCAGCCAATTCTCTCGGCGTCGAGAGACAGGGCTGAAACGAATGTTGGTAGAGGATTCGAAGTGCTTATATTGAATGTGCTCATTGCATACACCTCATCCGATATGTAGTGGATGTTTTGCTCTTCACAGAACCGCAGGCATGCCTCGAGGACGCTTCGGGGATAACATTGAGAGAAGGGATTATGCGGATTGGTAAGAACTAATGCCCTCACGGGACAGTCTGCCTGTTTCAGAGCAGCCTCGAGTGCAGGCAATAAATCCGCAGATAGAGTATTGTCGAAACTCTCGGTGTTCACCAAAATTGGTTTTACAAACGGCCGAACGCGAAATTGAAAATCGAATCCATCTAGAAATTTTGTTAGAACAGGATACTCTGGTAGCTACTTGCCCACATATCTCACTCCAATACGGGCCTGGAACCAACACGCCGTCTCCTGGGTCACAAATTGTGAAGAGCAGTGCCTCTAAGCAGCTCGCTGCTCCTGGGGCCGTAGCTATATGCGACGCTTCAACTGGAATAATCGGATTAAAGAATTTATTAAAGAAACTGGCAATTGCCTCAATAAGTTCAGGGTCACCGGAAAACCCGTTTGGATAAGAAAAGTGCTATACACAAATATCTGATTTAGTATGTGGTTGCTTGCATACGTTTCTGAAAATACCGACTTTAGGTGCAAGGCCTTCAACCACTCCATTCTTGCAAATTTCTATCAACTCTTCGCGCAGAAGCCAATTCTCGGCAGTGGAAAGGTCAATGTTTGGGTTATCAAGCCGGGTTCTCTCAGCCACAGCAGCACTGATTTTTGGCATAATAGTCTGAACAACACCGCTGGACCGCTGCGAGAGCCCTATCAAGGTCGGCTTCTTTCCATTTTCCTTTTTTCCTTGTTTGTCTGCGCTACCCTGTAGAACTTTGTCTTCATCCATAATCGCAGGTATAGGCTTGCGTGGCTAGGCTTGAGGGAGCGAAAAAAAAAAGTGATATTTAGGTTTGAATTTTAGAGAGAAAAATACTATGCATACATATTTTCAATTAGCCGCCCCGGAGACCTCTCGGGCTTGAGCGCCTTTCTCGGCCTCCTTTTCGGCTCCTCGGTACTTATGATTTCCGACCATCAATATGGAACGAATCGAACGATCCCAGGTTCATCCAATACAGTATGAGGTACTCCTGTAGTCTTTGATCCAGCTCCTTTTGTGAATGTCTAAAGAGCTGTCTACTATCTAGGGTACTTCAAAACTCTCTATAGTTCACTGCTGGTATTGGATTTCCATTTTAATTCGTATTTTTTTCTGCCTAACGAGAGCACTGAGTCAAGCAAACGTCGATAGAGACGATGTGGCTCCAAAAATGGTTCGGATTTACTTTTACTTTTGAGAGCCATGATATATCTTAGTACGGAGTAAATTTCCCTAAATTAAGGTAGACTATCGTCTCTCGCACCGAACCTGGAAATCCGGATGCGTAATCCAGCATTCTTTATCCCTCGCCCAGCCATCCTTGCCTAAGAGGCTTAAGTGATAGTTTTGTACAAGGTACACCAGTGTTGCTCGAATTATAATATCCGCAACATACTTCCCCATGCACCTAGAAAATACTGTCATGAGCAAATCAGAAGCTCAGTAGGGAGGGAAAAAGTACGGAACTTACTGGCGAGGTCCAAAGCCAAACCTCCAAAAGAGGTACCTTAAGTCTATATTTTTCCGAGCCAGGAACCGTTCTGGTCGATAAGTCTCATTGTCTGGAGCCCAGTACTCGTTGCGGACATTTAGAGAGTACGAGTCAACCACAAAGCTTGTATTAGCAGGGATAACGAAGCCATCTACAAGTCGAGCTGTAGGGGCGGACTGAGGAACAGAAAATGCGGCTAAAGGTTTGAGGCGACTGGATTCCAAGATACATGCCTGTAGGTATGTAGACTGAGAGCGAAGGTAATTGTCGAATTTAGCTTCATCAGCTACCATTGTTTGTACCTCTTCGCGTAGCTTTTGTTGACAATCGGGATAAGCTGCTAGGAATACCAGGTTCCAGGAGAGTCCTCCAGTCGTCACATCAAGATTGGCATATAGTGCCTCGTCTAATGTCTGAAGGAGTTGCTCCTCTGAAATTTCACCCCGTTGAACAGCTTCGAACATTTGAACAATAGGTACAATGTCCCCGCCTTTCGGGTGATTGCGACGTGCGTAGCTGGCCGCCTCGCGGTTAAATTTCTGCCAACGTCCTTTGAATACGAGCAAGTCTTTATTTGCTTGAGTGGGAAGATATCTCGACAAAGTGAATCGTGAGATGCCACCACGAATCACATGCTTCATCAATTCTTCTCGAGTTGGAGCTAAACTTCTTAATTCTTCGATGAGGTTTGTTGATAGCTTGCCATAGAAGAAATAGCAAACCACCCAAAATGGCAGCATCTTCATATCTTGAGCGGGGTGAATCAAACCACGACTCAAATCGGACGTCTTTTCGAGAACATCAAAATGATCCCGTACAAACTGCCAAATATCCGAAACTTTAGTTGCAGTAGCTTGGTGACGGAATGGCACCTCTGTGATTGACCTCACTTTTTGCCAGTGCGGAGGGCTTATCAGGCCGACACATTGGCCTAGTAATTCACCCATGAGAAATCCAGAGTTATTATTGACAGCTTTTATATGTTTATCAGAGTCCTGAAAAACAGCCTGTAGCTGACCCGGAGAAGTGAGAACGCTATATTATTGTTCATGAGCCGTCTTTGAGTGCTAATTTGGCATATTCCTTACACTTCTGACTTTAAACCACTCCAAATTCTGTAGACAGGACCATGTCGTTTCTCCCAAAGAGAGCTGTTCTCAATACCATCCAGGAATTTGCCAACATCTCCCTGTCCGTTTGGCCAGCGGTAAGAGCATGTTGGGAGATCTGTTCTCCCATCCACACTCTTAATTGGATAGAGCCATTTCAAGTAGATCTGTGTAATATAACATAAGTAACAGCCCAGTGAAGCTCAGACAGGCTCCATAACTAACGTTGATGGCACCAGAGAGAGCGTCAGCAATTGGCCATGGTAAAATGCCGGGGTATGCTGCTTCAAGAAACGCTATGCCAATGCTGAGAAGGAAGACCACACACAGCAACCATGCTATGAGAGAATTTCGAAATAGTATGTCAAGAACCATGTTGACTTTAGTCTCCTCTGGTTGCAGTCATTGAATATCGAAAATGCAAGTTCGCGTCCTCCGGCTGGGCGGAATCCGCGGCAGCCTCCTTTTGCATTACGGGGCACCATCTTCAGAGCACCCGTATAAATTAACAGGAACCTCCTTGGCATTGATTGAGGTATTTGCTGGCTTTCTGTATTTCCTCCGCCGATTCTGGCACGGAAAAAACATATTTCGGTGGCCGATGTGGTACAAACGGGCCGGAGCGGCCGGATGTATATGGAGAGGTATGACCCCGAGATGTCAAAGCACGTATTTCCCAAAGAACCAGTGGTCTGAGCACAAACAATGGCGACGAAGAAACTCCTCGACGTCCTGATCATCGGCGGTGGCCCCGCGGGCTTATCGACCGCCCTCGGCCTCGCCCGTCAGCTCCATTCAGCAGTCATTTTCGACTCAGGCGTCTACCGAAACGACCTTGCAAGCCACATGCACAATGTGGTGACTTGGGACGATCGTGCGCCGGCCGATTTTCGAGCAGCAGGTCGAAAAGAGCTTCTGGAGCGATACCGGACGATCCAGGTGGAAAACGTGAGGGTTGACGAGGTTCGCAAGGACACGAACGGGTATTTCGAGGCCAAAGACGCCAGCGGGCAGATCTGGTGGGGTCGCAAGCTAGTGCTGGCGGTTGGCGTCCGCGACATTTCGCCCGACATCCACGGATACGCGGACTGCTGGGGAAAGGGAATGTAGGCTACAAGCTCCCTCCGCCACTCTGCGCGTGCTAATATGTGCTAACTAACGCCCTGAATGCTGCAGATTTCACTGCCTTTTCTGCCATGGGTACGAGGATCGAGGGTGTGCGTCAATAGGCGTGCTGGCGGTTGGCGACTGTGCGAGTCTTCGTCCTGCCATGCACTTGGCACGCATGGCCCGACGTCTCGCAGAGAAAGTTACGGTTTACACAGACGGCGCTGTTGAGCTGTCGGAGTCTCTCGCCGGCCCGCTCAAGTCTGCTGGATTCCAGCTGGAGACGCGTCACATCGCGAAGCTCATCAACGGCTCGAAGGAACCTGAGATGGTAATCGAGTTGGAAGATGGAACAACTATAACAGAGGGCTTTCTAGTATGAATCCCACTGCCCTTCTCAATTAACTAATCTGCAATACAGTGAGAAATGCTGACGGCTTCTGCTAGGTTCATAAGCCAAAAACGGAAGTCAACGGGCCGTTTGCCCAGCAATTGAACCTGGAGCTTACTCAAGAAGGTGATATTCGTGTGAACGCGCCCTTTTATGAAACTACCAGTGTGCCTGGCGTATTTGCAGTGGGTGATTGCGGCTCTTTTGGAAAAGCTGTTGCACAGGCAAATGCGACGGGACTGTGGTGTGCGTCTGGCCTTGTTGCACAACTACAAGCGGAACCTTCACTGTAGCTGTCTGATGCCCTTATAATCCCGTTCTGCGTAATGGGTACATACTTGTAATAGACACAACACACTTTGCACTTCGAGATTTTGGTAGCGAAGATTCGGTGTTTGCATGTAACGCAAACATTTCGAATTATATAATCACACTCACCATAAGGCTTATTGGCTCTATCGTAAACCAGTTTGCATTGTTTGCCTGCCCTCAAACTAACAACACTCGATCGATGGATCCGGCTATTTACACAACACCCGTTCTTATTTTCTGAAGTTGAGTACAATCTCCGCTCTTGGGTCGGGCATGATTTGAAAATCATGCGACGTGTTCGGCGGGCGGCCCTCGCCATTCTTTAAGCGCAGATCAAAGTTTGTTATAAGGTGTATTGCTATCACCTTGAGCTCAGTTGCTGCAAACAAACGTCCAGGACAAGCATGGCTGCCGTATCCCCACGTCAGGGAATCCGAGCTTGGAGTGATGAGCTGATTGCTTCCTTCATTTCCTGCCGTCTGCCTCGCACGGGAATAACGAAAACCATCGAACTCGTCTGGGTCGAACGGGTGTGGTGATGACATATCAAACCGGTTGTTGGCAAAGGCGATCAGTGTCCCTTTTGGGATAAGTGGCCCGCATGACGGAGCCAATGGTGCCGTGGTCTCTCTCATTAAAGTCACTATACTTATATCAGTCACAAAGATAAAAGTACTCAAAGAAATTTCGATCCGCACCAACTCCACCGGGTGGATTCACCCGTAGGGATTCCTTGATAAAACTATCCAGCTTGACCATTTTTCCTATGCCCACCATCGTGAGGTCCTTACTTGAACCGGATGTCAACACTGTTGCGATTTCTTCATGGAGCTCATCTTGGTATGCCGGCCGCGCAGCTAGTTCTAGGAGCACATGAGTTAGGGCATTGGTAGCTATATGGATTGCCGCAAACGATGCAAGCAAGTGGTCTTTCCCCAGCAGCTTCTCGGAGACAGAAGATTGCGAGCCGTAATGACGGAGTAACCAGTTTGCGAGCCGACCCCGCTGCTGACAGGCGTCCGGTTTTTTTTCGGCGCCCCCTTGTTGCTGGCAATAGGAAATAGTGTCGTGGAGCATTTCACGCACACGCGCCTGGTGCTGTTGAACATCGCGAATCTTCTGCAAGAAAGGAGCCACCAGAGTTCGGAGCTGCGCAGGGTATGCTCTGAGTTGTTGACCAGCCGCGACACTCTCTACGGCGTAATTTATGGATGATTCCACCCATTCCTCACTACGACAGAGAGGGAGTCCAACAAAGACCCGGCCACTCACCAATGCAATGTACCGCAGCATGGTCGAATACACGGGGATTGCCTTATTGCGTATATCCTGGTACTCTCCAATCGTGCATTTTGTTGCATAATCCGTCTCTTCGAGCATTTCAGACAGCATGGCGCCGACATTTCGCGTTAGATCCTGTTTTACGGATGCTACGAACTCATCTGATGGGGTACCCATGAGTGTGTATCTTCCGAAAAAACGGCGGTAATTATTGGCGTTCAGTGAAACCTGGGAATCGGGAAGTGATTTTATCTCGTCGATCACACTGTGCGGCAGAATAACCGTGGGGTTCTGGAGTGGTAGCACAAACGCATGATTGGGATACTTCACACATGAATTAGTCTAATATCCAATGAAATTATGGAGGGGCGAACACTGATGCCTTTTTGGTACCTTCCTCCATTGCAGATCGAAAATCGGTCTGCGATTCCTCTCCTATTTTTGGCAGATTAAGAAAGTCGCTATAAACCCTCCTGAACCGCACATATCTCCATGCGAAATGAAGGATCCACACAAGTGATATGAATCCTGCTGCTGCCCATTTCGTCTGAATATCTATAACACTCAACACTTCCATCTATAACTTCCATGAGCTTTCAACGGGGAACAGGCTGACCAACAGGACATACTTCGAGCAGCGATTGTAGATCCGTTCCTGTGTAGAGCGTAGTCGATATTGAAGTATCATGCAGTGCTACCACACATTCCTATTGCTTTTTATCAGATGTCGAATACGTTGATGAACCGTAGTTTGTGTCCCCGTCCCAAACTTCGACAGTTACACGGCGTTTTGTTTCTGTATTCTGGAAGTTAGGGGAGCCCTACACGGCGATTCGGGGCCATACTCGCATGGTGGCCAGCTCTTGGGGGGTATCGGCGTACCCCCGGTACCACCAATCTCGGTATCCGTGGCGGGCACCGGGCTGTATGCCATCCACATCCTGAAGCTAATGCAAGTGGATACTATTCGAGCTCAACATGTTGAAGAGACATGCACAAAGATTCAACATAAACTGTTACTAGTTCTTAATCTTCAGGAATCAGCCCTCGTCGAGTGCTGAGCAATGGATTCTCTTCTGCATCTTGCCTCAGCCCAAAGTCGATCGTGGCCGGTGGCTGCTTCGACGTGCCTACTGGCCGTCGTCCTATTCTCAATTCTCTTACCGAAGGGAATCTATGGTTCTCATCGATTTGGGCAATCGCGCATTCTATCCCTTTTGTTTGGACAAAAATCCGTGCGATGGACTATTGATGAATTGACAGAACAGGGATACGCGGAGGTAGTAGCGCTCGGAACAAATCTTCAATCATTAATTACAGAGCTGAACAGATCGAATTAGGTCAATAAAGCACTGGGGAAGCCGTTCGTGCTCAATTGGTGGGCACTCGACTGCCTTTTCATGCCACCAAAATATCTGGACGATTTAAAGAAGGCAGACTTCGGAAGTCTGAGCTTTTTCCAAAGCTTAAGCGATGTGTGTAGTATCCCAGTATCACTGATAATGATGGATAGGTCTGAGAATTATTAACCCCAGGCCTTCCACCTACAATCCTCGGTTGGTGATCTGTACACCACTAATACAATGATTGACGTTGTCAAAAAACGTCTTAACCCACAATTACGTGAGTAGAGGTTCTTCAGAAGGCTTCTTTTAACTGACAGTTGCATAGCAACAATTATCCCGTATCTAGTAGACGAGTGTGATTATGCAATGAACACTGAGCTTGGTGCCGCGAAAGGTACGGACCATTGTGCGTGTCTTTGCTCTAACTGGAAGCTCATTTGAGATGTAGACTTCAAGACATACAATGCTTTGCAGATCTGCTCCAGCCTAATGCACCGGGTAACTAGCAGGGTTCTTATTGGAGAGGAGCTGTGTCGAAACGAGGAGTATATAAAATCCTCATTAAAATTTTCGGAGTCAGTATTTATGAATGGTGTGATGTTGTCGTCCATCCCACTTGGCCCATTGCGGAAGTTTTTCTCGTGGGTTGGTTCATATGGACACCGGAATAATATGCAAAGGGTGATGAACCTGCTGATACCTGTTATCGAGCATCGATTGCAAAATATGAAGGAAAATCCAGATGATTCCAGACCAGTTGATGCAGTTCAATGGACTATTGAGTTAGCTAGCCCATCGGGCAAGGAGCGGACAGCACGGCGATTGGCACAGCAGGTTTTACAAAACCTCTGGGCTGGAAGTGGTGCTCCAGGAGGAATGTTGACCCAAATGATCTATCAAGTCTTGGATTGCCCTCAGTATTTGGCCCCAATGAGGGAGGAAATCCAAAGTGCGGTCACTGAGCATGGCTGGACGGATAAAATGTTGAACAATATTCCCCTGGTGGATAGCTTTCTCCGCGAGACGAATCGACTGCATCCAAACGGAGTCAGTAAGTAGATGTTCTCTCCCATCGGGTAATATCGTCAAACAAGCATTAACGTGATGTTGAGTCACTGCGGCACGAACGGTGATGGAAAAACCATTCCGATTCAACGATGGCCTCACTCTTCCCGTGGGAGCCCGAATTGCATTCCCAAGTCGTGCAATAATGTGTGACGCAGATAATTTCGAAAATCCGTACGAATTTGAAGGGTTCCGTTTTGCGCGTCTTGCAGCCGCAAAACGGGCGACATCTGTAGCAGGCGAACAGCTATATAATTCCGCAACAGTGACTAAAACCAATCTTGCGTGAGTTACCCTGCTGGATGCAACACTTTCTATGATACTAACTGCAACTCAACTATAGTTTCGGGTACGGCAAGCACGCATGTGTCGGGCGTTTTTATGCTGTCCGTAAGGTAAAATTAGTATTCTGTCGATTAATTTTGGACTATCATATCGAATGGGAAAAGAAAGGAACTGCACGACCGCCCAGTTTATGTATAGAGGGCCAGATGGTGCCTAATCCTGACCAAAAAATAAGGATTAAACGACGGACAGAGTAAGAAAAGGATAGAAAAGAAGCCATGTATAAACACGGGTTCCTCTCATGATTGTGACAAATATCCCCATCGGATTTCCTGACAATTCAATATTCAAACAGTCACCTGTGAATATATCTCGGCTAGATGAACAATGTGACAGGAATATTTGAGTATGCGCATTTGGAAAATAGTGCTACAATGTTGTGTATTAGCAAGCCAGCGACGTAGAAACTGATTCTTTACAGTAAAGTACATTTGCCCTTTATATAGATGGTTAGTTAACAATCATGCAAAGGGACATTGAAAAGAGAAGGAATGTTCAACGCGTAGCAAGTGAAACATACCAGACTACGAAGAGCGTTCACTTAGCCAGTAAGAAACCCGAAGATGTGCAATATATCGAAATTACCAATATCTGCTTGCAATCCTCGAAAGAATAGTTGATTTTCGCGCATGCTTCTTTGGCTGACATCCCAATCTGGTGGAATGCGGAAAAAGGGCTGTATCCGACTTGAATGGTAATAGAGGGCAACTTTGTAGTGACGCCTCACATCTTGATATGCAAGAAGCAATGTCTTTTTAAGCTTCAGATACCTAGAACACAGCAAGATAGGCGTAGCTCTTTTTATGCTCACAGTAGAGCTAAGTTTTCTTGTGTCTCTCAACTGGGTATCGATCAAGACGCTCTGCCATGCGGCATACAGAAGTGGATGTTCGAACAGAGCTGTATGTAGTTGCACGTTCTGGTAAGTTGGGGGCCAGATACTTCAGTCGACTTCCTGCTGGCCATCGAGTCTCGATTGATCGGTTTTCATTTTGTTATTTTCCTGATTTTTTCCTACGGCAGACATCCTTATCGTAGCGGCATCTTGCGACATATTTTCAACCGCCGGTTGCTCTGTATGGTCAGCGTTCATTTTTCTCAGCTTCTCAGAACGCTTTTGTTCCCGTTTTTCTGACCCCCTTTTCCACAACATCTCCAGAGACATCGAGCCGTTCTCTTTCGAATAGCGATTCCAGATGTTTTTCACCCTTGCAGCAATATGACGTTTTCTTCTAGTGATGCAGTCCGCATACTCAATCAATGGAACAGAGCAGGTATCATCCGGCCGAATCAGGTCCTTAAATTCAAACCAAGTCTTGGAAAGATGGAATTGTTGGTGATATGGATTTTGGCGTATAATTGCGTTATGATCGTGTTCAGAAAAGTTTATAGTGCACTGAATTTTTCGATCGGTTGTTTCTACATGCTGAAACTCGGGGAAGGATGGCGTGGGGGGTGACTTGTCAGGCGAAATCGGGGATTCAGGAATGTCAACGTATATTGGGGAAGCATTGACAGCATCAGTAGCTGCCTGGGCGGTTTTGAATATTGCAAAAGCGGAACACCCAGTATTTTGGGCTTTAGGTCTGTAATCGTACTTTGATCTTGTCAATAACCGGCCTAGTAACTGAAATAAAACAGTCGGGTAGAGGACAAGGTGGTTGCAAGTACCTTTAAATTCAAAAAGGTCACAACCTCCCCAAATTTCTGCAGATTTTTGAGCACTATACGGCTCTGTCTTAGATTTCGCGGAGCTGGCACCATCATTACGTAGATCTGGCGCTGACTCAAGGTCGAACGGAGGACAGACGCCATGGCAGGCAACCCGGCGAGCTCCAAGCTCAGTAACTAGTAACTAACCGTTAGAAGGAGGTAAATTGAAATATTTGATTTCCAGAGGTGCCGCAAAAGACTTCAGTCATCAGTACGTTCCCCGTCGATAAGCTGTCACGTGAAATCGCGACTTCATCCGCCGCGCGTCGCGAAATAACCAGGGGGTTGAATCGTTATTAGCTACAGAATCTGGAGTACCCCAGCTACTTGTTAGGCGAAGGTCTACATGCATAAATATATCCAACGCGAAGTGGCTTCAGCCCCTTATCCCCATTTATGAGTACTAAAGACCTAAAGGTATTCATCGAATATTGGAAGGATATTTGAATACACTGTGGGTGAAATACTTGTTGTTTACAGGCTCAGGTATAAATTCCTTCCTTTCATGTACTAAATAGCTCAGATACCCATTTCACGATACCCGAACGTAGGCTAGGTCATGGTGTCAGTATTTACAGGAGGCAGGAAAAGGATAGGAATCCAAGACTTACTTGCATCAATCTGTTCAATCTGAGGTAGTGCTAATCGTACTTTATTCCGATACAAGGCCGGTGCTTTTAGCTGCAGTGGATTTCCTTCGAAGTACACCGTTTTTAATTCTTTTTTATCTCGCAACTCGCGCTCAACGTCCTCAAAGCTACCTAGTTTGTTATTTGACGCCCAAAACTCCTCGAGGTGTGAAAGAGGTGAAATATTTTCGAGTGTCGAGATCTGATTGTTTGAAATATCAAGAACATGGAGGTTTTCTAAAGATTCTAGGCCAGATATTTGTGTGATTGCGTTGTGGGAAACGTATAGCTCCTCCAAATTCAAGAGGCCAGAAAGGCCAGAAAAGCTGGTGAGGCGATTAGACGGAAGTGAGAGGATCTTGAGGTTACTAAGATGTGAAATATTCTATATCGAATGTCAGCCAATACCATGAATTTGCGCAAACGGGGTGTAAGTTACTTTGATTTCTGTAATTTTATTTTTCCCTAGCCATAACTCTTCTAGCGCAGCCAGATCATCTAGATTTTCAATTTCCTAAGTAAAAAGCTGTTTTAGCTGAATATGTAACATGGCCTGTACCGTATAGATCCACTCACCCGTATTCTGTTGGCTCCAAGCTCCAAATTTCTCAACTTCGTCAAACCTCCCAGATTCTCGATCCTCTGTATCCGATCCTGCACAAAATATAGATCTGTCAACTGTACCAAATTTGAGATATTCCTAATATGTTTAATATTATTAAAGCTTAGGTCAAGACTAGTCAGGTTCGTAAGGTGATCAAGGCCCTTGATATGAGATATCAGGTTATCGTATAGGTCCAAATCTTTGAGCGTTGGGCCGAGGCTTGCGGGGAATGAAATTTGGCTAATCTGGTTCTGACGAAGACATAGTCTCTGTAACGTACTAGTGTAAGTATATAATCGATTTACTCGTTAAGGTGATCGGGGCGATGTTTGGAGAGGGACTGTACCTCAAGATGTGTGAATCGTTCTAGTTTTAAAGCCGGGATAGAAGTGATTCGAGAATGAACGAGATCAATATCCTAATACATTTCATCGAGTTAGAGGTCGGTTTGTGAAAAGGTTGCCTTCCTTAAATAGTGTGCAAGGGCGAATGCAAAGGAATATTGCTTACATCGGCAGTATCTTCAACACCTTCCAGTAGGTCTTCACTCAATACTCATCAGCTTTACCATCCTTTCGTAACTCTGGGTTTATCGCATAGGACGCAAGTTATTGACCTTCATCGGCTTCAATCTCCTCCACGGGGGGGGCATCTTGATCCGAATACTCCGGGTCTTCGATGGCTTCTGGATTTGCCAGCGTTGCCTGGCGCTCCAGGCGAAGTTTTCCGTCCCAGCCCTTGCTGTCCTTCATATTTGGTGCTGCTTCTCACAACTCTGGATTACTGCACGTAGAGAGGGCAGATAAAGGCTTAGGGGGGGGGGGGGGAGATAGGACTTGTTGAAGCCGAGAAACTTGAGATGGAGCTCAATACATTCCACAAAGAAATTAGTGACAACTTAAAGGATAGACAGTAGCCTTTGCTCTATTGCTGGATTTATTGCAAGACAAACAATCATTCCTTCTAGTAAGCCATTTAACATGAAAAATAATGTTCAATAGACTAGGTAGTCAACGACCTAGGTACCTAGTCACTTTACAGAGTACATATGTTAACAAACAAACTAACGAAACGAATTACGTCAGTCAAGTATGGTTTTGCATGACTTAACTAACTAGTTACTCCGTACTTTGTAGACGATCATCTTATGTTTCTAACTTTAGGCAAGATGGAGAGCGTGTTTCGTTTCGACAAAACTCGGCTCTTTTCAGAACTTGCAAAGAAAAATGATCTGAAATTATTTTGGCATTGGGACAGTTACATATTATCACTATTTTCTACAAGTACAGAGGGTATCGCTGCACCACAAATGCGTCCTGAGAATATGCTTTATCAGTCAGGTAATGCATCGGCAAGGCAATTGGAGATTCTAGGGAAAAAAAAAGTTAGGGTAGAAGTAGGCAGAAACATTAATATGCAGTGCTTCGGCTTCCGACTCTGTGCGGAAATGGTATGTTAAAATTGCCGCGCAGGAGAACTGCCGTGCAAAAGGAACAGGATCCTGGGTCTTAGTTGGAGCGAGTCAGGAGATACTGAAATTCAACCACGATCTGATGATTCGCCTTGGAAAATAAATGTGGGCAATATATCTGAAAAGACGGGGAAAAGATGAGGGGTATGGTAAGAAAATGGGGAATAACAGCAACATGGGGTATGAGGGGGCATTGCAGAAACGAAATAGTTAAGTGCAGAGATACTAGAGAATAAATAGTTTGCTCGCAGAGGCGAGTAAAAAACAACGCCCAAGGGATGCACAAAGGGAACAGCTAGGAAATGGATGCTCGCTGGGAGTGTGGTTTGGGAGGCAGTAGACAAACAGGTTCTGGTACTTAACCACCAGGGGAAGTTAATCGAAAATTTTGTGCCCAAGGTACATATTTGAATAGAAGTGAAAGTGCTGCACAACAACAAATTTGGGTATTAATGTGTCAAGCACAGGGCTCTGAACCCTCATGCAACTTTTGGCAGCCCGCTTTTCAGTAAGGTGATCAACACCTTCACCAAATTGGCAACAAGCTCACTTGGTAAAAAGACAATCAGCTTAGCTCAGTGTCCATCAAGAAGCTACTGTAGCACAGAAAGCAAAAGGGAATGCTGAACAGCCAGATAGGCGCTAAAGGGCAACATCTAGAACCAGGCTAACATCTCGGACTTTTGAACTGGCGAGATCCTCGAGCACAGGGATGAGATCAATAAGCTCATTGTCGTGGGCGTCAGAAAACCAGCTGCTAATTGGAATGGCATGCTGCGGGTGGAAAATGTATGAGGTAGGTGAATTATCAATGATGATGGTGTCCTTGAGATCACGTCCAACTTGAGAGAGATCCTATATATATGTTAGCGCGAGAAAAATTGGATTATGAGGTAGAAGAAATTACCTTTACGTAATTTCCTTGGTGGTTATAGCAGCTATCTCGAAATAAACGATGGTGCACAACCTTATGGATGTCAAGCTGGTCCAGCAGAGGATCGCCGTACTGATAGTCGGTTAGTTACAGGTCAATAGAGAAGTGTACACCGGTTTGGGAACATACCTTTGATACCGACGCGGTAAACACTACAACCTCATATAATTCACCAACGCGCTTCATGAACTGGTCCACTCCCGGCCGCTTGATAACATAAATATTATGATATTGACCCTCGATTTCGACTGGAATAGTAAAGTCGGCCTTATCTAAAATCTTCAAGAAATCAGTAACGGGTTAGTTGGGGGTGAAAATTGTGGGAATCTTACTTTAAAACTACTGTGGACTAGTGTCTCATCAAGATCCAGAACAAGGCACTTTTTATCTTTGAATTGGGGCTGCAGAGGAGGTAGTAAGTACTGCTTCTTATCCAAAGGAACAACGGGAACTGGTGGAGCCTGGGTATCTGAGGTCTGCTGCAAAGGATCTGCGGGCGGAGGCGGAAGTGGTAGAAGTGGAATCTTTTCGTCGTCTTTAGCGGGGAGCGCTGGAATTGGTTTTTCTTCAGTAGGGACATCTATTGGCGTAGTTCCGGCCGGTTCAGGCACAGCCTTCTCATCTACATCTGGCGACTGTGGTAGAATGGTATGCTCTTCGATTGGGGAAACTGCAGGTGCAACGATAGTTTTGGGACTATCATCAGGTACGCTATTTGACGCTTCCGGTTGTGACGCGCCAGATGAAGGGGAACCAGAGGTTGCATCCGAGTTGACTGGCAACTTCGATGCTACAATTGATCCATCCTCACTTCGCTTCGGGACACCAACCTCGGCTTCGGACTTTGAAGACTCCTGTTCTATATTCGCCTTCAGAGCCGCCTTTTCGTCAAATGGAAGTGGATCTCTCGAGTCCGCCATACTTGATTCCGCAGCGCTGGGTTCAGGCTTTTCTACAACGGCTGCTTGTCTCTCGTGAGATACCTGGGCCTTAGTTGTTTTCTTTGGGGGAAGAATTGGTCCGTCGCCATCGTCGTTCTGAGAGCTGCAGCAATTCAGAAAGGCAAACAGTTTTGAAGGGCCTTTCGGCTTCTTTTCGATGGATTTCTCCCCCATATTTGCTGCTGCGGGTATCGACACGGCTGTCGCCTCGCCCGGTGCATTGTTCCGCACGCTGCTTGATTTGCTATTCGAGCGCTTCTTTTTCGTGAGGTTGGTTCGAGAAGTCTGCGGGGTGGCTTCTGGGTCCCCCTGCGCCGGGTCTCCCAAGCCAGAGGAAGTTTCCTTCTGTTGCCGATGAAAGGAAAATTTAGAAGGGATGCGGTGCAAGGAGCGCTTTTTCTGGAGTCCATCGATGGTAGCTTTGCTTGATGAAGGATGGGCGGTCACATCGTTCCCCGACGACGAAGGCACGGGTACTGTAAATCAAGAAAAACCAGATCAGCTCAGATTCGTTGTTAGTAGAATAAACCTCAAAACGCTGCATACCGGCCGATGGATCGCTCGGGCTCGTCATAGGAATGGCAACAAGGCAAGATTGACCAAAAATGACTGTTCATGCAAATATATCTATCCACCGCTTTCCACGCGCTAAGAATCCGAAAGCAGAAACAAGTAAGGAGCGGCGCGACAGATCGAATTGTCGCTTTAATGGGGTTGGAAAAGGGAGTGCAGAGCGTAGCCGGGTGATCGATTTGCTGCGTATGTGCGAATGACAAGAACCCCGTTGCGAATGCTGGCTAAGGTGACGAGCGCAGGTCGACGAACGGCCCGTTGCAGGGGCGGTGGAGCAGAACGAAGGTGGTCGACGTCGTCGAATGTGCCGGAAAGCCTGTGAAGGGATTGGTACATCAGCGAGACGCGCTGCCAGATTACTTTTGACGCCGGAACGAAGGTTCAGGGCGTACCGTGGATGGGCAAACCAACGTCGAATCGGCGGTGGTTGTCTCAAGATAGGGGGCCTGGCGTTGAAAACGGAAGATCAAGCGGCGCTGGATTGACAGCGAGCGACGTCGGCAGGGCGAGCAGGGGGCGAGCCGTTGTCCAGCGTTCGACCTCGCAGGCTCAGACAAGGGCTAGCGAGGAAGACGGCGTCAACGGTGTCGTGCTGGCAGAGGAGAGTCGACGGCGGCAGCAGCAGCAACAGCAGCTCCGGCGAGCGACCAGCCTTTTCCTTCGCTTAGCGGGGAGACCAAAGCTAACGTCTTAGCGCTGCCGGCCGTGGCCCAATCGCCCGCGTTGTTTGCGCGCAGCCAGATCGCTCCCCAGCCCCGAAAGGATCTTCAATCACACCGTCCTGCGCGTGCTCTGATGCCTGCTGCTGGCCAGCACCCTCGAATCCTCGTTCGGCGGGAGCCTTTGCCACTTCCTTGCCGCCGGGCGGCCACTCGACCCCCGATCACCAGCACTTAGGTATGTGACCGCCGTCCAGCTGCTTCCTTCACAGCCGGGTTCCACCCGCTGCCCGTGGTCTAGCCTGTGCGTCGTCTGGTGTGCATCCTTTGGCCGATGCTGCTATCAAATGACCCAGAGCCTACTCGTCCGGATGCGCAGTGCAGCCCCAGTGGCGGCCAGATGGGCGGTCTATCGCTCCCGTTGTGCCAACCCGTCCCACCCCAGCGAGCTGACGGCAGTGACTTGCGCTTCATACGGAGTACTGTTGCCAATGTCCGTATTCCCGCTGTGCGTTTGCATGCCAGGAAGCCAATGCCTAAACCTTAGCGGATGGCTTTCTAGGCCAGTGCAACCACCGCAACGCTCGCCGTCTGCCCTGCCCGCCTGACTACCTGACCACTCACCTGAGCATCGGGTCTGTTTATTATCCGTTTTAGATGGTTCCATGGAGTCGGCTGCCGGCTATATAGCCGCGATTGAGAGTACGAGTCATCGCCACACCTCCTCGCGATATGTATGGTAGTCAGGCTGCTTGTCCACCACCAAGACCATTTGCAAACTTTCCCTCCACCTTTCGCGGCGGGTAATAACTATATGCTCAGCCGGCGATTTCTCAGAATAACAATAATATCCACCCAGCCCAATTATAGAGACACCAGAGATTAAGAGCCACACACCGGCTCTTATCCAGGGGGAAGGTCCTCCGTACTCATACTTCGTACTCTGTAAGGAGCAGCTATGGAGTAGTTACTCCCACTCCGTACATCCATCAATTCTGGCCTAGACATACATGGCTTACAAGTAAAACGCACCCAGGACAGTTATCTTGGGAAACACAACCATGTCAGCCCAGTTCCACCCCTCCCCTCGATCGACGGCATGAATGTTTGCCCATCCCTCCTCGACGCGCTGTGCGACTCATCGCCGCTTTTGCGTAGCCACAAGTGATCTTCACATGCATCGCCACTCCGAGCTTACATAAGCCACGCATGGTTCACCAGAGGAACTCCCGAAAGCTTTCTCCAGCACGATCCGTCCGTCGCTAAGCTGGCTGCTATTATTTCTCTCCCGCTGTGTGGTTTAACGGCCTTCTTTGGATGTCATGACCAGATGAATTTGCTTGCTTCCGATGTGGACACCCAAATGATCGATTCTCCCTACTCCCTCACCTCCGTCGGTTGACACCCATCAGCTGTGGCAATGGCAGCACAGTCCACCTTACGACAGCCTGAAGATCCGCTGTTTATCCTATATCAGCACTATGTCACTCTCCTAAAATTGCGGTTCCAAAAATCGTCGCGGCGAACACGAATCCTTGCAACTGTCACTTTGCTCCTCGCGATCATTGGTACTGGCTATGGAGGATATAACTGGTGGCGGGAAGGCTCCAAAGAACGGCAGCAGGGTAGAAGACTACTACGGAAGAACTCTGGTATCCTGAGAAAGGATGGTACAAGAATTATCTATGTTCCATCCAAATCGTCCCTGTCATCGTCCGAGAGCTCACGGGTCACAATACACCCCACCAAGTCAACAACATTCGATGCCCATCGACGACTATTCTTGAACACGCATCGGTCTGCCGGCGCATCGCTGATCCCACCTCCGACTACAAAGCCTGGGCTTAATCTTGCATTCCTACATCAACTCTTCAGCTTGTTAAGCATTATGATCCCGAGATGGAACTCCAAAGAAACCGGCTTTCTGATCAGCCATGGCGTTTTCCTCATGCTAAGAACGTATTTATCTCTGGTTGTCGCGCGGCTGGACGGAGAAATTGTCAGAGACCTGGTTGCAGGAAAAGGTCGGGCGTTTATTTGGGGAATCACAAAATGGTGTGGAATTGGCACCTTTGCATCGTACACCAACGCGATGATAAAGTTCCTTCAGTCCAAGGTGTCAATCGCATTCCGTACCCGTCTCACGCGCTATATCCATGACCTTTATCTAAATGACAACTTGAACTACTACAAATTGTCCAATCTCGATGGAGGTGTTGGTCAAGGAGCGGATCAGTTCATTACCCAGGACCTCACTTTATTCTGCAGTGCTGTGGCCTCTTTATATTCGTCTATAGGTAAGCCATTTGTTGATCTTATCGTTTTCACTTACCAGCTCTACCGTTCCTTGGGTCCTATCGCCTTTGCTGCCATAATAAGCGGCTACTCTGGAACCGCTAGCCTTCTCCGCCGTCTTTCACCACCTTTCGGAAAATTAAAATCTGTAGAAGGAAAGAAAGAAGGTGATTTTAGAAGCCTACACTCAAGGATCCTGGCAAATGCAGAGGAAATTGCGTTTTATGGCGGTGCCGACATGGAAAGAGTGTTCCTATCAAAAAGTTTTCGAGACTTGCAGAAATGGATGGAAGGCATATATGGGTTGAAAATTCGTTATAATATGTTTGAAGATATTGTTTTGAAGTATTCCTGGTCAGCCATGGGGTACCTTATTACGTCTCTGCCAATTTTCCTGCCTGCTTGGGGTGGACTTGGTGGAATGTTGGAGATGGCAAGCACTGATACAAGTTCGAATCGCGAAAGGGGCCGCATGAAAGATTTCATCACCAACAAGAGACTTATGCTTTCTCTGGCCGATGCTGGCGGACGAATGATGTACAGTATCAAAGATCTCGCTGAGCTTGCCGGCTATACCTCTCGAGTGTATACACTCATATCGACGTTGCATCGTGTGCATGCAAACGCATACTATCAAGGTCGTGACGTCCAGCCGGAATTATATTCCCTTTCCGACGTGCAGGGAACCATTCATAGTGGTTTCGATGGTGTTCGGCTGGAGCATGTTCCGATCGTTGCACCGTCCTTGTTCCCCATGGGTGGCGACGGCCTCATCGACTCCCTGTCCTTTATCGTTCACTCTGGTGAGCACTTACTTATTTCCGGACCCAACGGCGTTGGCAAATCGGCCATATCCCGTGTTGTTGCAGGTTTATGGCCTGTCTACCGCGGCCTGGTCAGCCGTCCTCGAACTTTTGGCACAGATGGAATTATGTTCCTTCCGCAGCGCCCATATCTCAGCATCGGTACCTTACGTGACCAAGTAATATACCCCCATCGTGAGATGGATATGAGGGACGGTGGGCGCACAGATGCAGAGCTTCAGCAAATCCTTGAGGCTGTGCATCTAGGATATCTGCCTGAGCGAGAAGGAGGGTGGGACTGCAGGAAAGAATGGAAGGATGTGCTTAGCGGTGGAGAAAAGCAGAGAATGGCTGTCGCGCGACTGTTCTACCACGAACCCCGGTATGCTTTCGTCGACGAAGGTACATCTGCCGTGTCGTCGGACGTCGAAGGCCTTCTCTATGAACGCTCCAAGGAGCGGGGTATCACCTTGATAACCATATCCACTCGTGCTTCTCTTAAACGCTATCATACATTCAATCTGACTCTTGGGCTGGGTTCCGAGGGCGACAGCTGGGAAATCGATCGTATTGGGACTGAGAAGGAGAAGATGGGTGTTGAGAAAGAGCTGCAGGAGCTTAGAAAACGGCTAGCGAACGTGGAGGCACTGAAGCAACGTCGCGAAGAGATTGAGAACGAATTACAAAACGTATGGGCTGATGACGGCAGCCACTTAGATCCTCCGCCATACGAAGAGGCAATAGCCGATGAAGTCTTAAGGGATATCCCAGTCGAGCAGTAGACCTATTTTTCAGTAAGTATAGGTTATCCGACAGGCGATTAGGACTATGGTTGTCACCATGATTTTGCACATAAATTTTGTATGTATATATATAATCTGTACAGAAGGCGCTCACCCGCACAGCCTCATATGACGAAAAGTAAGCAGCACTCAAGATATACCTGTCCTCCAGTTAATCGTGGTGAACCGTTTACCCAAAAACAATCAAATTCATATTCGTTGCTGTCACTTCTCAAATATTCAACAGCGGGTACGCTGCATCGACCAGGAGTCAATAATATATCCGCTGCAACGGTGACTGTTGCCAACAAAGAGGTTCGGAACCCAACTGCGGATTCGTAATTTCTGCCTCGCCCCCGTGTCATTATTTAATGATTTCTTTGAGTAAAGAAAAACAGGGAGCAGAAGTTAAGCTCCTTGTGCTGCCAGGATTCCTTGTCGCCTAGATATGCAGTTATACATAGCTCCAAAGTCAATGGACATGTTAAACCAGTCGCTGGGAAAGTTCAGAGCAGAGATATTAGAGATATCGTGCAGCCTGTTTATCATAGTTGAAGTATTTATTCGGTCAGCCAACGGTACGAAGTTGGCAATTCCAAAGGAGCATGGCATATTTGCGGCACTCTACTCCGTACGGAGTACTCCGTAACATATCCTTTTATTAATGGGTAGTTAACTAGGGTCATGAAAAGCTCCTTGCAGTGCTGTTCGTACGGTTCCGTCGGGCGACGCGAGTCATCGCACACCAACCCAACTGCCGATCGACCGGTGCGTCAAGTCGCGGCAACGGCGAGAACAACTGAAGAGGCCCAACAAAGGTGCCGTGCCCATACATAGTTAACCAAGCCACAGACCGGGCCTACAGACCAGAAACAATGAGAACGCGGCGGCACGTCACCCGCAGTGGCGTTGCCCGAACCCGCCTTGGCAGATTGCTAGGACTGCCTTTGCAGGATAGTTAGCGGCTGTAGGCTTTGCCTAGGCAGACCACCCACCTCGGATTCCGGGCGAGACTCCCGCGTTCGCTTCACTCCGGCTGGTAGGCCCCCGCTAGTCTGCCCAAACAACCCAGGTTTGCAGCAGCCGGCGCGAAGGGGGGTGATTGGTGATTGGGCGGGCGAGCCCGGCGAGAGCGGAACGGCCATGCCCTCACAGCGACCAGGGCCCAAAGCGCAAGGTTGTCGTCGAATATCCTGCAGCCTGTACAAACAAAATAAGTTCTCTTCATATGTAGTTACGCCTGCTTTCTGAGCTGATATTTGCCTGAGGGCGGTGTGCAGCCAGGCCGGATGTAGTTATCGCTCGCAGAAATAATAGCACTGGCGAGACTCGCGGATTTCCTGGCACAAGTAGGAAGTTCCTTGGGGCCGCCGAGACGATCATGGCAAATCGTAGCAGGAATCATCCCGCCAGACTAGCCCTAGAAGCGTGGCTCTTGGGGCCCTTCAATCTGCTCTGTGCGGCGGCGGCAATGCTTAATTCGCGACTAGGCTAGCCAGGAAGGCCCATACCTTTCCCAAAAGAGTAGTTGTTCAATTTTTGCTCTCACTGCGGAGTGACGGTCACCATAGACGGTCAGGCATGGATGCCAGGGAGTCAGCGCTTATGTAGCATGTACGGAGAAAAATCGCGGATGGTGCTAATGTAACCAAGGGACGCTTGATCTGAAATGCAAGGAGTTTTCTGCCAGCATACTCAAAGCCAGGTTGCCCAACAGGAAAGCAAAAGTTAACGTGCCACATCATAACATTCGGTCAAAGCCGTAAAATGCATTGCGGCACCCGCATTCTTTGGTCTGTCAGGTGGCGTATCAAAGTATCGAAGCCCGGGAATGGCTTGTCTTGCTTGCAGCGAAGCATGGAGACCTGCATGGGGATGCAAGCTACGTATTCAATCCGTCGGGTTGGCTCTGCCGGCCGTAACAAGGAGCCGCCCAACCAAGCAAATATCAGTTTCCAAGATAACCTCCGCGAGTGCTGCATTTGCTTTATATAGTTTAGTGTCTGCAGTTGTATTAAGAGTGTCTTCTCCTCCCATCCACCCCCCGGTCCTGGCCCTTAGAGTGACACACTCATTACTAGAGTGATTCTCTTCACCATGTTGCCTGCTCTATCAGCATTGCCTGGTGGTGCCATCGTGGCATATCTTGGAATTGCGATCGCTTTGCCGGTCCTAGTAACAAGGCTCCTAAGCGCCTTTAGAGGTCGTTGGCCAAAAAAAGGAGAGCCTCCAGTTGTTCCATATTGGATACCATGGCTCGGTCATGCTCTTTCATACCTGTTGGATATAAACAACTTCTCTGACAAAGTCAAGTAAGTTTTATGTTTTTGTTTTTTTCCTGTGCGTTCGTACCTCCCTCCACTTTTGCTGTAAGGCCGTCAGCATTCCTAACGCTACATTAGAACCATGTTCCCTAACGAAAGCATTGTGACGTCGGTTGTTGGAGGGCGGAATTATTATATGATCCTAGATCCAAAACTCGCAAGCCAACTTCTCCGTCGGCCAAAAGTATTTGCTATGGAGGCATTCGTCTTAGAATCCCATGAAGCTTTTGGCACGCCAAAACATGACCTGGATCTCATGAAAATGGGCGTTCCTGGCTTGCAGGGTCATCAGAACGATCGAGATGACGGTAGGCGGTTGTGGCACGGCCTAAGCAAGGTAATCAGCGAGTGCCTGGATGTGAACAGTTCAGTTCGTATGGCTTCAACATTTTTGCAAATATTGACAAAGAATCTGGCAAAAGAATTCCCAATGGACAGCAAAGCAAGCTGGGTAACAGTAGATATACGGAGTTTCATCATGCGGCAATATCTGATTGCCTCTGTCCCTTCGTTATTTGGATCTCATATCTTGGAGATCTGGCCCACCATATATGAAGACTTCTGGTTGTACGACCGCTACACAAGCCTTCTTTTAGCTTTACCACCAAAGATGTTTGCATCAAAGGAATATGCTCTTCGCCAGAAAATATTAAACGTGTTGCTCCAGTGGGAGAGGGACGCGCGGGACAACAAGAATTTGGATGGACTGATTGCGGACAACGTCGAATGGGATGAATATTGGGGAGCACGATTATTGCAGCAGAGAACCAAGCTTACTATGGAAAACGGCCTTTCTGAAATGGCTCGCGCTTCAATTCAGTTGACTCTTCTCTGGGGGTAAGTAAATTCCTAAACATATATTTGCATTTGATTTAATAAATGGTCGGCTAGTCAAAATGGGAATGCGATCCCAGTTGGAACATGGTTAATGATACAATGCCTCGTCGACCCCGAAGTTAAGCGTCGAGTTCTCACCGCAATAGAGGAGTGCCGTAAACCAGATGGAGAAATCGACATGTATCAGATTGTGACACATAGCTATTTGAAATCGTTGTTCCTTGAAGCTCTTCGATATTCTGTGGCAGCCCCAACCATGCGCGTGGTCCTTGAGAACACAACTCTGGGGGGGTACACGCTGAAAAAAGGTAGCATAACTCACATCCCCGGGAGGACACTCCAAATGGACGAGAAAGTATGGTCCGCAGGCGACGTCCCAGTTCAGCCATCAACATTCTGGGACGAGAGGTTCTTGGATCTAGAACGCGATGCAAATGGTGGTCTTAATGAAAAGCAACCTGCCAATTCTGTATTCTCGAAGGCGGCTGCCGATCCAATTTCTTTGCCCATCGGCACAAAGTCAAAGGAAATCCGGGATCGCATGTCATCATTCCGGCCATTTGGCGGCGGATCTCATCTATGTCCTGGGCGTTACTTTGCCATATATGAGATCGTCGCAGGCATGGTCACATTGTTGACCGATTTCGATTTCGAGGTTGATCAGGGGGCGTTGCAGCAAAATGGTATGCCGAGTCTCAATAAAGAGGGAATCGGCGGGCTTCAGCCGGATAGAAAGTTCATGGTCCGAATGAAGAGAAAGTAAATGGACTCAAACAGAAGGGTCTCCATCATTTTTCACGGCCTTTCTGGGGGGTTGGTTCGACGTTTCTGGAGGCATCCTCGTTCACTGCAAAATGTGTATGTTACTAACTAGTTAGTTAGCTACCAAACCACTTGTTAGTCATTCAGCCACCAATTGTTAGTTGGTCATGTCACTTCTACAGCATTTACAACTGAGCCATGTAGCCCTAGTGACAATCCCTGCTCCTATGTAAGATGTTCCTAAAAGTGAGGTGAGGTCTTTTAGTGCAGTCACGTGAATGGCAACCCCTGCCAAAGAGCTCTCACTCCATCCGTCAATATAAACTAACCTCTAAAGAACAGTTCTCAGAGAGTGCAGCTTAACCCAGTAACTTGGCATTTAAACCTGAATATTCTTGACTACTATGCTATTTTGATCACTGTATTGTTTCTGCTTTAAGTGTTTCATTCAACTTGAAGCTGAATCTGAAGGAGCGCACTCTGCACCCGGCAGCTTGGGAATAAAGCTAATTTCGAAACACAAAGTTGTGCTGCTGGAGTTATCACTGGATGTAACTTTGCCCAAAATGTTCTCCGTTTTAAAAGGGGCGAAGGCACCTCCGCCCTCCTCGGCCAACCAGGCCCATTGGGAGATTATATCCATTGAGCACATTGAGAGCGACGGAGTTGAACAACGCTGGCCAAAAAGCCCTGAATATCAGGAAGCAGATCACACTGGATACCTAGAAAAGTTGGCAAAGCTATGGATGAAGAATCATGGAGAGCTTGAACCTGGTTAGTCTCTGCTTGCAATCATAAGTACTTGACACTTTGTTGTTTTTATTATTGTTATCTGTATTTGTCTTTATGTTGGTTATCCAAATTTTCATAATTTTGGGGTTGCTACCTGTCCATGCTTTTGCTTGATCAATCAAAATCCAACAAGACTACTCAGCATAAACATTATTCCTTTTTTCCCTCTATCAGTATCTGATTCTAAAACAAAGAAAAATATTTCATAGAACAATTGGTCAATTGTTTTGTTCCTGGCAAAAGCTGACCAACCACCTTGCTTGTGTTAACTACTTTTTATTTTGATTTTTGATTTTTTCTCCACTTTCTGATATTTAAAAATACATCAGGAAAACATTACATATTAAGTGCACTTCCTGAAGGCTACATACTTCTTTCTCGGGAACGCAAGAAGGATCCACAAATAGTAAGTTTTTCTGCGGCTACGTACATTTATATCTATGCCTGGTCTTACTAACTACTCTCTAATTAGCGCGACAAATTTTTATATGGGCACCCTTCAGGTCACTACTTCAACTCTATTCTTAAGTTCTGGGATCATTTTGTTTATTTAATGACTGGAAAAGTCACTCCATGCACCTGTGATCTTTGCCGATCTCCAGAACGCAAAGCCGTGACTAAGTATTCCGACGGAATGGCGCGCCAAAGTCGCAGCAAAAGAAAATCAACAGCGAAGCCTACTCGTGAATTGAAATCTAGAGTTGCTCATAAAGCCGGTAAGTAGGTCTTGTTTCATGTGCTGTTTGCCTATTTAACGACCCCCCTCCCACCATAGTCCACGCCAAAAACAAGTATCTTGCTGAGGACGAGGAAGGAAACCAAGATGTATTCAAGGAGCTCATCCACAACCTCAAATCCCAGAAAACTCTCGATATTCCTGTGGTAGAGAGTGACAGTATGGACTGGAGAGCGGAGAGAGAACACCTTGAAGAACACCTGGCTCAAATATCCATGCAAGGAAGATTTATCCCTCGAATTGGCGAGCTAGTGTTGTGGATTCCCAACCTTAAAGGGGCTGTTGATTATGACTTAAAAACAAAGAAGTTTCAAGAATACCATCCGCACGAGGACCGCGTGGTTGGTTCTCCAGCGTGGCGTGCAGGAACAGTTACTCAGGTACCGGCCGAACCAATTGTTTTGAGTGAAATCTTCTTCCGCGAGAATGAAACACCGGCATCTACCGCGTTTTGTTTTCGAATCGAAACGTTTCCGGATCCGAATAGTGCCGACAAGTCCTTTTCATGCCAGTATAAATATGTTCCGCTTAGCCATATCCGACCATTGAATATGTGGGATATTTATTTACAGAATATTCCGTTTTATTCATTCCATCCTTCCATCCTCAATGCTTTGACGATCATGTCGTCATTCAGCATGCTGGACAAATATCATTTTAAGGGCGTGTGGCCTGACGCCTCCATTTCCTGCAAAGGAATTTATCTCGGTGCAGAGCTACTTGTTGTTGGTGATGTAGTTCGTTTGGTACCTTCATCTAAACATTCCGGGGAGCAATTTGACAAGGTCACTGATATTTTGGCAATCGATGAGATTCAATTGAACTTTGTCAATTGTAACGCAGACCTCTCTTCTCCTCAGCTGTGTGAGAAGTTTGCTCCTGTTATAATTGGCCATTCCTATACCAATAATCCTGGAAGGCTTTTCCGTGATTCACCTTCCCAATCTCCTACGGACCCAAATCCTATGACTGCACATGAAATCGTTGAATCGTTCGATATGGTGGCGATGCGTCAATATGGACCATGGTATCGCGTGCACCCTGAATCGGATAAAATGCATGTTTCAGTTGACCAAATTATGGGACGTCTTTACGAATCTGACTATGTAAAAGCCATGTTCGGTACGTTGGACTTGAGCTATGAACTTCAGGGCGTTATCGGAGGTCGTCAATACGGCCAAAATACCGACGAGCGTATTGCCGAAGGCAAACAATGGTTTGCGGGTGACTATCGTCTTGAGACACTAGCTCTTGAGACTTTTAACGGTATCGAAATTGGCAATTTCGATGAAGCTCGCGACTTGAAAATGTGGCGTGCCAATCTTAGAATTCTTGATGGTACTGCTACACCCTCAGATATTCGCGATTCAAAAATACCCCGTGCTCAAGGCCGCCTGAAGGAACAGGATATTATTGGAGGAAGGACCGAGTCATCCAAATTCACGCCCATGAAAAATACCAGCTCTATGGTGAGCACTGCACTAGCACCGTTTTCGATCTTCAATACCGCTTCATCAAAGGGCGCCATTACGCCAAATGACGATGAGGACGACAACCCTTCTGGCCTCATCAGTCCTACCTCAGATGATGATACCAGCGACGACTCTCTTGTCGAATTAATGCAAGTGCCTATGGCTCTTCCCTATGAAGTTGACCAGGCCGATGATGTCGACTATGAACCGGCTTTCTCTTCTCAACCTCATATGAAAAGGCAAAAAAGGTACCACATCGACTCTAGTTCTGAAACATCTGAAACAACGTAATTTTGGTCTTTTGAGGATTGGGTGGAGTGTTACAGGTGGTTATAGTCAGTCGAGTTAACGCTGAAAGCGCAACTCAGTTCTCACCGTCTGTGCTTCAACGAGATTGAGATTATACTAAATATTTCTTTTTGCATGGGGTGGCATCTGAATTGATTCTAATCATTCACGGCGAAAATTGGGCCAAGCAAACACGCGATATTTTCTTGCGGCGGATAAGTTGCCTCTTTTTTTTTTGTTCCTTGGCGATATTTGATAGAAAGAACGATAGTCTCATGTATTCGGACTGTACTCGAATCAATAAACTCCATATGAAAGTTCGTATCCCATCAGAATACTGAATTGTAATGGATTGTGAAGAGAGAAAGTAGCTTAAATCACTTTGCTAGAGGGCCAAACCAAAAAGACCCAGTATTTAAGACAGCTATATATATGGTTTATATATCATAACTATAGTTACAAGAAAGCGATGTGGAACAACATCCCACATTAATGGTTCCTATCAACCACCTCCCTAGCAAAGTCGGCAAAGGACTTCCCTGCCATCACCTCCTCGCCAAGATTCGGCTGCGTGAACACCGCCAACGTATTTCGCGCGATTCGCGCGGGGCCCTGGGTCTTTGTGCCCTTGACAAAATGCGGCACGGCCTTGAACTTGCCCTTGGTGATGACCTCCAGGGCCTCGCCAGTCTGGAAGGCGAGGCAGTCCTTGGGGATATTGACCTTGACCACGTCTCCCGTGCGCGAGCGGATGTACAGCCCAGCCTTGGGGTCCGGGGACGTGGGCAGCTCCGGGATGGGGGCGGATTTGGAGGTGTCGGCCTCGGGAGGGTGGGCGGCCTCGTCGACGAACATGGCAGATGTGAGGCCGGTGAGACAGCCGTGGTCGAGATGGGTGCCGCACCAGTCATCGTCCTCGCTGGCGTCGGCCGGGGTTTGAGCTGGGTCCTCCGCTGGGGCGGGGAAGTAGTGCAGGAGCCGGGCTTTGCTGGTCATGCTGGTTTTGACGACGTGCTCGAGGTAGCCGGGTTTGTACTCCTCGATGTTGTGCTCCGCATAGCGATCGCATGCGCGAGCGACGAGGACAGCGGTATCTATGATCAGCGTGCATAGCTCGGTCAGGCTCTGGCGAAACGTTGGCAAGCGGTCCGCTGGGGGCCAGATGTTCGGCGCGGTGTACTGCGGAAAATCTGGAAACTCATCCGCAGGCGCATTTTGCAGCTCAGGGCTCTGATAGAATGCACAATTGACGTAGTATGACCCCTTCAGGGTGTCAAAATGGCCCGAGCGAAGGGTCTCTTTGCCGCACGACCAGCCGACCAAAAACTTCGCTTCAGCACTGGTGAGAGACTCTACGTAACGATTAGTCTAGGCTTAAACCACCACGGGTGATGAATGCTCACCCAACTCATCCTCTGGCAAAGATGCCAAATACGATGCGTTAGACAATACTTGGGACCGGAGAGCTTTGAATTTCTCAGGCAGATCTTTGACGATTATGACACCCAAGGATGAGGGTCCAAAAGCTTCAGTGAGCGTCTCGAAAGACACAGAGCCTGGTAGTAAGCTGTTAGCAGGGCATGGTCGCTACCAACATGGTCTCGGGCGATATCGCACCTTCAGTGAGCTGCTGGAGGCTCACAGTCACGGCCTTGCCTGGGGTTACGTCTGCCATACTGAGGTTGAAGAGGCGGGGTTCGACGTGAATTGCGGGACTTAGATCGCTAGTTGGCTAGCTACGGGAGCAGTTTTATAATAGATATTGCCGTAGTTCGATGTGAGCGGTTCCTCTCTTAGGCAAAGTGGCGTGTCGCGTGCCACTGGAGTTGGTCTCTGTATCTGCGTAGCCTGGGGCAAGGAGTTTGGAGCAGCAGGACCCGACCAGCGGCCGAGGTGCAGAGGGGAGCAGACGATGGCCTGACGAATTCCCCTCTTGGCCTGGGTGTGGGGGAATCCCACGGTGTCCAAGCGCCACCGCGGGCTTCCCCGAACGCCCTCAAACGCCCGTGTCGCTAAGCCGCGCTAAGACCCGCCTGTCGCGTCCGCCGCGCGCTTAACCGGCCCTCGACCTGCTGCCCTCCGCCGTCGCTCCAAGCTGCCTCGACACCGGGCTTGCGATCGCCCCGAGCTTCTCCCCGTCTCCCCGCCTAGCTTCCCGCGCGATACGGCTTCACGAACGCGCCTCGCCACCCTCAACCACCTGCTCTGTGCTCTCGTCTAAACTCACTTCTTGCTTTATTCACTATCCATCACTCTGCATATCTCAGTTTGTGTCTCACTTTGCTCTTGTTATCAGCCCACTTGCCTCTCACCTCACCTCACCTCACTGTCACCCTCACCTCACTTTCAACTGCTGTCTGTGACTGCAGAAACAAAAGTATTTCTGTGGCATTTCAGTCCCCCTGCATTTCCTCACTTCTCTCTTTATTATATATTCCTTTGCTCACTGTTTCTTCACTTTTCGTCTCTTCACTTTCGTCCTTTCACTTTCGTCTCTTCACCTCATGTCCCTTCACTAGCATCTGCTCCTCCCTACCAACACCACTCTACTAGTGAACTTTCTCGTCTCTACCTTCCGTCTCTCTTCCTTTATCTCTGCCATGGACACTTCTTGTCTGTGAACTTTCGTCCCAAATCTTTCGTCCCTCCTCACCTGTCCTTGGATGTCCGGTCCCCATCATCAACAGCTCTCGATATCCGCCACTGTGTCCTACCTTTGGTGTCCTAGTGCATGAGCTGTCGCACTTGGATCGCCCGCCATGTCTACTTTCCAGCTCATGATACAGGCAAAACTACAGCAGCTACGCGAGGAAGGGAATGCTAAAAATAAATCAGCTGCGCCAGATATCCCTTCTACTGCAAAGCGTCCTCGTTCTGCTGAACCACCAGACATTCCCCATGTACCCGCCAAACAGGCTAAAGAAATTGAGCCAGCACAAGCTCCAATTGAACAGGCCGAACCCGTTGAAGAGATTGTAGCTATCAAGGCTCAATCTCCAGAAGAAGAGGTGCCATCAGAAACAGAGGCCGTGAAAGCTAAACCTGAACCAGCTGAGTCTACAAGTGTGTCTGAATCTGAAACTCCTCCTACTTGTACTTGCGCGATCTCGAACAACTGCAAACTTGCTGCCAAAAATGGAGTTCGAGACTGTCGAGTTCTGGCTCCTATTCCCAAAACAAAACGCCCCAAAACAACAAATGCAGCGTAAGAATTACTCCTCAATCGATATACTCTAGACACTAACCCTATATATAGCCCTGCAAGAGCTCTTTCCACGAAACAACAAGCGAGAGTTCAGAGAACTATGAACGATATGCTCCAGATCCTGAATGTTTTCAAACAGTCCAAAATTCGCCCTTCTGCAAATTTATTTCAGCAAATGAGACATTGCGTTCAACAACTTCCGTTTCTTGAAATTCCTCCGTCGTCTCATACCCTCTTGAAATCCAAGTTCTTAGACCCGAACACTGGCTTCCCGGCAATTGTTAACAGCGATGCTGTTCCGTGGGATATCAAACTCGACATTAAAGTTCTTCAACTGCGTTGGGAAAAAGGCGATCTCGATACTAGCTTAGACAGAGGCCTCATTACTAAGTCGGCAAAGACCATTAGCCGCAGTTTCGATCCCACCTATAAATTTCGCGTCTCATGCTCCTACATCGGAGAAGGTAGCCTATCCAATGGCCAGTGGTTTCCATGGCAACTGGCTGCCTCTCGGGATGGTGCTCATGGCGAGATTGAAGCCGGTGTGTGCGGCTATCCGTCCTTGGGCGCTGTTTCTGTGATCCTCAGCTCCGGGTATGCAGACACTGACGAGGGCGACATTATCTATTACTTTGGTACCCAAGGCAAAAATGGAGAGGCATCTCAGAGCACCACGTTCCTCCTCCAGTCTGCAAAAAACAAAACTCCACTTCGTGTTCTGCGCAGCTCACGCCTTCCCAACATCAACAAGTACCGCCCAGTTGAGGGTCTTCGTTATGATGGTCTTTATATAATTGAAAGTGAGGAGCTGATGGATGAGCCAAATATGCTTTACCAATTCAAGCTCAAACGGCTCCCTGGTCAGACTCCGATTCGATACGCTGGTCCTTCAAAGAAACCAAATCAGAAGGAGGTTGATGAATACAGGACTATGCAAAAGTTTACCTCGGTTTCAAGAAAAAAGGCAACCTAAACGATGAATGCCTATGGCTCCGGAGGGTTTGCTGGTGGTTTTTTGATTTTGTGCCATTTGATTTAACTACTTCTCTGTTCATACTGCGGTACTTTTTTGCTTTTTTGGTTTTTTTCTTTTTGACTTGCAATAATTCGATGCAATTCGGGTTTACAGTACAAAATAATAGGGAGGGTATATTGTTTCTTACTGGAGGAAGCCTTGCTTTTTTGTCTTTTGAGCCTTTAGTTCATCTCTTGAGATGCCTAGCACAGATCAAAGCAATAATACTAGCATACCGCAGCATAGAAACCCGCCCACTTTGGCCGTCCTCCGTTTCAACAAGCAAGAGGTATAACACATGTACCTTTGTGGTACACCACCACAATAGAAGGTAGCCTAACGCGGCTGCCGAGTGAAAAGTTGAGATTTCGAAATAATAAGCATCGCAGCCAACCTTGCTTCCAGCGAAAAAAAAAAAAAACTCCTGAACTACCCTACTACCCGCATAAATAAAATATGTGATTTAAAACAGCTTACTCCAAATACGCGGGATTCCATGCAAAAGATTGTCAGTTCAGCCGGCCGTGTGTAATTCGAATGATAATCGGGGAAAAATATACAGAAATAGAGTGCTGGCTTTATAAAATAAGTTTTGTCGCATCAGATGCACTGCTCTCGCCAGGGCAATAGGGACATTTAAATTTGGCGCTTTTGCTCAATTTCATTAAAGATTCTTGGGCAACAACATGCCCACATGGCATCATCATGGGTGGGTTATCGTCAGTCGTCTGTTCCTTGGATACGGGGCAAACAAAGATAGAGTGAAAGAGGTATGATGGTGGAAGGGGGATTTCGACCTATTGATTCAGAGTGGTTAGATGGTAATAGCCTTTTGTCCTGGGTAAGGGGGTGACGTACAGGTAATTCGTTTTGGCTTGTCCACTCAGTGCGCTTCTCTTTCATAATTGACTGTAGTTTCAGCAAAGTTGGAAGAGCAATCGCACCAGCAGTAGCCGCAATATATATAGGCGAGTCTGAAGATAATCCAAGTAAAGCACAGAATTCGCGAGTAAAAGTCGTGGCGACGTCGGCCCAGGCCCACGGGTTACTAAAAGTATCTCTATAAGGGGATTGTTCAAGATTTGGGCAAAATGCCATTGCACCCATCAATTGTTCGACCTCACGGAGATGTCTTGTATGAAAATGATGGAATTCTTTTCTTGCATACTCGAGTGCGGCCGCTCTCCCAGCAACCATCGTTGGACAGGGTTTTCCTCCTCCATGGAATAGCCAAACAAACTGTAGCCGACATAGTTCGAACTCGAGATTGCTGCCCCTTGCTTCCAGTCTTAGGCGATGTTTTCGAGCCCAATCGATCGCAGGCAACAAGTTTTGTTTATCCCTAAGCTCATGCATTATGCTATACATCAAAATAAACTGATTGCGCAAATCACCCGATTGCAATTCTTTGAGTTGTTGAGATACAATGTGGCGCTGGGTCGAATCTTGGGTGCCAGCTCCGGGAACTGTGGGATGAGGGTTTCCCGAGGCTTCTGAGGCAAACGTCGACGCTGTAGAGAATTGGCCTTCGCGCAATAAATGCATTGCAATTGCTCTATCAACTAGAGCCGGCTCCAAAGATAAGGCCTCATAATCGGTGCTTGGAAGTGGTTTGTCTTTAAATAGCTTCAGATAGATAGTTCGTGTAAGCATTTTACCCCGCATAATCACACTCTAGAAGCTTACTTTGTCCAAAGCCCTACCATACCTATTGAGGGCAGAATATGTTTCTTTTAAGCTTTCGTTTGTAGTATCAAAAGAGGTTTTGACGGGGTTTTGTAACTTCGCAAGCGTTATCGAGGCCGAGTTTGGATCTGTGTCGATTCTAGCGTTAGCTTTCTCTCTTGGAGCACATATAGTCCGCTTATAGGGGCCAGAAAACATGATGTAATAATATAGTGAGCATAGCATACCTCTTTCTATAGAATTTCGTGCCTCTTGCAGTAAATTAATTGTAGCTTGCACATCGTCAATGCTCTTCAAGCTCTGGACCCGCTTGAAGAGCCGTTGGTGCTCCTTATGTATGAGGTCCATTTCCGATGCTAAGCAATGGCCGAGTGGACAGTATTACCTCTAACTGCTCATTTTCACTTGTGAGTCGTAATCTGGCAAGAATATGGGTAGGGCAGTAGGTCATATGTGATCTGTTGAAGCAGTCAAGTTCCGATGGCAGCTCCTTTGTACCGCTTAACAACGGACGTCACATGGCATGTTTAGGTTGCGTTCAAATACCGCTAAGGCAGCTAGCCGTAAGGTATTCAAATTACGACACAGTGATTGGTGTGAAATCCCTTTTATTGGCCAACGATGATATTGTACATTTAGTGACCAATAGTATTCTGTGTACGGAGGAGCAAACCAAACGCTAAGTACAACCACCAGCGACTGCCTGTGACGTCGCCAACCCTTTGAGCTAAACAATTGTTGTGTTGCAGCAAAATCACCAAAACGCAACGGCGCCGTGGTTAAACAGAAGATGGCGACATTTGTCGATGGTGTTGAGAGTATTCTTCCGTGGAACCACCTGATACACCCCAGACACAAGAAAAGTCGGTGGTAGGGGTTGATCTGCTGCACCAGGGCTAGCTGCCCCTATATCGGTATTCTGCCCATCCCAGGCGTCAGCCAGAATGGCGCATGATGGTACAATAACGTCGAGCTTCCAGAATCCAGCTCCAGTGCAGCTTGGTGCTGTGCCCCCCACAGGAAAAGCCCATCGCCCTATGGGGGCTCGGGTGTCAGAAGAACGTCAACAAAGCCTCCCAGATGAAGCATATGAAAGGCTAGTTTTTACTGATCCTGTGATTTTCAAGTCTCTTGAGGAAGATCCATCGACTATTCTAGCAGAAAAGCGCTGCGCTCTGGTTGGATTCGAAATCTATATCGTCGAACAGTGGGCGTGCTCAAGAGCCCATCCGACATTTGTTATCAATACCTACACCGGTGACACCTCTCACTCTGCGATTGCTAGTGTCCTTAAAGTTCCTAAAGATGAACAGTTCTGGTCTCCAAAATTGAAAATTTACTTCGAAGCTATCGCCAAATGCTACTCCAGAAGGCGAGAGACACCACTAGGAATATTGATGGTCACAAACCTTAGCAGTTTTCCTTCTTCATTGACTGTTATAGATGTTCCAGAAGGGGACGTAAGGAAATATCGCGAGGAATTTGTCGTGAATGAAGACCTAAAACGCCTTGGCTGCTCTGGTAGGGCTGGTTTGAATTTGAAGCCACCAGCTCCTGCGACAGAAGCAAAATTCTATCAACTCTACCGAATAACCGAAAGAGTACCTCTTTTTAATGCTGTGATAAATCTGGTTAAACTATGTCAACTGTCGTTGAATGTATTCGGTAAGCTGGCATTAGAGTACGTCGATGGCCTGCTTTGTGATGAGACAGAACGAGCAATCAATGACTGGTGGGCGGATATCGGAACAGAACTTTACAATGTTGAACCGAGCGATGGGATACTTGGGCCGACAACTGTCGCAGCGTTACTGGGAACTTTGATTGGCGCAAGAAACCGCCTTCATGCATGGGGAGCACCAGTCGCCAAGGATCCCTTTGACATCGAGGGTTTGAAAAGGGGAATTGGGAGCTTTCAAAGGTCACAGAAGCTCGAAAAAACAAGGAGACTGGATAGAAAAACGGTGGACAAGCTTCACCGAGTGACGGCTAAAGCTGCTAGTGGTGAAGGCTGGGCGGTTCCGAGAGCAGTAAAGTCTACAGTCGCAGAGTTGGGCGGAAAGGGAGGCGAGATGGTTATGGAAATTGTTGGGGGCCGCGATAGAGCGGGTATTTCTGAGGTCGAAACCCTTGATATCGATCGCTTTGTTCAGTTGGCCAGTGGCGAAAGAACCAAATGGCTCTGGCATGGAAAGCCAGGGAAATCTCAAATTGACCCATTTCGATATGACGCTGGAGACGATGATATAGGGTTTCCTAAAGACGTCTGGATTGGTAAACGAAAGGACACCGGCAGCGGGCTTACATCAGGGCGCCCTTCCCTCGAGACAGAACAGCCTTGGAAGCATTTAGAAACCGCGCCAACAATAGCCGATAATAGGGAACAACAGGTGAAGCATTCTTTGAAGAAGTCAGTCAGTGTTAGAGTATCAGATGCGCGTGCAGGCCTTGGCCGATTCAGAGATGCCGTTGGGCTTCCTGCGCTCCGCTCTCATCATCGCAAGTCGTCCGAGGATACCTTTGACGCCGAGGGTGATTTACCTAGCCAGCAAACTTCAGATTCGGAACGGCTGCGCCACGGAACGAAAACCAAAGTAGAAGGTACACAATTGACGATACAGGAAGCATCGGATTCTGGAAATTCAGGAGTGGAAAGAGAAGCACCTGAGATACTGCCGAATCACCTAATAAATATTCCAACTACTGAATCCAGCCGCACCCAGGCTGACCTACAACATCAATCTTCGGCACCTAGTGAAAAATCACAGGGTGCATCTGTGCCAAGAGAAACGAGTATCGAGGCCCAAATGCCTCCCAGCGTGCCTGATGTTGCTACTACGAAATCAGACGGTAGCAACGAGCTGGTTGCAGTCACTCGTATTCTCCGCCGGCCTCAGAGTTTTTCTTTTTTTCCTCCGGACACTCCAGCATCGCAACGATCCTCCCAGTCTTTGCGCCATATGTCTTTCAGCGCAATTGAAGAGCCAATGCTTTGCTGGAGTGACGTGGGCTTTTTGGAATCTGCAGATATGAACTCATCTGTGGTAAATAATATATTGTATGAGGACCTGAAGACTGAGGATGCGAGAACACTTTCAACTGGTATTTTCGGCCTAGACACGAATACAAGCGCCTGGGTAGAAGAAAAGGTCGAGGCTGTGGAAGCTGTTGAGAGCAAAGCACAGTCCCGTCTGAGCGAGCTAGAGTCAGTATACCAAAGCAAAGAGTCAGAGAAGGAAGCGATCCAAACGAGTTCCGCTGATATAATATCGAAAAACAGTGAGGATTTGCTAGAGCGATCTAAAAAACTGGAAACACTGGGAGCGAAACTAGATTATGAGGTGAATGCTCTACAATCAAGAGTTGAGGAGGTAGAAAATGCCCTGGTTGACTACGAGCATCATGTTAACAGGCTTGAGAACCGAATGCGGGAGTTATCCGTAGAAGCAAAAAAGTCCAGTACTTGGGTAGAATGGTGCCAGAGGTGTTTAAGTCGTCGTCCTTGGTGACTCTCTCATTCGCATGTATATCATAGACTCGTTATATACCCTTTATTTTCTTGCGTATACAATAGAACCTAGAAAATGATCTTAATCTGGTATACCAAGAACTGTGCTCCTTGGCTCAAGTCGTAGAAAAATGAAGTTCCATGCATAATATACATAAGGTTAGGACCAATTAAGTACCAAAACGTAATTCCATAGGCAGACGCAGAGTTTTCGCAAAGATCTATGGAGCATCCATTAGGCATGAGCCATTTTATCAAAAGTTTGAAGGTATTACCATATAGGATGAACTGTTTCCAACTGATTAGTCCATCACATCCTGAAGCCGGTTCCTGGCTGGCCAGCGCCAGATTGGCCTTGTAACTGATTCATCTTCTCTGTAACCTTCATATGTACTTCAAAAAACTTCGACACACATCGATCAAGACAGACTGATTCGCCCTTGTTAAGGTCGCCTTCTCGGTAGTCTGTAGGGATGCATTTCTTTAAGCACGCGGCATTGAGTCTACATGAAATAGGGCAGTGAGCATAATATTCAAATTTAGATAGGCAGTAACTCCAGAAGTCCTAGTACCTACCGATTCACCATGTCTGATATCATCTCGAATTCTAACTCTGCCTGCTGAATCTTCTCCTCCGAAGACACTTGGGGACGACCGCCGAATAAGAAAGACATTATGGGTAAATTTTGAGTAGTAGAAATGCTTTTGTATCTAGCGTTGGTAAAAATTGACGAGATCCAGTAATTCCAGGTTTGGGCTATTATATTATACCGGTAGGCGTGAAGGTCGATTTGCTTGATGACAAAATTTGGGTGGAGCTTGGACCACCGGCCCTACAATAACCCGGCGCGCAATTCACCAAGATACAGATGAGCTGTGAATATTGCCTGATACCATCTCATCTGGCTGTGGTATGCCCAGATGTTGACTTCTTACGCAAATGCGACCCTTCTACACTCGTCGTGTATGCCAGCTTTGTCTGAATCGACCTTTGCTGAGGCACGTAAATAGCTCTCTACCTAAATATCAATATCTTCTGCTCTTGCAGCTACAGTGAAGAACTAATCTGGAACGGCACATTGCCATGTACCCCTACTAATAGACACCCCGAGTTTCTCTTATACCGTGCAATTGAGCCTTGGTCGACCCCTGCCAAACGGGCATTCTCTACTAGACCCGTCTACGATGCACAAGACTCCCTCGAGCCCGTGACTGAGCCATCTCGGATTGATAAAATCAGAAATGCCTACTCTAACCCATACCCACGGCTAGCTGTACATCCGCAGTACTCAACGTGCGAGGTTTTCCGCTCCAAATATGATCATCTTTTGCCAAAAGATATACTAGGACAGGATCTTGTCGTTCTTTATGGTACGCACGTTGTGGTGTTGAGAACGATCCTTTAGAAAGAGAGTCGAATGAATTATATCGCTGACTTAGACCGCTAGGTAGAGTTCGCTCTCAACGCATAGTCGGATCCGGCCTTGTTTTCTTCGATTTATGGCAGAATGGGCATAAAGTCCAGATCTTATGCAATTACAACAAACTCGAGTCAACTGGTATAACACAGCAGGAATTTCGAGGATTTTATAACCTCCTGCAAAGGGGAGATGTCTACTGTAGGCTGAGATTCCCCCATTTATTACTCTGCGCATGGACTTGCTAACCCGCTACGAATTAGCCATTGTTGGACAACCGCACCGGACTGCCAGGGGAGAATTAACGCTCCTTGCAAGCGAGTTGCCAAAGCTCATGTCCCCTTGTCTTCATGTTGTGCCTGTCGATACGAAAAAACACGAAGTGTCTCCATATGAACGCCACGTTCAACTCCTTGCCGACCACGGTGCGGCAGATGTTCTTCGAATTCGCTCCACCATAATCCAACACATTCGTAATTTCTTCCTGAAACGAAGCTTTATTGAAGTAAATACTCCTATAATAGCATCAGCCGTAGGAGGGGCTATAGCAAAGCCCTTTCATACCACGGCTTCTGAATTTCCCAAACAAGCGCTGTCATTGAGAATTGCGCCGGAATTATGGTTAAAGCGACTTATAGTGGGTGGTTTTGATCGAATATTCGAGATAGGTCCTTCATTTCGAAACGAAGGTGGGTACATTCTAGATACGAATGCCCTGGGCAAGTTGCTGATTTATATTCAGGGCTCGATAAAACCCACAATCCAGAATTCACTACATGCGAATTCTACCAGACCTTTGCCGACCTCGAGTGTCTGATGAGGATGACTGAGGACCTCTTGGCAGGACTCTCCGAGGAACTTTCATGCTCAGATGGGAAACTGAGTACTTTAAACCCCACGGGTGCTAATTTTGAGACGCCATTCCGTCGACTCGATTTCATACCCGCCCTAGAAAATGCTATGGGTCATTCACTTCCGGATCTAAAATCAGTGGATGCCACTACAATGGTAGTAGAGATGTTTAGCAAGCTAGTGATTCCGCTACCAGACCACGTATCACTTCCTAGACTGTTAGACAAGCTCTGCGCTGTGTATCTTGAGCCACAGTGCACCAACCCCACGTTTATAATGAATCATCCGGAATGCATGTCGCCTTTATCTAAATCTTATACCCATCCGGCATGTAATCAAGTTGTCGCTGCACGTGCCGAATTATTCGTCGAAGGAAAAGAGGTTGTGAATGCATACGAGGAAGAAAACTCACCATTTGAGCAAAGACGGAAATTTCAGGATCAACTTCTTCACCGAGATCCTGAAAATCCCGGAGAGCTGGACGAAAGCTACCTGCAGGCATTGGAGTGGGGTCTTCCACCAACTGGTGGATGGGGGTGTGGTATCGATCGATTGGTAATGCTATTCACTGGCGTTCATCGAATTGGTGACGTTTTGAGCTTTGGAAATCTGCGGAGCGTAGCAAGATTACATGGTCCCACTCATCCTAGTTCCAGGTCTCCAGATGCCTAGGTTTTTAATCAACTATTTTTTTCTTTTTGGATACGTCTGACATGAAACTTAAATAATACCAGTTCTTAATCATTCAGCAGAGTCAGATTGAATCAGGGCCAGAGGTTGTGACAAGGCTCGGTGTACCTTGGCCATCTATATTCAGATTGGTTTACTGAGAATAACCGGTTGCAGTATCACCTATATGAATAAATAGATTCTGCCCTGCTTACTACCGGAGGTAGCCATGAAAGCACCTAGAGACCCTAAATTTCGCAATCCCAACATACTATGGTAATATCTATCCTGGACTTTGGTGCGACCTGCTAAAACAAACGGTACTCTTTTGTAAACGTTGGCTCGACAATGTTGGCTCTATATGCATTGAATGATGCCATAATTAACTACGTCTCATGATCATTGCAATCTTTATTCTGCGAGGTGGCAATATTACTGTCTGGCTCTAGGTTATGATTTGGATACAATATTCGCCCTACATATGCAAAAGTATCCTTGAGACCCTATCATGATCGTGCCGGCTAGGAGGCATTTGAAACAAGGTTCGCAGAAATGACGACTCAAAGCCCTTTGAATCTCCTGCAAAACGCCTGATCTCACATCAACCATTTTATTTTCACCAAGCTTCTGGAAAACAGGCATCCATCTTTGCGTTCGTCGGCTTCGGGGAATGATCGGGTTTTTTGATGTCCATGTGGAGTTCCTCCTTCCTAGGTCTGCATCTAATGCATGCCGTGTCGCCTGGATCGTCCTTTGTCGTGTGCCTGGGTGCCAAGGCCGGCCGGCGGCATCCTTGGACTCCGGTGGAGAGCGGCGGAGAGCTTCCCAAGCCCGACAGCAGTGGCCTGGAGGTGCTATATATGAAATTACGACCCCTGCGCTGCCTTGAGACTGTGGACTGCGCGTTTCCAAACCACGAGCTGAACCGCCACATGCGCAACGCGCACCGGCGGCATCCTTCAAGCCCAGTTGCCCGGTCGCCGTCGTCATGCGTGGCGGCGTTCTGATTCGTCTCCGCCGATCAAAGCCTCCCGGTCCGTTTGCTTTGTTTGCCGGCCATTTCTGCGCCGTTTATTGGCTGCCAATGCTGGCTAGCGTCACACGTGACTTCGCGTGAGTCACCTGAAACCTTGCGCGTGGCAATCCACTTTACACGTCTCGCCGGCGCGTCTCCCTCGGCCAGCCTGCATTGCCCATCAGCGCATCAGCCAACTAGCCCGCCTAAGGGAACTAGAGAAGCCTGCTGCTAAGGTTCCCCTGGCTCGCTTCCCCGCTGCAGGCACCCGGAGGATGCTTGGGTGCAAACGCAAACCCGTATTTAAGGGGACGGCCGCCTCCCCAACAATGAAATGAGGACGTGGGCCTTTTCGTCCAACCCCTGGCTGAAAATTTCGCTGGGCTGTCACTCTTTGCATTTTTGCTGCCAAAGCGCAGCCACGCCATCAATTAAATTGGATTCGGCGGGGAAAGTCTTGTGCATACCCAATCGGCCAAAAAAGGGGACTATTCAAATTGAAATTAGATGAAAAGGTTTTAGAAACAGAGTGCCATTATTGAACATATTCGCATCACCACGGAGTAACCCATTACACTACTCCACCCCAATCTCTAGACAGGCCATTTTTCAATCGAATTTTCCGACATCAGATTTGACCCAGCCATGTTCTCCCGACGCCCATCTCAGTCTCACAGTCACAGCCGCTCAGAGAGTTTCTCTGCTAGGTATCGAGCAGGCAAGGCAAACTCCCGTTCGAGGAAGTCGTTTCGAGGAGGAGAACCAGCAGCCATGCTGAGATGCTCAGAGTACCCAGAGAACTCCCAGAGCTCTCGCAGCAAGTAAGCTCCCCTTTCCATAGCTTCTACCCTTGCTCCCGTGACTGACAGTGATCTCTATCGTCGATAGAACTCTTACATCAGCCATAGTCACCATATGCGTTGGCCCGGAGCGACGCCTTTTCGCTGCCCATGAGGAAATACTAGCCATGTCGCCTTTTTTCTCGGCCAGTTGCCGTGGCCAGATTCCCGAGGCAGGAAACAAGACAATACACTTGCCAAACGAACAAGCCGAAGTGCTCTCCTCCATCCTCGAATATCTATACAAAGGAGACTATTTTCCTCGCTTAGTATACAATAAGCGAAGGAATATCTGGGACTTGGAGAGTGCGGTTGATGCGAACGGTGCCCTAGTACCCGCTGAATCGACAATTCTCATAGACCGGACTCCCGTACTGAAAGACACAGCAATATAGTATGGCAGCTCTATTGTTCCATAATGACCATAGAGCCAGAAATCTAACCCTTCTCTCTCAAACTAGTTGTGCAGCCGAGCGCTACGGTCTCTCCGACCTCAAGCGTCTTTCTCTCCGAAAACAAGGACTCCAGTCTGCTATCCAGTGCAGCACCATCCTCTCCAGCGCACGCTATGCCTACGCCAACACACCTGATAACGACTCCAAGCTCCGCGCTCACTATCTGGCCTTAATAATCCGAAGTCGATCGACATTCAAAAGAAGTGGAACAATGCAGATGGAAATGGAGGCTGGTGGGAAGCTATTTTTTGACTTGTTTGTTGCAATGTGCAACCACATGGTAGGCTCGCTATCCCTACACTATGTCGTTCACTTATGCTGACTTTTTCCAGGACGACATTTCCCCTCCATCAAAACCCCAGTTGTTCCGTTAAATGGCATCATTGATCGCTTAATCAACCTTCATGGTATCCTCTACTTTCGACCTCAGCCACAATACTAGAGTGTCCGACCTCATGTGCGATCAGCATGGGCATCGATATCATTCTTTTCCGTGGCTGTTTAACCATTTAGGCGACTTCTCTAATATTTAACCCGAGTTCCTCCTACTTACGATTTCTTTTTTCATCTCTGTGTTACTAGCATTTTCATACACCAAAGGCTCAAAATTGACACACCTTTTGATACCCCATTTCCCAATTCCAAATTGTATTGCTCTTTGTGTTGCACCATAACTACCCCAGTTCGCTGTTTTCCATGCCCCTTTTTACAATATACTACCCGATCTAGCCAGCTCCTCTTTCTACATGTAACAAAACCTATTGTTATACATTTTCTACTAATTGGAAGCACTATTGAATCATTGGAATAATGGCAACAAGATTTTAAACCAGCAAACCGTCATAGACACCCTCACGTGTTACTCCCATTTTACACTTCTCAGCAGCCTGCATTTACGAAACCGGCATATGAGGAAGCCATCTCATACTCGCTACATATGATAAATCTTCTCACATTATTCATAGACTAAAGGTATTAAATAGTCCAAGGACCTTTCTTGGAGAGAAATCACTATATTCAAAAGATGCACCAGAGATCTGAAGTCAAAGTACACAATTGTATGTAGGTAGGTTAGGCTCCTTATTCCCGCCATGTAAATTAGGAGTTGTTCCATGTTTCCCTTTCTCTTTACCACCGTAGAGGCGAAGAGCTGATGCTAATATGAAAACTCCTGCCCAACCAGCTTCTCACTCAGTCTCCATAGCCTCTCTGCTTCAAAGCTACTGGTAGCCCAAGATCTGACAGTGTCTTCTAAGGGGTCTGCCACATGACAATCAAGTAAGTAGGCTCCATTGTTGGCTATTATAGGTATTAGTATACGGTGCTAGTTAAGATATCCATGAATGCTACACGCGTAGATGATACATACCCTTGAGGCTTGGGTCAAATGCGGCATAGGTATGGGTAGCCGAGCCTTGCTCCAATGATTTTATAGTGACACCTTTCCATCCTTCAGCATTACCTAGAAATCTGTCTATGTTCCCTATATTCATGTTTCAGCAAAGTAGGGCTGTTTCAGGGCAAATCAGATACATAATAAAGTAAGGAAAGACGCACGGATTTCGTTTGGCTCCACATTCCAGTCTAAATGACTGCCCAAATTAGTCAATATAACACCTGGGTGAAGACTGAATGCTAGTAGTTTATGTTTTAAGCCAAGTTTCTGAGCTAGTGAAATAGCGAAGAGGATATTGGCAGTTTTGCTCTGCCCATAAGCATGCCATTTGTTATATTCTTTTCCATGCTACGATCCGTCTCTAATTAGTCGGTATTTCCTTAATTTGCGGCCATGCTAGCGCACATACGTCAAAATTATAATCATCAAACCGGAAAGGGTTGAAGCGATGGCCATCACTACTGACAACCACAATGCGAGGATGGTAGGCAGCTACGATTTTCTCCATGATCAGGTTCGTAAAGAGGAACGGGCCCAAATGGTTCGTAGCCAGCTGGGATTCGAATCCCTCTGGTGAAAGTTGATACTCCACTGCCATGATTCCGGCATTGTTAACAAGCACGTCGATGGCGGGAAGGTCATCCCACCCATTAAGTTCAGCAGCCGCAGCTCGCACACTTGTCAGCGAGCTTAAGTCGATTTCCAGCGTCCGCACCTTGACAGCTGGGTAGGTGGTAGTAATTTCTGTAGCCAACCGAGTCAGCTTTTTCGAATCGCGGGCAGCAAGAATGAGACATGCTGGGTCCGCAGCAGCAATTGACGCTACAAAAAATCCACCCAGACTTCCTGAAGAGACGCCCGTTGTTAGAATCACTTTTCCCTTAATTAACGACGCGTAGTCAGAAACAAGCTCCGGCGTAGTGGTGTTGCTGTTGTAAGGTGGGGGCATATTGAAGCCTTTCTGAAGCTCCAGCACTTGGTTTCAAGATTTAGTTGACCACAGAGCTTAATGGAGGAAATTGGCCTGCAATTTTTTTATTTGGAGTCTTGAAGACGAAAATGAAGTGTATATCTCTCCTGGTTACGGTTTTTTGAATAGCGGAGGGGTCAAATATAACGTAGGTGTATAAATGACAGAGGTGGAAGAGTGTTGATCTCACGGTCAACGGAAACACGGCTTTTCTATACGCAGTAAGGAAAAGCAGGGGTCGGAGTAACCCGAATTGCCAAGAGCCGCCATACGAAAGAACGAGAGATATTATCCAGCAGTTCCACGCGATCCACGCATCTTGCTTTTGGGTAATCCTACATTGTACTCTTGCATATGCAAGGTAAGCGAAACATTTGTAGATCTCGAGGGCAGTCCTCTGCAGCGAGTCTCAACTTTAGGACTGTCGGTAGTCTCTGGGAGGAGGTTGCGTATGACAAGATCGTGCACTAAAGAGGGCATGCAGTCCATTGAAGGCATTAAAAATAATTTTTTTTTTTTTTTTTTTTTTTTTTTTTTGGATAAGACCAAGACTCAACGTTGCTTCAAAAGCTGTAAAAGGGCGGAATATATTTCATTTGAACCCTCAAACTCCTAATATATTTAGTCGCAAACATTGGGTACGTAATGTCTCAAACACCTGTCCCTGGAAATGCCACGCCCCCTTTACTAAGAACGATGATGCCCCGTTCTCGTGCTATATAGCCTTTCATGAAGTTCTGTATATAGCAAAAGTTAGGTCTCATTGGAGGGCTGAAAAACGGACAAAGGAAAAATGCTCATAACTCTTACCTTATATATCAAATTTGACAAGTAACACTCAACTTGGTCAATTTCGGCCCTTAACTTATTGGGTGTAAGCTTGTCCTCATGTTCTTCGCCATTCTGCTTGTCACCGCTCTGTGGTGGAGGAACTGCTGGGCTCATTTTTATTCGTATCGCCGCTACAAATTCTTTCACAGGCACACGAGTTCTCCGAATGGGTGGCAGCCCAGAAATAGGCGGGTCAAACCCACCCGCGAGGAAGACTCTTCTGAACAAATTACGAACTGCCATATCACGGCCTCGTTCAAGCGGAAGGTATATCATTCGTTTTGTAAATGCGCTACCACCTGCCGCAATAGCGGCGTCAAATCCTGCAAGGTCTCCTTTCAATATGCAATCACAGAGTGGTCGGAACAATGCTTCTAGTCGAGGGAACGGCGCGAGTAATGTTTTTGACGGTAATGTCTGGGCTGTGACAAGGTGGCATGGTATTAAGTATGTCAGTATAAGCCTATGGATTTATTAGAGAAAATGATTAACGAGTGGCACATAGAACATACTCCCTATTTTTCACTGCTTCGGTGTGACACAAGTTCCATGCATAGGTGAGATGTTCTTCAGCCTAGCATATTTAGATTTATTATCTCAAATGTAGGTATAATTAAAGCCCTGGCATACCTCTGGGTAAGACTCTTCTAAGAAATGGATGACACCTAGATAGTATTTGAAAGTGACAATGTGAGATTTTGGAAACGCCGTCAGAGGGGGCATATCTGCTTGAGAAGCTTCCATCGCATGGAGCAAGCTTTTACAGGACGATATAGTCCCGAGCTATTAAAATTGTCATGTTAACAACTACCATAATGTCAACATCAGCCTTGTTACTTCTAACCTTGAAATACGTCTTGAAAGAAAGGTTCACGGTGTGGTAAACACCCCATTTTCGAGATTCTTCAATAGGAGCTCTATAAAAATAGTAAGAAGACGAGAATATAGTAAAACGAGGTGGAATCGGGATTTTCGCGTACCTATCATGAAGACACAACGTGAACATTCGGTTTATCACTCGCGATGCCTCTTCCAAGTTCTTGTTTTTGTGCACATCTGACATAACATCCTCTTCAAAACTTCCGCCGGGGGCGTCAGGATTGGTTTCATTTTCAGTATCTGCTTTTATGGCGTGTCTCCGAAGATATTTTCCCGTGGTATATAAGCACGGTAGAGTCCATGCCTGAAGCCCACAGTTTGAATACCCCTTGATCACTAAATTTGCAATCTCTTTCCATAGAATAAATATCCGTCCCCAGGGTGCGCTTCTAGGATCACTTTCGAATTTTACAAGCTCCGCAGCAATCTTCCAGAACGCAACGAAGATGTCAACCCACAAACTGGCTTCAGTCTTGGTGAATTTTATGCTCGTCACTCGATCATCAAGCAGGGCATAGCGAACATCAGACACCACATTTAGTGCGTTCGTGAAAGAGTAGAAGCTATGCAGCTCTGGGGGAGAATCGAGGGCAGTAAAAACATCAGCTAGTGCAGCACCAGAACCACTCAGCTGCGCGTCCCTGAACCTTGCGAAGATAGACGACATGCTGGATTTATTTTGTTTTTAACCTCTATCAAGACGCGTATACTAAGATACAGGGCATTTTGTGCATTGAAAGCTTTGAAAAAGAGGTGTTAATCAACCAAAGCCAGATGCTTGAGGAGCAGCAGATAAGATGTAGATAGCTTAGGTAAGCGAAATCGGTCCTTGGCCAATCCATCCTAATAAAGCCTAGCGTGTATTTCTGCTTTGTTAAGCGAAGCCCACAGCCCTAGCACAACAAAAGTCGAACAATTCTTGATTGTGGGAGTTCGCGGACGGTTCAACTATCAACGACACGACATCACAATCCTCTCAAAGTAAGTTGTAATTTCCAAATGTTTGCAACCGGGTACTAACGCTGCTACTAGATGGGTAAGTCCAACTTTTTTTCAGGCCGTTTTTCGCCTTTCTGCACCCGAGTTATCCCTTTGTCGATCGGAGAGTTTCAAGACAGCAAAAATATCGAAAATGAATAGAAATTGGAGGTCGCTAGGGATCGCTATAACAATTTAAAAAAATATATGGTTGTTGCTGGACATTTCCGGGGCTCGTGCTGTTGAGAATCTCGTGAAGTGCAATTATCGAACAACCAGTGTTATTGAACAGTTGCTTTTTATCTATGAATTCTCGGCCACTCGATTTCATTACGATAGAAAGAGTTCTCCGTTTCTGTATCAAGTCTGACGGTATCGATTGCAGGGCGTCTCAACGAATACCAGGTTATTGCGCGCCATCTGCCCACAGAGGCCAACCCTACCCCCAAGTTGTACCGCATGAGGATTTTTGCGCCCAACCCCGTTGTTGCCAAATCCCGCTTCTGGTATTTCTTGATGAAATTCAAGAAAGTGAAGAAGGCCACTGGCGAGATTGTCAGCGTCAACCAGGTACGTCGAGCTGCGAACACACACCAAACTAAAACGTTTTAAGTGCGATAGAAGAATTCTAACACCCAACTTCTCGCACCCTCTAGATCCACGAGAAGCGCCCAATGAAGGTTAAGAACTTCGGTATCTGGATCCGATACGATTCTCGCTCCGGCACGCACAACATGTACAAGGAATTCCGCGATATGTCCAGAACCGATGCTGTCGAGTCTTTATACCAGGATATGGCCGCTCGTCACCGTGCCCGATTCAGCTCTATCCACGTATGTCGATCTCCCACGCGATAACGCGCCTGAAATGGCATTTAAAGCAAAAAAGGGAACGTAACTAATCAAAGATGGTCTATAGATCCTCAAAGTCGTTGAAATCGACAACAAGGAGCTTGTTCGCCGCCCTTACATGAAACAACTCCTCACCAAAGACCTCAAATTCCCCCTTCCTCACCGTGTCGCCAAACCCCAAGGCAAGAGAATTTTTGCCGCCTCGAGACCATCCACATTCGCATAAAGGTGTTGTTTGGAAGGGGTTTATTCGGTCGTCAAGGTTCAGAAATGAGGGCTGGAGTTTGATTTTTGACTGTGTTTATGTGACTGCAGGTATATTCGAAACGCCATGCATAATGAGTCTTAAAATGCAGCGTCCGCCAGCAATTTGTAACCTTATATGGGTTAGATGGCTCCCATAGTCATTCTCCAGCTTATGAACAAAACATATTCCCAATTTCACTGGTTGCATTTACAGTTGCACTTTTTACTGGTTGTATCCCTGGTATTTTCTATGTAGACCATTCATTACAGAGTACACAGTTGCTTTGTACGGAGTACAGAGTCTCTACAAGGTTCGTTTGCTGGAACAAGGAGCCAGATGGAAGATTCTACCCCATAAAATACCAAGGAACAGAGCTATTAGCCATTAAAATAATGAGTTTTCCTATCATTAAAGTGGTCGCATACTTTCAAAGGGGTTTGTTTGAGTCTCCGCGCCGAGTGGCTTAACTACCAGCTTTTTCCACTCCAGAGCTCAGTTACAAGCTCAGCGTGGCGACAAGTTTAACTTTCAAGGGACGAGCCGGCTTTGTCAGCTGCGCGGAAAACGTCATTGGCGTTGCTCAGTAAGTTTTGCTTTTTTGCACTTGCCGATTAATAAAGACAACAGGTTCCCTCCTCCTACTCCGTACAACAAGGCCAATTGAGCTCAATTGCCATCAGCATTGAATCGCAATCATGTTCGCTCGTCATATGTTCAGAACCTGCAGACCCGCCGGTCAGGTATGAAAGCTCCTCGAGACGCAAGTCCTTCCGCCGAAGCTCTGGTTTGTTGACATTTTTGGTGCTTGTAGGCGGTCCGCAAATTCGCTTCCGAAACCCCCTCAAAGTCCTCAAATGCGCCGCTCTATGGAGGCCTTGCTGTCGCAGCCGCGGGCGGGTACTATTTCTGGCAGCGCCAGCAGCTTCCCGATGGTAAATTGTTGGGCATTGCGCATAAAGAGCGCGAGAAGGTTTTTGTTGGCGGTGAGCAAGGATGGGTTGACCTGAAGCTCGTCGATGTTCAGATGTTAAGCCACAACGTCAAGAAATTCCGCTTTGAATTCCCGGACTCTGAGAGCGTGTCGGGCTTACACATTGCATGTATGTTACCCCCTTGGTGCATTGAATTTGCAGCTTCATTTGTGTTAACTCTTTCTTTGTGTAGCTGCCCTCTTGACTAAATACAAAGGACCCACGGATGAAAAAGCAACTATACGCCCCTATACTCCAGTTAGCGACGAGGGTAGGCATTTCTTAAGGCCGAACTGTTCGACAACCCGCTAACTAAAGTGTAGAGCAACCTGGATATCTCGACCTTGTCGTTAAGCAGTACCCCAATGGCCCCATGTCCACCCACCTACATAACATGGCCGTTGGACAACAGTTGGCGTTCAAAGGACCCATTCCCAAGTATGCCTGGGAGCAAAACAAGCATGACCACATTTGCATGGTCGCTGGCGGCACTGGCATCACTCCCATGTACCAACTCATCCGCAAAATATTCAGTGATCCTAACGACAAGACTAAAGTAACTCTTGTATTTGGAAATATCAGCGAGGAGGATATTCTTCTGAAGAAGGAGCTTGACGTATTGGAAAACACTTACCCTCGACGATTCCGTGCATTCTATCTTCTCGACAAGCCCCCTGCCGACTGGACGCAGGGTACGGGTTATGTTACCAAGGAGCTGTTGAAGACAGTGTTCCCCGAACCCAAGAGTGAGAACATCAAAATCTTCGTTTGTGGGCCTCCGGGTATGTACAAGGCTGTCAGCGGACCGAAAATTAGTCCCAAGGATCAAGGCGAGCTCACTGGAATTCTAAAAGAGCTAGGATATAGCAAAGATCAGGTGTATAAGTTCTAAATCTTTTTTAGTTGCTGTTCTTTTACAATTCTTACCGCGAGATGTCTAGAAGTTAAGCCTCGACGGGTGGAAAGACAAGGTTGATAGAGCTAATGTGTAAGATGCGAGATATAACTACAACTTCGTACTAGTCTCTCTAACCAAAAACACATGTAAATTTTCCCGATGTCCTACGGCTCGATGACATGCAGGAATAGTGAAGCGTGACATTAGCCACCTTCGTGTATTTGATTGTAGAGATGCTGCCCACGTGTTGTGGACGATAGACGGATGCATCCTCAAAACGGCGCCTGGAGCAGCTGGAAGCTTTGGGGGTGAGGGAGGTGAGCAAGCCCGAGGGCCGGCGCGCGGCGAGTCGCCAGTCCTTAGTGCGAAAGCCGGTGGCGATAAGGGACGATAGGCACCAGGTAAACAGCTGGGCTTCGAAGCCTGAGGCTTGGTGGCGTTTTAGAGACTGGGTGCTTACGGATGCCTCTAGCAGCGACCCAGCGCTAAGCACCACTGGCCACGCGGTTTAGGCCCAGTAGTCGACGTGGGCATATCAATGTAGGGCACTCCATGTACTTAAGTAGGTGAACGGATGGCCAGCCATGAACTTCGGAATACGGAGTAACAACAATGGGCGGGCAACGCATCGTAGTTACATGGGCGCATCGGGCGTGCGGCCGCGGCACTGGGTGGTTACATCTAGCAACGAGACGCCCAAGAGGCAGCGCAGGGAGCGGGCGGGCGGATTAAGCTTTAGGGGGGCCTCAGCGCAGCGCGAGTTGGGCATCAGCCCACCCGCAGCGCCGGAGGGCAGTTTTAAGCGTTGGGCATGCCGGGGGCGGCAGGCAGCGTCGCTGAGCAGCAGCGCCCCCAAGGCACGCTTAAACTTACCCTGGCTGGTGCTGCCCGCGCGAGGCGTAGGCGCCCCCCTCGCGGGCTTGGTCAAAGGATCAGCCAAATCAACCTTTTCGGCGCCGCTACGCTATATAGCCCGCGCCCACCCGCCTCGCACCCCCCCCGAAATCCTGCTTCCTTGGATTTCTCGTGTTTCCCCCCAACCGACGCCCGCCGCCCACGCCCCCGCCGTCGCCTCCTTGCGCCTATCCTCACCACCCATCTGTCCGACGCCCACAACACAACGCGTATTTTGTTTGGCCTCGCTGGACCGCAAATATATTCTCCCGGTCGCTCGAGTGTCTCTCTCTTACACCCACCATGGGTTCCAAGCCCGACCAAGCCGCCGCCAGCGACAACAGTGACATGGTCATGGTCAACATCCAGGACTTCACGCGAACGCGCGACTCGGTAAGTCTTCGCAGCTTGCTTACGCCCCTTCATTCCCTCTCAGACACCGCTGGCATACAAGATGCGCTGCTCTGCGACAATTGAGCTCCATTGGCGCCCAAACACTAGTATGTTTTGGCTGCGTCGCGTTGACCATGGGCGTTGTTTATCTGGGGCCGCGCGCCCCCGTCGCGACCCCCCTACAGCCATCCTCCCAAGCCCCAACGGCCCAGCGACCGCCTCGGGCTGTCAAGCAACCCTGTCACAACAACGTTGATGGGCAACTCACGCTAACTGCCCTGTCCAGGTTCTCTTCGCTTTGACCGCCCTTCAATCTGCTGTCTCCGATCTCTCCAAGGCCTACATCAACCACTCCAACACCGTCCTAAACCGCGGTTCATCTACTCTGGATCTCGGTTCCATCACATCCAACTTACTTGAAAATGGCCTCCTCTCGCTCCCCGTGCGTCCGCATACCCCTGCTGCCGAAGGAGAAGTCAAGAAGAAGCGCAAGCGCGCACCTCCTGACCCAAATGCGCCCAAGCGTGCACTAACCCCGTACTTCCTGTACATGCACCACAATCGCCAGAAAATCGCAGATGAGTTGGGTCAGAACGCGCGACCAAAGGATGTCGCCGATGAAGGTACCAAACGCTGGGCAGCTCTGGACGCTCAGGAGAGAGAGGTATACTTTGCGCCAATATTTCTGTTCCTGTAAGGAGATATATACTGACTTGATACTGAGGTCTGGCAAACCCTATACAAGGAAAATCTTGTCGTCTACAAAGCCAAAATGAAGGCCTACAAGGCGGGCTTGCCGGTTCCAGAAGATGATGCCGCGATTGATGCTGCCGCTGCGCAGCAACAGTTACATGAGGGAGTTCGTCAAGCTACGGACGAGCGCTCTTCTGACGACTCATCATCGTCTGGTTCCGATTCCTCCGAAGAAGCAACCCCAGAACCTGTGCGCGAACCAACGCCGCCTCGCTCATCCAAGCGACGCCGCACTGCTGATTCCAAGGCTATGCCACCGCCTGCTGCCTCTCCACCACGGACCGCATCTTCAAAGAAGCCGTCCCCTGAAAAGAAGAAGAAGACTAAGGCTGCCGCCGAGGAAAAGAAACGCGCGCCGCCCGTCGTTGAGACACCAAAGAGTGAGAAGAGAACCCGCAAGAAGCGCAAGAGCGAGTCGGCCGCAAGCCACGAATAAGTGGCTCTTTTCCATCTCTGAACCGCCTCTATTGATCGTACCAAGGCTACCAGCGGTGGTGCCTCTCAAAACCGTGTTTCCTTGAGCTTCTCTGGGCCAAATGGGTGCCACTCTGCAATTAACACAGTGTAGGATTAGGATTACCTTTCTCCTTCGGATTGTGATTTTTTTGTTCGTCATGTCTTTTTATTCTTACTGTGAAGTGAATTTGCCATTGCTCGTCCGCGTGCTGTATTGTCCTAAAGCAAACCCGAGTCGAGTGTCGCTTAATTTGTGGGAGTTGATAGCCATGTTACCCGACCGTGTAGTTATTTTCAAAAGTTGACAGCCTACCAACTGCATACCATTACTAGTTAAGCTAAACTATAGCGTTACAAGCTCTGCCGCAACTTAGGCTTATCTCCCGGGTGTATTAGGTTCACCTTATCATCGCTATCAATCGCGAAGTGTAGGCCTTGGCAAGTTTCACCCGCGGCACACTTCCAACCTCGCATCGACCTTGATTTCCATGTGCATCGAGCGTGTAGGACCAATTTATCGCGATCCATATATAAATTTGATATCCATCCGACACTGTTTATTCATTGTCCCCATTTTCGGCGCCCTGCCGCTCTACATCCCTCACGCCAAGTTGCTAGTGACACCCAAGCCCAGCCCGAGCCATGCAGCTGGTGCCACGAGAGGTAGGCCATTCGCTAGCCCTATAACCCCACCGGTAGTTTCATGATTGCCAGCAAGGCGGCTATACGAACGGAGCCGAACATTCCATTGCGGTGGATGGTGATAGTGGAGGTGACGCTGATTCTTCGATGACTAGCTCGATAAACTTACCATCGCCCAGCTGGGCTTCCTGGCCCAGCGGAGGCTGGCCCGTGGTGTGAGACTCAATCATGCAGAAGCCGCGGTGGGTAAAACAATACCCTAGTTGCATCCTTGTTCAACTATTTTGAGGCCATGGAGCGTGCGATCTATGTTGTCTGACTGTTACCTACTGATATATAAATTAGGCATTGATCGCTTCTAACATTCACGAGGTACGCCCCAAAGCTGGCAGATCCGAAGGCCATGGTCAATGAGCAGCTACTGACACCCAGCGACAGCTTATTCGAGATGGCCATCATTCCGTGGCAGACCTTATGTCAATTGGCCAGGAGATGCTCGGACGCCGTCATGTTCTCCCATCGGTGCCGTCAACGCTGAAGCAGATCCAGGTCGAAGGCACATTTTTGACAGGCTCGAACCTTGTCACTGTGGTGAATCCCATTTCATCTAACGATGCAGATCTGCGGAAAGCTCTCTATGGCAGCTTTTTGCCCATACCACCAGAGGAAACGTTCCCAGATCCTGATCCTGATGACTACCGGTTAGAGAAAAGGCCAGGTGCTGTGATACCCGTGAAATCAGAGGAGGGAATTCACCTGAATGCTGGGCGAAAAAGAATAACTTTGAGGGTGACAAGTAAGGGGGATCGGCCAGTTCAGGTTTGTTTACCTCCTTTCTATATTCAGTTTTCTGATAGCAGCGCCATCGCTATTATATGAAAGAGTCACCATGGCTTATCCAAATGGGGCCTCCCTACTTAATTAGGTTGGCTCGCACTACCATTTCATTGAGGTGAACCCTCAGCTTGCTTTCGATCGCATCAAGGCATACGGGTTTCGTCTCGATATTCCAGCTGGCACATCGGTCCGTTTCGAGCCAGGAGAAGTCAAGACAGTTACCCTCGTTGAGATTAGTGGCACAAAATCTATCAGAGGTGGTAACCACATTGCTTTTGGCGTAGTAGACTATTCACAAGCCGATACGATACATCAGCGGCTCCAGAGAGCCGGATTCGCCCACACTCCAGCGCCACGGAAAGACTTAAGTTTTATAGAGCCTTTTTTTATGACCAGAGAGGCCTATGCACGAATGTTTGGTCCCACCACGGGAGACTTGGTCAGACTTGGAGCTACAAACCTATGGATCAAGGTCGAGAAGGATTTTACTCACTATGGTGATGAGTGTACGTTTGGTGGTGGTAAGACTATAAGAGATGGCATGGGACAAGCTTCAGGAAGGGCTCCAACTGATTGCTTGGACTCAGTCATCATAAATGCACTTGTTATTGACTGGACAGGAATTTATAAAGCCGATATAGGCATAAAAGATGGGAACATAGCCGGCATAGGCAAGGCTGGGAACCCCGATGTAATGTATGGTGTCTCAAAGAACATGATAATTGGCTCTTCCACGGACGTTATAGCAGGAGAAGGAAAAATAGTTACCGCTGGCGGTATTGATACCCATGTCCATTTTATTTGCCCGCAACAGATTCAAGAGGCTCTTGCTTCCGGTATTACCACCATGCTCGGTGGTGGTACAGGTCCGAGTGACGGCTCCAACGCAACAACCTGCACGCCATCTCCATTTCACTTCAAGAGGATGATGCAAGCCTGTGATTCCTTGCCCATGAATATCGCTCTCACAGGGAAAGGGAATGACAGCTTAGTCCCTTCTCTTGAAGCTCAGTGCCTTGCTGGTGCCGCCGGGTTAAAAGTACATGAGGATTGGGGCTCTACACCAGCGGTCATTGATACGTGCCTCCGGGTCTGCGACGAATTCGATGTCCAGTGTCTTATTCATACTGATACCCTCAACGAGTCGGGCTTTGTCGAACAAACGATCGCAGCATTCAAGGATCGTGTCATCCACACATATCATACTGAGGGGGCTGGAGGTGGTCACGCCCCTGATATCATCTCCGTTGTCGAACTTCCAAACGTTCTTCCCAGCAGTACTAACCCAACCCGTCCCTATACGACTAACACCTTGGACGAACACCTCGACATGGTAATGGTTTGTCACCATCTATCAAAGGATATCCCTGAAGATGTAGCTTTCGCAGAAAGCCGAATTCGGGCCGAGACCATTGCTGCTGAGGATGTTCTTCACGACACAGGCGCCATTAGTATGTTATCCTCGGACTCTCAAGCCATGGGCCGCTGTGGAGAGGTTATAACCCGAACGTGGAACACTGCTCATAAAAATAAAGCTGAACGCGGATCACTTCGTGAAGATGAGGGCACAGGAGCAGACAATTTCAGAGTTAAGCGATATGTTAGCAAATATACCATTAACCCTGCTATTGCTCAGGGCATGAGCCATATTATTGGGAGCGTGGAAGTGGGGAAAATAGCAGATTTAGTACTCTGGAAATTTGCAAATTTTGGAACAAAGCCAACAATGATTTTAAAGTCAGGCATCATTGCTGCCTCCTGCATGGTAAGCCTACCTTGCATCTGTCTCTGCTAACCTTTCATCTACTGATACTGCAATACCCAGGGCGATCCGAATGGCTCTCTTCCAACCATTGAGCCGGCTATCATGAGACCTATGTTTGGTGTAAGTCGATCCCTCTTCTTCAACCGATATTTTTAATCCTTCTCGCTCACTGTATCCATAGAGCCTTACGCCTGAGACTTCTATTATGTTTGTTTCCGAAGCTTCTATTGCACATGGCGTCATTGATAGCTACAACCTCAAGAAACGCGTCGAAGCAGTGAAGAACTGTCGGAATATCAGTAAAACGGATATGAAATTTAACGATTCAATGCCGAGGATGTATGTGGACCCGGAAACTTATGTAAGTCTCATTTCGAGAATAACGTCATTGCATCAATTGAATTATTCTGATTGATAAATATTTTAGCTTGTCAAAGCTGATGGGGAACGATGCGTGGCTGGACCAGCGGCAGAATTGCCTTTAACACAGCAGTATTATATTTATTAAGAATCGACTAGTAGTAGATGGTGAGTTATTTTAAAGATTTATCATGTGGGTATATATTTTAGCTAGTATGGTTATAACCCATACAACTCTTGTTTAAAATTAAACCTGATAATTCATGTCATTTAATTCCCTCCATCAGCTTGCAGAAGGATGGCTAAAAGATGGGTTGCATTCCAACTAGAATCCCAGGTTCAATATGTTTCTTGGTGTCTGACAGTAACAGTAATAGTACGTGTTATTTCGCAATTGTTTATATAGTTAAACCACCAAATGATTACAGAAGTGGTTCCCGAATGCTTATGCTTTATGAAAATCGGATTTCACAAAACATCTAGAGCTCCTCGTCTCTGGTGGTGTGATTATTCCCCGCGGAGATCAAGGAATGAAACGCCGACCATCTTTCGCCCCTCGCCGCCCTATAAGCCGAGATTCTCGAACGAGTACGCTTAAGGGAGGGCATTTCTTGATTCTCGCACACCAAGCCCTCGGAAGTGGCAGCGTTTGTGCGGTCTTCGCTATCGGAGGGAATCTGAATGGTCCCCTGAGAAGCAAAAGCAGATGATGAGAGCGACAAGGGGCTCGTCGGAGGGCCATCGTTTTCCTCAATCTCCTGTTCAGAGTGGGAATGGCCTTTTTCGTCAATAACAGGCGTACCCTGTACCGATGGCCGCCTATCACCAGAATGCGAATTATGTTTTGGTGACGGCGGCAGCGATATAGAGTCAGATGAACTGTCAAAGAAAAATTCCAGTTCATTATTGAAAGCTTTTTCTTTCAGAGCTTTCTTGATGGCTTGCATTCTATTATTTGTGGTAGTCGAGGATTCAGCAAACTGCGACTCTGAGAAATCGGACGATAACTGAGACGGAAAAGAAAAATCAATATTCTCAATGATAGCATCCACGTCTCCATTGGTAGCCCCAATATTTAGTTGTGTAGTTGGCATTTTCATGTTCGTGTTTTCAGCATGTTTCATAGTTTTGAGTTGCTCTGTGGGTTTACTGGATAAAGGATCCTGCGACACATTTGGTTCAACGATCGATGCTTGGGTAGATGTACAAACCGAAGGCGTGTCGCTCTCGCAGCGGGCTCTCTTCTGTGGTCGAAATTCGTGCTCTTCGGCTAATTCTCTCATCTCATTGTCATGCAGGAAAATGGTATCAGAGCAAAATTTACCAAAGAGGGCCTCCATTGAAATGGATTCGCACCAAGTGTCAGCGTCAATTGTGCAGGGATAGACGTCTCTTGGCCTAAAGGCGGAAACAAGAGCACATAGTTCTTCGTATGAAGAGTGGCGGGAGTAAGGAAACCTCTTTATCAGGGTCAGCTGTGTCAACATCAGAGTCAGAATCAATGGTGAGCTCACTTACAATAGTGCTAGGTAACTTGGAAGAGCCAGTCTCACCATTTCCAAGAGAGTGACTCTTTTTTGGACCATGACTTAGTATCGACACTAGTTTTGTGAGCGTGATTTCGTCTTCTTCCTTGATTCCGTAGGAGTCCAAGGACAGTGATTTTGATTCAGATACATACGCCTTTGACACGGCGCTGATAATCTCATTGCGTGTCACATCGTCTTGGATCTGCTCGGAGCACAAGGTGATAAAACGTCCTACAGCGGCATCATCTGGAAGCTGAAGGTTGTGATTCTGCATCAGATCACCCATTCCTCCACCGGCGCCTATTTCCATTATATCTGAGCCTTCATCATTTCGCGTGACAATCGGCGTGATGAATACAGATGGAGAAGTTGATATTGTGGAACAAACTACACCGGGTTCACAGCTATGAATTCTTGCTGAGTGTGAATCCGTTTTAGCTGTGAGGCAGCCTGGCACCCAAGAATTACCAAGTCTAAACCCGCAGAGGTAAGAGGCTTCTTCGATTCCCAAGTCGTGGCCATCTTTTGACGCAAGAGAGTTGTAGAGTTTCAGTTGATAGGAATCAACGTGTACCTAGCCATCATTCAACACAAAATTCGATAACAAAACGATGGTCAAATACCTTAGTATTGAGGGCAGCAGAAAGTGCTAGCCAGACATCTTCGTAGCCAAATGTCCAGTTGCGCAGATAGAACACAGTATCTTGAGGGTAGGCTTGCACTTTCTGGAGGAGTTCTCTAATCCCTTCTGCCTTAGTAGGAAAAGACGTGTACTGGTCCGACTTTCCAGCCAATGCTGTATCCAAATATATCCGATTCAGCCGGTTGTTCCCTATTGTATATGGAATAAGCACTGGGCTTCTAATAATAGTGTTAATCCACCAAGGCTCCGCTAGTCATCATTAGTAGAGATCTAAAACAACGTGTGGACAGACGGGTCTCTAACCCCTAATATCACCCGTGTAAAGAATTGCGTTACCATTGCCTTCGATTAAAAACATCACGGAGCCAGGGCAATGATTGGCATCGAAAAGCGTGACTCGGATGGTATTGCCTGGGGTAAGTTCAATCTCTGTGGGCACTTGCAACGGAATTGGCCTCTAGAAAAACGACTCAATGATGCGATCTACAACACAGCAAAATGACAGTACCAGTAGCTTTTTTAAATGCTTATACTCCTGCTTTCTGGATTCCAGGATTCCCTTGGCAAAATTCATACGATGAGGATACTTTTCGATACGTAGAAGGATCTGTTGCTCTTTGTGAATTTATTGATACGGATTAAATAAAGCTCATTGGACACGAGTGTACCTGTTTTGTGGCTGCAGAGCAATATATGAACGGCGACCGAAAGGACTCCAGGCCCGCCAGATGGTCGCTGTGCACATGGCTGAGAAAACATGCCTGGGGCGGAGGCCTGTCGGGGTTTTTTCGAAAGTAGTCAACTGACACAATGTAAATACCCTATGCTACAATGACACTGCAAGCAATCATACTTCGGATCAGGGGAAACTCTGGAAGGCATTTAGCAATGACCTTTTTTGTACGCGAGGGGCGGGTTGCCTACCCTCAACAATGCCATTGAATGTCGACATGATCCCCACAATGAATGGGGCTCACTGGCTACGCTAGGCATTGAGTTTCATGATGAATGCATATTCGATGACACTATGCCGGAAATAAAGCTGCTTCAGATAGCGACTAGACGTTTCTCGGGGGAGAGAATGGACGTTCCATGATGGAGATGAAGCAATTCTACAAAGTTCCGTTTTCTCCGTGCAGTCGCTGTCTTGTCGTCGACGTTCCCGGCCCATCACGTGTGGGGCCATCCAGGTATGAGCTTACGTGATCGAGCATGACTAATCCACGACTCACGAAAAGGAGGCGACGAGAAGAAACAAAGAGAAGTGATATGCGAGGAGAGATGAGAGGGAGCACGGGCTGGGGGGAGGGGAAGAGAAGACGCCGTTGGAGGCCCGTCGCACGGTCCGCAAGCTGAAGCGGTAGCGCCGGGCGCTGGCACCCAACAGCACCGCGCCGCATCGCCAACAATCAGCCAGCAGCGGCGGGCTGTGATGTCTGGTGGTGAGCAGGCTTCCGCATGCGCATACGCAGCGCAGCAAAAGGAAGCACGAGTGGCCAGACGCTGATGATCAGGCTCAGGAGGCGCCTGGAGCCCAGGCCAATGGCGGCGGGGCGGGCGAGGAGATCGATTGCTGGCCAAGGCGAGCGCTGGTCTATCGCGAGCCGCCGGCGTCACTGCGCAGACGACGCCGGAGTAATAATAATAGCTCTCAGTTTCGCCCCCACCGCAGAGAGACGAGGCTTGTCGCCTGAGGCAATAATAATCTCTGTGGCTCTGGACGTCGCCTGCGCGCGCCGCTTGGCCCGGCGCGGTGCGAGGGGTGGCCCTGGCCGCGGAGGCACCCACGTTGGCTGCGCACACTCGGCCAGCGCCGCCTGGGGGGGGGCCTGCAAGTCAGAGACAGCCACGACGAGATCCCGAGACGGCGCTGGTGCCGTGCAGAACGGCCAGCTATATTAAGCCCGCCCCTCCCCGCCGCCGCACTGCTGTTGCTGCTGCTGCGGTGGAGGTTGCACCTATAGTTTGTTTCACCTGCTTCGACTGCATGCCCTCGCGTTGCCCTCGTCGCCCGGAGACTTGTTAGCTGGTGACGCCGGTGATCCCGTCCCACCCTCCGCAGCGCCCTCGTGAAGCCCCCGAACGCGACGGATCCAGCCATAGCCAACCAGCTAATTACCCGCCCAGCCCCTCGCTCGTTTTCTTCCTTGCTCTTCTCCTCCGTCGTCCGGTCGGCTCTGTTTGCAGCGCACTCGCCGGGCGTCGAGCTAGCCATCTCGCCGGCTTTGTTTCAGCGCCCGACCCTTTTCGCTCCGCGCTACTTTCGCCGCGCCCCCCTATTCTCAAAGCGAACGAAACGCCCGACAGGTCTGGGTTTTGGGACCAAACTGATTGCAGGCCCCAACTTTGATGCACAAGGGTCCGTCGTTTAAAGCGACTGGCCCCTTGGCTGCTGAAAAGTCTGTCCGGCCGCCCGCTGCCTCTGTCACTTTTCTCTCGTTAATTCACGCCATTTGCATCAGCCGACAAGAGAACTGCTCACGGGATCCCCCTCACTCTGCATGCGATATTCCAACTGCCGGATTTTCACACATATTCACGGACGATCCCGTGGGGCCAGGAGTTTATCTTCCCCTTCACCGCCTGCAACCTGACAGCCACAGCTTGATCCTCCTGGAGCCCTTTCTTGCCCTTTTTCTTTTTTGCTACTTAGCAGCAAAAGTTCACAGATAGCAACTGCTTGTTGATAGACCTGTTTATTCCCGTACCTGAGGAGCCAAGAACGGCGATAAAGCCAGCAAAATCTATTGCGATGCGCAAATTGTCGATTTCAAACCTTGTTTACAATGTCCTTTTCCCTAAACCTCGTGCGAACGATCCCACCAGCTTCGCCTCCCACATCACACGAAACCTCGTTCCCGAAGTACGCGTTGAAACCTCTACATTTTATGGCTCTCTAGACTGCGTGGAGGCACAATATCCGGGCCTCGACTATTCCTTTCCGCCCCATAGAATGAGATTGAGTCGTTTTCACCACCACAAGAGATTGTTCAAGGCCTTCGATGAGCTAGGGCTGACGAAGGACGAAATCGCTTCTCTTTGTCGATGGGAAGGAACAAAATCCGCTCGGGACCGGTATGAGCGAGACGAAGGGATCCGTGTTCGCGACACAACCGCAGATGGAATTTATGTCTCCAGCCCGCACGTTCCCGCCACAATCCACCTTCACCCCTTCCACGACGACGAGGGTTCCACCCACGCTCCCTCGATCCGCACTCCGGATAGCATAGAAATTCGCCGAACCCACACCTCCCACGACGACTCGCCGGTCGAGGACGAAAGCAGTGAGGATGAACTGGAAGAAAGCGTTGGATTTGCGTTGAATCAACACCTCCTTGAAGCCACCGCCGCCCGGGAGCGCGGCGCCGATGTTTCCCTCGATGATGTGTGGGAGCAGTGGCTGAAAGATGCCATCGAGCGTGGGAGCTACGAGGATATTCTGCATACTATCCGCGAGGGCTCGGTGGATTTTGCCCGGGCGCTGACATCGCCGACCACGATATACGGGAACAGTTTGGATGCTCGCCAGGCCAGACAGCGCGTCATGCAATCTCCAAATACCGCACTGGCATCGGGATTGTCTCAATACGGCGCACCGGATCCGTCGCCAGGCCCTCCATCGCACCCATAATGAGCAATTTTGCCAGTTTTTTTTATTTTTTAACCCCAATTTTGCACTTTCAGATTTATAAGATTTCCCTTATTGCCAAAACTTTTACCTTTTTTTCCTTTTTGATTACATCATTTGGCACGGTGTTGGGACAGATCAATGGCGTTTTTTACAATATTTTAACTGAGGGGAAAAGGTGGCGTTTCTGGGGATGGAGTGATAGTTAATGCCTAACCGGGCTTAATCAACGTCCCACTATACCTGGACTGTTTCTTATAATTTCTTCAATAGATTTTCTTCCATACTCTTCTGACTTCTATCCCTTTCTATCGCCTTACCTACAGCGTTAGGCTCATTCCTGGTACGTTGCATCTTCGGAATACTTTTCCTTTCTAATAGGCTGTCTATTTTCATCTCGAGATCGCCTATTTTGTAAACAACGTACATAGGCAACGACATTCAACAACCCGCAGATTGAACTCTTCTTCATTACGGAATCTGAACTAGGCTCGACATACAAATTCCCGCATCATGTAGAATACTATTGTAAGGGTGTACTAAAGGGATCTTAAGTTTTTTGTTTCTGCATGAGGATGTTTATGGAATAAAAGGCAGATATGCTTTGTCGTCATCGAACCTCGTGACGACCACCTGCAGTTCTAGTACTAGTTTCAGGGTGCCCAAAACACCCATGCAAGCCGAGTAGATATATATTTCGGCGACTTGACTCGAAGAGTAAACAAAGGTGGTTAAAGCGGGAATTGAGAACCATAAGCTAAATCCGGAAGATCAGCAAAGTCTGCAGGATAGCCATTCCTTTCCGTTATGAAGTGGATGTTGCGCTGCATGGCAACCTCCACTCCGTACTTGATGCACAGGACGATCGCTACAAGGGTTATTTGGCCCCCAGCGGCACCGTCACGAGGAATAATGCACAATGACGAAATAAACACCAATCAGCATATTCTCAGCCCTCAGCCCTGGAAAGGCGATTAGGGGAGCCTGGAAGAGCCTGTTATTAATCCTGATTGGTCTCGAATGGTATCAATACAAACTTGGAGTTAGTTGACATATCAGCCCTGGCACCCATGTAATTATGTAACTGAGAACGATTCGTTCCCTTGGCGTGTCGCAGCTGCTGTTGGCATTCAGTCCTAAGCCAGTTTCTAAGGCTCAACGGCAGTCAATTTCCCCCCACGCTTGAGAGATTTAGCTTCGTGTTTTGCGAGGAAGCCGGACGGATTCCATGCTGGATTTACTTCTGCTTCAATAGTTGGAGGGGGATATATTCTTCATAAATAAAAAGAAGCTAAAAAAAAACATTCACCCGATGTTTTTCAATGGCTCGGAAGTATGCACGGTCCGAAATCCATCATTTTCATAGTGGGAGCATAGGTCAGGACCAATAGCCTAAGCAATGACGGGAAACGCCCATGGCGCTTCACATGCGGGGTCTAGAAATGACGGAAATGGGGATACGGAGTGCTGGGCGATGTTAATTGTTAAACACTTGACAGGTATCTCCTCCTGTGCGGGGTATGAACGACTTGTATCCGTTGGCGCTGCATGCTATTCGCTGACCAAATGACTGGGAAAGAATGAGATTAGAGCTGTACGGAGTACAAGGCTGCCAACAGACAGGGGCTGGTATCAATTTCGGCGAATGTTTCTGTTGCTGTTGGAATATGCAGGCAGGGTCACCGGTGACTGGTCAACAGTTGCCACAACTCAAGAGAAGGGCAGCCCAAGAGTCCCAGCCTCATAATTAGACCCGTATCCTCACCTTAGTGGATGAAATGACCTCTGTTGTCATTGTCATGGCTCAATGCATATGCATGTAGAGGGATGATGGTGTCCAGATGTGAAGAGACGGTTGCCAATAGGGTGGAAGTAAGCTACACCATGACACAGCACGGTGATTACGTAGCAAAATGGGTCCGCATACATTGTTTTGTCATGTCCAGCGGCTCTTGACCTGCGTGCGGGTTTCTGTGTTGTCCTAAGCTTTCCACAAAGAATTCAACCCAGCAAAACACAATGGGTGCGTAAGGTTTAGCCAAGCTTTTTAGTATCAACCGTTCATTGGCTGCAGCTGATTTAGCCTGGATTATATAATTTCATCCGGAATCTCGGAGGATCTGCTCCGTAACTCCGAACACTATCATCACCACCAAAGATGGCGGAGTCAATGGCATAGAGCCAGTCGCGCCATTTGCATGGGTGGAAGCCTACTCCGTCAGCATGGCCTGGCCATGTGCGTTATGACCTAACAGCTTTTTGGATCCAGCGAATGTTCTACTAAAAATAATGCTCACACCCGTTTGACCGCCCGCTTGGCTTTCAAAATGCTCAAGGCTATCTTCTATAGTAAATTCGATACAAGCTCAGGTACCCGGAATTCGTTTTTCTTCGTCTATACCGATGGTATTAATAAATATCTTATCTTACAGGGCCAAAAGTCGTCCATCAAGTCCCAGATGGAGCTGTAGTCCCATCCCCCACTGCCCCTCCCGATTCCCCCACACTCTTCAATTTCTCCGATGTATCATTCTTTGTGATACCTCGACAGGAGCTCTGCGGCAATCTCATACATGTCTGTACCAATGGCTACCGGATTCTTGGGTCCCCGGTGTGCATCAAATCGGATCGCTATGATCGGAATGAATTTATTTTCAATTTCTGCGTTGTGCTGACCGAGGAGCATGAATGGGGCACATTCAGGCCTGTGGTACAGAAGTTGGCAGATTTGATGTCCGAGTTAGAAGAACAGTCGGCCTTTTTATCGGAAGATTTATCTGACAGCGGGGAGGGGAAGGTTCATAGCTTGTGTGAGACGCTGATGGAAGATTTGAACAATTACTGCGAATGCATGCTCCCAATTGGTGCGAAATACTCCCATCCTCCCAGTTCAACTTTAATACACTACTAATTTACTCATATAGATGAATTCAATACCCTTAACATAAAATTGTTCCCTCTGTACGCCTCTCCCCCTCAGGTCAAGCCATGGCACGTGCCATTGTTTACCGTCCGATATGAGGCATTCATAGATGAGAATTGGGATCTCACCATTCAAAGGGTAGCTACACATGCTTTCAGCTAGTGGTTATTAAGGATTTTACGCCCAGGTTATCTGACCCTTCATAGATTGTTCCACATGTCAATGGCGTCAATAGCGTCCGTGTGATTGCGATGCTTGCGGATTCTGACTTCACACTTACCTGTCGTGCAATTCGCTACCTTGTCTACTTTGGATGCGTGTTCCTTTTGGATATATTTTCATTCTCTGCAATGTATGCCCAAACTGCACAGTTTGGCTCCTCCATTGCATCGGATGAGGAAATGCAGCGCGAATGTGCCCGCTATGTGAATACTCGCTTCTCTCCAACTTTAGCGCCGACTAGGTCGGGGGGATCGGCGACATCTAGTTCGGCTACAGCAGAACGAAATAATGATACTGCTGATGCTGAAAAGCAGAAACCAGGTATGGAAGACGACATATGGCCATTAGTTGGAAAGGAGGATATAACTGCTGGCCATCAGCCCTCTGGAACACTTCCTCCTATTGTTGACGGTGTCGGACTTGTGGAGCTTTATGCCAGCCTGAAACACGGCCAGAGCGTCAAGCAATGGTATCTAAAAAATATGCGAAAACTCGCCAACATTGATGTACGACGCTTCATTACCTTTGGGGTCATCAAGGGATTTTTGTACCGTATTCATAAGTATCCATATGCTACTGGCCAGCCGGCCCAGTCCTCAACGACAACGACAATTGTTACCACCACCACCAATGGTACGCAGCAAATATCTTTCCACTCGGGATCCCCTTCATTTCATCGAAATCGGGTGAACTCATCCCTTTCTCAGCGCCGAAAAAACCCACATATATTTTCCACAGAGCCCCCACCGCACTACAAGCACTATTTCCGCGATCAAGACGAGCATGGAAAAGCCGAGGATACCAATATTAATGACGAGGAAGATGATATAAGTGAAGAGGAGAGAACCCTCATGGCCTTTTTAGATGGAACTCATTGCTTTGACGAAATCTGTACGGAGTTGCAAATTAGTGAGAAAGAGCTCACCACAAGGCTAAAAAGGTACCCCAAAGAAGTCTTGATCATTCAACGATAGTGAACTGGGGACATTGCACTCGTCCATCACATCGATGTCTACTATCTAATGATCATAATAGCAGAGCTGCACACACTCTTGCAGGAGACATCAGTGAGCTAGGGTGGAAGCTGATTGCAATCCTAGAGAGGCATAGCGCAGTATATATGGACATATAATAGCAACCTTCTGCCGAGGATACAATATTTCCAATCCATGTGCTTTAACATGTATTATATAAAAATCTCAGTTTTAGAATGCACCTTGTTCCTCCAATAAAGCCGGACACTCCATGCCAGCCATAATTTGCAAAACCTTGGAAGTAAGTAACTTATTGCCCATGTGCTTGCCATGATAGCCCCGCCCATTGTCCAGGAACGCCCAACTCGCACCATCCGCAAATTAAGATTCAAAGTCGGTTTTTGAACAAAGCAAACCCACCAGTCAAACCACACCAGTATCCTTGAAACAAGAACAAAAAAGAGCCAAAATAACTATTTCTACTCGTGTTCTTCGTCCCAGCCTTCAATCTCTACTTTTTCAAATTCTGCCATAGTCACGGGGTCCCAGAGTGGCTCATCCTTTCCAGGAACAGTCGTCTTGCAATCTTTGAAAACAGGACCGATACAATCTGCCCATCGCTTACGCCGGTCCATAAGCGTGCGAGCGACGTCACCGATCCCGGGTCTACCGACGCCAGCCGTATTGACTGGATGACTACCTCCGCCTGCACCACCAGGACGATGTTTGGCCTGGGAGCCTTTCTTGCTTTTGCCTAGAGTACGAGTACGCTTGAGATAAGCCTGCTGAACTTGAGAATCCAGATCGTCGTGGATGGTTGTGTATTCCTGGTAGGCCAGACGTTCACGAGCAACATCTAAGAGTCGCGATTTTCGTGCACCATTGGTGATCATCTGCTTCTTGAGTTCGCTTTGTAGAAATCGGAGGCGCTCAGCAACATCGTCATCATAATGAGCATCATAGTCTGGGTTCTCATCTGGACCAAGGAGACCGACATGTCGTAATTCAGCCTTGACACGCTCATCGAGCTGGGAGTGGTCCAGCTTCGCTGCTGGCACTTTGAAGCCGCTTGGTGAGGCATCAGGAAATGCTGTTGCAGAGTTCAGTGGTTTCAAATCAGGCTCTCCGCCGGGTTGATCAATATCCATGACCATGTCGGAATTTGTGTTGATACTGGGAATTAGGTCGTCCTGGCCGCCTTGCGTCGTGGCGGCCTCCTCAGGAAGAGTACGATGTTCAAATCGAAGAAGTGAATAGAGACGGCTGATCAATGGGGCAGACGAAACCTGGTCTGTTTCCGCTGCATCATCTGTAATCTGTTCAACATTTCCCCGACCCTGATTTAGAGGTAGTTCCGTATGATCTTGGTGCGAAGAGTCAATGTTGATTGAACCGTCCTCCTCAGCCCAAAGCTCAGTGTAATGCTTCTTTCCTCTACGGGGCATGAGGAAAGGAGTAATACGATCACCCTATGTCCAATACATTAGCGAGGGGTAACCGTCCATAGCATAAGAATAAGCTTACTTTCTCTTTAAGAAACGCCATGTCCTCCTCCGTCAAGGGACGAACATAAGGCTCAATGTAAGTCGCAAAGGTGTTAGCACTCACTTGGCTGGTAGGCTTAGCGTTGCTAAAATCCTTATCGGGCAACGTTCCAGCCATCATATGTCGCAAATCGCTCTGTGGGAAAGCAGAAACACAATATATTTGCTTTTTCTCTTCATCTGTCATCTCACTCTCGATATCCCGAATATGATAAATAGTAGGGTCATCAAATTTCAATGGATTTGGGCCGAAAACCTGGTACTGAGGAACGGCGGGGGCCGGTTCCAGTTGGTGCGAATCACTGCTCTCCATAGAATCTGGAGATCCGAGTCTTGAAGCCTGATCAACGGCTTTAGGAGAATCAAGCGAAGGCGACGATGACGCAGCGGACGTTATATTCCTGGATTTCTTTTGAGGGGATGATGATGGGCCGGACATATCCTTCGCATTCCGCTTCTGAGGAGCTGAAAATAGAGTTAGGAGAATGTTTGGCGTAGTGCGCGAAAAGAAGTAGGGCAAACCAAAAGAAAATACACTGGAAATTTTGGTGTAAACAGAAACAAAATGAATCGCACAATACATCATGATCATGCACAAATTCCACGTGACAGATAATCAGAAAAAATAGCAACCGGAAGAAGCCTGCGAGAAAGCAGTCAAAGCTAGGAACTTACACTCAGACTTTATATCGAAGGCATCCTGCTTTGCCACACCATGAGCTCCAAATGAAAGCGGACGCTCATCCTTAGTACCGCCTTTCTCTCTTCTTTTCTTTATCTTAACGGCTTTTGAAGCTCGAGTATCATCCTCGTCCTCATCAGCGTCTCGTCGCATCTTAAACTTTTCGGAGTGACCCGATTGTTCTAGCTCCCGATGTTCCTCCAAGAGTTCTTTCCTTCTATGAGAGAGCTCCCTCATCCCAGCATTGCAAGCATCGCCTCTAGCCTCTGCCAACTGGCTTAGCATTTTGAGTTGGTCGACGAGGATTTCGAGAGACTTGGGATCCGGGATCTGGTTCGTCACTCCAAGATCATTTAGGATATCAGAATACTGGACGGCGGAAGAAGAACCGATTTTTGACACGTCATTATCAAGGTACCCTAATACCGCACTTGTTCCAGTGATTGTGCCAGCACTAAGAGCAGAGCTAGGCGTTGTATTTCGGCTCCGGGAGCTCCTGGGCTCACGACCTTTTGCTTTACTTTTGGTATTTGAAATGGGCGGCATATCGTATGGCGATTGACCCCCTGTGACGTCAAGGAACCTGGTGCTCCAAAGGAAAGGCGATCTAATGAAGCTATCCGGAAATGGTGCAGACGGTCGGAGGCTCGAGGAGCGGCAACGGGACTGAATTGGCGGTTTGCACAGTGATAAACGATTTTGGCTGCATCTCTTTGTCTCAGCTGAGGCCGTTCTTCACATCCCAGGTCTGCAGGTTCGCAGCGCGCAAGCCCAGCATCGTCGTCGCTGCCGGCCGGATGTCGAGGTGAGGTCACGTCAGATCACGTGCAAGCTACGGCCAAGACATGGCGTGTGCGGCTCCCGTGACGCCGAGTACACATAGCGCTAGCTTGATTCACTCTAGCGCGTGTCCCATGGCCTTACGTAACCGTCAGTCGGTCGGGTCACGCGAACTCAATCAGAACTGGCGGATTCTTCAGGCAAAACGACTGGGTAAACGCACCCGAGATGGGTTCTGGGCCCGGCCCATCCATCCGTCGCCATCACTCATTCTTGCTTGTGGTCGGCCGTGTCGCCTAGGAAAAGGGTAAGGAACTCCTAGCGAATGTTTCGAGCCGCGGATTGTTTGAGTTTTACGGGCACTCATGCCTGTTCTAGAGTCGCAAAGGCAAAAAGGTGGCTGTCAGCTCGGAAGCACCCAGCAGATGCTTTCGGTTGCCCAGAGCGCTTGGTGCGCACGAGAACGCTGGCATATTCGACGCCGTGAGTTCCAGCACAATTCCGCGTAACATACCTGCTTGCCAATATTACTTGGTTACGCGTGGAATCTTCGCCTGTGTCCAACGTGGTACTGCGCCCCTGCTCGGTGCTGCCGAGCACCCTGGGTGTCTGCCGTGGTGTGTGCTTTTGGCGCTTGAGGCGGTGGAACAATAAGGGTTACAGGCTAGCGTGGTTGGGTCTTGACGAAGTCTTGGGGCAAGAGTCGCAGGTCGAAACTCTCGTAGTGCTGGGGGGGGCAGCAGATTCTGAAATGCAAGGTGCAACAGGTCTCATCCATCGCGGCCTGGTAGAACGCCCTTGTCCCGGGCGAAGGCAAAGGGGCTGCGCGGCCACTGCCGTTGGGCCTGGCCGACCGCGACCTCAAACAGCCCGATGAACACCGCATGAACAAGACTTGCAAAGCACAGCAGACCCGCAGCAAGCACAGGCTGGTTTCGGTTGAAGTGGCTGTCGCTTTTTCCCCGCTCCGTCCAAGATTCTTAGCTCGTGTTCAGGCCTGAAGATCGTCCTGGCTCTGCTGCACTTTTGCTTTTTGCCGTAGTTCTTCTTCACTACCACCAGCGGCTCTCTCGGCCATCTCTCGCTCTTCACCAGGTCGCGGCCTGCCGTGTCGCTGGAGTTCTTCTTTTCTTTTCTATTATGCGTTGTTCGTTTTCTGCGGTGCGCTCCATCATCTACGCAGTCTAGCCACCCGTGCCCCATCCATGACGTCTCGCGCCTGATTAAATCACCGAGACCAACGACGCCGAAAACCGCACAAATAGCGTGTTTTAATATCAAATGCGACTCTATTGAACCTATGCTCAGTGACTCGCACTCATCTTCGCTGGCTGAGGACTGCTGTCTAAGGCTCAACCGATGGGTATGTCCAGCGTTTGCCGTTCTGCCGTCGTGTCTCGCCGTCGTGAATCCAAGCGCAATGCTAACTTCCTCCGTCCACTGCAGCCGCCACTTCGTTCAAGGCCGATGCCTTGCTCTTGAACACTCCCCAAAATGCGTGCAATAACCAGGGCCAAACACTGAGTGTGAGTGCCCCGACCCTGCCCACAGCCGCGAATTGTACATGGCTGGTAACTGACATTTTTTGTGTGCAATAGGTCACCGATGCTTTTGAGCTTGACGTTGGGTCGAATATTGAGACTCTCTCTGACAAACATGTACGGAATCGGGATGCAATCGTCGGGCTCATGTACGTCCCGCAGTTGCCCCCGAATCATAGCTGCATTAACGCAACGTCGGACTTCATTCCTTCAAACGTAACTCGCCTCAATAATCTGCCCGCACGCAACTGTCTGCTCATTGCTCTCGCCCCATGGGTGTCTGCCCCCTGTACAAAATTATTCCTTTCCCAGGCCGGCCGTGATGATGCCACCGCCGTGATTCTTTTCCCTCCCGATGGCTCATTCTCCCCGCCATCCCCAGCGAATGATCCTAAATGGGACATGGAAGACCCCGAATGGAAGTCAAAATACAAGCTTCCAGTTTATGCAATGCCTGGTGCTTTCGGAGATGAGCTAATGCTCCAACTCTCTCAATATTCTGGCCGCTTGATAGACGCCCCTAACGGAGATCGTTTGGAGAAAATGTATGATGCCAACTCAACAGCTAGAGTCTACGGCGTAGTATCGCTAGGTATGCCTCCCCTCCTTTCTCTCAATATTAATCAGCTCAATGGTCTAACTAGTAGCAGAAAGTCGCCGTGAGGCCCTTCCTGGCCTCTGGGTGTTCCTTTTGGTGGTCCTCGCAGCATTGGTTGGCATCGTCGCAGTCTCGTCCATTGGCATGAAATTTATACAGCACAGACGGCGGGCTTCGCTAAGAGCAAGGATTGCGGCGGGAGATGTGGATTTAGAAATGCTTGGTATCAAACGACTAAGGGTGCCGCAGCATATTCTCGACAAAATGCCCCTTTATACGTATGATAAGGATGGCCACCCGGCAGCTCCCGCCCCAATAAATCTACCTACCGATTCCAAAGGCGAAGAACCAAGTAGTTCTGCCTCCTCTAACTCCCCCACTATACCGGCAGCCTCTCAAACTTCGCCATCTAACCCCTCGACCTATGAACGCTTTAAATCAAGCTTCTCCCAAACAGTGTGTCCGATTTGTCTTGATGATTATGTCTCAGGCGAGTCTGTTGTTAGGGAGCTTCCGTGTCAACACATTTTCCACCCAGAATGCATCGACTCTTTCCTATTGCAGAATAGCAGCCTGTGCCCTGTCTGCAAAAAGACCGTGTTTCCTCCTGGATATTGCCCGGAAGTAATTACTGATGCTATGGTTCGTCAGGAAAGATATGCCAGGTCCCGACGCCAGCGTGGCAATCAGGATATAATGCTGAATGATATTGAACCCCACCATCCGGCCGGTTCGAGGTGGCGGCGTGGTATCCAGAACACTTTTATTGGTAGACTGCCTTTTTTCCGGTCTTCCGAGCCACAGCCCGATCGTGATTTCACTGCAGAAAGAGCAATATCACCAGAAGCAGCATCCTCATCATCCATCAGGCGTCGCGAGGAGATGCGAAGGCGAGCAGTAGCGATGCTGGGGCCCCAGCGTATGGTCGAGGATGAGGAGAGAGAGCGCGATGCTTCAAGACCAAAATGTGAGAAAACTCCATCGTTTCGATTTGACATATAGTTTCATCTAACTAATACATAACAGGGCTTAAAGTTATCCACACAATATTTCCCATCTTTCGATAAGCATTGATAGGGATTTTTTTTTTCTGATTTTAGTGATACTAAAGAATTCAGATTCCCCCTCCCCCCCAAAACCAAAAAAATATTTTGAGCCTAATGTTACCCAGAAACAGTCATGCCTTTTTGATTGATACCCCTTTTTATTCGCGATCGAGACGCCCGCAGTATTCTATCCGCAACAAAAAAATCTTTCCTTTTCTTCCTCCACCTCACCCTTGCTGGCATGGCTGTTGCTTTCTTATTCATATAATATCTGGATCTTTCGCTTATTTAGCCTCCCCATTGATTTTGTTTATGAGATGTGGATATTTATGTTGGAAGCGATTGTGTAAATATGGTAACATCCTTTATCAGATACAGGAGGTACAGGACATATTGTGAATGGTAGAAGTCGGATAGTTAATTAATTTAATCCAACACTTGCTACATGGCATGTGGTGTTTAACTCTGTAACTCATTAAAATCGTGGCTAGGCTTATAATAGCTCGAATTTCCCAGCTGCTTTTAATCGATGTTGCAATTGTGAAACGAATGCAAGTTCTTCAGTACTGTAGCTAGGCAGGTGATTGAGCATTCTAACCTAAGGCGGCCAGATATGAAGCTTAGAAAGGGTATATGAACGCAGTCAGGCACTGCGGAGTTGCGATATCGGTCTGGAACCCCCACCACTATCCAACCAGCCTCGACACGAGTCCCGCAAATGGGAGAAAGCATTCGATAATATGGACGCATCCAGAATGGCATGAAGCTTTTTTGTTTTCTTTTTCACGAGGCAAACTTATCATGTTTCCCCTTCACACGTAGATCTAAAATCTCTTCGTGGTAATGGCCTTCTTTTCTCGCTCTCTTCAACCTCTTGACTTCATGATCCTCCAACCTTCGACCGACGGTGGCTTCCAGCTCTTTCCGGCTGACTTTTTCCAACGCTTTGCTTTCCTTGGACGCCCTCAGTTTCGGTTTGAATTGTGCCTGCATTCGCACGCGAAATGAGGAGTTGAAGGAAGCATTCTCTGCGTCGCCGCGGATTTCCACGGAGTTGGACGAGGTTGTGTTTTCCTTGATGGCGAGGAATGCATCTTTATCACCGCCGCATGTCTGGAAGGAAAATAGTCCGGGTGACTCTACCGAGGAGATGGGAATAAGGGACTCAAGTGCGGATATGGCAGAGGATGTGGCGCTCAAAATACCATATTTATCACAGCTTAAATACCTATCGCGCCACGATTGTTAGTTGCCGCTGTCGCGTATACAAGGAATTGTTCAAAACCAAAGTACTAACCTCCCATGGTGACCTTTGAAATTAAATCCCTCTGAGCCGGCTACCTTTGTTGCAACCCAGACCTGTCTCACATCATGTGGTTCCGCAGTACTCGGGTCTCCTTCTATCATGTTCTCGATCTCGCTCGCAAACACCTTGCCGTTAACGTCACAGGCAATACATGTAGGTGGTGTAGAGGGTAAAACTATGACAACTGGCCCAGAAATGTCTGAGGGAACGTCTGCCGATACCCAATTCTGGTCATCGTGGTCCGCTGACTGGGTGGAGCTGAGGTTTTTAGCTTGAGTGAGGGCACGGTCATCGCCGTCTGCCCGCTTGCGCTTTTTGACCTTTTTATCACCTTTAAATGTAAGAGGCTTGACCATTCTCGTCAACAATTTTTGCCCAAGCAAGTTGCGCAAGTATGGTTGATTTCCTTTCTAGTTGATCAGATAAGAACGTGTTGGAGCTAAGAAGCACGGAACAAACAAGACAAACTTGTTCATCAGGCACGAGCATCGTCATCAAATCGTCCGACTTTCTACCTTGTGGGCAAAGAAAGCTCCAGCTCGAAGAGCTTTTATCGCAACAGATGACTCTTCTTTCTCTGCTTTGGTGTATGGATTAAAGCATAGCTGATGTTCTCTTATTCTCGCTCTCCATTTGTCAACTACTTCAAGTGGTACTCCGTACTCTACTACTCTACTAAGCGCCCAGCCAGGTGAAGCGGGCTCAGACCTTCTTTGCTGCTAGGTAGATCAAGTGCTTACTGTGTTAAAGCAATATTTTTATCACTCTATGAATATATGAAGTGTCACTTTATTTTTGCCCTTACATCCTATTACCTATGGTTTGCCTCATGCCACTCGTACCACTTAGCCGAAGAAATGGATACTATTTGTCGAACTGAAGCATTGCCTGACTTCACTGAACACTTGTCCGCGACTTTATCCCTAGCCTCATATCAATTATGCTAGGGTCTATCATTTATACAGCTTCTCAATGAACTACAGGATATGAAATTTAACATATACTATGGCTTGGCTATAGGCGTATGTACTCCGTACACACTGTGCTATACGCATAGGGCATTGCGTTAGAGTTACAAGTCAATCTACGGAATACAAGAATCTCCACACCACAAGGTTCGCCGTTTTGTTTAACTAGCCGAGACAGTTTATTATTCCACCAAACACGAGACACGCGAGGAGGTCAGAGCGGTCCGCTAGTTCGAGCCGATCGTTCACTTTAAAAAGGCTTCATCTTTACATACGACTTATGCTGTTCCAGAATATTCGAAATTTATACCTAATACTCCATATTTATTCTAGAAGTGGAATGCTCACTGGTGGCTAGAACATCGTTGGCAGGGATCCGGCAGCTGCGGCTGACGTGTACGGAACAGGACGGGGACTTTGCTATTTTACCTTTCGGCCACCAGTATTATTCTCCAGGAGACTTACACTCCGGTTCCTTCCCGCCGTATGCACCTCTAGACTTACTACCTACAGATACTAGGTAAATTCTATAGTAACAGGGACAAAGAAGACTGGCTCACTATACCCTTCAAAAAGTGTGGAAAAATAATCCAATTTCACTATATGACTTCAAAATATACGTTATTCCCTTTATCCAGCAGCGCTAATAAATACGAAATCTATGTAGGTACCAATAAACGCAAAATGTTGAGGAAATGTCGAGGAACATTTTAACTACCTAATCGAAAGTGATGGCAGCCTTGATAGCCGACTTGTTCCTCATCGACTCCAGGCACTCGGCCCATTGCTCGAGCTTGAAGGTCTTGTTAACAATTCCGTTAACGCGCACCTTACCAGAGTCGAGATAATCAATAGCAGCGGGGAATTTATAAGTCTCGCTGAAGCTGCCAAGAATAGTGATCTCGTCACCGACTATAAAATCAAAAGGTTAGCTACCGGTGTTCCAATGCAGGCGCAATATTCGCATTTTGCGGTTTTCTAAGGGGAACGTACAAATTTTGGATGGTGGCCATGTGACTCTATCCTTGCTGGCATACACGCCATAGACAATCAACTTGCCGCCACGGCGAACATAGTTGATAGCATCCTCCAAGATCTTAACGCTACCAGTGGCTTCGACAACGATATCAAAACCATATGGATTGGCGGCTTTAAGAGCTTCGAATTGGGCGCTGGGGTCTTTTCGAGAAAGAGGAATGTATTCATCAGCAGCGTTGAGCGACTTGGCGAGGTCCATTTTCAGGCCCTCGGGGGCAGCAATGACAACTTTGCAGCCACCATTGAGACGGAGCAATTGTGCAAGCACCTATATCCACGGCATCAGTAACTGAATATACCTCCTTCACGAAGTTTTAGACTTACAAGGCCAGTTGGGCCTGCACCAAACATGAGCACAGACGAACCCATCTTAGGGGCAATTTTATCAAGGCCATGGGCAGCGCAGGAAGCGGGCTCAAGAAGAGTAGCATCAACGTCTGAGAGATTCTGAATCTTGAAAACTCGGCCAGCTAAAGACAGTGGCGGTTAAAAAAAAGCGAAAAACAATACAGGAATTACGACTTACCTGGGTAGGCGCAATATTCGGCAAAACCACCGTTCATGGTAACTCCATGGGCCTCAAAGTGCTCGCAAAGCAATTCCTCGCCGCGTCGGCAGTAGAAACACTCTCCGCAGAGCTCGGAGTTATCAGCAACAACTCTGTCGCCAATAGTAAATCCTTTGACCTTTGGCCCCACAGCGGCAACAACACCAACGGTCTCATGCCCTAAGAGGGAAGTCAGTCATGTCGACAGTGCCAATAGCTTGGATAATCCCATAACGCACCTGGGACAAGGGGGAACTTTCACTCGAGTTAGTATTCACTACCATTGACATCTGGGAATAGTGGCTTACCTTGGCAAGGAATTCTCCTTCATGGATGTGCAGATCAGTGCCGCAAACACCACAGGCCTTGACTTTCAGCTATGTGAGGCGTTGCACGTTAGTAAGTTTGCTCACCGCTCCTATAGCCAATCTTTGCCAAAAGTCGATTCAATGCCGAGGAGTATCATACCAACACGTCGTTTTCGCGGAGCTCTGGCAATGGGATGTTGACAATAGAATATTCCTCCGGTTTGGAGTATCTGTTCAAAAAATGGCTCAGTGACCCACCCCATAAATTTCATTCTCAATGATATATTAAGAAATACTAACTGGAGTGCCTTCATGGTCTTTGGGAGTGAGGAAGTCATTTTGATTGCTGTTGCGAGGGGTTTTCGGCGGGATTAAGAATTTAAGGGTTCTGGATACTGATCAGCAAGCTGTCACATATTGCCAAAAACAGTCGTTTTGGGAACGCCAATTGTTTATGGAGTATGACTCACTGCTATGTGTATATTGACCGCTTGCAGCAGTTTGGGTACAGAGGGGAGAAGTATGAAGAGGTGGTTCAAGAAGTAAGAGAAGCTCGACACGCCACGAGGGGGAGAGCTGTGGTATATATACGAAAGCGGCAAATCCCAAACAACCGCTACCGGTGCAGGCGTGACTGGACAATCCTGACAAAAAATCTAAAAATTGGAGATCCTGGCTTGAGCTACTTACGAGTTGTCCACTTTTGTGGAGTGAATTCTAGTTAAGGGCGGCCATCCCCCATAATGGCCAAAAATAATTGTTTCCCCGACCTATGGAACTCCGAGGGCATGGCCGATACGTAAAACAGCGGTTTGGGTCCCAAGGGGCTGGCTTATCGCCAATTATGGAGCCTGGTCCCCTTCAATTCTAGATTTAGCTGGGAAGCTTCCGATCAAGGAGAGCTTATCATTCCGACACCGTTACAAGAGCATCTCGGCGCAGCTTGCCTCCTGGCTTCGAATGACCGTCTCGTCATCATCATTCAGCATTTGCGTATCATAACAAAGCAGCCACAACTCTCCGCACAGATCGGATTAGAGGGAGCTTAGTTACGGGATACCGAATGATGAGTAATGTGGCGGAAACCTGAGAAATCAAACAAAAGAAAAAAATTTCGTTTAATTGCGCGATGGTGATTCTTTCAGGAAAAGGCCGCAATTTGCATTAATAATGGTTGCATAACCGCCTGACGATTTATTAACTATACAGCGAGAACGGCAGCATGGTTGCGCAGAAGAGGATGGGAAACACCGAGCACGTCCGCCCGCCTCTCCCGTATCAATCTGCCCTCGGAACCCACGGGGCGTCTGTCTCAACATCTCTTGGAGGCGTTACCAGGGTGAGCCCGCCGCTTCACCGCTTGGATAGATCCAGCATCCAGGAGCGATTGGTCTCAGCATGCTGTCTTGGTGCGAAGTGGAATGCGAGCGCCGGCCACCAGTTCCATCGACGGCGAGCCCCGCACATAATTCACTAACTACGGAGTAGCATTTAAACACAAATAATACTACAGTGCATCACAGCTCCAAAACAACCGCTTACGGCACGGGGGTGGGCCTAAACAAGCTCTCTGTGTCCAGTTGCTGATTTCAGAGGTTCCTGCGGAGAACAAATATAATACTAGGAGAGACCTCACAACAGCTCTCCTAATTGAATCGCCGGATGAAACTCAGTCGGGATAATCCAGCGAAGAAAAAAAAAACTTTCGTGTTCCTGGCTGGCAGTCTCGTTTGCTTTTTTTTTTTTTTTTTTCGGCACCACATGACCACCGGGGGTGGTTGGGCGCCAGAGAGGAAGGTTAGTTAAGCGTGAATTGGAGAGATCCCAAGAAGTCTAAACTGCAATAGCTTGTTGTGTTGCCGCCTCGTGAGCCCGCTGTTGGCTCAAGACGCCTGGAAGTCCGGGGCAAATTGGCGCGCAAATCAGGGGCGCCAGCCCCCAGGCGGTCTGGATCCCTCGGAGTATGTGGTTAGTCAACTATGGAGCCAGATTGGAGCCCTCAACAAAGCTCCCTCCCCCCCAAGCAACAACGGGCCTACAAATAATACGTGGTCCCTCGCCTACCCGGGAAACACAGCCCCGCGGATCTCATATTGTGGCAATCAGGAGGTCGTCATCATCGATCCAAGACTCCCTTTTTGGTTTTTTGTTTTTCTCTGTTTTTCTCACGATAGTCTCCTTTTTTTTTATTTTTGATTCAGCTGCTTAATAATGATCCTGCCTGCCAGAAAATGTTCATGACCGGTGCAACCCCCGACAGCTCGTTCCAAGGGTTTGAGAAGTTGAACCCATGTCAGAAGTCTGGCTGGTTCGGACTCTCGACGGATCTGGAAACCGTGTCCTTTTGAGGCTCGATGTGAGGATTCTGCTGACCCGTATATCGTGGCGCCTGCCAACCTTTATCCCCATTGGGTATCACGTCTGTGAGGCTGTGAGAGCAATCCGATCATTTATGGTAGTTGCGCAGTCCAGTGATTGACCATCCTGCTGCCAATGCAGGAACGCTTTCATGCACAGTGATGGGTGTTAAAAAGCTATATTACTGCCGCACAATCTCTATGAATGATTTTATTCTTCACTGGAAGAAAAGCCGAAAATTCAATGCCACAAGCTGCATGACTAGAAACAGAACGCTCAAACGCTACTAACCAGAATGCGTTGATGGATTCTCACCCTCATGCCCAAAAACAAACCCCAATCCAATTACTCATAGCAGCAAACCAATATAACATTGCATGCTCAACAAAAGTGGTGAGTCACCAAGAACAGGAACCTTCACTTTAATCCAAACCCTTCACTCTCAACCACTGCCCGCCATAGTTTAGACTCGAACTTTTGTCGCGTCCTATACCGATACAGCGAGAGCATGTTGAAGCACGTTCTCGCTATCGGGAAGCGCTCCGAGTCCTGGCCCAGACACAGGATGCGAATACCCAGACTCGTTTCTCCCATGGCGGGAATGCGGTCGCTGCCGGTAATGAAACCCAAGACCTTTCGCTGGTCGCGAGGTGAGATGCGAGAAAAGAAGTCCCAGAACCACTTGACAACGGGTTCTTTTTCGGGGTTGGCTACCTGCCAGTTGTCGTACTTTGCCACGGCGCGCAATGACGAGATATCCAATGCTTGATCTGAACCTCGAACCAGGAGTTCAATTTCCTCGGGCCTGAACAGATGAAGCGCATTTCCGCCGCAGATGGTGAAAAAGCCACGCTTGAAGGGCTCGAATTGTCGGGAAACGGCCTTGTTGAGTACGTACTTGACATAGAGGTCCACGAATTCCCGCCGATTGGAATTGGTGACCGGTCTTTTTTCGCCCCCAGGACAGAGTGGGACTTCCACTGTCTCTCCATACCTCTCAACCTGGACCACGAAGTCTCGACAAAACGTCTCTTCCACATCGCCATCATATTCAAGAAGCTGCCGTAGGCCCCTTGCGAGTGCCGGGCGGTATTCTGCCAGGTCCTCCAATGTGCATCTGAAAGGCTGGGATGGAATAGACAACGTTGGAACGTCAGCAACTCGAGCTGAGGCGAGGAGCTTCCGGTATGCGAATGGCGGTAGGGCAACATCCAAGATTGTAGAATTGTAGATAGCAAGCCCAAGGACGACGCCCACAAGGAAAAACTGTTCTGACGACTCAAAACAGTGAGGATTAAAATAACAATACTGAGAGTCTTCGTCGTAAAGAAATAAGCCTGCCAGCTGGTGGTTAGCACTCCTGCATCGCACATTGGAATATGGGCTGGACACTTTACCATGTAAAGGATCAAACACCTCCCTGACTAATAATAAAAACCATTCTTTTCGTAGGCCACCAGCATCTACACCTTCTTCCCCAACAAACTCAATGCGCAAGCCCTTTTTGATATCCCCCGCTGATGAGCCAATTACCTCGCTGACCCTGCTGAGACTGTCCTCAACCAAGCACTCCCTTCGTATCTTCAGAACAAGGTACTGACTGCCGCCCCTGCGGCCCAGAATGTTATCAAAGAAAACCTCTCGCGCCTTCGCCTCCATCTGGCGGCGAGCATCGTGTTCCAGAATGCTGATTTTCGCCCAAATGCTGAGAAAGAACGAGTATTGGCAAAAGGTGAACTTCCCGCTCCGCGACTCCCACGTCTCGAAATCGGCAATGAGGTCGGAATAATCAAGGAGCATATTGTAGAAGGTGCTGATTGGAATCATGGCGTGCGTTGCGTTTGGACTCGAGTCGGGCGATAACTGCTGCTCGGGTCTTCGACGCTGAGTCGAGGTATTTGCTTGGAAGAGCAGAGACATCACGCGAGCGGCGGCCTTTAGCTGCCAATCGTCGCTGTAGACAACGGTTGTATGGTCAGTCTTTGGCGGCTTAGACGAAGGATTATCACGCTGCAAGGCGGAGTGTAGCTGGGCCGGCATGACAGTATTAGCACTCGAAAAGGTGGGAACAAGTTCCTCGATGTTCTCCCCTAGCGTTTGCGACTTGCTCGGCCGTCGCTTCTTGCCCCGATTTAACCTATACGTGACGAAGCTCCCAATGAGATCAACCAGCTGCCGGAAGTGCGTCTCAGATAATCTTGAGAACCAGGAGATCAATAGATGGTGGCATTCGCTGGATAGGTTGGAGAGAAGGCCGATGGTCCTTTTCATGACGACAAAACGACGATCACTGGATTCAACTACTTTATTAAAGTTGATTCCGCTGTTTTTTTGTGAAGAGGAGGGTTCGGACGTCGGTGCGGTGGAATTGCCGTTTACCATTGAATCATTGGCACGAGGAGGGACGAGTAGCTTGCGAGGCAGCTTCCAGGAACTGTAGCTACCAGGATATAGTAATGGATTGGCCAGAATGATGAGTAAAAAGCGAGTATCTTCTGGCCGCTCCAGAGGCCGTCTTGGCCGTAGAAGGAGCTTTTCAGTTGCACGGAGCAGGACCATTCTTAGACGAAACTGCGATTCCGAGAACATCTCTTCCAAGAGAGATAAGCTGACAGCTTCCCATTTTGGCAGGGCGTCGGGTTCGGCAGGCTTCATCCGCTGCCAGAGGGCATTCCACGAATCACCCGCGTGGAGTATCAAGTAGTACCACTCAGCAAGTTCGAACCAATTGATATGGGGGCTTTTCGAGCTCACAAAGCCAGTTTGCGAGGTACTTGGTTTTGGATTTTGGTGGCCATTTGTAGACTTGTGCCGCACGGGGCGGTTGCCCGAGCACTCATTGCCATTTTCAGCGATATTAGCGAGGGGAAACGATTTGCCATCCAGCTGCAGCGACGTTGGAGCTTGCGAGCAGTGCACATCAGCCTTTCGAATAGGGGAGCCTTCGCTCGCAGCTCGAGGATGGCGCGAGCCGATGGCGAGGAACGAGTTGTTGAGCATGTCACAGCCATCGAGAGACGTGTAGAGATACTCCTCTAGAGCACGAAAAACACGGCCCTGGGGCCGAGAGCTCTGCCTGGCATCGTCCGTAGCCTGGCCCGGGCGCTGTGGGGCATAGCTGAAGCTCGGCACGGCCGCGGTGCTTGGAAGGGGCTTCCGTTTGATAGCGCCAGGTATGCTCCCCGGCTGGGGTATTGTGCCTTGACGGGCCGTACGAGCAGGATCATCGTCGTTCGTGGGATGATGGTGTGGCTGGGACGCTGCAAGGGGGCGTATGGCACCGTTGGAGGCCGCACGAGGGCCAGAGTAGCTACTCAGATGGCTCTCGGACACTCCTCGCCTGCGGCCCAGTGGCGGACGGGGCTCTAGGACGTCGAGCTGGGCGTGGAGGAAGGAGAGCATGCACGACTCGATGATGCGGCGTGTTTTCTCGACGGAGACTGGGAGTACGTACAGGTCAGCAGCAGCAGCAGCAGCAGCAAGACAGCGGGGTATAACGCACTGCACACGTCAGGGCTGACAGACTCGCAGGCGGGGCCCTGCGGGCGGAGCGACGGGTAGGCGGGGGCCAGGTCGTTCATGGTGGTGCATTTGGCGCAGCGGAAGCCCTTGCGGCCGGCGACGAAGGCGTTGGCATGGCCGCAGGTGCAGCAGCGGCGCACGGCGCGGGAGTCGGCGGGCGGCGGGGGCGGCGGGCGTGAGGACGAAGCGGCGCGGCGACGGCGGGCGGGACTGGCAGAGCGCGCGAGCGGTGGAGCCGCATCGTTGTTGTTGATGTCGTTGTCGTCGTCGGAGCAGGTGGAGGTTGAGCCGCCGTCGGGGAACGGGTCGCGGCTGGCGGACACCGCGCGCTTCGAGCGGAACAGCGCCGGGAACGGGTTGCTGAGCGAGCGCGAGTGCGATCGGCGGGCCATGGGCGGCGGCCGGGCGAGCTCAGCGGCAGCGACAGTGCGGTGATGGTTGTGGTGGTCGTGGGCGTGGTGATGCTGGTGGTGCTGGTGGGCGAGGAGAGCGTCGTCGTCGTCGTTGTCGCAGCCGGCCTCAGACACGGTTTCAGGCGCCGCGCCGGCTCCAGACGCCCTCGAAGCCATCGCCGCCATGCCGTGCCGTGCCCTGCTTTGCGTCGAGCGAGCTGCACCGCCGGCGATCGCCAGCCAGACAGCGTCGTCGCCCGCAGCGCTGCAGCAGCCGCATTCGACGCCACGGAAGCCACAGGCCGCGAGGCCAGGCGACAGCACGGCCTACGCACTGCAGGAGCGGAATACGGAGTACACGGACAGTACGGAGTTTCATGGATGGCTACCTAGGCTGCCTGCTCTCATTCCTCTGCACCCTACTCGTACCATCGAGGTATTCGCCTTCTGCCGCGCGGCTGCTGGAGCTCCAGAAATAGACAATATACGAGCTAACCACCAGCGACGCCAGGATCATCCCGCCGGTACGGAGGAGCTACGTTAACTAAGTAACTAGCTAGTTAACTTCTCCGTATTCCTGCCCGGCTCGCATTCGTACCCGGCGCCGGCCATGCGCGTTTCCTCGCCCGCGGGTCTTCAGGCCAACCCACGTCAGCCGTCCTTCAGCTCAGCTCCAACCATAGAGGTCAGGCAGAGCCAGCCCGCTCGCGCTTTGCCACAGCGCTCGCCGGGCGAGAATCGAAAAAAAAAATCCCTCTCAAGGGATCAGCCACCGCCAGACCCAGACCGTACTCAGCCGCCGGAAATCTGGATGCGTTCCATCTGTCGCATCAGCGTCGAGCTACCCTCCTCTTCCTCCACCCCAACAACGACCGCGTCAACCGACGTGCGCGGCCGATTTTTGTTCAGCCCGTCCAGCAGGGTGCACGCCTTGCAGATCTTCTGGCTCGACAGGTATCCGCATCGCTCGCACTGGCCCATTTTCTGCACTTTGATCGGCTTCTGGCTGCCGCTGCCGTTGCGATGGCTGGGTCGGGCCAGCTGCTGCTGCTTCTTGGCCTTGGAAAGAGCTGGAAGCGTGATTTCTGTCTCGAGAGACTGTGCTGATTCGTTTTCGGCCAGTCGTTTCTCCATCTCGGCCATCTCGTTGCCGCCGCTCCGCCCGTTTTGCGATCCACACCCGCCCGTGGAATAATTCTCGGAGCCGTCTTCGGCGGTCGTCGAAGCGGCCTTCTTAGAGGAGCAAGGACTAGAGCCGCTTATCTCTGGCGGGACGAGGTCAGCCATATCTTCACCACTGCGAACAATGTCAAGGATGGCACTTGGCCGGATTCTTTCCAGGTCTTTGATCAGCGTCCGCGCACTGCCCCGAAATGCTTCCGGTGAGTATATGCACTCCGTGCTGAAGTAGTCCAGCTTTTTGTGGTGTGCGTACAGCACAATTTCCTTCTCATACGCGTACTTCAGCGGTTTACTCCGCTTGATCTCACTGGCCGACGACCCGGTCACAATGCAGGTTCCCCTCGCCAGCCGCGGTAAATCGCCGCGGAGGAGATTCATCATGACCGTTTCAGCGACATCGTCCGCGTTGTGGCCCGTGACGACGTGTTTGATCTCTAGCTTTGCAGCCCCGCGATCCAGCGCCTGTCGGCGAAATACCCCGCAGTAGGTGCAGTTGCCTTTCTTGCCGATTTCTGCCACGACCTGGTCCATCGTCCACCCGTATAGCTCTCCGTAGCTCACAATCTCCAGGGGCATCGCATACTGGACTGCATTCCGCTTGACGGTCTCCAAACTGTCGTCCCGGTATCCCTTGATCCCCTCGTCGATGGATAGCAGGACTAGATCTAACCCGTAGTTGTAACGCTCGTTCAGGGTCTTAAGGACAGATGCAAGCACGGTGCTATCTTTACCGCCGCTGGCGCCGATGGCGACACGCTCGCCGCGGTAAAAGAGCGAGCTCTGTGTAATAGTCTCGTGGATTTCTGTTTCGAAGATGTGGAGGAAGCACGACTTGCAAAGCTTGTGGCGATTCTTGGGCCTGATAATCACCGCCCGCGCCGATGAGCAGTTGAAACAAAGAGTGGGTGGCATCGTGGTTCAGCTGTAGTTACTCCGTACACCCCGCTTGAACCGCTCAGACAAAAATAAAAACGGGCGGCGGAATATTGCCTGGGATTTTGCAAATAGATGCAAACATACCAAACTCCCGCCTGGGAACAAACAAAGCAAATACCATTACCAACCAGCGAGTTTATATTGGTGATCAAGGATCACGAAGCTGGGTTTTTTTGATATTACAATATAGAATTACAACTTGTATATAACTGCAATTCTGTGCCGATATGGGTTATTGGTGTCATTTTATGACATGGACTTATTATAGTTCAAATGCCAATGACCTTGTCAGCATCGAATGTCCTCGCCGACTTTGCACTAGTGTTCCAAATACTCAACATTTTTGATACCGAAGTTTTGGGCTCTTCCGCCTTTTGCACTTCTTTCTTAGGAAAAACGTATCCCTTCTGGTTGCTGACTAGTTTCACTTGCCCGCAAGTAAATTCACTGGAATAGTGCGTATGGCCAAAAACCCAGTACTGCACATCGTCAAGGGGCGATTTCTCGTTCGTCCCAAGAAGCTCAGTCCCAAACGCCGAAGACCAGGGATTCTTCTCATCCGACGGTCTAGATGTGCCCTTAGCCAAAGGCGCGTGATGCGTGACAACAACGATTTTCCGCTTCGAGCCAGCCTCTCCGTTTCTAATCGACAGAATCTCATCCTGTAGCCACTTCACGTCCCGCGCATGCTCCGCCACATGGTCATCCACGCTCCAGTCCACAATACGGCGAAAGTCGTTGATCTTGTGCTGCACAATCTCCTTTGCCTCGGGCGGCACCCGGGAGTGCAGCGTGCAGCCGAGCAGGCTGACGTCTTCCAGGTCGACGCGTTTTTTATCCATGACGGTCAATTGGCCCTGCAGCTCGGGCTCGTCCTGGAGCGCGGCGGCCAGCCGCAAGCCCTCTGGGCGAGAGACACCGAAGAACTCATGGTTTCCGAGCACGAGGTAGACTTGGCGGAACTGCTGGCACTGGGACCGTAGGAAATCGCGAAACGCGTCGTAATCGGCCAGCCGGCCAATGTCGCCGGCTAGAATGAGATATGGTGCCTGTGGGGTTATATGGAAATCGGAGTACTGCGCGCCAACTTCAAGGTGCAGGTCGGACAGGACCTGAAAGTGAAGGCTTTTCCGTGGGCGACATTGCGACAGCAATTGGGAAAAGGACATCCGAAAAGATAACTAACAAGCAAAAAGGTTAAGCAAAAGGAAAGTAGAAGGTCGATAATTAAGTTAGGACAGATGGTCCATGTCCCACGCGTCGAGACGCCAAAATGAGAAAGTTCAAAGGGTGTGTATACAGAGTACGGAGTAGCGTTCTGGCCACCGCGGCCTAGGCAGCAAAGACCGAACTTGTGGAACTCAAGCAGCTTCATCTCTCCGTTTCCATTTTCTTGCTCATTATTCTAAAGGTTGCGGACGCTTCCGGTTTACGAACGTATGAGCACATCGGCCCCATGAATGCAGTACTTAGAATTTCTGCCAGATCTTGAGTTCTTCATCTACATCTCTCTCTGGTATGCTCCGTACAACCAATGCTCATCATTAAGCATAAAAGAGCTGGAAAAAATAGGTAAAGAGACTTTCGATGCATTTCTCCAATATTACTCATTTATTTGCTGCGTGATTCATCGAATATTCTATGAATTCTAATATTTCAATACTTTTTACGTCTTTCCCACCCGTTGGCTAGCTTTTATGACAACAAGTTTATCTATTCCTTCCATCCAACTCTTTTTGCGATCAACTTCACAACATATACCAAACCCAAAAGAACTGGGACTTCTATTAATGGGCCCACGGTGGATGCCAAAGCTTGGTTGCTGTGTGCGCCGAATGTAGCGACAGCTACTGCAATAGCGAGCTCGAAGTTATTGCTTGCCGCTGTGAAGCTCTGCGTCGCGGAAAGCTTATAGCCAAACCCCAGACGGCGCGTGATGGCCAAAGTGCAAAAGAAGACCACCACAAAGTAGACCAACAGTGGAGCCGCAACGCGGACAACAGAAACAATCTGACGCACTACTTGCTTCCCCTGTGAAGCAAATAGTACGATGATTGTGAACAGGAGACCGATGAGGGACCACGGACCGGCCCATTTCAAGAAGACGTTGTCATACCATTTGGGCCCAGCGAGCTTCCGGAGGAGGAACCGTGTAGCGACAGCCGCTGCCAGGGGAATACCTAAAAAGACGGCCACACTTTTGGCGACGACGGAGTAGGAAAGGCTCACTTGATCACGAGAACGACTGATTATCTTGATAAAAAGAACTGCAAGAGGCGCAAAGAGGACGATCTGCAGTAACGAGTTGATGGCGACGAGGATTGCGCAGTAGTCGTTATCGCCTCCAGCAAGACCCGTCCAGATCAATACCTAGCTCTTGTCAGTACAGTTCACAAAAAGAACCTGATATTGGGAACATACCATTGCGATACATCGGGCTAATCCTACCAAGATTAACCCTTCTCTTAGCTCAGGCTCGTCGGGGAGGAAAGCCCATGCTAAGGCTAGCTAAACGGTTTCTGTCAGAAATATATGAAGCTTCACGAGCAAAACGAAGCTTACCATGAGCAGAGGCGCAATGATCCAATTCACAAAAATACTAAAGCCTATCTGGATCCAGATTTCCCGCGTTTTGAAGGCTCGATGTAGTGTCTCGTATTGCACTTTGCATAGAATGGGATACATCATCACCAGGAGGCCAACCGCTACAACCTGTCAGTCAATTGATCTTTGGAGACTTCGCTAAGACTCATGACAAGGTGAGGCATTCAAAAGATGTGCACAATTTACTGACCGATAGGAATAGAAACTCCGACGAAGGTTCCTTTCTGCAATGCCGGGCTGGCGTTCGAGAAGTTCCCCAGGATTATCCCGATGGCCATGGCAAGCAATATCCAAATAGCAAGGAAGCGATCAAGAATGCCCAGTCCTTTAAATATAGATTTTGGTTGGGATCCCTCTTCGGAATTTGCGGCACGTTGTTTCTCAACATCGCTATGCTCAGCTTCTGGGGTGGGTTGGGAGGGGAGTACTTCCGTGTTTTCTAGCGCCATCGTGATCAGAACTGCAAATAATTTTCTTTCTCCTTGAGTGCAGAGGGGTGCCGAGAGGAATATTGCGTTAGCTGCTCTCGGGACAGCTATTTATGCATGGCCCATGATAATACTCACATCCGCCCCAATTTAGTACATACAGGGTGAGATGTCACTGCTCCATGCTGATTGGTTGCCGCTGCCATCCGCTCTACTGACCAATCACAAACAAGCATCCACACAAATGGTACCTGGTAGCACATCCAAACGCCTGTCAATTTGATAGGCCGGGTGACTGTTCTGCCAGTTTTTAGTGATGTTTTGCATGAACTTGAATGGTATTATTCACAATTTGAGGTAATTACAGAGTAGATATGAATGATAAGAGACAGAGCATGGAGCAGTTACATGAAAAGTGTCCACTACTCCGTACTCCGTAGTAGAAAAGGTTAGCCACTAGTGAACAAACTAAACTACTCTGTCTCGGCATTGTCAACATCATTGTTCTGTTTGAGAAATTTTGCTTCTTTTTCCCACCAAACTAATAAGGGTTGCTTTTGAAATTAATTTTGGCACGGCTCCCTGGCTGGATCTTAATGCAGGTGACTATTTTGAAATATTACGGAGTACCTGATGTCCAATACTATCAATCACAAGCATTATCCGACCAGTTGATTCGGTCCCTCTATGTGGTAATTTTCCATTGGAATTATCGAATTTGTTTTCTGGCAACCCCATACTGCAGACACGCACAGGGTCAACTCATTTCCAGATAGGCATAACATTCGCATATTGGCATGATGTTATATTATATGCGGAGTCCTACAAATGTACGGAGTATGTGTGCATAGACGCCTACTCCGGTTCAACCGATGTCCTATATATACCCAAAGACTTAGTTTTTGACAATATTTTACCGGCTATTGGGTCGATGTACTACGATATACTACCTCTATCTCTAGACAATTATTGTTGCTAGTCTCCGACCAGGTCAGGACAGGTTACTCTATGGCCAGCGGCCGCCTATAAAGCAAGCCCCTATCAAGCCGACATGATAGACAACAAAAGATTTTCTGCTTACTATATTTCAATATTTGACGTTTTGGCGTCAGTATAAAAACTACAAAATGCAGCATATCTGTGTTGCTTGCAGCTTACTGGGCTAGGATCAACTCACCTCAGCCATATTTCCATGACCAAACACTTCATTGGAATGGCTATCATATTTTCAATTCCATAAGTACCCTTAAGCCCAAGTCTGCCTCATATTCTTGATAGCAGTGCGCGACTCCGTAATTGAGTTTCGCCTCTGGTATCTACTCATTCTAATATAGCCATCATGTCTTTCGGCTTTAGGGACGAAATGAATGTTAACCTTATATAATATTGTTGGTACTAATCAATCTTACATATATGTACACCCGCAAGCACCGGACAGACGATATAAAGTATCTGGGATCGCAAGCGTGTGTGGTAGTGCAAGGCTCCCTCCCGGTATATGAGTCGACATCGTGCCTTGAGATTCTGATATCGATAGAAGGCATGCACCCGCCCCCACAGGAGGAGAAAATCTGGAGGAACTCATTCTGCAATGCTTGTGCCAGCCTAGCTACCGATGTCGCAGCGGAGGACTGCGACCCGAAATGCCATGCCAGCTTTGATGCTGGGGATGGATTCAGCGCCTCTTTGGTTCTTCTGCAGAGAAAAATCTTGATGTCCTGGTGGCTGCCATGAAGAAGACCTTGGAAGGATAACCTGAGAACCACGGGTTAACCTGGGACATGAGACTCGGATTATCCAGAGGAGGGTTCATCTGGAATGCAAATTTTTCAAAATGGGCGGAGGAAGAATGCCCAAGCGTGTATTCAATTGTAAATCCAGACAATATCCCAGAGCTGGAGAGGCTTGCAGACGCGTGGGCAAAGGGCCGGCGCGGACACTCTATGGCAACGCACTGGATGTACCCATTCAATGACTCGGGGAAGTTCATTGTAAATGGGTTGGCTTGGAAATGAAGTATCTGGTAGTAGAACAATTTTCCAAGCATAGCGACATTGACCATCTGCTGTCTGCATTTGACTGGCAATTTCCGGACGGATACTGGAGAGCAAGACTACCTTTGGACACGATCCCCAAGGTGGACGGTAGGACAAGAGACGAAGTAGACTGGTAGAGGTTCTATCTTGAGTTTGGGTATCTGTGTTGTTCCTTATTCGGTCTCATAAACCGGTGGCGCATTGTGCGCACTCTGCGAAATGCCCCAAGGCATTTTTCCAGCTCCTGGAAGCAAAACATCCCGATTGAGATGTAGTTAGTTCGTTATTTGGCCATCCAGCTATAGATGATGTCCCAGGAATAACCAGTACTCCGTACGAGTATGGGTTTGCTCGATTTCCAGAGATGAAGATAGGCATAGGATCAGTGAGCCACGTACTTGACGCAGACGCCCACCAGCAGAACGTGGTGATATGACTTCGTATTGCCCATCATGTGTAGGCGGCAGGATACCCATCCCGGCGAAGTGGAGGGTATATGGGAGAACATGGCAGGGTCTCACGCCAGCGGGAGGCAGTCATCCGTCAGGTGTAGTTGTACGCATGCACGGCACAGCACGACACTGCACCGGGCCTGACGGCTAAGTACATGAGAATTAATTAACAGCCATATAGCCTCGTACCGGGAGGATAGTTAGCTACATAGCGAACTCCGCGGCGAGCAGTTTCATTAACTCAGCGGAGGATTCCGGAAACACGCCGGCATCGAAATAGCAACGAACTACCACTACTAGCTACATCCTGCGCGCTGCACCTCTCCTGCACGGTGGAGATAGGGATCCTCAATGCGAGGGCTCGCGGTGGTCTGTGTGCGATTGGCCCACGCAGTCACATTGAGCCCTGTCTCGTTAAGCGCCGGGCAAGTCGATGCCGAGGCCGGTGGTGCGACGGCGGGCTGGGGGGGGTTCTCAGCCTTGAAACATCGACTAGTCGGTGGGGATCGAGGAAGAGGAGGAGCTGTCAGAGCTGGCGGTGGCAGTCTGGTGTGCGCAGTCTGACAGCCTGAGGTGTCCAGGCGCCGACGTGAGACCGGAAGCCAGACAGGCGACGTGGCCGTGTCGCAGAGTCTCGCGGCGCCGCATGGCTGATTGGGCGACAGCACCACGCCGATCGGCTGCACGCACGCCCCAGGCATCGCTCGCTATTATTATTATTATTATTATTATTGTGCTCACGGGGAAGCAAGCGAGATCGCAGAAACAATTATTAACTATTCTGCTAGGCTGGCGCCGAAGAAACCAAAATAAACCCCCCACCCCCCTTAAACATCCCCCCCCCCCCCCCCCCCCCCCCCCCCCCCCCCCCCCCCCCCCCCCCCCCCCCCCCCCCCCCCCCCCCCCCCCCCCCCCCCCGCCTGTGCTGGCCCAGCGAATGATCGCCGCCCGCCTGCCCGCCCGGCGCCAAACGGCTCTCGCGCGCAGCAAACCACAGCGCGCCGCCGCCAGCGCTCTGCGTCCGTCTCAAACACGGTGGAGAGCCGGCGAGCTGTCGACGTCCGCGCCGTGGCCTGCTGTTGGCTCGTCTGCTGATGCCCGTCGTGATCCAGCAGCCGCCGACTGATTCCTTGGTGCCGTGCGGCCGGCCAGGATGCCAATTGTTTCGCCCGCCCGCGATGTTTCTGCTGGCCCCTATATCATGGCCGGCCTGACCTCTCAGTCCGCTCCTCACGAGGCCGCACCACATGCTCTTGTCTGCCTGGCCGCCGCTTGTTTTTTTGTTTGAGTAACGAGTTTCCTTCGTCTTCGCTTCGTCGTCTGTTTCTTCGTGCTTCTTCTGTCACCCATCCGCTCTTTTGCTAGCTCTTAAGCTTTTCCCTCCCTGGTGGCGGTATCTGGCATACTTCCCCCCCCCCAACGGTACCTCTTCCTCGTCTGGACCCCCCTGCCCGACTGTGTCGGTCACTTGTTGCTACGTAGGAAAGGTTCGTCGCCGTCGTGCCGGTCACAGCGCCTCAGCATCCGCCGCACGCTGCCCGCCAAACTAACCCGGCTGCAGGGTGCATAGGACCATCCTTCCGCTGCTCACCGTACAATCGGCTTCTCATCACACTCTGCAATCACTCCGCCGGCCGGACCTTTGTTCTGAAAAACCTCTCTTATCCAATAATTTAATACTTCGCGGACACGCATATCCCAACCCTCTGACGCCTGCCGACGCGTCCACCCCGTTGGCTTTTTCTTTTTTTTTACAGTTGAACCGTCTTTATTTATTTCTTGTATCTTCTCCTGCTCTTAGAAAAGTTACGTCGGACTGCTCCGTTTTGCATTTTGGGAGTTCTTGATACCACTTTGTTTATCTTGTTCGACCTTGCCAGCCACCATGTCTGTCGGTATGGCCAAAGCCTACTCCTCCTACGACCGGGAGGCCATGAATGAATTCATCATGACGCCGGTCTCGAGAGAAATGATTTCGTATCTTGCGCAGAAAGCATCGCAGGTCCTCCGTTGCGAAGACGATGTGATGCCCTCGACATACAATAAGGCGCAGCCACTCACCCCACCACACAGCCCTACCCAGGGCACCGCCGCGGCCACTCCTCGCATTCCCTCCGTGGAGGAGTTTATCCGCAACATCGTCAAGCGCTCGCACGTCGAAGTGCCCACCCTGATGACATCACTGGTCTTCCTGGCCCGCTTGCGTGCCAAGCTGCCCCCGATGTCCAAGGGCATGCGCTGCACCCCCCACCGCATCTTCCTGGCCTCTCTGATACTGGCCGCCAAGAACATCAACGACTCCAGCCCCAAGAACAAGTACTGGTCTCGCTACACCGTCGTGAACGGGTACTGCGGCTTCGGCTTCTCCTTGTCCGAGGTGAACCTGATGGAACGCCAGCTGCTCGCCCTGCTCGATTGGGACACGCGTGTGCGCGAGGACGATCTCTTCGAGCACTTTGCACCCTTCCTCGCGCCCATCAAGGAGGCCCTCAAGCTCCAGGACGACATTGCCACCGCCAACGACTATGAATGGAAATTGCAGGTGCAGATGCTGTCCAAGCCCCACCTCCGCAGCGCCTCGCCAGCGTCGTCGCAAGGCCGCCTGCTCTCCGGAGGAGTGTACAGCTCGCCGGAATCGATGCGCAGCCACAGCAGCATGCAGCTGGCGCGCCACAAGCGCCGCCAATCCAGCTATCGCGACGGCCGGTCCATTTCGCCGCCGTCGATCCGCGACGTGCCCGGTCTGTCATACGAAGGCAGCGTGCAGGGCTCCTCGTCGCGCGCGTCCAGTCTTGCCCCCAGCTCGCGCGGGACGCCGGCGAGCTTCCAGACGGCTGCTACTGCTGACATTCTGGTCGACGATGACAAGAACAGCCCGTTGTCGGGCTACGCGAATCTGGCCTCGGCGAAGTCGAAGACCAGCACGAATATCTTTTCAACCCATGACGACCTCCAGCAGCATCTGAAAAAGGCAAAGACCATGGGCACAGGGTCGAGCGGGAACCTGTTCTCGAGATTCTTTGTTTCGGCGGCGAATTCATATGCAGAGAAGCGCGGTGCTCGCGCGGCTACGCGGAGCTGAAGTTCTATGTTATTTTACTTAACGTGTCTCGCATGGCGTTGACTGTTATCAATTTGAATTACTCACTTTGGGCATTTGGTTTCCATTGAATTTGATCATCTTCATTTTGGCATATACCTGGTGTTTTCTCTTTTCCTTTCCTTTTTCTCTTTTTTGTTGGAATGATGTGTATGCACTTTAATATTAGCATTGGAAATGGAAATAATATACCGCACCAAAACTTCAGTTGAATACCAATGCTTTTGTATAAGAAAATAATGCCTGCATTAAGCATTTTGGTCGCCTATTTTTTACACTGGAGAATCTAACACTCCAGTGGAATACATGCAATGCCGGTGAGGGATATACAACAAACGGTTTCTTGTGCATGCAGTTCCCCTAACGGCCCTGACAGGTGTGACACTGCGTGCCATGTGTTGGTATTCTCGATGCTTCTTCTCCGATGAAATGTGGGCCCACGGCGCTCCTCGCGCACATATGTATCACGAGCAGCGCACCCCACATCAGCCTCGACCTCCCAGCCCAAATAACATCGTCCTCACAAGCAGCAACCTCACTCGCACAGCTTCTAGTCGTCCGCTAGATCGAACCAGCCCAGGCGCACTCCGTACGTCGTAGGGGGGCTAGATCCAACAATCCTCCCAAAGCACCGCCTCAGTTGCCCCCCTCCCGAGCCTTCAGCTGCGGCGGCAGATCCATGCCCACCCTCCGCGCCGTCAGCCGCACGCGCTCCTGCTCCTCCATGTTCGTGCCGGGGTTATACCGCTCCAGCAGCGTGGTGTACTGCCGCTGCGCGCGCAGGTACTGGGCGAATTGGTCCGCCTCTTCGATGCGGGCCTGGGCGAGCTTGCCCGTGGCGGACGTGGAGGCATCAGGTGAGGCGAGGTAGGCCCGGATGCGCTTGTGCAGCGGCGAGGGCGAGGAGAGCGGGCGCTGGGGGAATTCGCGCAGGATGGAGCGGTAGATGGCGCGGGTGCGCGAGGCCGTTTGGCCGGGCATAGCGGGCGGGGGAGTGATCGATGGTTTTCTTTTGTATTTTTCCGAGAGAAGAAGAAGAAGAAGAAGAAGAAGAAGTAAACAAATCGGAGCGTGAGAGGGTAATGTTCGGCCTTTTGAACTGAAGAGCTCTCGATTCAACGATGTCGACGAGTTCAGTGAGGGGCCGAAGTTGATTGGCCGAGCCTACCCAACGCCACGCTAGCCAGATAAAGACTAGCGCGGACGGGACGCTCTGACAGCAAAATGTTTTGGCAGGCGAGCGCGTGTCTCACACTGCCAGGCGCCGTTCATCCGCTCGATTGTCCGTGGAGAGAACGGAGTATGGATAATGTCGCTGTGTCAAGTCTGCAGTCGCGAGCCGAGCAAATACCGCTGTCCCGCGTGTGACCTCCAGAGGTGAGCCGCCACACCGTTCCCCTCGCGCTTCACATGATGAAATTCTAGAACCTAGTTCGCTAACGCGTGATTGTGCGGCCGGGACAGTTGTTCGCTCGCCTGCTCGCAGGCACACAAGCCAGACTGCGTGCCGAAGCCTACCACTACCACTACTGCTGCAGAAAGCCTGGTTCGTCCGAACAACAACAACGACGACGACGACGGCGCCGCTGACCCGGCCGTGGACACATGCCTTGTTGGGAGTAGTGGTGGTGTGGCATCTGGCCCGAACGGCGCCGAGGCCCTTCCATCGAAGCCTGTCAACAGCATCAACGGCCGAGCACCCCCCGCGCCGCAGCTACTACTAGAAGCCGACCCGCGGAAACTGCAGGATCTGTTCGTCGAGTTCCCCGATCTACGAGCCCGTCTCCACGAAGTCTACGCGCTCACGCTCGAAGAGGAGTGGGTGGAAAACCGGCCGTCCTATCACCGAAGCCGTGGCCGTGGCCGTGGCGGCGGCGGCGGCGGCGGGCGGGGGAGAGGAGGGAGAAGCAGAGGCCCGTGGACAGCGGAGAAAGGGTTTAATCGAGGCCTGGGGCGCGTTCGGAAGTGGAGGGCGAGCTGCGAGGCCGGCGACGAGCCTCGCGGAGAAGGGTTCCTGAGGTTCGTTGCTTTGGTTCTGGGCGAGGACGGCGCGCCAGACGCCGCCGGTCCGCCAGCGACGCGTCCTACATGAGGCGCTGCGTGGCACGCGCGTGTTGTTTTGGTTTCTTGTCTGGATGGTCCGCGAAGGACGGTCCGGTCTGGTCTAGCTGGTATTATTATCATTATTGGCGCGCGTTTTGGGAGCTGCATGGGCGCTCGGAGGGATTGGAAAATATCTTATGCTTCCTTCTGCTTCGGCGCGAGTCGGCGTTTCAACGCCATGTTGATGTTGCTTTTGATACTGGGCAGACTGGGCACGACACCCTGCCAGCAGCGCATGACGGGCGCTGAGAGTCTGTGCGGTCTGTTCTTTTTTTTTTTTTTTTTTTTTTTTCGGGGCTGCATCTGTTGACAGCGCGGTGGCCTGAGACTAGCTCCCTGCCAACCATGCTGTGCAAAGAATTGAAACGCCTCTGGCAGTTGTGCGACAGCCACGCCCCCCCTCGCCTACCTACTGCAGGTCCGCCGTCGAGGTGCGGCCGCAAACACCGCAACAACGCCTGTCGGTGTCTCAGAAGACGCCCGCGGGTGGCAGATCCCAGTTACGGACGTCGAGCAGTAGCAGCAGCAGCAGCAGTGATAAGGAGGACCGCGGGTCGTGTTTCTCCCTAGCCATCCATACATAATAATACTAATAACACTCGATCGCGGCCACGCCGGCCCACCGCATAGATCGATCAGCACGCGTCGTAGATTAAGTGTAAGGCTAGCCCGCAAGCAACCTTGGAAAACCTGCAAATGAGTTTTCCATTAAAACATCCTTTCGGGCGCTTGCCTCGCCGCAGCGTGGGATGGGGGGCTGGATGAATGGGCGAGCAAGCCAGGCAGGGCAGCGTAGTTTAGTGATGTCTTAGCTTGGGCCGCCGCCTGGAACCGCCGAAAAGCATAACTATCTGACGAACTGGCGGCGCGGCGGAGACCAGCAGCAACAGCAGGAGTAGCAGTAGTCGCAGTAGTTTGAGCGGCAGGCAAGGCCGGTCGCGATGCGGCGTGTCTCATGCGACCCCCAAGGCGGGCCTCCAGACACCCATACACGGGGGGAAGGGTTCCGCGGCACAATGCAACTGCAGGCGGGCGACCAGTCGCGCAGCAGGTGCTTGGCCGAGGCCACCAGTCCGGCAGCGCGGGCGAGCTGTCACAACCGAGCCCAGGCTGGTGAGGTGGTGGTGGTGGTGGTGATGGCGGGTGGTGAGCTATGTAACTAGGCAGTCGAGCTGGCCGTCATCGCCGTCCCCTCTGTTTCATCGCGGTGGCTGCTGCACTCCGCCGAAGCTGAAACGCGCGCGCTGGCTTTCGAGACTGTAGGTAGGTTGGGTAGGCAGCCAGGTAGTTAGTTAGTTAGTTAACCAACTAACTAGCTAGTTAAGCTACAGAGTGCATGCAGCACATCCATCTGCAGCACACCCACACAGACACACACAGCTCGCCCACCCGCAACACACCAGCATGCTCCAGGCGGCCGCCGCTCGTGTCTCACTCCGCGTCACTCAGCGAACGGGCTCTCTTCCCTCCCCTCCCGCCCCCGTCGCCCGTCACAAGCAGCCATAAAGCGCCGCCGGTGCGCTCGCCATGGCCGACCAACAGCTTCACCACCTCCGCAACAAGTCCGCCGGCGCCCGCGTCGTCGTCGTTGCAGAGCACCACCAGAACACCCAAACGCCCACGCCCGCGCCCGCGCCCTCCCGCCCAACGCTGCCCGCCCGCACGTACTCCGCGCCCGCGGGGGAACTGCCCCGTCACGTCCGGGCCTCGAAACAGCCCGATGTCGCGATTGCGCAGATTGACGAGCGCCGTCCCCTGTCCCCTTCTGACGAGACTCCCGACCGAAACCCTAATGCCGCTGCGCCGCCGCTGGTACGTGCAAGAGACCTGAGATTCCTAAAAGGGAAAAAAATAAAACCTTCTCCCCGGGCGCGCGGAGGAGGCTTTTTTTTTTTTTCTTTTCTGTTGGACCCCAATGCGCTGTTTTCTTTATCCTTCTACGTGTCTACATGCTGTCCGGCTCGCCCAGTGACGATGATGAGAATGGAGCCCGTTGTTCTGACGTGCGTGATTTATATATCTAGGTGACCATGCCGCCGCCGCCCACGCCCACGCCCAAACTCCGCCTGCCGCAGGTCAACATGGCGGTGGTCGGCACACGCGGTGTCGGCAAGTCGACGTTCGTCAAGTACGCGCTGGACCTGAAGCAGACACCGATTGCGCGCTCATCCGTCAAGAAGATGTCGCTGGACGGCACCATCTACCTGGTGCGCGTGCTGGAGATTGGCATCCACAAAATCGACATCGACGATACGGGCCGCATCACTTGGCCGCGCGCGCTGGGCGAGCAGGCCCTGCCGCCCATCGACGGCGTGCTCGCCCTGTTCGACTCCGCCGACCCCAGCAGCCTGACCCAGCTCTCCGAGCTCATCGGTGAGTACATGGTTAATTAGCACACTCGTTTTTTGCTGCTCTATCTGTGTGCGTCCTGCAGGAACACGCCTGGCTGGTCTTGTCGTGGCGAATCAGCCTCACTTTGTTGCGTGTCGGGGGCTCGGCTTAGGCTCGAGCGCCAGCGAGCAGACAAGCAAGCAAGCTGTCCTGATTCCTCAGACTGCCGTTCTGCATGTTTTATTTCTGTGTCTCTCCTCTCTGACCCCAGTCGAACGCACCTCTCCACACCCACGCTTGAACCGGCCGGGGGGTGGTGTTGCTGCTGGCGCGAAAGACTAAACAAGACTGACGCGAGATCCCGGACCTATATAGGCGCCCTGCGGAGATCCAGTAATATCCCGTTTCTGGTTGTGGCCTGCAAGTGCGACACGCCGCGACACTCGTCCCAGCACGACCCGGCCGTGCTCGAGCAGGCGAACCGGCTACTGGCCGGCACCGACGCCATCCAGACGTCCATCCGCGTCAAGGAGTCGCACAAGAAGTGCATCTCGACCGTGTTGCGCGCGATTATTGTGCGTTCGTCGGGTAAGGATAACTATTATTATTTCCCATCCATCGCCTTAATTGTCGTGTGGCCGTCTCCACTTGGCCCTCGTCGCTGCGCGTCTGGCCGGGGCGTCGTGTCTTCCACGCTATTATTGTTATTGTCATTGTCACTATTTCCACGGTCTGCGGGCCTGCCCTACCCTGCCTGCCCGCCCCCAGCACCACCACGTTTGCTAAAACCCTTTTCCGTGCCCCGTTTTGCGTTCGCTGCTGGCCAGGCACCGTTCTCCCGCCGCCGAGTCGTCGTCGCTTGTGGCTTAATTTCCGCGGTCGCAGGCCGGCCGGGTCTGCAGTGCGGAGTTTCGCTTCCCGTTTGTTTATTTAACCCCCTGCCCGCCAGCTGCACTAGCCCGCCCTCTCGCTTTCTCCACCCCCAGCAGTACCATCTCTTATCGTGCCGTGTGTTATTGCCCACGGTCCTGTGTCGTGGCGGCCCCTGTCGCCCTGGCTGTCTCGAGACCGAAGCCTTGATCGTGCGTATCGAGCTCGCGTCTCGGGCCATCGACCTGCCCTGCCCTGCCCTGCCCTGCCTTGCCCTGTCTCTGAATTTTTTTCTTTCTGTCGGTGACGATCGCTCAAGAAGCCCACTGCTGACCTTGGTCGTCCGCTTCCCCAGATGTAGCGTTTAAGAAAAAGCACTCCCCCTCAAAGACCCGATCCACTTACAGCACCGTCCCACCTCGCCAAAACGTTTATTCGAGCCGTCACCACACACGAGCCCAATCCGAAATCCCCAAGAGCTCCCACCTCACCACCCCCGCTGATCCTTACGCCGACGGACTTGATCCGACTCTGGCTGTCAACGTCCATGGTGCAAGATATGGTCGCAGCAACTCGCACCCTGTTCCACCAAGGACACCTCCGGGGAGTCGGATAACTCGTGCCTCTGCTGTCACCGTCGACCCTGTGCCCGAAGAGTCCTCGCCCCCCCGCCTCGCTCCGCCCCCGAAATTCCCGTCGCAGTGGAGACACAGCGCCAGCTCCAACGCCTTCAATTCGTTTCTGGACATGGAGGACGAGGGAGACGATTCGCCCAACCCGCTGGCTAGCCCGGTCAGTCTGAACAAGACTGTGAAGGGGAAGGTAGAAGAGCGTGGTTTCACATTTGGCGAGCTGGTGGATCGACTCCTGTCCATGCCTCAGACGAAGCAAGATGCGAAGTTTCTACCCGTCTTTTTGTGCCTGTATCGAAAATTTGCCGTGCCTGGCCGGCTTTTGATGTCGATTATTGCGCGATTTGAAAAGATCAATACCAGCGATGCACCACGTTTAAAACGATATGCGGATCAATTATCTATTCTTAATGTTCTGGCGCAGTGGGTGTCTGAATACCCCGGGGATTTTGCCGATGCAAAGACCCGCAAACGGCTTACGACCTTTATCGCTGACCTCGAAAAACACATGGTATTTGCCTTCGCCGCGAAGGAGATGAGCTCCTATCTTGAAAAATTTGTTGAGGATGATGATATTGCGTGGGCTTTTATAACAGAAAAGAGTGAATGCGACAACTTGGAAACATTTTTAGATATATCTGATCAGAGCTCCCCTACGACCTCCATTTCCCAGAGCGCGGACGAGATGGCCCTGTCCGTGGCGACGATAGACCTGAATGAGGAAAACGTCGACCATTCGTCTCAGTGCTCTAACCCTTCGAATTCATCAACAATAAATAGATGCGGAAGCATTTCTAGCCAGTCGTTAAAAACACTAATGACCACGGAAGTCGCACAGCGCGAGGCACGGCGGCTTGAGATACTACCTCGACACTCCCTTGGCAAATCACAATGGCGGATCTTCATCGAAACGCCGGACGAGGATTTCGCGCGAGAGATCACCCGGATAGACTGGGTCATGTATAGCTCCTTCACGCCGCGAGAACTGGTTCGGCATGTGGGAACCAGCTCCGAAAACAAGGAAAAGCCGTCCAGCCATTTGGAGAACGTCAATAGAATGATTAAGGGGTTCAACCATCTCGCGTACTTTGTTGCGAGTATGGTTTTACTCAGAGATAAAGCAAAACATAGGGCTCAGGCATTAGAAAAATTTGTTAATGTCGCATGGGTCAGTAATACATCCTGCCTCGATTCTGCAAGTATGTATCCGACCGTCTCGCTAACGTCGCTTCTAGCACCTACGCCAAATGCATAATTACAACTCCCTTGGAGCTATAATTGCGGGGCTTAACGGAACTCCGATCTACCGATTAGCACAGACGCGAGAGCTCGTCTCGCAGTCTGCCCAAAAGCATTTGATGAGTTTAGTTATATTAATGGGCACCCAAAAGAGCCATTTCGCTTATCGACTGGCCTGGGAGAACACCTTCACCGAACGAATCCCCTTCCTCCCGCTTCATCTGCGCGACCTGGTGTCGGCCGAGGAGGGCAACCGGACCCTCATCGGCGATCGCATCAACTGGCGCAAGTTTGAGGTCATGGGCGATGTCATTCTTGGAGTCCAGCAGAGCCAACGGACGCCCTTCCCGACGTTCAGCGCTAATGAAACGGTGCGCCGCCTGCTTCTCGAAGCGAGGTTCACCGGTGATGAGGAGGTGAGTTCACTTTTCTTTTTTTTTTCTCCCTCATTTCTTCTCCAAAACGCCTCCCAAGCCTATATCAGCATTGAAAATTGACTTGAGACCAGGAATTATACAGTCGGAGCTTGACCGTGGAACCCTCCGCTGTCATCGGTGGCGGGCATGATACCAAGTATAAGCGCTTCGTCTGGCGACGAAACTGATGCGAAACCCAGGCTCACGATTTAATGATGATAATGTTGATATATTATATCCCCCCCAACCCCACATGTTCATAGATTTGGATACGGTCCTATATTACACTTGATGAACCGCCGTTTTTTTTTTTTTTTTATAATATTACGCTTATTATTTCCTCCCTCGATATATATCCGGTCACAGCAGCCAGAGCGAATTGGCGGCAAGAGGGGAAATATCCACCGCCGCCACCTTGTGAATGCTCCCACCTCTTTTTGAACACAACGACTTTGACACAAACCCCTCTTATTATTGCTCTCGTATCTGAAGTTCTCTCCGTGATGATAACGCTGTTTAGTTCCGGGAGATTTAGGCGTCTACAAAAATGATTGTCTTGCTTGTGTGATTTTGGCGTCTACTCACTATTCGACCGTGCATCAATTTTTATTTTTTTTCTCGTTTCGGATGGTCTATTTCCGTTCCCTGGCGACGGGTGGCATGATTGATCTGCATTTTGAGTTTCATTTTTATTTTTATTTTTTATTTTTTTTGGGCAAGGTCTCGAGTGGATTTCCTGTTTGGTTGTTCTCCTTCTCCTCTATAAATAGGCCGGGCTGGATCGTCGCCCTTGGAGGGCCTGCATGGCCCGCCGGCAGGCAAGAACTCTTTTATATAATCATCTGCACCTCCTCGTTGGTCGCTATGGTTCCCCGCAAGTTCGTAGGGCGCGCGCGTGGCCTGCCGGAGACTGGGTAGCAGAGCCGGCAAGAATAGCCGGGCCCGGTCCCGGCTAAAATAGCCCTGCCTCTCTTACGCTTGAATCCGACTCGCATTACTAATTACGTCAGGACCCAAGCAAAAAAAATGTTGCTGCTTCATTCAACTCAAGCTGTTTTGCCTTCAAAATACGCAACAAGCCATTGGCGGATCAACCAGTGCTTCGACCAGTTCACAGCTATGGCCACGAGGACGATATCTGGCTCTGTTCCCAGAGCGATTGCGCGGTTTCAGGGGCCCGGTGGAGTCTTTGCTTCTTCGTCGTCGCGGTCGTCGTCGGCGTCGCTGCCGCGGTGGATGATGATACCAAGCTCCCGGGCTGCATCGAGTCGAGCTTCCAGGATTCCAGTGATTACGTCGTCCCCGTCGCGGCACCGGCCGACGCTCTTGGGACAGCACCAGCCCGCGACAGCGCAGGTCCTGGCCAATGCGCCGTCCAACAACAGGTCCATCTTCATCCAGACGGAAACCACTCCAAATGCGGACGTGAGTTCTGTTCCCGTTTGAGCGAGCTATTTATATCACGAAGAGGCAGCGATCTAGGGCAGGGTGGACGGAGGGGATTATATTCTTAAAACGCTCGATGCTAATATCTCGATAAAGGCTCTGAAATTTATACCCAACCACCCCGTTCTCCCAGAAGACTTCCCCTCCCCGTTCCTCGAATACCTCTCGCCGCGCTCGACCCTCAGCGCGCCGCATCCCTCTCCGCTGGCGGCCCGGCTGCTCAACGTCGACGGCGTGTCGTCGGTGTTCTACGGCCCGGACTTCATCACCATCACCAAGGCCGGCGACGCGAACTGGGCGCACATCAAGCCCGAGGTGTTCAGTCTCATCACGGAGGCGGTGACGTCGGGCGAGCAGCTAGTCAGCAGCGTCGCTGTGGCAGCGGAAAAAGAAGAAGGCGGCGGCGGGGCGGCGGCGGCCACGGAGACGGCGCCGGAGTATGACGAGGCGGATGAGGAGGTGGTGGGCATGATCAACGAGCTCCTGGAGACCAGGATCCGGCCGGCCATCCAGGAGGACGGCGGCGATATTGAGTTCCGCGGGTTCAAGGATGGGACGGTGATGCTGAAGCTGCGTGGGGCGTGCCGGACGTGTGATTCGAGCACGGTGACGCTGAAGAATGGTATCGAGTCGATGCTGATGCATTATGTAAGTTCCAACCGAATCACTGTTCTTTTTCTTTCTTTTTTGCTGTTTGTCTGTCTGTCTGTCTGTCTGTCTGGGCCTGTGCGGCGTCGGCCTCCGTTTGGGTAGGCGTTTTTATTGGATGTCGAGCGCTGACGACGATGCTTTTATGTGTGCATAGATCGAGGAGGTCAAGAGCGTCACGCAAGTCCTGGACGAGGAGGAAGAGGTGGCTATGAAGGAGTTCGAGCGGTTCGAAGAAAAGCTACGGCACCAGAAGGGTCCTGGTGCGACTGCGTCGACCACGGGCAAGGGCAGTCTGGACACCGCTGAGGCATAGGAGTTCTTTTTCTTTTTCCTTTTTTTTTTTTGGATTCCGGCTCGCGGCGTACTGCTATACGATGTTCTGCTCCAATGGGATTGGGGATTCAGCCGGCGAAGAGACTGTTATGTCCCGCATTTCGATATATGCCTTGACGAACGATGTTCGAGCAAAAGCCTACTTTTCTTTCTTCAAATTGTCTTACTAAGATAAAAACAGATACGGTCGCCTGGAGACGGCGTATACGAAATATATTAGATGTTAGCGTGGGCTGCTCACGCC